AGTTGATCACATCCTTTGGAGAGCAAAGTTCCAAATCCAAATTCTTCTCAAATAACGATGGCGGCCAGACTCCCATTGCTGCTGGTGTCACCCCGATCGCCGAGTCTGCTGTCTCTCCCAGAGCGGAGGAGATGTCCAGTGCCTTCCTCAAACCGTCCAACCGCAGTGCCTTCACCACTCCGACGACTGCACGGCCACAGGGCAACTTCAATCGAGGACGACTCCCCTCCATTGGTGAGATGCCGAGCGACAACAACCTGCGACACACGGCAAAACTCAGCGGGAAGCCCGCCCCTGGCATTGAGAATCTTACACCGCCACTGGATGCTGCCTCTAGGCACGGCCATGGTCATACCCGCAAGAGATCCACTGATGATGGGAACCTCTCCAAGGGCCTGTCTCTGCAGCGTGCTGCGACTGCCAGCCCGATGATGATGAGGGATACCCCCCGCAAAAGAGAGCCGGCACCGCCTTCCCCGGGCCCCGAGTCCCAGGCAGCTCTCTTGGCAAGTGGTCGCAACAGCCGCAACGGGCCTCGTGAGCGCATGCCAAGCGGTCTCGAGCTTCAGCTTCAGTCCCTCGATGATGCCGTCTCTGGCAGCGATGTGACCTCCCCAGAGCAGTCTGTCTCGTCTGCTCGCTTCCACTGGCCATCCAGGCGCCGCGGCCCAGGCTCCATCTCGAGCGCTGCTTCGGGTGCACCTTCTGGTATCTCCACCACATCCAGCAACAAGCAGCGCGGCCACGGCCAGAAGACCCTGGACGACTACATCAGCAGTATCGAGGCGGCCAAGCTGCGCCAGCAGAACAACTCCCGCGGCCAGAGCAGGGATGGACGAAGCAAGACCCGTGACAGCAGCCGGACGCGCACCGCAGGCTCCTCCCAAGAACAGTCCACCGACGACCGCGGTCGCACTTCGTCTCGAGGATACACTCCTAGGGGTGGCAAGCGGTCTCCCAGGTCTCCTGTTCCAATGTCTCCCGAGGATCTTCTCAACCTGAGCCAACCCGGGTATGACGAGCATGGTGATGAACCGGCCAGCGCCCGCAAGGCAAGCACTGTTCGGGCCTCCTCGAAGAGCCGGACCCGTCGGGACTCGAGCCGCGATGAGAAGAGAAATCTTGCTCCCATTGAGATCCCTCGTGGCCGGAGCAACGGTCCACAAGGATCGCGGCCTCGGTCCCCAACCTCTCCGGTCCCCATGTCAGCTGGTGGTGTCCAGCATTTCCAGGGCTCTGAGGACGAGGAGGATTACAAGAGAGCCAAGGAGGAGCAGGCTCGGTTCCGCAGCAAGGCTAGGTCCCGTGGTGGCAGCAAGTCCCGCGAGCCCTCACCCAACCAGGGCGTTCGCGACCACTCTGAGAGCCGTCACCGTCAAGAGCACAACGGCTCTGTTGAGCACAGAGTGAGGACCCCCGGCGTCCACTTCGTCAAGGACAGCCACGCTGGCGACCTGAGAGCCATGAAGGATGAGCGCCAGCTCAAGAAGGAGGCCGCAGCCCGCGAGCTCGAGGAGCGCCGCAAGTCTCTTGCCAAACGACCCCTTGCGCCCCCGATCCCTCACCCTGACGAGCTGTCTCCTGCCCTCTCCGCCGTCTCTGGCATGAGCATCCCCCGTGCGCCCACTGCGCCCAACGACTTTGAGCTCCCCAGCACCACATTTGTGGAGCCCAAGCAGCTGCCTCCTCGAAGCCGCACTGCCGACCCCGAGAGGCGAAGCATGTACGCACAGCAGCCCACGCGTCCCGTCATTGGCCTGCCTGCAACTCCCAAGGCTTTCCGTCTGGTCATGGACACGCAGAAGCCCTTGAGCCCCGAGGAGCCTGTACCGCCAATTCCCCTGACCTTTGCGCAGGCTACGTCGCCGCAGTCGCCGCACGCGTCTCACCAGACCAAGTCGCCCAAGAAGGACGCCTCGTCTCCAGGCGCGGGCAGTGCTGGACTTACATTGCTGCCCTCGACGGTATACCAGCCGCCGAGTCGGCCGGCCATCCAGCGCTGCGTGTCCGCGCCGCCAGAGGAGCCTGTTCCCCCACAGGCGCTCCAGGGCTACGGCCACGGTGTGGGCAGGCTCGCGAGAGGCAACTCTCTGAGGAAGCTGAGCACGCCTGACGCCCACTCGGGGTTCAGGCGCGCTGTTGATGATAACGATGTCATTGTTGACCAGTCCAACAACAACAGCCGCCCTTCACACGATGACCAGGTGCCTCCTCCACCTCCGCCCCCGCCCGTCCTGAAGGAGCTCCAGCACCTTGCCATCCCTCCCCCGCCTCCTCCCGCTCCCTTGCCCTTCGTCCATGGAGGCAAGGCCCCAGTTGTATATGGTGGTAAGACCTCGGGTTCCATTGAGGTCGTCATGGACAGCGATGATCAGGCCCCCCCTGAGCACAGCGTGATTCCCCTCACCGAGACAACCGTCCCTGTCATCCCGGCCCCCGCGCCGCCGTCCTCCCGCGGTCACCATCGCGGCCGCAGCAGTGTGGACAACAGCATCGCCGGCCGTATTTCCCGTGCTACTGAGCGTCTGCGAAGCTCGTCACGTAGCAGAAACAACTCGAGCGTCGTCAGCCGCACCAAGTCGCCCATCGAGGTTGGCACGCCTGCGCCCTATGAGAGCATTCCCATGCCTGGACATAGCAAGTCGGGAAGCATCTCGGGCCCGCCAGTCAGCTTCCACAACCGCGAGCTGAGGAGCCCGATTGACGGGCGGCCGCTCAGGGACCTCCCTACTGGGATGAATCCTGGAGACCTCATCTGAGGCGGACAATCTCTTTTACCTGTTTTCTTTCCTCTTTTTCCTTGCTTCGATTTCCATTTCTCCTTCTTTCCTCCCTTGCAGTCTGCATCTGCTTGATTTGTGTGTCTTTCTTTCGAATTTTGCTTTTTTTCTTCCTTTTCTGTTCGCTTCGAGCATGGCGGCTGGCGTTCTGACTTTGTTGTCTACACCGCATTCGATACCAAAATTTCTTTGATGACGACGGAAGCTCGAAAGGGAACAATGGACACGTGGTTTCTTGAAATGTTGAGACTCGTGATCTTGCCACTCCTCCCAGAGTTTTGTTTGATTTCTTTTTTTCTCCTCTTTTCTTGCACTTGTTTTCAGGGCAACAAACACAGTTTGGATCTTTGTATAATTCTCAACATTCCTTTTTACATACTTATATCTCTCTCTGCATGGCATATTTTACCATTTTTGATCCCTTCCCCTGTCTTGTCTCTTATCTCTCTCACACATTCTCATACTCGGAATGGTTCTTCTTCCTCAGCTTGGAGGTCTTAACGAAGTGACGAAATCGGCGGCTAGAGGGGTCAGGACGGCTGTCCGGCGGTCCTGCCACCCACCCACCTCTTGCTATCCTAATGATCCCTTTTCCCATTCATGACTTGATGACGGAAGGGAAGGCTGAAAGAGAAGGATGGAAAATGAAGATGGCAACAATGGACGGCAACAGAAACGAGACATATATATTCTGGAGGAACCACAAAATGACCGACCACCACCACATTCTTGAAGCCCCCCCCCCCCCCCAACAACACAAAATCAAACAAACAAAATTCTCAAATCTCAACTCGGGTCTGATAAATGCTGCCTCACGGCGTCTTCTATCTTCTGGAAATCTTTTTCCCATCGTTGTCGAGTTTTTCAACGATGTTTATTTCTCTTCAACTCTTCTTCATTCGCGCAAGACCAAGTAATCCTTCAGAGGAGGCAAAAGGGGACGGCAGATATTATTAGGTAGTAACTGTTAGTTTGCAAAGCAGAATACAATGATTGATTGGATTTTCTATATATAAAACCACCATGTGTTTTGCAATGTGTTAGATGCGACGTTGTTCATTTAAGTCTGATGTCCTGAAGTTTTGGAGCGCAGGTGTGTTGCAAAAACCAAAAAAGAAATAGTAACAGGAGTCAGCTCGAACAGGTGGCCTCTGCAAAAGTTTCGATACTTAACAGGATTCACTACAAGGCCCTATAGCGCCCCTACAGCTTCAGCGCATGCATGCGCCTAACTGAACATGCAACATGAAGAAAGAGAGGACCCAACAAAAAGACATCGAGAGGAGAAGGAGGATGTCTACTACAAGATAATAGCGAGAAAAAGAAAAGAAGAAAAAAAAAAAATAGGAGTTGACAGCTCCATCTCATTGCACTACCCCAAGCCCACGACCGTGTGATCCAACACGCCGCGCAACAGTGAAGACGCCTCTGCAGAGTGAAACCTCCCTCAAGAATCGTCTTCGTTGCTTCAGGCCACAAGCACAGCATCGCTGGTTACCCGAGCGAGTGGGTGGCCGCTGCCGCGCTCGCGCTGGGCACAGTCGGTGGGGTTCTGATGGAAATGGAATAGCGCCGATGAGAATATTGTGTGTCTCCATCCCGGTTAAGCCATTACAGCTAGTAATTTTAGTTTTTCAAATGATTTATATAGCCAAGCACTTTGCTTAGTCATTCGGTCTGGGCTGCACGCCTTTTGGGGGTATGGAATTTGAGTTGGCTCCGCGTTTATCGAATATGGTTAATTGATGATTTGATATTAGTCTTTACTTTCTTTTTCTTTTTCTCAATCTTTTTTTTTTCTTTCTGAAATCTGGTGGTCCTTTCAAGATTTTTTTTGGGTCAATCACGGTAAAAGTTCAGGTGTAGAAGAAGAACGGACGCTGCTGCGCATGCACTCGAACCCTGACGCAACTTCAACTACTAGAACTGGCTCTCTCGACCTCAGCCCTCGGCCTGCTGCATCAACGACAGCAGCAACAGACAACGGCAGCACCACACCAACTGCTTGTTGTTGTCCACCATCTAACATAACAGATACAGCCATGATGGACAGCTGATAAGGGACAGCAATTGCCACAGAAAAGCAGGCAGCATCCCACGAATGAGGCCCTCTGATCAGGTGCGGCGGCGTTGACGATCCCAAGCCCTCAACGGCCTTCCTCCTCCTTCTCCTCCTCGTCCTCGACCTCCTTCTTCCTTGAAACGCAAACACAGCCGACCATGCTCACGACATCACCACACCTCGAGGTCCGGCGGCCCTCCCCGACCACCGCCGAATTCACAGTAACAACCAGTCCGCCAGCGACCATCTCCAACCGCCTCCTCCTCGGCATCGTCTTCCTGCTGCGGCTGCTCCTGGCGCTCGCCGTCCTGCTCCTCCTGCGCGCGACATGGACGCTCCCGCCGCCTACGGAATATAGCACGACCACCACTACCCACGCGAGAACACCAGGCACTGTCCTCGGCAGCGGACACAATGGCAGCACCGTGCCACAGGCCCATTATTCCTACCACAACCACAACCACCACCACCACCATGACGGCAACGTATACCATGCGCCCACGACAACAGCATCAGTACCAGCACCAGAATCACTAGCGCCCATCCCTCCCCAACCAACCACCCTCCTGACCCCGGCCTGGCTCCCCTACGCCCTCGCCCACCTAGCACGCACCCCACCAGGCCGCGCCCTGACCTCCCTCCCGTCCTCGGCCTCGCTGCCCCCCTCGGCCCTCTACGCCCTCTGCGCGGCCCTCCTCTACCTGACCACCCTGCGCGTGCACACGACCGAGTCCCTCCTCGTGCTGCGCGGCCTGGGCGTGCAGACCAGCTCGACGGGCGGCTCGTACCTGGCCAGCTGGCGCGCCGGCACGCGCTTCATCCCCACCGAGAAGATCCGCGACGTGCTGATCAACGAGGCGTTCCGCGGGTTTGGCGTGCGATACTACCTGGTGGTGGTGGTGGACGGCGAGGACGATGTCGTCGTGGTCTTTCCGCGGCTGCTGCCGGGGCGGGGGATTGTGGAGAGGGTTTGGAGAGGGGTGAGGGGGTGTTTGTGGGAGCCGCCTGAGGGGGATGGGATGGTGGCGAGGAAGGTGGTTGAGGATCGGGGAGGGAGTCATGGATAAAAATAAGAGGACAAGCTGTACATGCTGAAAAAGGGGTTGGCGACGGGCTACGTATAATTTCTTTGGGTGGGTGAACGGTTGGCCCTGGAAATATGTATATATGGCTTGCTATTATAACCGGCAATTAGCTGCAATTGTGTCTAATGACCATCCTCCATCTAGTCATCTCCCCCTCCAGTCTCCATCTTGCTGCTCTTCTCTGCCTTGATCACCTCCCTCCAGTTCCCCCTCGCCCTCATCTCCTCCGCATCCTTGAACCCTTTCCTCTGCGCCCACCGATCATTCAGCTCCTCAGGGCTCGCAATCAGGTCCTTCTTGAGGACCGGCACATAGGCCCCCACGAACCGCGGGCCATTCCCCCCTTCGTAGACCCGCGTGCTCCTCGCATTCAGAAACCTAGCCTCCACCGAGCCCTTCTTCACAACCTCTCCCTCGGGCACGCGGTCCATGTCCGTCTTTTGCGAGACCAGATCCACCAGCCGGTTGGCGAGGATCTCGTCCATCTTGCGCTCCCGCCAGTAGGACCACAGATCGCTGGCCAGCCCAGAGGTGCCGTGCAGGTTGAGCGGGCTATCGCCCTCGCCGCCGACGGACAGCCAATCCAGGTCGTCTCCACTTCCTGCTGGTGATGGTGGTGGTAATATGGACCCTTCGGTCGTCGCAGGGCTATGTGCCGCGGCCGCTGTGCCGTCGCGCCCAAACACGCAGTCCCACAGCACCAGCGGCGCATCGTCGGCCAGCACGTAGTTGGGCCGCCTTGGGTTGCGGCCGACGTCGAGGAGCTCGGCGACGGTGGCGGGCGGTTCGAGGCCCTGCCCGACGAGGAAGAGGACTGCGACCATGCAGCGGATCTGGTGCCACAGGAAGGCGGAGCCGCGGACGTGGAAGTAGTAGACCTTTGGGTAGCGGTTGGTGGGGGCGACGAGGCCGTCTTCGCCTTGCGAGGACGAGGAGGAGGAGAAGGACGAGGAGGAGGAGAAGGACGAGGAGGAGGAGAAGGACGAGGAGGAGGAGAAGGACGAGGAGGAGGAGGAAGAAGGGTTGCGGAACTGGGGGCCTGTGAGGTAAGGGAGGGACGTGTCGACGCCGTCCACCTCGACGATGTCGGCCTCGTAGATGCGGCGGACAAAGTTGGTGATTTGCTTGGACGGGTCGACCTTGCAGAAGTTGCGGAAGTCATGGAGGCCTTGGAACATTTTTGCTGCCTGGCGCATCGCGTCGATGTCGAGCCAGCCGTCTTTGGGTTTGGAGGAGGAGGAGGACGATGAGGATGATGATGATGGGGCGCGGCCGTTTTCTGTAGCCCGAGCTTTCTCGAGAAAGTTGGGGAGTGGTGAGAAGGCCGGCTGTGTGAAGAAATAGCGGTACTGCCTCTCGCGACAGCTGAAGCGTGCCGAGAACTCGGGCGGCGGGTTCGGACACCAGGCGTAGACTTTGATGTCAGGGGGCAGGATGCGGTTGAGCACCTTACAGTACTGAATCTCTTGCTCCACGGGGAACGGTGTGTCGTCTTCCTCTTCTGCTTCCTCCTGCTCCGCCTCCTGTGCTTCCTGTTGTGGCGAGGCCTCGGTCATCGTGACATCCTTGTTGTCACCGTCACCACCCTCACCTCCCGTCGTCGTAGACACACCACCGGCCTGCTGGCCCTCCACGACGGCCTTCTGCTTCTTGTCCTCCTCAGTCCTCCTCCTCCTCGCAGGCTTGTTGCTCCTCACCCGCAGCGCAACCACCTGCCCAAAAGCGCTCACCCCGCGGTCCGTCCGCCCGCACTTGGAGTACTCGCACACGTTCCAGTCGACCTCGTGTGGCCTGTCTGGGGCAGGGAACACAAGGCATGCCCGCACGAGGGCCTTCCACAACTCCTCCTCGATCGTCGACAGGCTGCCTGACGACTGGTACTCGAAGCCGTTGTAGTTCTTGCCAATGTACGCGAGCTTGAGCGCTATGAAGCGCGTCGTGTACTTGGAAGGGTCCAAGGGTTTGGAGGACTTTTTCGCCTTCTTCTTGGCGGGCTGGTCTGGGTCGCCGCCATCCTCTTGGGCGAGGAGGCCTGTGGGTGGTGCTGTGGATTCTGGGAGGGCATCATTGGTGGTGGGTTGGGAGGCCAGCTGGGACTCGAGCTCTTTCACCCTCCTTATGAGCTCTTCCTTGGGCCACTTGTTGTAGTCAGTCATCTTGACGACTGAAGTCAATGTCCTCCTGAGAACCAAGACGGGCCAGAACAGGAAGAGCGGGCGTATGCAGGAGGAGGATGAGGACTGCCACAGAGGCGAGGAGGATATGCGTCTGCGGTTGTGTATGAGGAGTTGGACGGAGGTTTTGAGTTCATGCCATGCTGTGCCGTGACTACTTATTCTGCGTGATTTCATGCGGGACTTCCTCCACTCATCCTATAAAAACGCTGTTGTGAGGGTTTCTCAAGCAAAGGGGATTATTTCTGCGGCTATCATGTGTTGCGAGAGATGGACAAACAGAAGTGGTATTAGTACTGTGAATTTTACAGTACCTTGTACCATGTAGTACAGCGTAAAATTCTTATCGATAAGAAGCTCCCCCTCGGATCATATACTGTCCCTCTTTCTTTTCTGCAGACAACAACGAATGACCCGCCTCCACTATCCAATCACACAAATTTCCAGCATATCATCAGAAACAAGCAGCATCTTTATGGAACCTTACAAGGTATCGATCCTAGCGTTGGGTGACGACAAATGTGGGAAGTCCACGTTCCTGTCGTGAGTGCGCTCAAGTCTTCCGTCCATGCCTGACAACCCCTAGTACTTCAATAAAGTTAGGAGGACCAGGACCCTTGGTAATTTATACTAAAGTAGGCCTGGCTGACATAGAAAATAGGCGCATCAGAGGGGGAAGCAATGGCGTAAGGGTCACGAGATTGAATAAGGTGCCCAGCAGAGTGAACGATAAAGAGCAGCCGTTCCTTCATCACCTTGTACAAGGCCCGTTGCGGTTCCAACTGGAGTTTTCCGACACTGCCAGCCCCCAGGACTGGCGAACTCTCAAGCCTCAGATCATCCTGCTCTGCTTTGATGTAAGCGAGCGCCAGAGTCTCGTGAACATCAAGGACATTGTAAGTCGCCCTTCCCGTCGCCCCTCCCCCCCTCCACCCCCCTCTTTTCCCAAGAAATTCATCTCCTTCATCAGATCCTGACTGACAAATTGTGGTATGTGTGTGTGTGTGTGTGCCTGTCCCGTAGTGGATCAAGGAAGTCCGCAAAACGTTCCCGGACGAGAGCAACATCCCTATCGTTGTCGTGGGCCTCAAGCGGGACCTGAGGCCCAGGGATGCAGATGACACATTTATCCCACCCAATGAGGCTTACCAGGTTGCCCAAGCAGTGAGAGCGGATCGGTATATTGAATGCTCTGCCCTCAATGGTGACCTCCTGGATATAGCATACGAGGATCTCCTTGATGTAGTTGCTCAGACAGCTTCTGAAGAGGGCGGCCAGAGTAGCGGAGGGTGTGCTGTGATGTGAATGCAGATGAACAGGGGATGCATGGGCCCATGGTCAGCAGATGAGTTGATGTTTGGTCCAACTGTGGAGGATAAGACCTCAGGCAGCCTCTTCTCCCTCTTCTGCATGCTCCCTAACAGGAAAAGGTCCAAGCACCTCCTCGATGATGGTCTGGATCTCCTGCTGCTGGTCCTCTGTAAACCGAGTCATGAAGTCCTCGATGCAAGAACTCAGGATGGCCAGGTTTTCAGGGCGCACATTGAGGATCATGATCATCTCACCCTTAGTGAGATCATAGTTGTGCAGCCTGTCAACCAGACGATTGATGGTGAAGCCATTGTAGGTGATGGGCTGCTGGCTGAAGGGGTTGGGCGATGTCTTGAGGTATTCTAGGACCTGTGCTTTCTCTGTTAGCTTCCATAGTGTCACTCATCTTCATTCACAATCAATGAAATGGGAATGAGAGAGAGGCTTGCCTCCTTGACGATGGTCTGCACGTTGCGTGGAACCTTTTTCCTGCGTTCATGGTCTTTGAACTTGTACTGTTCATTGAGCAGATGTTGATAGACCTCAAAGTTGGTCAGGACAGCATTCTGAGACTCGAGGATCTTCATGGCAACTAATAGCCCGGAGAGGTGGTGGACAGGGAGGAGAACAGCTGTCGAATCTGGTTCCTCTACTGAAGCAGCAGGTCGTGCAGTTTGCAGGTCCCACGTCAGACCCGAAATTCTGATCACTCCTTGTTTTGAGTCTCAGCTGAATGTGCTGATGAGCTACTCCGTCCTTAAAATGTGTGACTAGCTGAACGGTCTGGTGGTTATGATGCACTGCAGCCAGATTGGTTTTGGTGGTTGGTATTTGTGGGTAAAGCACTTTTGTAGTACTTCATCAAAAGCCGGCGGAAAAAATTGCCTGCCACACTCTCCACGACCCAGTCTGTGGAGCCTTGTCTAATTTTTTCAACACTGTGAACAGCAGGGTGTGCAGAAAGGAGAATGGCTATTGGAGCTGGCACTGGGAAAGATCCAGCCTGGGTTTGGCAGGTTGAGTTTTTGACAGGCAAGTTTTGCAGAGGGGTGTGATGGATGGATGGGTGTATCGAAAAGTCTAACACCAAACTCGAGGGGCATTTTGGAAGGGAGGGGCACATAAGTTTAGTCACTGTGTTGCAATCAAGGACCAATGATAGGCCAGTCCTACGATCTACCCCACCTCAAGTTGCCCATCTCTAGGTGAGCAGGTACGTACCCGTGTGTTCCTCCCCGAGTTATCTTCTGTTGAGGAATGAAAGTAAAGCGGTGCTCTGTAGAAGATCTTGTAATGTTCTTGGTGCAACGGGATACACGATTGTGGCATCATCTGTAAGGGCAATGCATTCATTGTCTATCACTTGAAGAGCAACTCTGCATGAAGAAAGGAGATTTGTGGTTCAATGGAAGGAGTCTTGACCAGGGTAAAGTACCTGTAAATGTGACGTCGCCTGTGCAGGTCTGCTGCAGGCTGTTCCAGGTACTGTGTACGCTAAAGGTAACCCTGTATGGCAGGGCCCTGTCCCTAAACCACAGTGTACCATAGTACTCGCTTGGCAATGGAGGGGGAGGAGCAGGGGGCCCTAGACCTGGGTCCGGGGGATGACTGGCCTGTCTAGTGTAGGGGAACATTTTTCTCACTTTTGCGCCTCCGAAGACGCTTTGTGGTTTTCTTCACACCGATCCCACCTTTCGTACAAACCTTTCATGCTCATCACCGCGACGAGTTGAAATCATGATGATCATTCTGTAGAGAGACTGCTCAAGCTACTCTCTTTTGGCTTCTTTGCCCCCCCTCTCCCTTTCCTCTTTTCCATCTCCTCTGCGCATTGCGGTTTCTTCTCGCGTATCCTCGGCCCTCATTTTTGACGTCGGCGGCCCACGGCCTGCATCTGCGGCATAATAACCAGGGTATCGACGACACCGACACCGCTCAACCTGAAAACTTCCTCGTCCTCGTCCTCCTCCTTCTCTGAACGTGGGCCTGTTCTCGCCTCTCTGACAAGGGCAACTCTTGTTGCGACTATTCTCTCTCCCCGCCCCTGTATTTACCTTGCTGGAATATCCAATCTATCCAGTATGGTGCGCAATTTGGTCGTGCTTGGGGGCAACTCCCATCCGGAGTTGGTACACAATATCTGCAATATTCTCGGCATTCCTCCCTGCAACCGTATCCTGTCCAAGTTCTCTGTCGGCGAGAGTCGATGTGAGATCCAGGAGACGGTCCGTGGGAAGGATGTCTACATCATACAAACAGCAGGAACCCAGGATACCAATGTCAAAGTCAACGACCACTTCATGGAACTTTGCATCAGTTAGACCTCTCCCTCCTGCTTGATCTTCCCCCGAGAGAGAACACAAGAGAGACGAGTACGCTGACCGCAAGCCTGCCTAGTGGTCTCTGCCTGCAAGACAGGCTCCGCCAAAAGAGTCACCGCCGTCCTACCCCTCTTCCCTTATTCTCGACAACCCGACCTCCCCTATAACAAGACCGGTGCACCTCTAAGCAAGGGCCCTAGCGAGTCGGGCAAATATACCTTCGAGAGCGTCCCCGCCACTCCTGGGCCCGGCCTGCCCAAGAGTATCGGCCTGAACAGCGGCATCGACATCACCAAGATGCTTACACAGGTCTCACTTGCCAATGGCAACGGGTCTGCCAAGGCGCACGGCGAGGGCGCAAATTCTGGCGCCAATGGGGTCGCCGCCGCCCGCGACCATGCGAATTCTGTCTCTTCGGTGACTGGTAACTACACCACGCACGACTATGAGAACCCTCAGATGATCAATGCCTTCCAGGCAAAACCTGGGTACAAGCAGTGGGTAGCACAGGCTGGGACCCTGGTGGCGGACCTCTTGACATGTGCCGGTGCAGACCATGTATGTGCCTCCTCCTGCTCCTGATTTTACTCTCCACGCCCGCTGGGGTTGGCATGCTGTTGCTCACCGTTCGTGCCTTGTACTAACTTCTCTTTTCCTCCTCTCACAGGTAATCACAATGGACTTACATGACCCTCAGTATGTATTGCCCTTGATTTACCTCTGTGGATGTGTGACAACCCGCAACATCGGGTATTTGTTTTGTTCGATTTTTGATACACAGAGCCTTGGTGCTGCTTGCTGAATGGACAACACTGACATATTATCGCCACCAAAAGGTATCAGGGGTTCTTTGATATTCCCGTCGATAATCTCTACGGAAAGCCACTTTTGCAGCGGTATATTGAACGACAGATCCCCAGCTCCAAGGATGCGGTCATCGTCAGTCCAGATGCAGGTGGCGCCAAGCGTGCAACGGCGATTGCCGACGCCTTGGGTTTGAGCTTTGCTCTGATCCACAAGGTAGGGACATGAACCCTTGAAGCTGTGGGTCATACTGACTGTTGCCTGCAGGAGCGACGCCCGACCAAGATCTCAGACCGTCAGAATGCCACCATGATGCTCGTTGGCGATGTATCAGAGCGCCCATGTATCCTGGTGGATGATTTGGCCGACACCGCCAACACCATCACAAGAGCAGCAAAGCTCTTGAAGAAGGAGGGGGCCACCACCGTGTATGCCCTCCTCACCCACGGCATACTCAGTGGCGATGCCATCTCCCGTATCAATGCGTCTGCCATTGACAAGATTATTGTCACCAACTCAGTGCCTCAGCACAGCCACAGGCAGGCTTGTCCCAAGCTTGAGGTACTGGACGTCTCCCACATCTTTGCCGAGGCTATCCGGCGTGTGCATCACGGAGAGTCCATCAGCGCTCTGTTCCCTCACGACTGAGCTGGCGCAGGGACTGATGGACGAAATCCAAGACGAAAGTGGGCTGGGAATACAGCTTCGCCACACAATCATTCATATGGTCTCTTTATTTCATAAATGGCGTTCAGTGAAAGGGGGTGGGGGAAAGGCCTTGACTGCCGCCCTGGTAAGGCAACCGAAACCGTCCAGTCTTGGGCTCTGGAGTTGGAGGCCGGTAGATTTGGTTTCCCGAGTTCTTCAACATCATCATCATCATTAAGAAGAACCAAAAATAGCAAAGGCGAAAGAAGAAGAACAAAAAAAAGTAGTGGGCAGGCGGGAGGTTCCGGTCTCATGGTTCAGGGGCATCAAAGTCAGAAACCTACGGAACAATTATTGCATATTGTTCTTTTTTTTCTTCTTCCTTTCTCTGTCTCTTTTCTCTCTTCCGGAAGGAATTATCTTCCGAGAACGGTCACTATTCCATCACGACAACAGATCGATCTCTAGACCACAGACAAACTTGCTATACACATTAGAGAAGAAGCTAACAAGCCCAAGGTGGAGGGTACTATTACGGCCATGCCTCGCAGGCAAAGAAAGAGTGGGCCTCATAAGAAGAAGTCTGATGATGGCATGCATGCCTGCATCGATTGCATCTCGCTTGCGCACAGAGAGATTTGTTATCCGTTCCGTATTAATGAACAGAGTTGTTTTGTAACATGGAGTTGAAAAGGTCAGGTGATTTGGTCCATGGCGTTTGCGTTGTGTTGTGAGATGACGGAGGTTGTGCTTACATAATCCTTTAACCAGGGGGACCTAAAAAGTCAATGCGGGAAGGGAAGTGAAGGTGAAAAAAAAAACCCCCAAGACCGCGCCTGCGTCCTCAAAACAGCCAGTATTCAATTGACCCAGAGATATAAATCCACCATGGCCTCACAAACCGTCCTGGCTAGGACCACAGGGCCCGCGACAACAAGGCTTATGAGACCTTTCCTCGCTCAACCACCACAGCAGCACGGTCTCGCCACCCTTCTCACCACCAGGCCCTCACCAACACAGCAGCAGCAGCAGCAGCAGCAGCCCGTCAGAATCGCCACCACAATCACCACCCGCAGCTACACAGCAACACCATCATACCAGAAAAGAGGCTCTACTGACCCCAACATTCTCTGTTTGCGGTGCAAGAGGAAGGGGCATATTGCTCGTGACTGTCCTGATCCCAAGACGTGCGCGCGGTGCGGGAGTCCAGACCACTTGGCGAGAGATGTAGGTCTTTCTTCTTCTTCTTCTTCTTCTTCTTCTTCTTCTTCTTCTTCTTCTTCTTCTTCTTCTTCTTCTTCTTCTCCTTTCTCTTTCTTTTCCCCCTTCTTCCTTTTCTTCCTTCAAACCCGTGTCCCAACACAACATTCAATCTCCTCCCCTCACCCCCATCCATTCTCATGCCCTTGCCGTCCTCTCTTCTCTTTTTTCTATTCTTTCATATCACACAAGGCCCCCCGTCCCCTATGAGAATTTCTACTCTCATACTTCATTCCCCCACCCCCCCCCCAAAAATGGTTCATTCCAACCTCTCCCCAAGAACATAATCCCTTTTTATAAATAAAATTCATGACTAACCCCCGGGCCTTCTCTCTCTTTTTCTTTGCCCTTTTGTTAAAGTGCACACAACCCAAAAGATGCCATCGCTGCGGCAGCGAGAGCCACTTGGGCCACGACTGTCCCGAACCGCCCCAGCCGATCACCTGCTACAGGTGCGGAGAGCAGGGACACGCTATGAGAGATTGTACGGCCCCGGCGCCGGTACATAGGGCGCAGTGAGGTGGAAAGGAAGGAGTTTGGGCTGGGGGAGGGCGGGGGGTGGTAAAAGGAAGGGCTTCACAGCCTCAGCTTGCAAGGCAAGGCAGAGAGAGAATGAGGCCTTAGGGGGGGCGCAGGAAAAAAAAAAAAGGGGGGGGGGTGTAAGATTTTGCGAGAATCGAGACTTTTATCTGTGTGTTTTGTGTCACAAGGCTGTAAGCACGACTTGGGCTTTCTGGGCTCGATGAGAATGCACCTTCATTGGCTGAGTTGAGCTAAGAGATTTATCTGCCAGCATTCTAGCATACCCAGTGGACTTCCTAATGCTTTATACACAATGGTCTTGAACAGCCCCGAGGGGAAAGGAGAGAAAGAGAAAAAAAAGAGAAAACCCATCTTAAAATATCTACGTTAGTGTGTCTCTGGTCGGGCGGTGCATAGTCTACTGTATAGCAGCAGCAGGTGACATCGTGCAGAGCTCGTACACGCGCTATGGTAAGTCTGATAATCATTCAGCCAGCGCCACAGTGTTGTCCCCTGCCGCTTTGCGGAATTAGAGAGAAAGAAGAAAGAAAATCCGAAGAAAAAGTCAACAGCAAAGAAAAATGAGCTTGTTTCTCAATAAAAATAAGAGAACAACGACTTCACATAGCCTGTGGAAGGCGAGCAGAGAGATCATCATAGGTTTGTGGTCGTGTCTATTCACATCATTTCACCAAATCGATCTCACCACACACGACCTTGCGCCTTTCCCTTTCGGGACACCACCACACTCACCTTATAAGACTTCATTTCCCATCTCATCCTTTTGACCCGCCAGCCCAGCTCCTTGAAAACTGCAGGCCCACCCTGCCAGCACCTGGCCCAGGAGTATGACGAGCACAAGGGATACCGCCTTCGCCTCAAGGCCCGTCAACCTGGACAGCCCACGAGATGGGCCACACAAGATTCCCGCCACGGCGGCGCTAGGACAGCAACGTCAGCCTGCGAGTCCCAGACCGTGTGAGGGCAGTAACGGTAACAAGAACAGTGAGCAGAGCCCTGGAGATGGGCTCGAACCAGATACCAGTGGAGGAGTAGAAGGAAAATCGCTGCCACCCTCGTGCTCGGTATTAGAGTGGGAGCTAGAAGATTCTATCGCCAGCGTGGATGGCGTAGGAGTGTTGGGAGGAGGAGAAAGAGAAGGAAAAGGAGGAGAATCAGTTCGGCACCGAAGACGTTGTCAGCGGAAAGTCCTGCCGACGCCCAATACACTCCAGGATTTTCTCAACGACGCTGCTGTCGCTGCTGTTCATCATCAACATCCACCTCCTGACAACACGCTATTTATGTCGTCAGTCTCACCGGCGTCGTCACAGGGTGTTCTCGATAACACTAGAAGTAGCGGCGGGACGAGGAGCAACCAGAAGAAGTGGAGGAGAAACCCGGTCCTCATAGTCCGCAGCCCATCAGCGGCATTCCTATCGGTCCTGCTCGCCTCTCCGCTGAACATCGACACCGCCTTTCTTGAGGCCCACGCCGGCCTCCGTCGCCAGCCCTCGTCTTCCTTACGCGGTCGCCGCCACTCATGTCACGGGGCGGCTGCTACTGCGGTGGCGGCGACATGGACCTACCCGGAGCTGGTCTCAGGTTGCCGGTATTGGGGCCCATCACACTGGCAAAGCTCGCTGCTGCTCGCCGCCAAGTGGAAGCCTGTGGCCAGGATCGTGTCGGGCCAGGAGAACCTGTCGGCCATGTTCTGCCGCGCCAGTGCGAGGACTGGCGGGGAGGGTGGTGGTGTGGACGTGGTCCTTCTGAGCGGTGGCAGCAGGGAGTTCTTACCCCACCCGGACGACATTATGCGGCCGCCGACGAGGGCGAGGAGGAAGGGTTACGTGATTCCCGTCGCGGGGAGGCAGAGGATGGAGGACGAACACGACGATGGCCACGAAGCCCGTGGTAGCGAGGAGAGGCAGCAGGACAAACGCAATGTCGTCGGGGTGGTGGAAGATGGCGAGGGCGAAGAGTTCCCCGACTTGGTGGAAGAATTGCAGGAGGGTTTGGACGCCACTCTCAGCTGGGAGTCATCAGCCGCGACAGTAGGAGACGAGATGGAGTTGATTGAGGTCCTGGAAGAGACGGCATACGAGCGTTGGCTCGACTTCCTTGAGGTGCTCACCCTGCGGCTGCCACCCCCGTTCGATGACAGCTGGACGTCCCTGCAGTGGTTAGCCCTGCAGGCCCTGGAGGGAAACCTCGACATGGCCAACGATCTTGCACAGCAGAGGGAGAGGAGGACAGCTCTGGTGGGCAGAACCCCAGGCACTGCCACCACCATCCCTCGCCCAGACTGGACCGAGCTCATCCGCCGCCTCCAGATCCGGATAACCCTGCTCACCGCCGATGCCGCCGATGCCGCCGAGCAAGCCAGGCGCCGGTATCCGGCTCAGCAAGTCTACCCAAGGCCGCCGCCACGACCACCACTACCACCTGCTGATAATGTCGACGACGACCACCAGCGCTCCCTAGACCGCGTGTCCTACCTCGGCGGCGTCCTTCTCCCCGTGTCCATCGTCTCGTCCGTGCTCTCCATGAACGCCGACTTCGAGCCCGGCCAGCCTCTCTTCTGGGTCTTCTGGGCCGCCGCCGCGCCGCTTGTCCTCCTGACGGTCCTAATCATCTACGCGGACAAGCTGCGCGGGGCCGAGGTATGGGAGGAGGTCACCCCCTCCGATGACGACGGGAGAGAGGACGAGAAGGGGAGGAACAAGAGAAAGAAGAAGGAGGAGAAGAAGAAGAAGAAGAAGAAGAAGAAGAAGAAGGGAAAGACAGAAGCAAACGAACAGAATCAGTACCACCACCACCACCATCAACAACAACAACAGCAACCGTCCTCATCCCCATCCGCATCAAGCATGGAAGAGTCCACCTTGCCGCCCAAGACACCCTTGCATTCACGTCCCGAAGTCCGCTCCGAACTCGTGGGCAACATAGTGACGGGTCTCGAGGGAAACGCAGTCGTGGTGGACGAGGAGGTCTCTTCGCGGCCCCCAGCACCGGCATCCAGGCCCCCCCTGCAGTCCGAGGACGTTACCTACAACGCAGGCGACGTAATCATCAACATGGACGACCATCACTACTCCGCGCTCCCTCCTGACAAGCCTCGTCGCCCGCACATGTATCGAAAGAAACAACTGGGCTGGGCCGGCGCGGCCAAGTGCATCCTCACGAGGCAGAAGCCTCACAGGGTGAAGGACGGGCCACCTGTCGAGGGCCGGTGGCGTGAGACGAGAGATGAAAGTAGAGAAGGGTTAGTGAGTAGCGGGGCACCTTCCCTCTGAGCCTGACTCCCCCAGATAGCTTCACCTGCTTGGCCTACCCAGCCTGGGCTGGCCTTCTCTCCTTCCTTTTCAAAAAAAGAAGACATATGTTTATTTTGATGCAGCTGCTGAAAAGCAAGCTGTAGTGTAGAGGAGACGGGGTTTTTACAACAGGCCATCCACCAAAGTAGATGATTTCCAATCTTCAGCGCCCAAACCCATCATCAGCATTATGCCAAATACACAACCACCCTGCTTCAAAGTCAGGAGGTCAGCCGGTTGGTCGGTAGGTTGGATTGGATGCCTTGTTGTCTGCAAAAAGTTGGATTGATCTCGAGCTTCAGGGACAATTGCCAGATGCACCCTTTTGTATATGAATCACCATAGTAACTTTCTTTCCCTCGTCTCGACCCAACTGAAAATGACACCTCCTCCCTGTTCAAAGTCTCTTTCTCTTTCTCTTGAGTATCGCCGGCCGTTTCCATCATCAATATCGCATCTGCTGTCCTTGGTTGCATATGGGCCGTCCACTAGCTTTAATATCCACCTCTGTTGCTGTTGCTATTGTCGTAGTTCTTCGCTATAGGGTTCACCACTTTGGAATCATCATGTCTTCATGCCAGACCGTTCTGGGAACGTACTGTAGGGGCTATACAGAGCACCGAGGAGGGAGTAAAAAAGACAGAAGGCGGCAGGACGAATCAGAAGAAAGCAGATAGCAGGTGTGCTTAATACCATTTTGCCCCTTATCTCTGAAAACCCCCCAAAACGCCGTATCCGCAAGACGCCACTGTGCCCAGTATGCAAGTCCCTACCCTTCTTCTTCTTCTTCTTCTTCTTCTTCTTGTGCTTCTTCTCTGCGTGTGCTGTCTTCAATTTCTGCTCTCCTTGTGAAGCTTCTGGTTCTTTCAAAATGAGTGTGGTAAGGAAATGTCAAAAAGAAAGGGGGGGGGGGGGGAAAGGCTAATAGCAGGGGCCATTGGACCCCCAGAATCGTCCTCCGCCTGTGGAATGTAGTCTCCTGATGCTTGGTGGTACGTAAATTCGGCTGGTCGGCCGCCAGAGGCTGTCTTGTGAACTGTTCCGTTGGTCGAGGCTGCATCTGAGGTGATGCAAGCGTGGCCGGGCCCCTTGTATATGTGGGTCTGCCGGGGAAAAATGAACAAGTCCGGGCCCTCCCTCACGTCATGTTTCGTCGGGATCATCATCGTCGTGTTTCGGGCGAGAGCTCAGTGGGGGGACGAGTCGTATCCAGCATCGGAATCGTGCTCGTCACCATCATGATGCAGCGTCACGCTGTTGAACTCCTCGAACGGGTCGACCATCTCCCCGCCGGGTGTGGCCAGGCCACTATCCAGCGGCACACCATTCATAGGCCGGGAACCGCTGATATCCACGCTCTCGCTCTCCTTCACGTTGCGGAAGTTGCTCGTATCCAGGCCACGGGCTGGGTTCGGGACGATGGGGGGCTTCATGTGCCGGATCAGAGCCCACTGGGTTGTTCTGAAGAAAGGATGCACCTTGATATCAGATGCCCCTGCGCGGGCGCCCAGGCGACGGTTCTCATCCTTGATGAGCAGCTTGCGGATCAAGGACTTGCAGAGACTGTTAAGAGATGATAATTAGTAATGAAGCGCAAAAGACAGTTGGGGGAAGGGAAAGAAAGAAGCCCGTTCTGGCTGCTGTAGAGGGGAGGGGGTTTCTCACTTTGATATCTGAGGGGAATTCGAGTGATCTGGAAACGGAACATCCTCCCTGAGGATATTTGCAAACGTCGCATTCCTGTTCTTTCCCTTGAACGGGGTCGTGCCGAACAGCATCTCGTAGATCAGGATTCCCAGAGTCCACCAGTCGACAGCGCTCGTGTGGCCGCTTCCCTTAATGACCTCGGGTGCGATATACTCCTCAGTTCCGACGAACGAGTTGGTGCGAAAGTTGGCAATGCAGGATTTGGTGTCGATCGTGGGCAGGGAGGTCGTGCTCGCGCCATTCTTGCCGACAATCATGGTGGGCTTGCCGCCCGGGTCGGACTGCTTTGACAGGTCAAAATCAGAAAGCATGATGTGCCCAGACTGATGAAGCAGGATATCTGCACAATTTTTGAAAGTTTCACGTTAGCGAGCCATCCTCTCGGAACCAACCCCCCCCCCCCCCACTCCCCCATCTCTCTTGTTCTGAGAAGAGCAGGTTTCCTAGGCTGGACAACTTACTCTCTGGCTTCAGGTCACGATAGATGAAACCCATGAGGTGGAGGTACTCCAGGGCGGCGGTGACCTCTGCAGCGTAGAAGCGCGCATCATCCTCGGCTATGCACTTGCCAGGGCGGGTCTGTAGGGCCCTGAAGAACTCCCCGCCGCTGCAGTACTCCATGCACAGGTAGAGGTAATCCTCAGACTGGAAGGAGTGGTAGAGAGTGACGATGAAGGGGTGATTGCTGGTCGCGAGAATCTCCTGCTCAGCCAGGGCCCTCTTGATCTTGTTGCGCTTGATCATCTCCTTCTTGCTCAGCACTGTTTGTAGAATCGTCAGCTTCCTTTCCCTTGTTTACTTGTCTTTTTTTTTTTTTTTTTTTATACGCACACACAACGCCCGGGGTGAAGAGAACAATGAACGTACCTTTCATGGCATACAGCCGGCTGCTCTTCTTCTCCTTGACGAGGTAGACCTTGCCGACATCTCCCTTGCCGATCAGCTTGATCTTGTCGAAGCTAGACGGGCCGACCTCGACGTTCCTGACCTTGATGGAATTCGAGCTGTAGGTCCTCCTAAAGGCCAAGGGGGTGCGGCCCGGTGAGGGCAAGGGGGAGAGGCCGTCGGAATCGGGGACGGCGAGGGCAAGGCTGTTTGGATCGGTGGCATCGCTGCTGGAGACGAGACCCAGGGTGCTGGCGCTCTTGTTCTCGACGAGGGGTTCCTTCCCAAGCTCTGCGGTGGCGGGCCTCTCGCCGCTGCCCTTGGCGCCCTTGGAGAAGAGGCCCTGGGCGTTGGGGGCGCTGGCAACCCTCCTGAGCTTGCGGGCGAGCTCCTCCTTGGTGGCGGCGGTGGGCTGCTCGGCGGGGCTGCCGCCGGGGCCGTCGACCTTGAGCTCGGGGGTGTCGGGCGGAGAGGGTGGCACGGAACCCTCGTTGTGGTGACGCAGGGCGGGCGGGCCCTGGTGGGCAAAGTAAGGGTTGGCGTGGGCAGTCGGGCTGAGGGCCTCGTCGAGCGGGTGGCCCTCGCTGGCGGTGGTGGTGCTCCGGAGGCGGCCGACGGTGGCGAAGAACCTGGACTGGCGGAACGAGTTCTTGTCGGTCTTGCCGGAGCCGTTGGCGCCGACGAAGTGAGAGTGTGAGTCGCCAGCGGCGCCGGTGGAGGAGATGGAGAGACCCTTCTCGTTGTTAAAGCTGGAGATGCGGAAGAAGTTCTTCAGCTTCTGGGGAAAGTGGCTGTTGCCATTGGGCTGCTTGGACGACGACGACGAGGGCATCTTGGAAATGGTGACGGTGGCGGCAGCGGCAGCAGCAGCAGTAGCGGTAGAGGCAGAGAGGGTATCATGAGAGGAGGGGGTGCGAGAGGGACGACGATGCCATCGTGAGGTGTGGAGATTGTTTGGGGTGGTGAGCATTTGCGCGGTGCAGCGAGTGTGCAGTGCAAGTTGCAGTTGCGGAGGTCATGTACTTGCTGGCTCTGGCAGGGCTGGCAGGCTGGCTGGCAGCCGAGATTTAGGGGAATGCTGGTAGGGACGAGTCAGCCAGCCGAGCACACAGCCAGGCACAAACAGCGAGGAGGCAGCGAGGCAGTTGCAGGCTGGGGATGGGGGGGTTTTTCGGGCCTGGGCTGGGCCGGGGGCCAGGGCCTTGGCTGACAAACCGGCAGCAAGGCGCAGGGCCCCGCCCCCCGTCCTGCCCTTACAGAAATATACATACCACTGACCAAAAGGCGAGAGAGAGAGAGAGAGGAGTGGGGTGGGGTTACTCCTCTGTATCTCCCAATTGGAGAAGAGAGAGGGGCCACAGGGGGGGTTCGAGTTAGACGGGTGGCCCCTGTACAATGTACCCGTTGTGATTGTAAAAACAGTCACAGAAATAGAGAGCAATGACAGGGCGCATCAGGGTCCTTTTCCGTTCTCTTCACCAAATCTGTCGAGGTCTGCGTCTGCCGTCTCTTTATTCTTTCAGTGGCGAGGTCTGGACGATCAAGTATCCAGAGGAGGAGGTACAAAGGTGGATTGACGATAGTGAAGGGGAAAACTTGGCAGTATCCTTTTTAGAAGAATCTAGCCGCAGCAGCAGATTGCATTCCAGAACCGAAAGGGGCAAAAGGATCCAGGGTTGGATGGTGGTGTCCAGACGTCAGGTGTTCGGATGCTGGAAGGGGTGTGTGTATTATTATCATCATCGTATTATGGTTTTGCCATCGCATTGCATAGCATGAACCCAGGCCAAGCGTCTTCCCCTCTCCCCCCCCAAATTCAAATTCAATTGCCCCCCCGTGCCATCCTGCTGGGACCAGTCCCCAGTGGTACATGTACCTTGGCCAGTGCCACCCACTCTAGCATCCGCAGCAGCATACACTACTAACAGAGTAACTATAGTAGATCGAATAAAGAAGCCACTAGCTATTGATTTCGAGTCTTGGAATCTTCTTCGTGCTCTTGTGTCAATTGCTGTAGTCTCCTGCGCCAATGGCTTCCAGATCCTTCTGGGAGTGGGAGGATGGATGTGCTGATCTAGCGACGGGGAACAAAACACAACGCCCTACACCCTTGGCATGCACCCTTGAGAGTACTATAGTACCTACCCAATCTCCAGACACCTAAAGGGCTTCCACTACCACACCCTTTTCCACCCTATCCGATCGCTCACCTTCCCCTCTTGGCTATAGGAAAGTCCATATCACACAGAGTAGTCCTTCTTTTTTCGAGTTCATCGATATCTCCCTCTATCTTCTTATCTCACAACACTCTTCCACTCAGTACATCTTCCTTCTTCTCCCCCTTCTTTCCACAACACAATCTGGGTCCAAACTACAAAAGGATCGATGCTAAAAGAGATCCCGTCCAGCCCCGTTGAGAGTTTAAATGAAACCACAGCAGAAAAAAAACGGGTGCACCGGCACTCCTGCTGGGCCCCCCCAATCAACCGATCGATCCACTGCAGATCCCTCCACCCTCTCCCAAACAAAAAGGTTTGGGAAACAAGTCATGCGATATGAGAGCTTACCTAGTATGTGTGTCGGTAACTGGGGTACATACGCAGACACTACAGGTACCGAGCCCGTAGCGAGATACAGTAACACCTCATGTCTCTGACAACGCATTCGCATCATTCGCATTGCCCATCCGCCAAAAACAGCACTGCCTTTGCCCGCCCTGGATCGTCATACACACACGTCACACACGGAAGAGAGACTCCACGTGGTGACGTAACATTCGTGTTTTGTTTTCTTTTTTGGTTTGGAGAGATATCTTTGTGGTGTACTGTAAATAGTAATTTCGATTCTTCTTCTCCATCAGTAATTACTAAACAGATCGCCTTGAGAGCCAATGAATGGCCCCGTGCTCTCCCGCAACCCACTCGTGTCGAGTGTGGTCTGAGGTATTGTGTATAGCACCTAGGTTTTGAGGGTTCGAGTGCGCGTGTAATGTTGTAGAAAGTTGTTAGTTAGGCATTAGGTGGTCTGTCTCTCTATATGGAAGATGGTATTATGGATCATTATGACAACTTCGCTGGGTATCTCGTCCGGGGGGTATCATGTAGGCACATAGACCCATTGCCAATACTGTCAACATGCCCTCAAGCATGCTCCTCTTCGTCCACTATCGACGGCGCATTGGCATCCCTCTGCAGAAGAATGGCCTTCAGACGCCGTCTGTTCGCCTTGAACGTAGCAAAGTCCTCCACTTGCTGGTCTCTCACCCAGGGCGTGACTTGTGCGCCATCCGCACCAAGAAGATAGGCCGGCACCTCCTCCTTCTCCTTCTCCCTGTCCCTTCCCGGCCCAATCACGAGCTTGTCGTTCCTGACCCCGTCCCCAACGAACCACACAAACGGAAGCAAGTGCTTCCTGTCCACATGTTCATCAAGTTCACAGACCCGCTCGAACTTCAGTGTCTCCTCCTCCTCCTCCTTGCCGCCGCCGCCGCCACCACACCCCGCCCACCGACACGCCGGCACAACCCCGCCTCCGCCCTCCCGCGTGTGCACCTTGCGTAGATGCCGCCGCAATGTCCCAATATTCTGCAGCTCCGCCTTACACCCTGCCCACTCGCACAGAAACGGCACGTACCGCGGTGCCGCCATACTCTCCCATACAGATCTGGGCGTAGGCGAAGGTGCCCGTGGGGGGCGACCTCGTTTCTTTGTCGTTGGTTGCGAAGCTGAAGGACCCGCACTGGCAGACGGCGGTGGCACAACCCGGTTGCCATCGTTGTCCACGTGTTTGTATGCTGACGGGGTGGGGAGGCCTGTTTTGGTGGAGGGCATGCCCGGCTTCCAACCCTTGGGTCGTCCTCGCGACCGCTTGCCTGTGATCTTGGTGGTGGTGGTGGTGGTAGTACTGCTGCTCCCTGGCCCATGTGGTCGTATTCGCCCAGGTCCAGCGCTTGAGGAAGAGGCTCCTGGCAGCTCATCGCCCGCCCCATCCAGACCCCCATCGTACCATATCTTCTGACCCGGTAGTGGTTTGTACGGCGACGGGTTCAAGACGACCTCTATCCTGGAGCGTCCTGGTGTCGAAGCCGGTCCAGATGGCTGCTTCGGAGACACATGGCTACTCTGCGTATTGTAGGACGGGAGGAGATCGGACGTGACAGTCACCACAGGCGGCTCCATGTCCTCCTGAACATCTGATGTAACACGTGGCAGGTCTGGTGATTTTGAGGCGAGCCGTGGCTGCTTTGCTGGCGGTAGATCCCGCTCTTCGTCTTGCGTCTCCCTCGGGAAGCTGGAGGCCCGTTTTGTGTTGCCTGGAAGCGTGTCCATCATCACCATCACCATCCCTGATGAGGGAGAAGAGACATGAATGGCAGGGTTAAGTTGTGGGATTAAAGAAGGGATTCTCCTTTGTACACAGAAGAAAGAAGAGGAGGTGAGGTCAAGTTGAGTGAGGCCAGGGTTCGGGTTATTTAACTGCAGTAATGGGCAAGGAAGGTGCTGTGCTGCTGCTTTATGGGCCTGGGCTAAATTTGGGTGGGGCTGCTACTCATAGCCTTGAGCTCAGTCATTCGAATTACCTGAACATGTTCAGGGATATAAAACATTCAAAAATTACCTATGAATAGAATATACAAATACATAACTTTCATCATAGACTGACACAAGCTCTCAATCTCAGGTCGACCTGAAGCCATCTCAGAATACTGCCCCTACACCCCATGAATTACTCTACTTGATCCCAGGTATAACCGCATGTCTCACCATTCTTACCATAGAATGAATGAACTGCATGACACAGTTATGGAACACTCAGTTTCTCATGAAGAGCATGTGATTTGTAGCAGAAGACTATGTGTAAAATCCTCCAACGCCAGACAAGATCATAATCAAATACTAACCACCTTCCCAGGAAACAAGTCATCTCGATGTTGTGATCCAATCCCACAGATTGCGCCTATGCTAACATCGCGTCAAGGTATTACCAATAAATAAATACATAAACAAACAGGCAAGATGTAGCCAGCCAAAACCGTCCTCTTCGAGGCGAGGCCTTTCCAACTCTGCTCAGTAATCGATCAGCCGCAGCTTCTTGCCCACATCCCTCCGCCTCGCCTGCACGGCAGCTCTTTCTGATGCCTTTGTCTCGCCGTCGTCGACCTCGGCCCGCGCCTTGAGAGCTTGAAGAAGCATACCCGCGTCGAAGAAACCATCTGTCAACAAATAAAGCAGTCAGCAACAATGCACCAGGGTCTCACACAGAATTTACGTTCATGTCGAGGGTTTGTACACAAGAGGAGGCAAAGAAAACTTACATCCTCCCAGCTCATCATCCTCGCTCAGCATGACGCTCTCCTCCGTGGGGCTTTGGGCCCCAGCGGCCAGACTACCCAGCCTGTCCCGCCTCGCCTTCTCATCCCCACCAGAACCTGAACCAGAACTCGTCGGCGCTAGCGAGGGCAGTCCCGTGATGAGCCTGCCCCTCGCCTTGAGGCGGTTGGTGGCGCTAGGCTTGCGGTCGATCTCGCGCGCCCGGGACGTCTTGGCGCCGCCGCTCGGGTGGCGGGACGTGATGCGCAGGATTCGCCTAATCTCGAGGAGGTACGACTCGAGGGTGTCGACGAAGCGCTTAGTCTGGCGGTGCTTGGACGAGGCGCAGATGGCGATGCCGTCATCCTTGATGATGTAGCCGATGCCAAAGCCGTCGCCGCTGACGGGGCCGAACCCGAACTGGCGCAGCGATGGGTTGCCACAGTTGGATGTCGAGATAATGGTGTTATTGAGCCGGTCCCACCCGCTATCGGCGAAGACCAGGGGCAGTGTCGCCGCCGTGCGGCTGTTGACGCTGTCGCCGCGCGCCCTCGTCAACATGCCGTGCTGACCCGCCTCACTGCCGTTGCTGCCGCCCTCGTCGCCGCTCACCACTGAGTCCCGCCCAGGACTCCGCAGGGCCGAATCATCCGCAGGGCTCGCGTAGCCGCTGCTGCTAATGCTCCTCCCGTCCGTGGAGCCGCTCCCCGTCGTAGTGCCGCCGCCGCTGTCACCAGCGCTGTCGTCCATCTGCCGCTGCCAGAGACAGAACAATGCGTACAGGTGGCGGTCACACCCTTGGCCCTTGGCACACTCCTTGGTGACGTTCACATGGGTGGCGCAGGCGCGCTTCAGCGCCTCGACCTTCTGCTCGGCGGGGTTGTCGCCCCAGAACGTCTGCACAAAGTGGACGCTCTCCTCGCTCACGCTACGGACGGCCTCGGTACGCCCGTGGAGGTACATCTTGGTCATGGCTGGCTCGTATGTGCACTCGACCCGCCCGTACAGGCCGTAGTAGGCCGCCTGGAAGGCCATCTGGACAAAGGCGTCGGGCGAGAAGCCCATGGAGGTGATGAAGTTCTTTCCGTAGGATTGAAAATCGAGACACTCGAACTCGTTCTGCTCGATGAGGTCGGCCAGGCGGGTCTCGGCGAAGCGCACGGCGATCTTGAGCTCCGGCAGCATGTCCCACTCGAGCTTGTGCGGCGTCGTGTTGACGTCGCCAAACGAGTCTGGGTGGCGCTTCGAAGGGTCCGGCGACGTCGATGCCCAGAGCGTAGGGGCCTGGCCATTGATGGTGCGCGCGAATCGCAGGATGGTGTCGGTATAGACGTCTGAGGCAAAGCGCAGGACCGTGTGCCCGTCCACACCCGTGTGCTCAAAGTTGATGCCCGCTGAGCCGTTCTTGCACACGATGATCTGGAGCTTGTCATACCAGCGGTTCGTGCAGGTGCCGATCTGCACGCCCTTCTCAATCTCGGATGTCCCGCACAGCATGTTCTGGCAGAGGGCCGAGACAGTCATTGGTTCTGTGTAGTCGAGACAGACAATAAAGAGGGCTGAGTCGACAATCCCCAGGCAGTCGGCATTGTTGGAGCCTTCTTCTCGGGTGAGCACATCCCGCAGGCCGGACCAGACCTTACGGTTTTCTGTGCTGAGCACGCCGAGGGCGCCCTTCGCAGCGTCCTGGATAGGGGTCTGCGCGGCATCGTCGATAATGGTCTGAAGGTTGATGGACACATCCTTTTCGGTCATGATCAGGTCTGAGTTGTCGTCCAAAACGTCGAACCAGTAAAACTGCCCATGGCACATGACGACAATATGTTTTGACTCCGGGTCCTGCTCGATCTGGCAGCCGGCCTGCGTTGGTACTCTTGCTGTGCCGAAGAGTCTTGAGTACTGGTACATATCAAGCGGGGTACCCTTGATTGTGTCCGGTGGCAGTTCCTCCTTGCGAACGGCCCGGACGAATTCCAGGGCGGACACCACCAGGGACGCAGCCCTGGTGACCTGGTTGTTCCGTGCGGGAGTCGGATCATCTTCCAGCAGGAAGAAGGGGTTCAGGTTGAGCACGACGGGGTTGTCGTAATTCAGATATGAGTCGTACCCTACTCGGCTGTTAGCATGCGACAAAAGCCAGCCAGTTTACTAACCCATGAGCAGAGAGAGAGGATGTGTGTGTGTATGTGCGTTTCTTATATATAAGAATGCAGACTTACAAAATTGCTCGATATAACTGGTCTGCCCTTCTGCATATTTCTTCAGCTTCTCCTGCAGCTCAGGCCCCTCGTTCTTCAGGAGCTCTTGGACCGCATGCCTGGTGTCGGAATGTTCCCTGGGCGACTGGAGCGGCTTCAACGCCCGCAGGTACTTGGCACAAGTGGCGGCGAGATCCGGGATGGGCAGCTTGGCGAGCTTGTCCTGGTGGGCAAAGGTAATACCCGGGTAGGATCTATCCTCGTTGACACCCATCTTCGATGCTGCTGCTGCTGCTGCTCCTCCTCCTCCTCCACCTCTGGAGGCAGGGCTCGGCTCCGGAACGCCGTTGGGTATTTCTCCGTTGGCGGGTAAAGACCGCGGGGTCTGCCGCTTTGGTGTTGGTGGAGAGCGGCTGTCGGCTACGGAGAGGGTCTCTCCGAGGGCTTTGGGGACGGTGAAAATGCGGACTTGGGTAGGCATGTTGTGTTAGCCGGCCAATCCCGTTACGACAGGCCTTTTTTTCGACAGTTTCAGGCGTAAAGAGGAGATACGGAGGTGTTAATGTTCAAGCCTCGCAGGGCTGTGCGGTAGAAGTAGTGGCAATCGTGAAGACAGTAGACTGGCATTCCCGCTTGAGAGACACAGCAAGGCCAGGGAGGAGTGATAGTGGCGGTGACAATTGTAGAGGTAATGAGAAGTAAGGTGCAGACAGATGGGCAAGTAGCCAGTACATCCACTTCTTGACGACAAGAGGGTGACCTTTGGGACAGTGACTTCTCGGAGGGAGAGGGTCCATATGTATATGGATATAGATATATACACATGTAAATGTATATGCATGTGTATGTATGTGTCTGCTTATGAAAGAGGAACCCGAAAGAGCCGACGGGAGCGTGGCAGAAGGTCGGGATGATGTGATTTGATGGATGGATGGATTGTGACCTGAGCGGAAGAGGGAGGGGGAGGGTCACTGTTGCGCCCCAGCATGTGGCCTTGACATGTGGGACGGCATGACTGGCAATACGAATACATGGTAACTGTATAGCAATAATACTATCGAGCCAGATTCATGCACTGAATCGGAGAGGGAAACAAAGTACCTGCACCCTATCTCGCAGGCGCTGCTCTGCTGATAGTAGTGGCAGTAGTGGTAGTCGGGGGGGGGGGGGGGGATGAGGAGCCGCAGGTTTTCTCTGGCGCCGGCGTGATGATACGATGAAATCCGCTCCGTAGGACCGAGTGAAGAGGGTCCAAGCATAACTTTGTGGTAGTGGTGGGAGTCAAGGCATGTACCCGAGGTGCAAGGATAAAGGGAGCAAGGCGAGAGCCGCGCGAGACGGACGAACTCTCTTTCTCTCTCTCTCTCTCTCTCTCTCTCTCTCTCTCTCTCTCTCTCTCGTTCTCTACACATACCTGCAACAAGATCTGACACGCGATTCACAGTAAAAGCGAGCAGACCGAGACGCGAAGAAAGAGGATGTGGTTTTGTCGCCCCTGATAGGATGTGGCTCGATGCAACTTGAGAAGGGGGATGGGCAGGTCAGCCATGGTTCCAGCAAAGTGACCAGGAGGTGGAGGGCTGACGCCTTCACACAGACTCACCTAGCTTGTCATCCGAAGGAATATCTACGGGCGATATCAGATTATTGCAAGACCAATCGATATACAGAGTCGCAACGAGGTGGACGGCTGAACATGAAAAAAAAAAAAAAAATATAGTCTCGCTCTGTCTCGCATGTGGCGTGTCGCGATGATGGCGAGTTTAGAGCGAGAGAGTCCAAAGTCGGCGTCAGCGTCACATGGTCCATGACCAAAAGAAAGGTCGCTTGCCCATTTACTGAGGAAGGCAGTGGGCAGCTGTCACAGGGACGAAAGGTTGCTCTCGCACTAAGAGCTTGTGACGAGCTCCTAGTCTAGAAAGGGAAAACGATACATACACCTCTTCCTACGACGTCCGTTGGAAGGAACGTGTGGGGGAATAAAGATGGAGCCTCTCGGACCAAGGGGAAGTCGCGTGGTTGGACGCCGGAATAAAGGCACGAGGTTAACCTCTAGTGGGCCCTTCCTAGCGGCAACGAGACAGCTGCAACACAGCACAGGGCCAGCGCAGTTCAGTGGGGTTGAGTAGGAATCAGCGGGGTTTCCCCACATGCACCCAAACGTCTCTCTCTCTCGCTCTCTGTATAGGTCAGCGTAGCAATTGCGGCTGGCTGGGGCTGAAGACGCAACGGATTATGCTCTCTACTACGACAGTACTATACTACGATACACTACATAAGCCTTTCTCGCTTCTGCAACACCATACAAATCATAAAGAGACTTCTAAGAAAAAAGGGGTCCATAGTGAAGAGGTCGCACAAACTTCCCATTCTCAAGTATCACAGCACTTTTTTTTCCTTACTAAATCATGTCGCACCTAGTTTATCTTCGACATACCCAGAGGAAAAAGCTCCTCTACGTCGTCCCGAGTGCAAATCCTCTTATCTCGCATACCCATTAATCACTTACTATGGGATTACTCGCTTACACAAAGTACAAGCATGTGAAACCTTTGACAGTCTGTTTCTCGAACCCCAAATGTACATACTATGGTAGTAAGTAGTAGGGATTAGGCCACACCGGCCGAACGGAACACTCTAATCCAATGTGATGCCTTGTCGCCCAAACCCAGTTAACCAAGCAAACCCCCACGCGAACCCGGTTCCCGAATCTCGACCCACCACCCTCTGTTTAAGTTGTACAGAGCACTAACACCAAGTGGAGCATCCCATAAGAGAACAAGCAGTTGCGTCAAGGCCTTTTCTTCCATGCTAGGATGATTTGGAGTAGAATAAGAATGCTTTTGTCTGTCGTTTCTTCTTACCTCCTTACTTGTTCTTCTCCTTTTTCCTATCATCCGGATAACCCCGTCTTCGATCCCGACCTAGCCGAGTAGAAACCAAGGATGTCTTGACATACACACAGATCAAGACAATATTTCCTCCTCCCTCACTACACTTCACATAGAGGAGCTCAGCCTCTACGGTATTACGACATAATTTCCACGGCGAATGAATTGTCAATGACATCACAATCCTGACCTCCAGCGAGGGATGCTACAGTTTCGGAGACGTAACAGGCGAAAGAGGATTTTTCTTCTTTTTTGAGAGAGAGAGAGAGCGAAAAAACAAAAAAAAGCTTTCCCATTACAGTCCTGAGGAGGACACTTATGCAATGTCAAATTGAAGGATAGTTTTTTTCCAAGAAGCGAAAAGAAGGGTGAGAGACAGGGCTGGGAATAATAAAGAAGGATACACTGGGTGAGTTCCTCAAATCGCTCATTCGCTCGAATCGTCTCGTACATAGAAACCTCTCCTACAACAGCAGGGCCATCCAGGGTTGATCTAGCACCCACCATTGCTGCACAGCGCGCTCGTCGGCGTCAGCCCAGGGAAGAAGCTCGTGGGGATGGCCGGGATGGCGATGCTCGTCGTCAGCCCCAGCCCGCTCGACAGCTCGCCCGGCATCGTGGTGTACGTGTAGTCGCTCATGGTGGTGACGGTGGCCGTCGTCGTCGTGGCCGTGTAGTCTGACCCACTGGCCAGACACGGCCCGCTGCCGTACGCGTTCTCGCACAGGTACAGCTCGTAGTCCTCGGCCTCGGTCCAGATGTAGAAGGCATCGATGTCAATCTCCGTGCACGGCACTTCGGCCGGGCAGACCAGCCGGATCACGGGCCGCTCGGCGCCGTTCTCGCTTGTGCCGTGCCAGTGGCTGAAGGTCAGGTTGGTGTACTGCACGCCGTTGCCTGCTGCTAACGTCTCGTCTGTCCAGTCCGCGTCGAGGTCGAGGGTGTAGGCATTGGTCTTGACACATGGTTCTATCAGTATCTTCATGCAAGTTTGAAGCGAGAGGGGATACACAGAGAAAGTTTTTTTTTTTTTTTTTTTTTTTTTTTTGGGAGAATGTTCTTCTTCCTCTGCCAACACATCTCTTGCATACATGTAATATATCAATGTAGAGAAAGCTTTGCTACTCACGTGTCCCATAAAGTTGTCAAAAAGACAGTTCTCGAGTGTGCCGGAGCCACCGTTCGACTTGATCATAAACATTTGGTTGCAGTTTTGGCTGTAGATGTGGTTGTACTCGATGTTATAGATGTCCGTGTCTGCGCCCAGGGAGCCAATTGCACACTATAGTTGAAGGTAGTATGTTAGTCACTGGTTGCGGGGGAAGACTAGGATCGGGCAAGAGAGTGAGGAATAAGTATATAGATGTTTCAAAGAGAACACGCACTCCTCCAGACCAATTGCAGTAGATGCTCTCGACAAGAATATTCGATGCCGGAGATCTAAACACAAAAGCAGATGTTGGGTCAGTAAACAGTCGAATGAGACTAGAAGAAAGGGTCAAGGTCGGGGCGATTTCGCACTTTACTGTTACACATTCATCTTTGTCTGCGAGGGTTTTGCTTGTCAGCCACAGTATACGACCAATACACAAACATATAATGAATGACAACCTACTGGTCACCTCGACATCGTGCACCCAGATGTTGTCACCCCAGACATCCACACCATCCAGACCACCCTCGTTCGCACCGCGGATGATCATGTTGTAAATCTCGCCATTGGTACAGGTATCCAAGGTCAGGTGGAAGGCCGGGGAGTCGACCAGCGCAATGTCATGAACAGAAAAGTCGGTGACCTCGTACAGCCGGAGGATGCGAGGGCCGTACTCGCCGTTCTCTAGGAACTGGTAGCCGTAACCCTGCACAGCGCCCGCCGAGTTGGCCGAGTAGAACTCGAAATCGGTCGTGTGCTCGATGTAGATCATGTTGCCCCCGGCGGTGCCCGTGCGGTAGATGATGCCCTCAAGGTTGATCGAGACGCTGGTACCTCCCGTGAGCGTCACCCAGTTGGCGAGGCCATAGCTTCCGGAGGGGATGTACACCTCTCCGCCCGTGGCGCATGCTGCCCATGCCGAGGCGATGGCCGCCGAGTTGTCTGTCGTGGCTGAGGCGACACCGCCATAGCTGAGGATATTGCAGACCTTCTTGGCCGCCTTGCTTGCAGTCGTGGTCGTAGGGCCTACGGTGCCAGACAGCTGGGCAGAGACGAGGGGAAGGAGAGACAGAAACAGAGCAGGGGACCACATCTTGAAGAAGATAAAGGACAGAGCCTGTTGTGAAGGTGATCACAGCGTACAATGAGAGAGAGAGAGAGAGAGAGAGAGAGAGAGAGAGAGAGAGAGAGAGAGAGACAGAGACGACCCCTATCGAGTTCACCTTAGCTGGGGGGTTGTTGTACCCGCGTTGTGCGAAAAGGGCTGCTTATATACAGTGATTTGTTCTTCTCGCCATAATTCACAGCGGAGTAGCAAACCCCGTCAAGCCCGCCGTATTGACAATCCCACGAATACCAACATTTGTGACCCGCAGAAAGAGCAGTGTGTGCCTCACCTGTCGTTGTTTATTTTATCTTTCTGGCGGTGGATTATTCCATGGGACAACCAGAACACATTGTGACCAATTCCATGCCAAGGAATGGCCCATTCCACCAATTGCAGGACGTAGAGGCTTCAGTAAGACCGATAGCCTTGTTTCCGGCACCACAGTATCCGCATCTATGTTCATCTGCCAAATTGCAGTACTCCCCCGCCAGGGCGACGGGTCTGATGTCCTCCAGAGGGGCGGCATAAGGCGGTAGGGGGAGAGGGGGGAGAGAAGGGGTGGAGGGCGTTGCGACCTTCCGTAGGTGTGCAGCTCTGATCTCGACATCCGGCAGATGCGAGAGTGAAAGAGGCCCCGTTTTTGAAACAACTCCGCCATATACTATGTGTATTATAGGCGCTACCAACGATATAAACCCAGCTACCGTGGTCAAAAAGTGGGGGCCTTTTTGCTTAATTTGCCATGGATGTGTGCGTTCGTTTCTGGGAGGCTCCGTTGTTTGGTGAGTGATGGTTGGAGCTTCGCTTAACGGCAGTGCCGAAAGGTCTGAAAGGGCCTTCAAGATGCACGAAGTGGGAACAGGAACCTATTGCCACCTCTCGGAGTCTGAAAGCCTATCCGTCTGGTGGTACTGGACATCCGCTCATGCAGGGCTGTCGAATCTACCCACTTGGAAGTTCGCTCGCCTCCTCCAAAAACTGCCCTGCCAGTCATTGCTGACGGGTACAAATATGCCCGTCAGAAAACAAAGACTCTTGCTCGCCAAGCCATAGCCGAAGGACCTTCATATCCGTCCTGAATACCAGCAAATGGATGCGCAGGTGCGAACAGTAGAGGGGCAATCATACCAATGCCTTTTCGACACCCCCCAACGTCAGGCCATGTGCATCGGTACTTGGCGAGGTGTAATATGCAGGGCCCCCTGCCTGGCTAAATTTCCCGTGCTTTTACCGGAGGTGACGTACCATTCTGCCCATCACGTGTGCCAAAAGGGAAAGTGCGTTGCAGGGAGGGACGCGCCCCGATTCGTCTCCCCCGTGCCTCTGGTCCTCGCGTTGAGTGGTGGATTTGCAATGCTCCTATCAACGGGCTCTGGATGGTTTAATCTGCCAACCTTATCATGACAAAATGAATCAGGGCATTCTGCAGCAAAAAGGATGTACTGCAACCACCTCGGTGCATGTTTCCAAGAACCCAGCGTGTGCTAATGTCTGCCTGCCAGGAGCAAATAGGGGAGTGGGGTCCGATCATCGTGGCGGGCGGCTCACTGAGGGTGTAAAGGTTGCTTTGTGTACACAAGTCACCTCACGTAGAGGAGGGACGGTAGGCTGCGCTGCCAGACACAGACATGTGTCGCTTGTTGCACCTTATCGTCGTCGACTACTCATGGCGTCAGGGAGAAACTGGAATTGTCGTGATGAACGAAGGAAGCTGTCCTGTCCAGACCTGGATGCCCATGGATGAACGCCTTTGAAGGAGGGAGTTGGTGCTCTTGATGCAACGATTGATGATTATCATTTCTGGAGTCAAAGTAAAGAAAGGAAATTGGGGTTGTCGTACCCAATAAGAGTCCTCAGAATAAGAAATGGTCGTATCCTTTATCGTGCTTTTGATTTTCTGCTTCTCTTTCTGTCTTCCCCTCTTTCGAGGTGGAGGGAAGATGACGAAGGAGGCGGAAGAGGATACTTACTAGAATATACTCACTATTGTACTTGCCATAGTACATAGTGATTTTACTATGCTTAAAAAGGGCCTGGCGCCACGGATGCATTGGTCTTGGCGTCCGGAGTCGGAACCAGAACCGAATCTGACAGGCCATACCCTTGTCGATACGCCACATGGCGTTGATCTTCAATGTCGATATCGCCTCACATCTCGTTTGTGGCTTTCACTCGTACCTCCTCTCTGTTTGTTTCTTTCCTTTCTCCTTGCTTTCCTTATTATCTTCAGCCAAGTTTGGTGGTTTTGGTTTTTTTTTAATCTGTTGTGTGTTCCCATGATCTATATTTCTGAATGTCAAAATCAAACAACCAAAAGATGTCCGTGTTACGCTCGCGCAGACGAAGAGCTTCACTTGAGGACCAAAAGACCTTCTGGTTGGAATTCCAAGTCTGCCATGACGGCGTCACCCCGTTCCCAGATTCACTGCCCTCATCAATGTCACCCTCCTCCTCATCCCCAGCCACATTCCCTCTCTTCCCCACCCTGCCCTCTGAGCTCCGCCTCAAGATCTGGGAGCAGCTCCTCCAGCCCCGCATCGTGATCGTCGCCTGCTTCGACGCCCAAGACGTAGCCCCCAAGCGCGCCCAGCTCGCCCGCCGCCGCGACCTGCGCCGGGCCCCCGTACTCCTCCACATCTGCGCCGAGACGCGCGCCCTGGCCCTGCGGCACTACGAGCTGGCCTTCTCGTGGCGTGTGCCGGGCATCCTCGCCGCACCGCGGTCGTGCGGCCCCCGCGTGTGGTTCGACTTCAGCTCCGACGCCCTGCTTCTCCTCGGCGAGCTGGAGCCCTATGACAGCAGCAACATCAACGCGCCCATGGTGTACTTCTTGTCCCGCGCCGACACGCACCGCGTGCGCCACGTCGCGTGCGCCTTTGAGGAGTTGCACCTCGGCGAGGTCGAGGCCGAGCAGATCTTTGGCAGCCTCTTCCACGTCATCGACGGGTTCCCGGCTGCCGAGAGGCTGCTCATCACCAGCACCGAGGACGACCTGAAGCGGCAGGCGGAGGCGCGGGGCGGCATGCCGCTGGACTTTGGCATCGGACGGGCCGAGAATATCGTGCAGAAGATCTGGTGGGGGTGGATCAATGGGACGAGTGTGGTCACGAGCCGGATGCGGGATAAGCAGATATTGATGGTTAGGGAGGATGGATTGGCGGATTTTGTGGTGGAACATGCGTAGAGAGAGAGAGACAGAGACTGAGGGAGAGAAGGGATTAGATTCTGAGATTTGCATGTCTGGAGCGAAGAGCAACTTGGGTCTGGGGTGTTTGGGAGGGTTTGATGCATATTTTCTTTTGGTTCATTTTTTTTTTTTGGCGCGGAGCATCCAATATCCCAAGCATGTTCGCACAGAGGCAGGACTGGAGTTGGAGTGAAGAGTTGCATTGTAGTTCTCTTTCCCTTCCCCACCGGATATCAAGTCTATGTTGGGTCCATTTCCCATTTTTTTTTTGTTTATACAGAGTAGGTAGGTATGAGTGGCATGTGTCGCTCCCAAATGTTATTTTCCACAATAAACCGCCTCCCCGCCCCTTTGAACGCCCATTTACATTCTATTCTGTCCTCGTGAAGTCACCCCGACCTGCGCCGCCGCAGGTGGTCCCGCTGGATCTCGAAAGCAGGACAGCCCTCCCGGCCCCCTCTCATACCCCCAAACAGCCAGTCCGTCAGCCCCACGAACTTGGCGCCCACGCCCCTCTCCCACTCGCCTCCCGACTGGACGTGCTCGATTGTATGGCTGAGGATCCTCCCCTCGTCATCAAACTCGAAGATGAACAGGCCCGTGAACCCTTCGGCCGCCTGCCCGTCGCTCACCTGAAAAAGCTCCCGAAAAGGCAGCCTCCACCCAATCCCCGAACCCCCCGTTGTCCGCCACCGCACCACCAGCTGCTCGGCGCCGGACCCGGTGCGTTTCCCCTGCTCTTTCACCATGCGCTCGGACAGGATCTCGAGCTTCACATCGCCTATGATGGGCAGCCGGTTCCAGGCAATGGGCGATGTCCACAGGGCGGCGATGTAGGCGACGCGGCCCGACACGGTGGGCAGGTGTGGGTGGGTCGAGGGAAAGAGGTGGAGGCTGATGTTGGGTGCGAGGATCTCCTGCGGGAGGGGGGACTGGAGGAGCGTTGGGAGGCGTTCCTGCAGGATACGCAGGGCTGGTGGTGGTGCGTGGTGTCTTCTCGTTAGCTATGCTTTATTTCTCTTCGTTCCGAGTCGGGCGGGGTAGAGTAGGACAGGACGGGACAGGGTGGAAGGGGAGAATGGAGCATACTCTTTCCAAGCTTCACCTTGCGCTCATCTGGTGGTTTGTCTGGGCCCTGGCCGAGGGGTGGTTTGCTGTTGCCGTATGGGAAGGTTGGGTTGAACCATACTTCTGGCAGGTTCCGAGGATTCGCCTCTTGTAGTGTACTGTGAGGCTTTGTGGCCTTGGGTCTTGGCTCCGAGCTCGTCTGAGCTGTTGCTGCAACGGGCTTTGAGGCACGCGTAAAGAGAAAACACCGCGACCCGGCGCCGGCCGAACGGCTCAGAGCATCTCTGGGTGAGGGGGAGGAGGTTGAGGAGGTCCGCAGAACTCGGCAAGGAGCGGACATTGGGTTGGGTTCACTACATGAATGAGGAGAAGAAAGTTGTCATATGATAAAATTATTGAGAAGATCTAAGGACTAGCAAGTTGAGGTGGGAGGTGTGGTGTGGGTGAGTGAGTGAGTGAGTGAGTAAAAAGTAAGTAGTAGGTAGAATGGCTTTCTGCTATGTGAGCTCAGGTGATGCTGCAAACTTTAAGATCCCCAAGCAGCTGGAGCAAGTAATTGTCATATCGTTGCAAATCATTGGAGCAACCCAGCATGTTTACAGGGGCTCCACAGGGCTTGCCGCCTACAGAAGACCAGGGGGGCCCCAGGTTCCCCCGCATTCTCCACAGCGTCCACTGTGCAGCGATCGTCAGGGAAAGCGTGGGAAAAAAAAAATAGAAACAAGGACAAAGAAGTCAATCCGCTTCGGGTGGATGAGCTTGAATAGTCATAGTACAGTAGTAATTTGTTTATTGTACATAGTGATGTGTGTCTGTGTCGAGGTGAGTCCTGTGGAGCATGAGGAGGAGCTTCCAAAGTTTGAAGAGGTGCAAATGGCATCAAGAAGTCAGTTATACATTTGCATGGCCTTTGGGATGTCTTTAATGTCTTCAATGAAAATAATATTGCTCGGACTCGATGCAGGACTCATAACTAACACAATCGGGAACTCTTGTACAACAAGTACTCCATTTTATCTCGACATTTTTAGAAGCTGACAGCCATATCTACTCACTGGCTTAGCAGACCTGGCCAAGCAGCGGAAGTCAAGGCTGCATGCGTTGCGTCGCATCACAAATGGCGAGTGCGTGTGCTGTGACACCAGTATTAGGGGAGGGATATACATAGTAGGGCCTGAGGCTCCAGAAGGTTTACTGATTGATTCTAGAAGCCATGTGCTGGGATTTGACCCTTACTCAGTACGTAGTTACTGAGGAATGAAACCATGTCCACGTGGGATGTTCAAGAACCCTGAGCGTGACTGGTTGACCCTGTCATTTGTTAACATAGGATGATAACATCTGTGCACATCATCAGTTGTCCATCTGCCACAAAGTCATTCCTGCAGTATGACTTGGACAAGCGGAGCAATCAGCTGCACACAGCTTGACTCAAACAGAGTGTGTGGTGAGGCATTGGCACGGCTGGTTCGTGCTTTGAAGTATACTAGTACTGTACACACTCAAAAGGGCTAACCGCTGGGAGGCCTGAGCCCCCCACCCAAAGTCCCGTACATCCGGAAAGTAACAATGAGTTTCACCCAAAGAGCCCAGATGGTGACATTATGACATGAAGTGTTTGCCATTCTTTCATGATACGCAACTAGGATTTCAAATTTAGCTGTAAAAATGCTGGGACAACACTTACACTTGGTAAATTTCATCCTGGTGCTCATTCATCAGAGCCTATCTGTCTCTCTCATCCAAGTCGAGACTATCTTCTGTCTCTGCTGGGTCACGTGACTTCAGCTGGTCATCCCTGCCGCCTCCCTGCTCTGTTGGTGTCTGCTGGCCTATCCTGCGCCTCAGGGCCTCTCAGGTCTCAGACTTCCCCCAACCCAAGCCCAAGGCGACCGCCCCAAACCGACTGACGTTGCCTAACACTCGACCGTCTTCCGTCCTCCAACCTCCAACCTCACACCTCAAACCATCCATCCATCAACCACCTACTCTGCCGTCGACCTGGTTTTTCTTCTGCGCTGCCAACCATCCCAGTGTTTTTTCTACGCCTCATTTCTGATTCCAAAAAGCCATCACTTCAACGAAAGCCAAGATGAATCCTGAGTAGTACGTGGCAGCCCTCCGTACCCCTCCGCCATCCTGCCTCGAAAGCCGCCTCCATGCTGACCGATTTCTAGAGCGCCTCCTTCTCCAGCCCTATCGTCCACACCGCACGCCTGCGAAGCGGCCTTCTCGAGTTCCCACCCGAACGAGTTTGTGTACTGATGCTTCTTTCCTAGATACGACTATCTCTTCAAGCTGCTCCTCATCGGTGACTCCGGTGTCGGAAAGTCCTGCTTGCTCCTGCGATTCGCCGACGACACATACACCGAGTCCTACATTTCCACAATCGGTGTCGACTTCGTACGTGCTATTGGACCCCCCAAAGAGGTGACGATTTCGATAACTGACACCCCGGACAGAAGATCAGGACGATTGAGCTCGATGGCAAGACGGTGAAGCTGCAGATCGTGAGGCTCCCCTTCCCCCCTCCTCTCAGATACGAAGCGAGGCTATCTTCTGGGAGGCAATAACTGACAGACGGGTTCATCGAACAGTGGGATACTGCTGGCCAGGAGAGGTTCCGGACCATCACTTCTTCCTACTACCGTGGCGCCCACGGCATCTGCGTCGTCTACGATGTTACAGACATGGACTCGTTCAACAATGTCAAGCAGTGGCTCCAGGAGATCGACAGATACGCCACCGAGGGCGTCAACAAGCTTCTGGTCGGAAACAAGAGCGATATGGCTGACAAGAAGGTTGTCGATTACACCGTCGCAAAGGTACGAGATATATCCCCCTCCCGCCAACAAATCTATCCCGTCAGATGACCACCGCGGCAGCTGAGAGACTGTACTCATCGTCACATGCTGGCACTGCGCGCCTATCTCTATCGGACCCACTTAAACTGACCGCATGCAAAATCGACAACAACAGGAGTTTGCTGACAGCCTGGGCATCCCGTTCCTCGAGACCTCGGCCAAGAACGCCAGCAATGTCGAGCAGGCCTTCCTGACGATGGCCCGGCAGATCAAGGAGCGCATGGGCACCACAGCCACTAACAACACCAAGCCATCCGTCCAGGTTGGCCAGGGCCATGGTGTCTCGTCGGGATCCAGCAACAGCTGCTGCTAAGAAGCCCCTTCCGACCGACAACACCTTTTTACCCGCCTGCCTCGAACTTTTTTGTACAAGTACCAATCAACCAACCAACCCGGCGTCAACTCGAAGGCCATTTCGCTCACGACCGTCACGAACTGTGGGAATGAGTGATGCACGCGCAGGACATTGGGGGGGTTGCTCGTTGAAGGCCTCCGACCACGGCTTTGCGAATTACATGGAAATTCTTTTTCTCTCGCGTGTTTTCTGGCTGCGCAATAGACTGAAGTGGCCGTCACTTTGGATTTCACTTTCCGGATCAAGAGGATCGATGGGGGAACTTCGGATGCAGCAGCACACATCGTCATGGTGGACCAGGCAGAGCATCTAATCTTCTAGAGCATCATCTGGCTTGTTCCCATGACGGACGGTAAAAGGGTCAGTTGATGCAATCAGGAGACAAACGGACTGATGGATGGGCATCCCCTTTTCTGACCCCGTGGCCTTTTTTTTTTCCGCCGGGCATGGCGAGTCATCACAGACCACATAATAACATACACTGCTGGAGTTTGTTTTTGTCGTTCTGATTTTTCCACATGTGAACCTTTCTCCTTCTTCCGTCTCCTCTTGCCTGGTTTTGCCTGCTTTGTTTACGGGTTTCTGGTGGACATTGCTTTCCTCTTTCGGGTTTCTCCTCCTTCTCCTGAGGTTAGGGACGTAGGTACGAAAGACGCTCAATACGACTGGTCTATCAGACCCTTTCCTGGTCCTCCTTGGCTTGTGCCGTGTACTGTGTGAAAAGACGACTCCTAATAACACCAGTCACCATCCTGATGAACCTCCCCCTTTCCACATTGTTGGACTCGGATATGCTAAAAAAGCGCCAACTCGCGGTGATGACTTACCTGGCCGACCAAATTGCCTCAGAGTCGACTCGGAGTCCCATGAGTAGCCTGGGTTGCAGTGACGTAGCATGTGCCCTCCTTCAGAGCCGAAGTCTTTGCAACAGGTTTAATGTATGTTACCTCCAGTGACTTCTGGTCTATGTTGTAAGTCGGTCCGTTAGGAGACCTTGGAATTTGGGGAGAACAACCCCCTGAGGTAGTTGTGCTGAGCGCGGTGAATTCTCCCTTGCGACCTGAATGTGCTGGTCAGAGATCGTGACTGGAAGACAGGTGTTGCGTTGAGGCCTTCCTTTTTGGGGAAGGGGAGGGGGGTTAATCCAGTCCTTGTTTGGGGTTGGGTATTGATTTTTGTGTAGAATGGCTTAGTTCTTGGTGCAGAGAGAGTGAGTGTGTCTTTGTGTGGCTGGCCATGTTTCCTTTTTTTCCCTCTGTCTCCTCTCTTCTGCTGCACTTTCAAGGCTTGTAGATCTATTCTTAAGAAAGACAACTTCTTATCCAGATTACATCCGTAACAATCAACTGTATTTGTTGCAAACTCTCTCGAATTTAGAGAGGGGGGAAAATGGCATATACTTCTTGCACCCCCCCCCCCCCCACCTTCCAATTTATTTAAAGTATTATGACATGCAGCCCTTCCCCTTATACTTTTCACTCTCTCCATGTCAAAGGGCATGCGAGAGTCGTTTTGTCATCAGGATCATTATGAAATTCCCATCATCATCAGAACAATCATAAGGGGGGGGGGGGGGGGAAGAAGAAAGAATCGAAGCAGTGCCAACTGGCTCCAGCACAAAATCAGAAACCAGACACATGCACAACCCAGGCCCTTAGAAAATAAAAAATAGAAGGACAGCTTAAGGCACACACACACACTTTTCGTCTCATCCAAAATAAAACACCAGAACTCCTCTTTTCTTCTTCTTCTTCTTCTTCTTCTTCTCTTCTTCTTCTTCTCTTCTTCTTCTTCTTCTTCTTCTTCTTCTTCTTTCTCTCTTCTTTCTTCCCCCCTCCTTTCCACAGGACCTTCTACGTCAACCCAAGCCACTTCATCGCCTTCCTGCTATTCCCCTTGCGCAGCTCGCTAGTACGCATATACATGGGCATCAGCCGCCTCTCCTCGTCATCATAAAACTCCCCCTCCCTCTCTTCCGTCTCCGTCGCCATACTGACGGCGTACAGGCTCGGCGGCCCCCCAGCCATCCCATGACCTTCGTCGCCGCCATTAGTGAGGGACCGCGGCCCCGGTGTCGCGATGTGGCCCAGCCCAAGCACGCCCAAGCGGCTTCGTGCCGAGCGGATGCTGCCGCGCGAGGGCGAGCTGTCCCTCTTCGCCAGGAAGGGCGGAATTGGTGGGACGGGAGGGGCGGGTGGCGATGACAGGAGAGCAGATGGTGACCTGCGGCCAACAACGACGTCGCTGCTGGGAGAGAGCGGCGGCGACACGGGCGCGGCCGTGAACCTGCTCACCACACTCGGCAGCGGTCGTGCGCCTCTGCCCACCATCCCGACTGCAGCTGGTCTGGTACCATAAGCAGCAGCAGCAGCAGCAGCAGCAGAAGCAGAAGCAGACCGTGACATGTCGGGCATATAGAAGGAATCAATCTCGACAAGGGCCTTCAGGATGGCCGAGATGAAGGAGGCGATCTCGGCCTCTGTGGCGGTGGAGGGCAGGAGGTAGTCTGCCCGGGAGAAGGACTGGCGGTTTCTGGGCACTGGGAAGGGGGACATTGGCTGTGATGATGATGATACTGCTGCTGCTCCTACTCGGAAGTCGGGGATGAAAGGAGACCCTGGGAGCAGGAGTGCGTTCAGGGTTTTTTCTATGGTCGGTGTGGAGTCTTCTGAGGAGGCATTGGACGAGGATGCGGATCTGGATGAGATGTGGGCAGCGCGCAGCGGAAATAGAGAAGGGGAGGGGGAAGAAGAAAAGGAGGAGGGAATCTCTTCACTGGACGGGGACGAGGCCTCGGCGTCGATGATACCTGCCACCTTGAGCATGTCTGAGCCGATAAGCTCCTGTAGCGCAAGGACGGTGGCGAGGTGCTCTGCTGGATATTCGAGGAGGAGAAAGCGGGTCATGGTGTTGCTCGCCAGATACGTCTCCAGTTGAGGAACCAGGAGACAGGCGAGGAGATAGGGATGATCCAAGATTTTGTGGTGTGCTGGGTCGATCAGGTGTTGTGTGGTGATGGAATGCATGGCGTTGGCTATCAAGTATCTGTAGAGCCATTGTCAGTAAAAAAAAAACAAAAAAAACAACCACCTTCTTCTGCTTTTCCATGGTCATAGTCAGACTGTCATGAGTGGTAGTGGTGGTAGCCTACCTGATATCCAGACGGCCACTGCGAGACATTCCATTCGACCTCGAGCCCAGTTTCTCAACCTGTCCAGTGAGCGCTGAGAACAACTCCCTCCTCACACCTCTCTGACACCCAATGGCTAGAATAAGATCGGCGGTCCTCGCTCTCGGCTTCTTGTTCCCTGTAGTCTCAGATTCCTCAAAGATGGGCTTCCACAGCCGCTCAGCGTCAAAGAGCGAGGGGCAGCTGAATCGATGCTGTTCGCCATCCCGACGAGAAGGAAAGTACACATCCAGTACCACCCGCAGCGCATTTTGCATCGCAACAGCGTTGGGATGACTGTTGAAGGACAAGTCATGAAAATTTGTGTTCGTCTGTCTGGCGACTGGAGATATTGGGGTCTGCGCCGGAGTCGAGGGCTGTTGCTGGGTGTCCAGAGGCGGCGGAGGCGGCGGCGGCTTTAATGGTTGTAATACCGCGTTGGAGGCGGCGCGGACGTCGTGGTTCCCACGAGCTGCAGATGGGCCATAGTCTGATGCCTCGTCCGAAGAAGGCACCTCAGCTACTGGAGACAACCCAATCTGGTTGTCCTCCAGGTCGAAGAGATCCACCGTCCGAGGTGTGGATGGATATGAATCCTCATCCATTGTCCCGAATGAGTAAGGCGACGTGACTGTGCGTGGGTAGGAGGCGTCGTCTCTGAACAGGTGGATGATGGAGTCTAGGACATAATCAGATCCCTCGCCAGTGAAGTGGATGACGAGATCTTCATGAAGCGGCAGCACAGGCTGCAGAACTCCATAGGACTCGTCCTGCTGCTCATCGGATCTCGCCGCAGCGTCACTCCCCTGGTGATTATTATAAATCTCCCTCGCAGGTCTGGGAAGGCTTTCGGTAAAGGTCGGGGATTTTCGAATCGTCGTCGTGTGTGCCTTGACAAACTGGACGTCGGGTAGGTGGAGAAGGTTGTTGCTAGAGTAAGGGTCTTCCACAATCGACCAGTGCCTACTCTTGGCCTCAGGACTGTCCAGTGGCGACGCGCTGTTCTTCGGAGGTGAAATACCCATGGTGATGGCTGCCCTGCGGTGAAGCGCGTGGTCCAGTGCCAGGTCATCGAGTGATCGTGTTTTCCTGGTCGATCTGTGCGATTTGGAGGCTTGCATTTGTACGAGTCTCGCTTCGCCGTAGACCACACCATCCGGCGTAGCAGGAGGCGACATGTAGTTATCGGTGGCCAGCGAGAGAGGACGAGGGGCCGATCGACTCTCGGGGCTGCGTTCGTTGGTGCCAGACTCGACCGCTGAGCCTACAAGTCGGTTGGGCACCGACACTCTTAACCTCGGAGGAGTGCCTTGCTGGTCTCTCGACGTAGTATGCTGCTGCTGCGTTTCATGCTGTCTCGTGGCTTCCTCCTTGGGCTGGCTGGCCAGTTCCTCCTCGTCCATGTCATAGAGGATGCTGTCTTCCTCGTCTGGTGGCGCTCCGAAGACAAAGAATGGTGAGTCCTCGCCCGGGTCGTCCGAGAAAGCGAGCATCGGCAGGCTCAAGCTCCGCGGTCGTGTCCTGATGTAGCAGTCGATCGGTTGGAGTGACTCGGTCTCCTGATAGAGAACATCGGCGGCCCTCATTGCCCTGGTGATGGGATCCTCATCATCATCATCCTCTTCCCGCAGCATGGCCTCTCTGTCCCGCTCGCTATCCAGCAGATCCAGGGCTTCCTGGTTCACGTGCTTCTCCTCCAGGTCCAAGCCTTTGGTGCCATCCCTCACAACGTCCCTGAATATCGACTCCGCCCTGTGGATGTCACCGAATGTTTGTCGCTCGTTGATGACCGAGATACACTGCGCCACCGCGCTGGCAGTTCCCCCGTGGAGGAACACTAGCCTCGTCTTGTTGTCCCTGCCTAGTTCGTTGAGAAACTGCAGAGCAACGTCGCGACGCACCAGGGCCGCCTCATGGACGTCTTTGACGTAGGATCGAGCGCTGAAACGGGTCTTGGTGTTGCTGTCTCCTGTCATGTAGTGTTGCACACTGGGTAAGATCAGGACTTGTGAGCATGTGGGGAGGAGTCCAAGTTGTGTTGACACAATGTCGGCCGGACCTTCGAAAGCGACCAGACTTCCATGGCATTGTTGTCCCACAGCTTCCATCATCATCGTCACGGAGCCCAGAGTTGGCGTCCTGTGTTCGCCTGTCAGTGCTCGAGACTGATTTGTACCGCCAAAGTTAATTTTTTTTGGAAGGATGTTATTGTATATCTCAGAAGCAAGGGAGGGGACCAAACGTGTCGAAAGACGTCATCTAGTCCTATGTTCTGCCGTGCATAGAGGTTCTTCTGGATTCCCTTGCGTTCCCCCGCGGGTTCCGTAACAGCATACGCACGCCGAATATGAGGGGGCCCGGCCAGAGAGGGAAAAAGGTGAAAGTGCGTCGGTCTAATGAACAATACCGTAGTGGGTAGCACAGATAGAGCAAGCAAGGTTTGATCAGGACACGCCGTATGCTCTGCCTCGATGGATCACTAAAGGCCCAAGACGAGGAAAAGCAACGCCAACACTCGGATATTAACTCTGGCTGAAGATAGTTATGTGTGAGAGATGGTGACCAAAGGTCGAGGCAAGACCTCGAAAAGAGGGGAGGGAGAGAGAGTAGTGTGACAATGGGCGAGAAATTATCGTCCGTCCTACCTGACTTTCCTTTGGGCCACTCCGGGACAGCTCTGGATCTTGGGGTGTGTGTGACAGCCAGCGAGCAGCGATCCGAAGCAGACTGGAGAGTCTCAGCAATGAATGGCAGTGCTTCGTTCGCTCTACCTAAACCTGTAGGCGCCACGGAGAAACCAAATAGGGTGTTCGACGATGCGCCCGGACTAACGCCATGCGCTTTCCAACGAGCTGGCGCCGTTCGTCGAGATCGGTCTAACGGCCCAGTCCTCCCAATACGACTCTCGGCAGTATCCGGGGTTATGCTTGGGATGCAGCTCGTCATCCTCCTATGGCCAATGAGCAAGACAGAGTAAGCGTCTGAGCACCTCGGAAAGATGCATAGCTGGCTGGTTGGCTGGCTGGTTGGCTGGCTGGTTGGCTGGCTGGTTGGCTGGCTGATTCACTCCAAAGGGCTTCCTTCATCCAAGCGTCTCTGCGCTGATTTAGCGGCACCGTTTGCTCCAGCCCCAATCTAGGAACGCGAGTCTAATAGACTTTTTCCACAAAGGCTCTCGAGTCAAAAGCCGTCCATGCATAGGGTTAACTTGGTAAGTAGCTCTCGCGCGCACTTGCATCGGACGATTATACCAAAATTGCCTGATCATCATGCAGTAGTAGTTCGTTTTGATACACGCCCCGGCACTGTAGCGAGCGGTGCGCAATGGGTGGGAGAGAGAGGGGGGAAACTTCTGCGAGTGTACAGGTGTCGGCTCGGCCAGCGGCGGATCTTGAAGCACTACATTAGTTCCCAGGATATCTCTGCTGCGGCCGCCCACTCCGCCGGCAAATACTAGCCTGTCTCGTGGAGGCCAGTGACAGGCAGTCCTCTCGACACTTGTGGCTTGCCGCCTCACGGATGTGTTACCAATCACGGGCGACGAGGCGGGCGAAAAGGGCCAAGACCCGGAAGGCCATGGCCCCTAGTCAAGGATACGGCTTGAGCCCGACAACCAAAGCACGTTCGCGAAGGTCGACGAGAACAGCCGACAGGCACGCGAGTTGTGATCCGTGACGAAGAGTAACGTTGAGCCAACAATGGTAGGACGAGGCGACGATCAGTGTTCGACATGTATCGACCCGTAATTCCCCCATCACGTCCGCCAATCATTGACTACCTCGACCCGAAGGCTGAGGATAAAGACATACCCTCTCGATATATAGTAAGATCCCGTAATAATCTTTTGGGCAGCCAGTGTGGGTGTGTGGGTGTGTGTGAGTGTGTGTATGTGTCTAGGTCCCAGGGTTGTATGGTCCGCTGCGTTAACTCTTTTTCCTTCTTTTTCTTCGTGTTCGTGTCGTGTGTCGAGAGTTTAGAGAGAAAGAGAGATTTTGTTTCACACCACTTAAGACGCAGGATCGCCGCCGCAACGCCACATGCTGCGCTAATGCGGCTCCGTCCTGCTTGACTGCCATTGCATGGGCTGAAACGACTTGTGATGATAGAGCCATGCAGGGCGGCTGAAGGCTTGATGAGTTGGTACCACAGTAGGTTGCAGTTGATATCCATTTGTGTAGTAGTAGGCCCACGAGGGCTTACATCCGGGGTCCCCACTGCCAATCCCACCCTAGAGCCCAGCCGGTGATCCACCTTATCTGACGAAGGATAATCCTTTGAGCTTCCCTTACAGCTCCTGACCATCCAGGCCTCGAGAGGTGATTCCATTGTTGTGATATATCCGAGTCTCGTGGAGATGATGATGAGCAGAAACTCAAACGCCGTTGGTCAGTAAGATTCCAATGGGATTCCGCGCGATGCAAGGAGCCGCCTTCATGCACTTCCCCTGCGTTATCCTGGGCATATTATTGCGCCCGCTAATGCCGTAATGCCGTCAAAAGCAAGTCTGTAATATCCTGTGCCGTGTCAATAAAACGATGTGACGATGGGCCTTGTGTGTGTGCTCTCTGCGTTCCATTGCCGCCTGTCTTTTATCCCAGCTTCTCCCAACAAGGCATCGACCGTTGTGGAAGACTGGCAATGAAGGTATGCCACGCCACGTGCCACCGTTAGCAAGGCTTGACGCAGCGTAACCCTCTGACATCCAGCAGCGATAGCGAGGTCAATTTCCGGCCAGCCAGCGATGGTCAGAACACGGAGGACAGTTCTTCACGCAGACTATCCGTTCTCTGAGCAATTTGTGCTTTTCAATTCTCTTTATTGAGTCGCATATAGCCTCCAGAGGCCGCGAGTTGACTTGGGGCCGAGCCCATTCCTTTTCGGGCTTTTCAGCGTGTTGAGGGCCTGAGGAGAGCCAGCCAGTATGACCGAGTCTACCAGCTGGGCGCATCTACCAGAATCCCTCGTGGGCTTCGCAGGCCTATGAGGCTTGGTTGATGCCCAACGGAGTGGGTGGTCAAACAGCAGGGTGGAAGTGAGGTCTGCTATTGGAGGCATCCTCAAGTTTCGAGGGTGGGAAGGCAGCCAGCTGAGCGCACTCCTTCGAGCTAGTCGTCCATCAGCTCGGCCAGTTCGGCTTCCTCCTCGGCAGTGAGCATGCCGTTAGGCTCCTCTACCCTGGCAGGCTCAGTTTCTGCTCCATTGGTCGGGGGCTTGCTTTGCTCCTCCACCGCGGCGTCGAGTCCTGCCTTACCCAGCGGCCAGACTCGTACTGTGCCATCAATGCTGACGCTTACAAGCCTCTCATCATGACCCTTGCCTCTCTCAAGGACAACCAGATCCGTCACTTCGTCGTAGTGACCCTCCAGGGCGCAATACAACGCCCCAGACGTTCGGTCCCAGCATTTCAAGTCCTCGTCCCTTCCCGCAGTGATAATCCACTGTTCCGTCACCCCCACTGCGCGGACGTGGTCTCCATGTTCCAGGCAGTCTTCAGTTGTGAAAGCCTTGCCGCGGGACAAGCATCTGGCAGTCCCGTCCGCGCTGGCAGTCCACAGATCGATCTCATCGCCAGCTCGGTCGAACAAGATCTTGTACACTCCCGTCTCGTGTACAGAGAGCAGCCTCCTCTCTACATTGGGTGCTGCCGGCGCCGCGTCGAGGAGCTGCTCCCAGCCGTCCAGCCGAACCTTCCACCTCCGAAGATGTGGGTCACTCCCAGCGCTGACGACGACGAGCTCCTCACCTGAGCTCATGATGGGGTCGATGGCCAGGGACTGCACAGCGAGCATGCTCGTCACGGAGTCCTGCAAGGTGTGAAGGCGGGATCCAGTAGCAATATCCCAGACAATGATCTTCTTATCGGCGCCGCCACTAATAAGCACATGCTTCTCGCTGATCTTGGCGCAGGCGACAGCCTTCACAAAGTCCGAGTGACCAACAAATTTAATTCCAGGCCGCCGCGTCTCAATATTCCAGGACCAGATGTTCTTATCCCAAGACCCGGCAAATACGGTCTCATTTTGCGGACCGCCGACCACAACGCAAGTGACAGGAGCAGATGGCCCACGATAGACCATGTTGGTGTCATCGATCTGAAGTCCAAGTTAGAGAGTCTCATGATAGGGTATATGAGACTTGTCTTTACGGAATTCTGCGTACATCAATGTTGATTCTCCTCACTGAACCAACAGACTCGGCAACAAAGACGCTGTCAGACGGCGAGTTGGGATCTAAAGCTGCCGCTGCTATCTTTGACTTGAGAGCGATGGGCGTGCCATACTTGTTCTTTGATTTGGCATCACGTCTCTCTCTGTTGCTCTGAGCTGCGCTTTATACAAAAATCAGTTCAGAAAGCTGTCCCAGCGATCGTTATGTCAGTGTGCCGAGCGTACTCACTCCGACTCGAAGAAGTGCCGTGGGTCTGAGGAGTTCATCTTTGGAAGGCTCCGTCTTGAGGTAGGCAGGATATATAATTGTTCAATAACCTGAATGGCCGTATCCTTAGAAGCCGATGAGGTAGATCCTACAGTAATGCTGTTGTTTGGGAGCGGTCGCCTTACGTATCTCTGATGCTTGACGAGGTGGCAGCTCTACGATAAGAGAAGTGCCACTGCAGTCCTTTTTGATGGTGCAAAATTTTGAGTCCGGGAGAAAGATGAGAGAATCAGTTAGGCTGTAGAGGGAAGATATACTTGCAACTCATTGAAAAGGTTCTTGGGAGATCACTCATCAGAAGAGTGAAGAGGGGCGAAAAGAAAGAAAACAAATAGGCAACAAGTTCGAGATGCATTTGGTGACATAAAAAAAAAAAAAGAGGCGGCAGAGACTAAAGCGGTAGTTACTGCCTTCAGTGATTTGTGCCCCTGTCATGCGACGTGGGTCCCCTGTCGTTAGCTTAATTGGCCCCGCCGCGAACTGTCGCGTCGAATTCAGGAAGACGCGTCTCCCAAATTCGGCGCGGAACATCACCACTTGCCAAAAATCTAGCCAACTCACCAGGAATCATCACGTTTTGAGGATCCTAGGAATATCACATTGTTGAACGCGAACGGCCTGTGACCGGGACTGAGAACTTCAACATGGCCACAGCTGGGCAGAAAGTACGCGGCCGGCCAGCCCATCTGCAAGGGTCAACACACTGCGCGTATACGCCAGATGGAAAGAAACTGGTGACGGTGGGATCAAACAACACTATTCGTCTGTACAAGACGGGGTACGACGGAGAGCCCATCAATATCGACGATTGTCAGGAGCAGAACCTTAGCGTTGTGGCCAACAACGAATTCTTCATCGTCGGCTCCGAAGACGGCACCGTCAGCCTCTACTCGCTTGAGACGCACACATTCGAGAGGTTCCTCACTCGCTGCAACCTGCCTGTCCGCGATGTGGCCTTGTCTCCAGATGGGAAGCTCTGTGCTGTCGCCAGCGACGAGCTGACCGTCAAGGTCGTCGGGACGGAGGACACGTCGAAGCTGTTCATCCTCAAGGAGCACAACAGACCCACGAAACATGTTGCCTTCGACCCCAGAGGCAGTTTGCTGGCCCTGTCCTGCACGGATGGTGTCCTCTACATCTACTCGATGACCGCGCCCGAGAGACCTGAACTGATCAGAAAAGTCGACGGTGTGATCGGGGCGGTCGAGACGGACTCCGAATCCTCCTCTGTGGTCGCATGGCACCCGGATGGGAGGGCTTTTGCCGCGCCAACACCCATCAGAGATATCCAGGTCGTTTCCAAGGATGACTGGGCCAATCAGCGGAGTTTCAGGAATGGACACGAGGGAGATATCACAGCCATTGCCTGGTCGCCCAATGGGGCCATGCTGGCAACAGCGGCCAAGGATAAAAAGATCCTCGTCTGGCAGACCAAGGACCAGTCCATCATCGCGAGATACGAGTACGCCGACGTGATGGATCTCGCATGGCACCCCACCAACAACCTGTTGTCCTTCACCACAACATCAGGCGAGGTCTACATCTGCCCGGACTTCATCTCCGATCAGTTTGCTATACTGCTCAAGATGCCAAAACAGCCGGCGCCTTTCATCCACGACCCCTTGTCAGAAGTCTCGGCAAATGTCCGCAGGCCGCTGGCCAACGGCTTGAAACCGCGTCCACCGGCCGCACGCACAGAGCTGACGGATGATCTCGACTCTCTCCTTGACGACGGCTTCGGAGAAGAAGACGATGGGTTCGTCGTGGACGATGACGGTGCTGGCTATACTCTGGGCCAGAAGCGGCCTGCCGATGATGATGACCTCTTTGGCGATCACCCCAACAAGCGTGCCAATCTCTTGCGGCCTCAGTATCATGAGGCATTCCAACCGGGTTCAACCCCCTGGCGAGGCAACAGAAAGTACTTGTGCCTGAACTTGATCGGTTTCGTATGGACAGTTGATCAGGATTCACACAACACCGTGACAGTGGAATTCTATGATCATGAGTTTCACCGGGACTTTCATTTCACCGATACATTCAATTACGACAAGGCCTGCCTCAATGAGAACGGGACGTTATTTGCATGTCCACCGACGCAAGATGACAAGGAGGACACGCCAGCATCAATATTCTACCGGCCGCACGAGACCTGGACACAGCGTAGTGACTGGAGGACAGAGCTGCCAAAGGGCGAAGCCGTCCTTGCCATGTCCCTAGGCGAATCCTTCATCACGGTGACAACATCTGCGGACTACGTCCGTGTGTACACGCTCTTTGGGTTGCCTTACCGCGTGTATAGGCCAAAGATCACGCCCATGGTCAGCTGTGCCAGCTGGCGAGACTACGTCCTGACGGTTGGCAACGGGCCTTGTGGTGCAGATGGCCGGACGAAGCTGCTCTACAGCATTGAGAATGTGAAGCGGGACGAGATCTGCCAGAACGCAGACCTGGTCGCCCTGCCTGAGGGTGTCACCATCAAGAGCGTCTTCTTCTCGGACAATGGGGTAAGCCCGCCCTTGCGCAGCAGATGAGATAATTTGCAACACACGAAATGCTAACTTTCCGCAGGACCCATGCATCTACGACAGCACCGGTACTCTCTTGACTCTGCTACACTGGCGCCAACCATCCCGTGCATCGTGGGTCCCCCTCCTCGACACAAAGCTCTTGCCTCGCCTGGCCTCTGGGCGCAGACAAGAAAGCTATTACCCGGTCGCAGTAGCAGACAACAAATTCCACTGTATCATTCTCAAGGGTGGCGACCAGTACCCTTACTTCCCCCGTCCCCTCCTCTCCGAGTTCGAATTCTCCATCCCACTCCACTCCGCCACGCCCAAGCCCCAGCACAAGACCACGGATGACGCCGCCGCCGAGGACTCTGATGGCGACATGGACGTTGATGACTCAGGCAACTCCGAGTCACGCAAGCTTGAGCAGCAATTCATGCTCCGCGGGATCCAGGCGGCACAGATGGCGGACCTCGTAGAGGCGACGACGAGCACGCACGCGCAGCGGTCGGCGCTGGCCAGGCTGGAGGTAGAGATCGACAAGACGCTCCTGCAGCTGCTAGCGGGCGAGTGCCGCGAGGGCGAGGAGCGGGGAATGCGCGCGCTCGAGATGGTGGAGCTCATGCGGGACCGCACGGGCAGGATGATCGAGGCGGCGGGCAAGGTGGCCGAGAGGTATGGGCGGACGATCCTGGGGGAGAAGATACGCGAGGTGGGCGAAAGGCGGGTGAACGGGATGGACGATTTCGAGTGAGGAGGATGACTGTGGCTCTGACTGCACAAGACATGTTTGGTCAATGTTGGAAACGGCGTTTGGAATGGCATAATGTTTATCCCCTCCCAATTTAAACCAACTTCTCCTCGGCGAGGACAATAATCATTCTACAGAACCGATCTTGGCATTGTTCACGAGCCCTCGGAACCATGCCATCGGATCCAAAATGTCTCGGGGACCACCTCACATCCGCAAAGAACAACACCCATTCCCACCGTCTGAACATGAACAGCCTTGCCTGTTTGGATAGTATTCATTCTCGTAAAAGAACCCTTAGGATCAACTCGAGCGAGACAAGCCAGGCCACACCGCCGGATGGGCGCTCCTTGGCTTGAACTAGACACCCAAGGCAAAGGCAACTCGGCCGCCGCCATAAGTAGAACACCTGAAGACGCCAACTCTCCCTTTTTCTGAGGCCTTGTTCCTTTCGTTGAAACGAAGGTTGGTTGCTTTAGGGGATCACCCGCGTCCTTAGCCACACATGTAATTTGTCTCTCTCTCTCTCTTTGTTCTTTTCTTTTTCTTTCTTTCTTTTCATTTGGAGACAGTTGTCTCTTTTGGCAAAGTTTTCAGGAATTGGTAAAAGTAGGCAAGTAAATTTGGGCACATCTCACGACCAACCCCGTCACCCCGTGTAAACCTTCCACAAAAACTCTTCGGAGACCGTCATCGTCGCCTAGCCTTGTATTCGTGTGCCCAACAACCAGCCGCCAGGAAGTTTTATAAGGCCAAGGGTTAAGCAATGCCCTGCACTTTACGGGATATTCGGGTGGTCTAGAGGGCTCATCATCAATCTGGCGTTTATTGGGTGGCTGCGGGACCGTCCGCAGCGGCCGATCAGCACGGCAACCACGGGAGGATGCCCGGGTTCCGCCCACGGGAGGGGGATGAGAAATTGTTGCTTTTTGAGCCGACGAAATTAAGATAAAAAGGGATGTATCACAAGTAAAAAGTGATGTGAGAAGCAGACCGTCGGCATCACATTCACATTTGCACTTACACGCGCTACAGTAGGTAAATCTCGAGAGTTCGCTCCTCGGCTGGGAATACATGGCACAATGAAATGAGGCGTCAGGCATCATACCTCTCTCTCACACTCTGTCTGTCTCTCCTTCTGTTGGCAGACGGCATGGAATATCAAAAAGCCTGCCCCCATGGTCGGTGCTGCTGACCATTGTGCACGTTGACAGGTAACTAATGAGATTAAACCTCACCCGCCTAGAGCCTTCGCTCGCTTGTTGCACTCCCCTCTCCTGGCTCCCCTCTTACCTCTACGCAGTACGCAACGGTGTGTCAGGGAGATGATCCATCCCGAAACGAAGACATGTGCACACTTTCAGCCACAAAAGACGCCCAGGGTCTCTCAGGTCTATCTATTCCTGTATGTCAGCCCCGGGGGGGGGGGAGGGGTATCGTTACATCTGCTGCTGAAGGAGGGTTGCTGAAGAAAAGGTTGAGGGAACTTTCGTAGTCTTGTCCATCAATGGGATAATGATGCCCTCCCTCCCTCCTTAATGAAAAATTCGAGAGAAGGAGGCTCAACCAACGCCATCAGGAAGAAGCTGCACGACATCACAACGAGCTTCAAGAGCTTCGCTCGGGAGTAATCCGGGTGTCGTCTCTCTGTCCCCATTGCTTACGCAATCACGTCTTCGGCCCAAGAGACGAAGTGGGCGTTGGCCTGAAAGGGGTCAGATATCATGCGCACGGTATGGAAGTTTGTGAAAGCCGGGGCTGGAAGAGAGAGGGTTGGTTGGTGGGTTGGGGGGCCATCGGATGGGGGGTAGCGAGGGCTGAACCTCGGTATCTGCAGCGTACGGAGCTGGGAGGAAAGCCGTTCTGGCCTATCAACCCCCCTCTCATCCGTCTCTCTGCTTTCCTATAGCTGCACAGCAATATCGAGATCGCGCCGTGCTCACATGAGTCCGGAGAAACTCAATGCAGCTCCTCCTCCACCCCTGCTTTGTGGGTAGAGAAGAAGAAACAAAGGGAAGAAAAAAAGGGAAAACGCTCCGTCGTCATCCCATGGGCCGAATTTTGGAACTTCCTGCTGTCATTATCTAGCGTCATGTTGGTCGCACCTGGGAACTCAATCAAAAGCTCTGGTTGGAGACTGAGAAATGTCGTGTTGCATGAGTCCTGTCTGTACACGGGCAGTAGGAGGAGGGCGCAAGAGGAAGAAGAATAATTCGGCTCGGTTTGTGATTTCCTGCCTCATCCCATCCTTCGAGACCTCGCGCTCCGTAGCAGAACTGAGATGGAGAAAAACCTGACACATCAACATACTAAGAAGAAAGAAGAGAGGAGCGGATTGTGTTCCGTGCAGTACGAAAGTAGTGGTGGTACTTGTCTTGCTGCAGGTTATTTGTCAGAACCGTTGCGGGTGCGTACATCAGGCTTGCAGATCACGGTCGGCCTGGTGAGTGTCCGCTCCCATCGGATTGGCCTGGATTCGAGAGAAGGGAAGCCTGCTTTTGGGCCAATAGCCTCCCTTGGACTGGCTCTCTCTTTCTTTCTTCTTTTGTTCCTCCTCTGGATGGTGGGTGGGTGTAGACGGTGGTCAGGAAGCCCTCAGGAGCCCGGCAGGATGCAGGGCTGAAGTACGAGGGTTGGATCATAGAAGAATTGGGAAGGGGGTGGAGGGGGTCAGGAGGTAGCTAATGGTATAATGCTACCATGGCAGGCACGGCATGGTAGTATGGCTGTAATGGTAGTGCGGTTCTGGGACCCAAATCGAGAAATCCGGATGGCGCTGCTGTCTTGTTTGGGACTGGCGAAACCTTATCATCTTGCCGTCGACACGCGCTGGGGATCGGATCGGCAGAGGAAGCACCTTCGGGGGCGGTCATCCGGGTCTGTCTTACTGTATTACTGTAGTGGTGGTAGTAGCTGACACGAAGCCTTTCAGGTGATCAGTTGCCTCACCTCGACAAGGTCCAATGGGAAGGTTTCTTGTCATCTCGCTCTCTCTTTCTCTCTCTTCTGGGGAGGACATTCCACATTCTTAATGGCTGGTTGTTTGGCTGAATGATTGGGCTGAAAACGTTTGGGGTTCCTTGCTGCATGCCAGGTGGGTAATTGTGGGGTTCGAAGGAGACGAAGGTTGGTTGAGACATACAAAGTAGTAGCAGATGAGAAGGGAAGGGGAGAGAAAGAAAAGAGGAGATGAGAAGGGCGAAACGAAGGAAGCCAGACAGGGCTGGTTGCTCAGCGCATGCACTTATTGATGATGATATGATGAATGCATAGCGAAGTGCCCAGAGATCCTCGTCCTTTCCTCGTCTGCGTAACCAGAAGAAAGTCGGGAAAAGACACGCTAAGAGTAGGCCGTAGGATCTGTTTCCATGCCCTCTCTAATGTCCCTTCCCCCTGAAGAACTGCATTCTCAAAGAACCCCATCTCACAAGCAACCCCAGCTTGGCTTCCTTTTGTCGTGTCTTCGTATTTGAGGCACGTTTCCGTAAGTAGGTAGAAAATGTAAAAGTACGTATGTATGTGTGTGTATATATATATATATATATATTTATATACATACATACATATACCGGTTCTTTTGTGCCCCTCCTGTTCAGGTGTTGCAAAAGAGGGGCTATTGACATGCATGCATAAAGGTGGTGTTGCCATCATGCAGATTACCACTACCATGGATGAACTATCATCATACTATGTAGTACAGTCAAGAGATAAAAGGGAGAGAAGAGAGGGCTTTCTGGATATGTACCATTGTAGTACTGCGGTACTATGGGACACCCTCCCATGCCCACTGACAACTGACGGGCACTACTGTATTGTATCACTACGTAGTATAGTGCCCTCCATGGTCACCCGCTACACCCTAGCTCTTGGGTCTGGGCTCCGGGCTAAGCTCCGGGGCTGCAGGTCGGAGTGCAGGCCCCCCTTTCCCCCTCTCTCTCAGGTGGAGCTTACAGCAACCCCCACCCCACCAAAGGTGCCCACCTCTGTCCACCTGAACCCACCTATGCCTGCCTGTGCCCACTGGTACTAGTTGTATCTGTAGATAGATACCATAGTAGTAGTAGTACAGTACCCGAGTACCTTGTAGCTCCCCCCTTCCGTCTGTCCCCCATCGCTCTCTCTCTCTCTCTCTCTCTTTTTTCCCCTAGTGGACCTGAAGCGGGCCTGTTTGGTGTTGTCCATGCCCTTCTAAATTGCCCAGCTCCTTTTTTTTTTTCCATCTTTTTTTTCTTGCTCTGCCCTCCAGCCAAAGACTTATCAACAACACGACACGACCTAAGCTCTTCCTTGCACTAATGTCTTCCCATATGTAACAACATCCACAGCAACAGGCCACAACATAGGCCAGATTCAATTGGATAGTGAATTTATTACTCTCAAAAGGTCTGGGGTGGGTTTTTACTTTGGGACCTTTTGGTCTTTGCTTTGAATCTTTTTTCCTACTTTCTCTCTTTTGGGGTGCGGGACCCGATAGAATCTCTTCTGTACGGGCTGGACGAGGTCTGGTTGGCTGCACCGCCGCATCGGTACCCGAGAGAGAGAGGCTCGACCGACATTTGTGATCTGGTCGGCGAACATCCACCGCTCCGCACAACCCCCATCTCCGCTCACCGTAGCGAGATCCCTATTCAATATTCAACATACAAACCCTTACAACCCAAGACAGGGTGACATATCACAAGTTCGCCGCCCTTACTTTCTTTGGAAAGCTTCGACACCCAAGAAAGAAGAAGGTCCCCTATTGGACGACGACCCACGTCTCTCTGCCTCTGTCTCGAGAACGGGATTTGGTATCAAGCTTATTGACACACACGGGACCTCGCAGCTGGAACGCCGTGCCCTTCGCGAACAAAGGCAGACGACCCCTCTGGGACGAGACCTTACTGCTGCTGCTACGACTAGGCGACCAGCTTCTTCCACCAAGTCTCCAGTCCCATCCATCCCGCGAGAGGAGCAATGCGGTGTGTATAGGCCTGCAACCCTTCCCCTCCTCCTCCTTCTATTCTCCTTCTGGAAGCCATCCCATACCCAGCTCCCCTCTCCTCCCCCCCACACCCAATCTCTCTCTCTCTCTCTCTCTCTCTCTCTCTCTCTCTCTCTCTGTCTGTCTTTCTCCCCCTCTCCTGTCGGTCAGTCATAAGCTTCCAGTCCCTGCCCAAACCCCTCTCCTCCTCGCTCGTGTCGTATGGTGGCCTATTCTTCCCCAGATCGTCGATCTACTTCCTTATCCCTCCTCTCCGCGCCCCGACCAGATAAAGATCCATTGTGGCCATGCTGACGGTGTTGCCTCGCGTGCGGATACAGATGGCACAGGTGATGGAGAGAAGCCCACACAGGACGCCCCTGAGCGATGGGCTTAGCAAGGACGATCCGATGGCCCCGCGCACTGTCCCCATCCTGACCCCGACCATCCAGATGTCTGGCCCGCCAGAGCCTGACCCCATGGACATCACAACTCCCACCCGCTCGTCTGCTCCTCCGTCCGCCACCACCAAGAGCCCCGGCCGAGACACCAACGGCGCATCCGATTCCATGAGAAACAATACCAATACAGCCCTCGTGCCTGCCAATGCCATGACGATGGCCGCGCCGCCGCCTGCGGCCCCCGCGGTCCAGGGGCCCAAGATCGTGCAGACTGCCTTTATACACAAGCTCTACAAGTGAGCAGCCCGACCGATTTCTCCTTCTCTCCTGGGACCAGGAGAGAAAAGAAAAAGAACCGTCTCTCATTGCTAACCTATTGTACACATAGTATGCTGGAGGACGCCGCCATAGCACACCTCATCTCGTGGTCTCCATCCGAGGAGAGTTTCATCATGTCGCCCAGCAACGAGTTCTCCAAGGTGCTTGCGTATGTGCAACTGTTTGGCGTGACTCCTTGAGAGGGGCAGGAGAAGAGAGAGAGAGGGTTACGAGGCAGACAAGCTAATATAAGCTTGCCAGGCAATATTTCAAGCATACCAACATTTCATCGTTCGTACGGCAGCTCAACATGTATGGCTTTCACAAGGGTAAGTATCAACGAGGCTCTCGCGCATGGGCCGCACAATAGCTGACTGATTGATGGCTTGGCAGTGAGCGACGTGTTCCACAATGGAAGCCCAGAGCACCCGTTATGGGAATTCAAACATGGGCAGAACAACTTCAAGAGGGGCGACCTGGTCGGTCTGCGAGAGATCAAGCGCCGCGCCTCGCGTCACAACCTCACGCACCACCCGCAGAAGCCGCCACCACCGTCGTCACAGCCTGGCACTCCTGCCGAGCCCATGCCACCCGTGCCGGATGGTGCTGACCCGAGGCTCGTCAACCTGGAGCGAGTCGTGCACGAGCTCAGCTATAGGCTGGATCGGTCCGAGTCCAGCGCGCAGTTTGTGAACATCAAGCACCAAGCGCTTCTTGACTCGGTCACTCGGCTCTTGCATATCAACCAAGAGCTCGTAAGGGTCGTGATGTCGAACTCGGGCCCCGACAGCCCGCAGTATAAGGATGGTAGGCTTTTTCCCCCTCATTTTATTCTCCCTGCGGCGTCCGTTTACATATGAGACTCATCATATCTGGGGTAAAGCTAATTTTATGATGATAGCATATGCGCTGAACAGCGAGGTCTCGCGCCAGCTTGAGGTTATTCGTGGTCTGGAGGAACCCCATGAGGCGGCATATTTCGACCGGCGAAACTATTTCGGCGGCGTGGACAATGCTCCTGTTTCGCCACGGCAGTTTCCTCAGGACGACCAGCGGAGATCTAGCCTGGCCCCTCCACAGCCTCGTGCGCCTTACGACTACAGGCCTCAAGTTCCGTCCAACCTCTCCATCACCACAAAACGACCATATGGCTCGATTGGAGGCAGCAGCGGCGGAAACCAGGGGACCAACTCTACCGCGCAGTCCTCGCCGTCCACATTGCGGCCCAACCCCCCACCGCCTCCAGGGCCTCCGCTGTCAGCCATCGAGCCGCCCCCGAGCAGTCTGTTGCGCCGGCACACCTCAGCCGATATACGTGTACACGAAACCTGGCGGCCGCAGCCACCTGCTCCCTACGCCTCAGGTCCTCCGTCGAGCCACCTCCCCTCGTCGCCCAGTCACCTCGGCCCCAATGATGACCGTCTCCGCGAATCGCTGTCGCATTATGCCTTCCCGTCACAGCCTTCCCACCCTCACTCCAGACCAGCTAGTCCTCCGCCTCCCCAGGCGCCTGGGTATTCCAACGGTGAGACCTTCAAGCAGCTGGACAGCTTCCAGTGGGACCGGGCCATCCAGCGGAGAAGCATTTTTCAGCATGACAGCTCAGCACCCCCAACGCGCCGGGGCAGCATGGCACACATTCTGAACAATGATGATGATAGCGATCCTCGAGGTGATGATGACCGCAAACGAAAGCGCCTGGCATAAAGCATGTACCTACACTCTTGATCTTCAGAACTCTTTCATTAGGCCTGCGCCTTGATCAAGCAACTGAAGGGTCCTTTTAATCTTATTTTTTTTTTTTTTGTTTCGAAACTTTGTACAAGTGAAAGTCAAGGCTCAGGATTCGCCTTTCTCTTTTTCACACTCTCTTCTTCCGGAGCTGGAGCTAGATGCATCTATTGAAAGCAGCATCACCAAGTTGGACTACTCGACGACAATTGTCATCTCTTTCATCTCATTTTGAAACATCACATAATGCTATGGTGTGACAGACTTGGACATAAACGGGGCGGGTTGTTGATTGAAAAGCGCTATGCAATTGATGGCGATCTAATGACACTTCTGGGCGGCTGGCTTACAACTCTCTGGCCTTTTTTTAATGAGAATATCAAAGGAGGTGGTCTTCCTCACTTACCTAGTGTTCAGTGCCATGCATCAAGATGCTCTTGTGTGAGAGGGAGGGGCGAAAGACGTGTTACAATTGTTACTGCCCAAGTCTTGACAGATGACTGCCGTTGTAGTAGTAATATGTCATAATAGTTGCTGGGCCTCTAGGTTCTGGGTGGAGCAGACTCTCTGAAGCTGGGTATGAGAAGGCTACTGCAGTACTCCAGCTGTGTAGGCTTGCCTTTTCCTGGGTTTATCTGGAAATTTACTAGTGTTGACAGCAATACACCATATTCATATTGCATCTTGTCAAGGGATTCCAGAAAAGTACATCAGCCTCCTCTCTCATGTATTATGCAGATGGGTTGTAAGGTGACATTCCGGGCTGTGTGCTTGTCCTCACCCTAGACAGTAGCTTTGAAGGGGACGAGGTGAGTCTCTATTCTTGTGTAAGGGAACGAGAGTTTCAAGACGGCTTTGTACATATCCCACTATATATACATGAATATACATACATACATACATATGTCATACGTATAGATTCTGTGTCCAAGTTCAGAAAGCTTGATTGTGCATGAACGAAGTCGTGACGGACATGCAAAAGTCCTGCCAGAGCTACAAACAGCATCTTGACAGTAACAAAGCGTACAAGATTTTTGTCACCAGTGGGCCTGTGATGGTCTCTTCCAAAAAGTGAAGACTCAGTGTTCATTTGTTCTCTGATGCTCACAACCTGGCCTTTGTACGACGCCTTTCTTCCCACAGCCAGCCCACCCATATGTAGCAGAAATTTGGGGTGACTTGAAGTGGCCCCTTCAACGCCGAACGAAGGGTGCAGGCAAAGTAATGAATCTCATCTCCCCCTCTTACACACATGCTGTCTGAAAAAGAGCCATAGTGCCCCCTCCCCCCCCCCCCCCCCCTTCTTCTTTTCCATCTCCCTCGTGCCCCCGAAACCCTGCTTGGTGGCGTCTTCCCCCAACCCTCCAAAAGCACCCACCCAGTCACACACAGCTCCCCCAAACAAACCACCAACAGACGGAAGACGGAAGAAGCAACCCTCATCAACCCGTTACACAGCAGAAGAACCCAACCCAGAGGTCGCGTGGCGCAATCGTAGCGCGTCGGATTCCAGGGAAAGGATAAATTACAAGCAAGGAGGAGGAAAGCAAAATTGACAGGCTTCTCCCATTCCTCCTCCTTGCTTTGTGAAACGGAAACGCACCCACTCCCTCTGAGAATTTCCCGAAGGTTGCAGGTTCAAGTCCTGCCGCGATCAGAATATACTTTTTTTTTTTCATTTTTTTTTTTTTTTCCATTCTTCTTTCCTTTCATGCTTCCCCTGCTTCTTCTCCTTCCTTCCCTCTTTGTCAGCCGGCCAGGCTCCCTTTCCCTCTTCTTTCTCGTCTTCGCGTACGGATGAGAGGCAGAAAGAGTAAACCTTTGTATGACCCGGGGTTGGTTGGTTGGGTACCTACTATCTCTATTGAAAAAGGAGAGGAGAGTTTCCTTCTACTCATCCTTGGAAAAAGGCCAAGATAGGTGGTCTGGCATGATAAACAACACACATAGAACCAATAACAGACACGGAAGAAAGGATGCAAGAGTAGGACGAATAAGATTTCCATCTTACCGACCAAACCTTGCTTTTCGATTTTCCTCATTGGCTCTACATCCAGCAAATCAGATTTCATCCCATTTATCCAACCATGCAGCTATGCAACCAACCATCATGCATCATCACCCCATGCATCCCATTCCAGCCTACCTGAGCCTATGCCTCAGCCCAATTTTCTCCCGGCCGTCCATCCAAGGCCGCAGCACCTCAGGAATCCTGACCGTCATGTCGCCCTCGTCCCAGCCGGTCTCCAGGATGGCCGCTAGCACCCTAGGCACCGCCATGGCCGTGCCATTCACCGTCCAGGGGAAACTCATCTTGCCTCCTTCGCTGGCAACCCGCACCCTCGTGCCGAGCCGCCGTGTCTGGTAGTCTGTGCAGATGCTCGCACTCGTCACCTCGCCCCAGCCTTCTGCCTTTTTCGCTTCTGCTTCTGCTTCTGCTTCTTCAACTCCCTTTTCAACCCCAGTAGCAGCAGCAGCAGTGGTGGTGGTGGTGTTGGTATCGGTACTGGCACTTGTCCTCCTGGCCCGAGAGGGGAACCACGCCTCAATATCATTCTTCCGCGTGGCGCTGGCACCTAGATCCCCGCTCGGCATCTCTAACACGCGGCAGTGCAAGCCCAGCGAGCCCAGGATCTCGGTCTGCATGTCGACCATTTCGTCAAAGAGCTCGTCGGCCTCGGCGGCGTCAGGCCGCGTCCATGCGAACAGCTCGACCTTGGTGAACTCGTGCACGCGGTACAGACCCTTGGTGTCGGCACCACGCGCGCCCGCCTCAGCGCGGTAGCACCTACTAACGGCGACACGGCGGCAGGGAAGCTCAGCCTCATCCAGCACAGTGTCGGCGCGCATGCCGGCGAGGGGAATCTCGGCCGTGCCAGCCATGCACAGCTCAGGCCGGCCCCTGGCCCGGTCGGCAGCACCCTGCGCAATCCCGTACACCTGTGTCTCTCCGCTGGCGTCGCGCGGCTGGAACCCGCAGGCGGCGGCGATGTGGCTGTACACCATGCTCGGCGGGCTCACCTGGCCCCAGCCGTACCGCGTCGCAGTCGCCAGCGCGTAGCTCACCAGTGCCTGCTCCAGCTGGGCTCCCTCGTTCAGTAGGTAGTACCACCCCCACCCACTGGCCGTCGCCGCCCCTGCAAAGTCGAGGATCCCCAGCTCTGCCCCAATGTGCACGTGCGACCGCCACACCCGGTCCGACGACCCGGGCACCGGCTCTGGGTGGTCGTTGATGTAGCTCAGCACCAAGGGCTCGTCGCCGCGCGGCGTCACCTCGCTCGTCAGGTTCGGCAGCGCCAACGCCAGGCCCCGTATCTCGGTCTGCAGCCGGGCCTCGTCCTCCTCGATCGCCCCGAGCTGGGTCTTGAGCTGCCTGGCCTCCTCGAGGAGCTCATCGCGCGTGCTGGCCCCCGTCTTTCCCTCGTCCTCTGTCCTTGTCGAGGCTGGGTTGGCAATCTGTCGCCGGAGCAAATTCGAACGCTCCCGCAGCGCGCGGCCCTCACGCTGCCGCGCCTGCCATTCCTCGTGCAGGGAGATGATGCGCGCCGGGTAGGCGGCCTGGGCCTTGTAGTTGCGCTCGATGCAAGTCTGTTCGTAGAGGGTCGGGTTCTGTCGGATATGCTTGAGGTCGATCACGGGCTTGGGCGCAGTCGTGGGACGCACGGCGTTGCTGAGAGGAGAGGAAGAGGTGGTGGCATGGTCTGATCGGAGCTGAGAGGACACGTGAAGCGTGCGACGTGGTATTATTGAAGGAAATCTTGAAGTCGAGGGGGTGATGGCGAGTCTTCTGCAGCGCAGACACGTGAAAGGTTGCCGGCTTGGCTTCATCGTGTCATGTCACCAGCGATAAATAGAGCAGATGGTTCGATGGGGCTTTTTCAACGTTCAGAAAAGAAGGGGGGAACAAACAGAAGAGGAACAAAAGAAGAAAGGCCTTTTGTATTCTTGATTGGACTTCGGAGGAGGGGAAGCAATCCGAGTCTCATGATAAGAATGTCGCCTGACTGCAGCGGTGGTGCATGGCATGCATGGCAAGTTGTGTTGTGACCGAGGCTATCGGGTAAAGAAATCAAAAAGTTTAAAGAGAAGCAGGCGAGGTTAACACTGGGAATTGAAGAAAGAGCTACTGGAAAGAGGGTCCAGGCGACAGGGATGAGGTTCCCCCGCAAAATACCGTAGTACTTGACTTTAAGGCAGGAAGCTATGACCACTGCTAAATGTACGTACTATACTATGTAAAAGCAGGTACTATGGTACAACCTTCCATACTTACTTACACAGTATATGAATACTTCTCTGTAAACCGTACGTACCCAAGTATGTATGTATTCCTCTACATGATGACCATAGTACAACAAACGGTAAAGGAACACATGTAAAGGATAGAATCAATTTTGCAACAAAACAATCACTTCAACAAGAACATAAACAACTTGGTTTTCCGATTTGACAACTAATAGTAGCTTTACAAAGGCCCTAGAGAGAGAGAGAGAGAGAGAGAGAGAGAGAGAGAGTAAACCCCTCTCGCAACGCTATGCATGCCATGCTATAAGAAGACCTTCTTGCGAGCCTGGGTATATAATTTCATCAGGATAATAACTTAAACCAAAAGGTCCAGGTCAAACGCCATTCATCCATCCCCTTCCTTGATGCTCCGTTCGCGATGCTATGCAACACACAAGATACCAACCAAGGTTGAGTTGACTCGATGCGCCCGTTTCGTCTGCATCCTCATGTCCCCCCTCCTACTTGTCTTTTGTTCGATACATGATATGGAAATGATCATGCCATGCAAATAAAGACATATTTCAAGACCTCCCCCCCCCTCCCCCCCTCTTTCCTCTCTCCCTTTTCTCTCTCTCACAGAAAATGCTGATGTTTCCTCTTGATATGTTGTGTGCCCCTCACGAGCTTTGCTTGCCTGCCTGCCTGTCCTCACGCCAACAAATCATCCTCGTCCCTCTCTTCAAAGGTCAATTCACTCGGCGGTCGATAAGCAGGCGTTGTCGTCGACCGTCCAAAGGTGGGTTTCGCAGGCGTCCGGAACGGCGTCATGTCCGTCATCAGCCTCGTCCTGGCCGGCGCCGGCGTCCCCCACCTCGAGCTCCGCCTCGTCGCCCGAAAGTCCATCTCCGGCACCCGATCCCCCACCGCCTGCGTCTGGGACGCCCACGCCGCCAGGAAGTGCCGCATGTCCCGCCGCGTGTTGTGGCTCGTGAACTCGTGCACCGTCTGCTCACGGCCCCGCAGCGCCACCGACGCCAGCGTCCACTCGTCCCAGCGCGCCCCTGCCGTCTGCGCAAAGTCGAGCTCCGCCGCGTCCAGCTTGTTGTCCTCGTGCACCTCGAGGAGCGAGTGCCACTGGAGCAGGTGCGCCTCCACGTCGGCATCTTCAGCAACCTCGGCGGTAAAGGCGATGGGCTCGAGCCGGGCGCGCCACATAATCGCCACGTGGATGATCGTCGCGTTGTCGTCCTCGATACACATGTCATCCGCCTCCCACCCCTTCGTGACAGCATCAGCCGTCGCCTGCCGCCAGACATCGAGACTGTCCCTGACGGCATCCCTGCGCACACGATACTTAAAGTCGTTGTACAGCCGTTGCATGCGCCTCTTCCACGCCTGTCTCCGCACCTCTTGCCAGTGCGGGAGCACATATTCGCCCACGGGAAACAGGTTGGCAAGCCGGCACCACTTTTCCATCCGGTGGTGGTGGCTGAGCTGTGTCGTCCACTTCCTGACAGCCCTCGGCACCGTCCGCTGCACGAGCACGGCCCGTGCGTGGTAGGCTTGCATCTCGAGGTGCTCGAGCGCATCCAGCGTGGTGTTGAGAAAGCCCGTGATGGTGTCATGGTGGTGGACGTCTCGGGCGAGATGGCGGAGGTGATAGCTCCTGGCAGCCGACGCTGTGGTCGCGTCGGCCCATCTCTCAAAGAACCGAGTCTTTTCCTGCTGCTCTATGACACGTTCAACCAGGCGCAGCCGCCACTCGCAGTACCAATGATATGCGACACTGTCGAGCGCCTCGGCGTCCTGCTCTTCTTGCCACCGCACCAGCCTGGTCTCGTACACCCAGTGCTTGGTCCAGTCCTTCAGCTCCTGCGTGACGGCCACCCGCTCTCGGTTCCTGGCCTCTTCGGCTTCCTGCCGCCACGCCAGCGAGAGGCCCGACCTCAACAGCTCGTCCCTACGAGCAATGATAGGTCCGGCTCCTGCCTCGGCCCGCTCTTGGATTTGTGCCTCGCCTCGCCATCGTCTCATGTATCGCCCCAGCATGGACGCCTTGAAGATCCCCTCGGCTTCCCCATGCGCCGAGCTCAGCCACTGGCTCTCCAGTTGCCAGTGCTGAAAGGTGGTCGCTGCCAGGCGCTGCGCGTCCATCTTCTCAGCGATTCGCATCTTGGACTCGTGGTACCAGTCGACGAACACATTCTCGGCGAGGCTGCGCCTCTTCTTGCGGTGCGCAGCCTGGCGCAGGAGGGAGCTCCTCTTTGCAGCGTCCACCGCAGCCTCGCGCCATTGCCTCATCACGACCATCTGGTAGAACCAGACCGCCTTGCTTTCGGCTTCTGTCTCGTCTCTGTCCCTGACCCAGGCATGGAAGCACTTCTTTCGGAGGATATGACGCCTTGCAATCTGCGTTCGCTCCACCTCCTCATCTGCGCGATCAGCCCAGTGGGTAAACGCCTTGGACAAGAGGAAGTAGTTCCACGCTGCTGCTGCGACCTGGTACTGAGAGTGGAGAGCGGCCTCGCTCCTCTCCAAGTCCTGTGTCTCGAGCTCTTCGGAAGCATCGTACAGTTCGTCGTTGTACTCCTGCTCCTGTTCCTGCTCCTGCTGCTCCTCCTCGCCGTGTGTAGGTGCAACACCTGCGTCCCAGTCGCTTCCAAAGGCACGCAGTCTTCGGAGCTGTGGGTCTCTGAACCCCCTCCTAGAGCTAGGCCGGTGGGGATATTCCTCGATGAGTGTCCTATCGACCGATTGTGACTGTTGTCTGGCCCAACCGCCCGTGCTTCGAGGGTCAGGGGCTTGACGTCCTGCTGAAGACGAGACAAAAGGCTCCCTGCTGCGCTCAATGGATTGCCTCACGCGTGGGTTGACACTGCCCTCGGACAAGACAAGAGGCGGAGCATCGTCGGTACCGCCCCTGTTGCGCTCAAGCTCCCGCTGTCGCAGGTGGTCCTGGTAAGCCTGTATGCCATCGTTCTCCCCTACCTGCATCGTGAGCGCGCTTTCAATCCAGGTGCTGAGCGCCGCGCCCATCGTCTCCCATGCATCCCACCTCTCAGAGTGCGCCTCGGCTCGGATGTTGTAGGATCTGGTGTAGCGACTGACATCCCTCCAGTGGTTGAACGAAGACATCCTGAACATCTGCTCTCTTGACGCAATGAAGGCGACCTGCTCGTCTTCCATCCTCTCCTCGTCCTGGGCGTCCCTGATCGGTAGCTGTGACGAGTACTCGTCGTGTCGTAGGTCATGATGCTCGCTGGTATCCTCTTGGTCTTCCTCGACACCATGTCTCTCCGCTGGCTGGATTGGATGCCTCGGCAGGCTTGGCTCTTCTGCCGCTTCGTCTGCGCCTAGGCCGCCGAGGTCCAGATCTACGCTCGAGAACTCTTCGTCCGAGAGTATGTCGCCGTTTGGAAGGCCTGTCTGGTGATGCTTGAAGCCCTGATCGGACCTCCCAAAGCGGCTGAAGTCTAGTGGGGGTCGGTTCTCTGCTCGAGTTGAGGGCCTACCGTCGTCGTCTTGCTGAGCTCCCGCACCTGCACCTGCTTGCGCCGAGCCGTTGGGCCCCCCTCTGCCAGAATGATCCAGGGCATCAGGTCTCGGTCGAAACGGAATATTATCGAAGGTCGAGGCACCAGTGTCGTCCCTGTCCCAGGAGACATCCGAGACGCTCTGCGAGTCAATTACATCCGAGAATCTCACCTCCTTCCGCTGAGGCTCCGACAGCACGCGTCCATCCGTGGAGTGAGACCTGGTCGCCCGCTGGACAGGCTGAATGGGGCCGCCGTCGCCATGGAGCGCGTCACTTCCACCTGTGCCCAACCCTTGTACGATGCTGTCTGAATTGCGACGACGGCGAGGCGCATGATGCACAGGCATCGGCGGGCTGGAGCTTCCTTCCTGCGCCACAGGAGGGGCACGGTCGAAGTCGTCGCGCGGGGCAGACGGCACTCCAGGAACCTGCGCGTCCAGGGTGCTCGCGTCGCCAGCCGGCGGCATGTCGTCCTCATCGTCAGCCGACATCATCGAGTCGTCTGTGTAGACGAGCTCAATGCCCATCTCCCCCAGCACAGACCTGAACTTGTCCAGCAGGGACTCGGGGCCCCGCTGACCGCCGATGCGGAATAGCAGGCGCGCAATGTGCGGGACGTCCTCGGACGCGAAGCCATGTCGCGGCAGTACATCGTCAGCAGCGGTGAACAGCGCGGTGGTAGGCAGGCGCTCGCGCTCAGGAAGGGAGGCCAGTATAGCCTCACCAGTGGCGATGATCTCGTGGAGCAGCGTGATGTCTGTCAGGCACGAGGTCAGTCAGTCAAGAGGAGTCTCAGTCAGTCAATCAGCGGGTTCTCAGCGGCGCACAAATAGCCCCGCCCGCCCAGAGGAAACAAAGAAGAACAGGATCAGGTAAGCCTTACCCTCATTGCTGTACCAGGGCTCCTGTCTCTCTCGTGAAGGTGTAGGGGCCGCGGCAGAGTCACCACCACCGTCTCCGTTGGGGAGCGGCGTGGGCTCGCTGGCGCCCTGCATGAGATGAAGAGGATCGTCTGGGGTCAGGGGACCAGGCTTGACGGCGACGCTGGTATTGTCGCTCTCGCGCACCTGAGGCTCCTCGGCGCTGTCGGTGAAGGTGTTGGACTCGCCCGTCTCATAGGATGGGGTCGCCGCTGGAGAGAAGACTCCCCCCGTAATGGCGGAGGCTGGGATTGGTTGCATTTGCGTATAGGACGCCTGCGCCTCGGATACATGTCGAGGAGGAGAGCTTCGTGGAGCCAACGTGGGATGAGGAGACGGGGTGAGTCGCGACGGCGGCGGCAGAGGCGAGCGCGTGTCGAAATGAAGGAGAGAGACAAACTCGGGTCAAGAAAGACCAACACGAGGGCGGTCTGGTTCAAGTTCGAGGTTCGGGATTCGAGGTGGAGCACAGAGAGCGCGCGCACGCGCACGAGAGAAAGCAGTCGCAAGTTCAGCTCGCGATTTCTATTGTTATTGTGGTAGCAATGTAAGGAGCACGACAGTCGAAAACTATTGTTGTAGTAGTAACTGAATGCATTGAGCAGTCGAATAGAGGCCCATGGATAAAGTCACATGAAGAGAGCAAGGATCAATTGCAGAGAGGACAATGAAAGGCCATAGATCAGGACAAGCGTATCTGGAGTGGGAAGAAGTGCGTTGTGGACGACAATGGGCCCAAGAGCAATGCGGAGGCGGCGCGTTGATTCTTGTTGCTGGCGTCGTCCAAGTGGGATCGCGTTTTCTCTAGGACAAAAAAGAGGATAGGCGGAGGGGGTAGGGGTGCTTTGAGGATGATTAGCAATCCCGGCAGTGTGTAAAGTAAACACAGGACGTGCTAGACAGTGGGGTGAGGTACCTATAGCTGTGTACCGTGGTAGGGCCTTGAGTGGGCTGACACCCCCCCCCCCCTTACCGTTTCTTCTCTGGTCCTGATAGACCAGCCTCCCATTTGTCGTGTTTCCTCCCTGCCGCCCGACCACATAGCCATGATCCCTGCCGCACCCCTCTCATGATCCCTGTCCACTTCTTGTGTGCAGCTGCGTGGGTCTCGACGACAAGTCGACCGGGCGCTATGCAGAACCACCGAACGAGTGCTTCTCAACGTCATGAAATAGTAAAACTACGAATGCTTCTCATAGCTGCACACCATTCACCCCCACCACCAACACAGGCTGGAGGAGTGTCCTTTCATATCTCTCTTGTCTGTGGCTCTGTCCTACTGTTTACTACTCATATACAAACAATCGGCACAGACTTTTGATCGACATGTCACCACCAGCAGCAGCGCCTAGCACGAGGCCAATACAAAAGTTTGCCGTTGCAGCTTCGAAATGCTCAGCAGAGGTGAGTGATGTTGACATCAAAAGCCTTCCCTTATCATATTTGTTCCTCACAACATATGGCTAATATGAATGTTATTCATATCCAGGCAGCTGTCTATGGAAAATGTATTGTGGCAGATTACAACTCAGTCCATAAGGACAAATGCGCTGCTGAATTTATGAAATTGAAAGATTGCTATGTAGTATGTCGAGCCTAATTCTCACCACCACCCGATCCCTTCGTCGAAACTCTGACATGGCTGGACTAACAGGGCACAGAAAGCATTCAAGTCACGATAGACCAGATGGACAGGCATAAAGAACAGATGATTACATCACTTTCTTATTTTTTTCTCTCTCTACCAACATCTCTCTCTCTCTTTGATATCCAGCAGATAGACAACCACCATCACACACGCCAGCTTCTGGGGAGAAACAAAACGTGACGGTATTTTTCCTATGTCTATGTGCGTCTTTTAGAGTTTCAGCAACCTCAACAAGAATGTCGCCGCCTGTACCTCCTGAACCTCCTCGGCAATGATGCCCTCCTGCTGCTCACTGGGTATCTCGCCCTCTACCTGTGTAATCTCGTGCTTATCGAGAGGCCTCCGCAGAGCCTTCTGCACCTGTGAGGCCTGTGACACGAATACCTCCTCAAGGCCGAGGCCCTCGGGATCCGAGAGGACCCTGTACTCCATCTTGACATCGTCCGTAGGATCCAGGCCTGCCTTCTTGCGGAGCCGCTGCACACGGTTGATAATTTCACGTGCCAGGCCCTCGCTCTTCAGCTCGGGGTAGATCTTGCAGTCCAGGATGGTCAGGACCTCGTTGTCGGTGTTGATCTCGGATTCCTTGGTGGACTCGTCCTCCTTGACGCCCCGGCGCACCACCAGGTCGCCCTCGACCAGCTCGATTCCGTCGACAACAATCTTTCCGGTGGCGGCGTACTGCTTGACCTCGTCGCTCGTGACGTTGGGCAATGCCTTCTTGACCTTGCCCATGTCCTTCCTGAGCTTCTTGCCCAGCACAGGCCAGTCAGCCGTCACGCTGTATTGCACATTGTAGGCCCCCTCGTCCGATGTGAGGACCAGGTCGTGGACGTTCAGCTCCTCCGAGATGTAGGACTCCAGGGAACGGACATCCTCGAGATAGCCAGCGTCGGGGTGGATGATGACCAAAGTCTTCAACGGGGTCTTGACGCCGATGGCTTTCCTCTCGCGCGATACACGGGCCAGGTCGATGATGTTCTTCATCCGGCCGACTCTGCGCTCAATGTCGGGATTGTACAGCTCCTTGCGTGGTTCGGGGTACTTGAGGAAGTGCACACTTCGGGCGTCTTGCTCTCGCAGCTCCTCGGGGATATGAGGCAGGAGTTTGAGGTAGATGGTGTCGGTGAGGAAGGGCATAAAAGGAGCCAGACCACGGCAGAGGGTGTAAAGGACCTCAAATAGGGTGTTGAGCGCGTGTAGAGTGTCCTCGACACCATTTTCTCCCTTGAGACGCTTTCTGTTGAAGCGAATGTACCAGTTGGTGGTGTCATCGATGAGTCCCAGCAGCCTGGGGGTGACAGTATACAGGCGATAGCCTGGTGATTTTGATGGTCAGTCTTGGTGGAAGAGAGGAAGTGGAAAGAGACAGAGAGAGAGACAACAACGGCAAGAAGAAAAGAAGAAGAAAACGGAGGGGGGTCTTACCGTTCATTTCTTGGTTGACGTACTCCAGAAGGCTCTGGCACGAGGCCAGGATCCACTTGTCCATCACGTTGGTATTGGTAGCCTCCATCTTTGTGTCCCACTTGTAGTCGACATCCTCAACCTTCTTTAGGAGCGCAACTTGGGCAGCGAAGAAATTGTAGCTGTTCCACAAGGGCAAGAGCACCTTCTGCACGACCTCCCTCACGCCGGTCTCCTTGAAGCGCAAGGGCTCTGCTCTCACTACGGGCGAGTTGATGAGGTACATGCGCAGAGCATCACTACCAAACTTGTCCATCACGAGCGACGGATCAGGATAGTTTTTGAGACGCTTGGACATCTTCTTTCCATCCTCCGCGAGCACAATACCGTTGACCACACAGTTCTGGAAGGGCATCTTGTCAAACAAATGTGTGCCCATGACCACAAGGGTGTAGAACCATCCTCGGGTCTGATCCAGACCCTCGGCGATGAAGTTTCCGGGGAACGACTTGAGGAACTTGTCCTTGTTCTCGAACGGGTAGTGCTGGCTGGCGAAAGGCATGCTTCCTGATTCAAACCAGCAGTCGAAGACCTCCTCGACGCGCTTGAGCTGGCCCTTGCCCTTCTGGCTGGGAATGGTGATGTGATCGATCTTGTCGCGGTGGATGTCGGTGATCTCGCCCTCGAAGCCGCTCAGCTTCTTGAGCTCCTCCACGCTCCCAATACAGATGCGTTCCTCACCGTCATCACTGGTCCAGATGGGGAGAGGAGTACCCCAGTAGCGGTTGCGAGACACGTTCCAATCTCTTGCGTTCGAGATCCAGTTCGCGAATCGCCGCTCCTTTACGAATGAGGGTACCCAGTGGCTCGACTCGATGTTTTGAAGCATCTTGGGTACAATCTCAGGGATGCGGATGAACCAAGAGGGGACAGCGCGGTAGATCAAGGGCGTGTCGGACCGAGGGCACATGGGGTAGCTGTGCCTCAGCTGAGACTCGACAACCAGCTTTCCCTTGCCCTTCAGAGCCTTGATGATGTGCTTGTCTGCCTCCTTGACATGCATGCCCTCAAAGTCCTTGACCTTTGCAGAATAACGACCAGTCTCGTCGAGCGGGTCCGGGGGTGGGCGGTTCTCCGTGACAATGCCGGCCTCAGTCGCAATATTGAAATCGTCCTCACCAAAGGCAGGAGCCTGGTGCACAATACCAGTACCGCTGTCATCGGTCACGTACGTGCCGTTCAAGACCTTGAATGCGACATCCTTGAAGTCCTCGTAGTAGTAGTCGAAGAGCGGCTCGTACTTCCAGCCCAGCATGTCCTTGCCCTTGATCTTCTCGACAACCTTGAACTTGGCCTTCTTCGGGTCCTTGTACAGGGTCGTCAGGAGCTTCTCGAGGAGGACGTAGTGGTCTCCTGACTTCTCGTCGAGAATCTTGACGTACTCGAAATCAGGGTGCACACACAGTCCCAAGTTGGTTGGCAGTGTCCAGGGGGTCGTCGTCCAGGCCAGCAGCTTCGTCTTGGGATCCTCCACCAGCGGGAATGAAACGACCACGGCAGGATCCGTCACATCCTGGTAATTCTGGTTTGCCTCGAAATTGCTCAGGGCAGTCGTCAAGACAGTACTGTAGGGCATCACGCGATGGCCCTGGTACACCTTGCCCTTGTCAAACAGCTGCTTGAAGGCCCACCATTCCGACTCCATGAATGTCAGATTCATGGTCTTGTAGTCGTTATCAAAATCAATCCAGCGTCCCAGTCGCTCGATGGTGGTCCGCCATTCTGATGCGTATCTCATCACGATGGCTCTGCACTCGTCGTTGTACTTGTCCAGTCCCATCTCCATAACGGCCTGCTTGCCGCTGATGTTGAACTTCTTGTCAATCTCATGCTCGATGGGAAGACCGTGCGTATCCCAGCCAAACCGCCGCTCGACGTGGTACCCCTTCATGGACCAGTACCGCGGGATGATGTCTTTGATGGTGGAAGCGAGGAGATGGCCGTAATGACTGTAGTGCAAGGTCAGAAGAAGCCGAGAAAGATCCTGGCGCATATTGGTACGTACGGAAGACCTGTCGCAAACGGTGGGCCATCGTAGAAGGTATAATTTTCACGGCCCTCAGACAATTTCACCTGTGCAAAACATCATTGTCATCAGCCTCGAGCCCCCTTCCCCCACCCCCAACAGCACGAAGCAGGACCTAAAACTTACCTGAGTCTCAAAGGCTTTGATCTCCCTCCACCTCTTGATAATCTCCTCTTCCTCTTTGGGGAAGTTTATGGACGACATCCTGGGCACTTGCTCTTGTGCCTAGGTCGTAACCGGGCTTGTTGGGCTGGATCAAGGTGTATCCTTTTGGGCAATGTCTAGTGGTATCTCGAGAGGTCGCACACCTGCAGAAAGAAGGTGGATTTGATCAATTGGGTCGCAAAATGATTGAGGAACCAAAAGCAGGAGACAAGATAACAGGAGGACAAGTTTTGCCTCCTGGATTGGGGGTGTTGATGTCTCTGCTGTTTTGCCCCTGGGTCAGACTTCTTGACTCACAAGATGACTCCAACTTGCTGTTGTGTCGGAAATATTGAAAAGGTTTGGAGGGGCAATCAAGGAACCGCGGGGTAAGCCACTGCCGGCCAGGAACCTCGAGGTTTGTTAGAGCCAGTAGGCCCCACAGGGCTGGGGAAGTGCAGCGCAGCGCAGTGCAGCACAGCACATTGGACAAGACGCTAGTGTTGGGCCCCATTGTTTACTAACACTTGACTGATGGCTGGAACCTTGCGCCCTCTCTCTTCGCTCTCTCTTGTGATCTAAGGTCGGATCAAGTTATCCAAGACCATGGCGCACCCCCTCCTTTCTGCCAACCTCAAGACATCATCTTCGGCACAAATACATGATTGAGCCCGACAATCTTTCATATGCACTATTGATCAGATCTTTTCTCCTCCTGAGCCTTGTTGCGCTCATGCTCTGGACTCCCTCCCCTGGGTTGTCCTTCACATCTCAGTCGATCCCCCTTCGAAGCAGCCACTGCACCACATCACACCATGTCTTTCCTTTTTGGGAGGAATAGGGCGCGTCCCAGCACTGTCGACCTACCCAAGCAAGCTAGAGATTATGTCACCAAGTTGGATGGACCTGCTGGGCCAGCAAAGGTGCGCAGTCGCCTGCCCTTTCCTGCTTGCTGCATGCCTCCCCTACCCAAGTCCACCTGGACAGCCTTGCTTATGTACTGTCTTTTGCTGAGGCATGCAAGGTTATGGTGCCCAAACTGACCTGATTGCTTGGCCTAGGCAGAAGAATTGGCAAAGGTACTTGCGCAGATGAAGCAAACATTACAAGGTACACATGGTATGTTGTCGTCGTTGTCTGTCCCAACTCTGTTACATCCTACTTTGCAAGTCTGACTGCCCACGCTCATATTTCTCATGTCATAGAGACGGAGGCTACTCCCGAACAGGTTTTCCAGCTTGTCACCGGCATCATTGAGGAGGACTTGCTCTACTATCTCGCAGTCAACCTATGGCGACTTCCCTTCGAGGCGCGAAAGGACACCCAAGTCGTCCTCAGCGCGGTCTTCCGGTTCCGACCCTCCACTGCTTCCACCAAATCCGACCCCGTTGCCCTTAGCTGGGTGGTCAACAACCGACCACAAGTTCTGATCGAGCTCTGCAAGGCATACGACCACAAGGAGAGTGCCACACCTGCCGGCTCGGTCCTACGCGAAATTCTGAAGAACGAGGCGGCAACGGCTGTAATTTTGTACGATGATGGGGAAGAGCAGGGTTCGAGCTCCAAGGGCATCAGCAGCATTGACCAGGATAGGCCACAATCCGGTAATGGCGTGTTCTGGCGTTTCTTCGACTGGATTGACAAGAGCTCGTTCGAGGTTGCCGCAGATGCCTTCACCACGTTCAGGGTATGTACTTTGCCCCACAGATTTCTGGATGCTCATGGCTGGGGGGCGACCGGGATGCTGATTGTTCCGTGCAGGAACTCCTGACGAAACACAAAGAGGTTGTCCCCAGGTACCTCGCCGTCAACTTCGACATGTTCTTTGACAAGTATAACCACGTGCTGGTTCAGTCCAACAGCTATGTCACGAAACGCCAGTCGATCAAGCTTCTAGGCGAGCTGCTGCTCGACAGGTCCAATTATAATATCATGACGGCATATGTGGACAGCGGCGAGCATCTCAAAATCTGTATGAACCTTCTCCGGGACGACCGGAAGATGGTGCAGTACGAAGGCTTCCACGTATTCAAGGTCTTTGTGGCCAATCCCCACAAGTCCGTACCCGTGCAGAAGATACTGTTGATGAACCGCGAGAAGCTCCTCACATTCCTGTCGCACTTTCTGGAGGACAGGACGGATGACGAGCAGTTCATTGATGAGAAGGAGTTTCTCATCAAGCAGATACGGAATATGCCCCCAGCGCCCGTGCCTCCCCAGAGATAGGTGTGAAGGGGCAGTGACGGGAGATGGGGCTGGATACGCACATGGTGGGGCTTCGCAGTATGAGCAGGGAGGGTTTAATCACAGTATGGAGTTGGATGCTATTATTCTGTTGGTTTGAAGCGAACGGTTCCAGCAAGAGCCTCAATTGTTGAGTACGATGTTACGAGGGCGTTTTCGTTCGAGGCTCAAAAGTATCGGAGCAATCACGGCCTACGCATGGTGTGGCGTTACGGATAGGAGGTGACATGAAGTGCAATCATGTCACTGTGGATGGTAAAGAATCTTTTCATTATTTTTTCAGCCGGCGCAAAGTGGCAGGCTTAGCATCAACCGGTATATTGGCCAGGACCCTTCCGAGAGCGGCTATGCCCAATCCCCTGTTCTTAGATACTACCAACGCTGCTCTGCAATGCTCGGTGACAGAAACTCTGCTTATGCTGGTGAACTGGCTTGCCTGCGGGCAGTATCCGTTCTCATCGCTGCTCGTCCAGCCATTTCTGGTGCTTGTCCTTCCACTCATCGCGCCATCTCGTCAGCGGTGGTCTGCCCTCTATGGCATCCGAAGCTCCCCAGAGCATTCTCTTGCGGTCCTGCAGAGGTGTCAGTGGACCTTTTGAAAATCTCACCATACAATCCATCACAATAACAAGAACTGAAAAGAAATAAAACCCGGCTGATGGGCAGGGTGGAGAGTAAGTTTTGGACTCACCAGTTCCTCGGTGACCTGATCATCCGGACAAAGCACCCAGAATTTGCCCTCCTTCATCTTTTCCTCAAGAAAGTCCACCACCTGGTCAGGCCACCACGCGCCTTTCGGCAGATCCTTGCCCGCGCCCGGCCTGTTGCCACTCAGGCCCGTGAAGGTCCAGCCCGGCACGAGCAGGTGCACGGAGACGTTCTTCTCGGCGCGCAGGTCGAAGCTCAGGTGCTCCGCGAGGGTCTTGACGGCGGACTTGCTTGCGTTGTAGGCTGGGTTTCCGGGAGGGTTGGTGATGCCCTGCTTGGAGCCCGTAATGATGATGGCTGTGGGGGAGGACGTGGCGGTGGATTTGACGGTGGGTAAGCTGGCGAGTGATGTTGAGAGAGTTAGATTGATGTGGCTTGAGGGTGGTGAGAACGACAATCAGTTTGTTTGGACTGACAATGTACTGATCCCATTAATCACGCCGAAGAGGTTGACGTCCATGATTCGTTGGAAGGACTGCGGGTCTTCCCATGACGAGGAGGATCCGATTCCAGCGTTCAGGGCGAGCAGGTTTATCTGGCCTGGTCGTGGTGTTAGCCTCCACACGTAAATAGTGTATGAACATTGAGTTTAGATAGAATAGATAAGAAGGGGGGGGGGTGGGTTGAGGTCCTCATCTCACCATTGAAGTCCTTGTCGACCCTGCCCTTCAACGTCGCCCAGTCGTCCGTCTTGCTCACATCCACCTTGATCGTGCCGATTTCACCGCCTACATTCTTGCTGGCTTGCCCCAGGGTCTCGTCGTCCCAGTCCGCCACGAGCACCTTCATGCCATACTCAAAGCATTTCTTGGCGAGAGAGAGGCCAATGCCGGAGGCACCGCCCGTGATGACAGCTGTATGTCCTGCCTTGAAAACAGACGCCATTGTTTTGATGAGATTCTTCTTTCTTTCTGTTAATTTGCCGTATGGGCTCTGTTTGGGTTTGTACCTTGACCAAGGGCACTGGGAAGTTGCCAGGATTTAAAGGTGGGAGTGGTTTAATATGAAGAGCAAGAGGAGGGGAATCTGTGACGTCGGCGATCATGAGTAGTAGTACCCTTTGCTAACTAAATACTTGGAATTTAAAGCCTAACTCCGATGTCTGTACACCTCGTTTTGAACGCTCATATTATATCAATATGGTGCTGGTAGTCATTCTATAGTTGAAGCTTTTCAATACTTGCTCGGACAAACAGAACTTCTATCTTTTTTTATATTTTTTTTTTTTATAGAGAATTCGGTGTTGTTTCTGTAAAACGGAAGAGGCGCGCACTTTGAAAAGGATGCGCTAAAGAGCAGTAAATAAGTACTCAAGTAGTCACAGCGAACTTGTATATTTTCATAGCGATATTATTATCGAGAAGCTTCTCTTGATCGAGAGATCTTTATATGTTATATATGCTATGCTTAAGAGGTTCGTTGGCAAAGTCATTGTCATCAACATCCTTGATATGGTCCTGGTGACTTTGGTCAATTCAACCAAATTGCTTCGTCTAGCAAAGATACATCCTCTTATACGTAAGTACTCGACCTTGTTTGAAATCATTCTGCTCATTTTCAACTACCTAGCCCAAGGAGAATTTTTTCTGTAGGAAGAGTTTATCAGTCCCGAATATTTCTGGGTGCACGCTCATATCTACGCCGATTTGGGACTTGGGAGGCGAGGTGGGGACGTTCCAGGTTTCGGAAGGTTGCCACGAAGGCATCCCATTCAGATCGAGAAGTACCCATTGTCCACTATTGATTAACAGTAGAACAGTCTGTGCATTGGGGCGGGTTGTACGGAGAGATATTATCAGGATGCTCGTACTAAACTCTCAAATGCAGAAGATCAATTCTTTTTTTCTCCTTTTCACGTATATTCGGTTTCGAACTCGTCCATATCAAGATTATTAAGACACTTCAGTCGCTCTCTACCCAGAAATGCGAAGCCAGAACGCAGTCTCAGTCACCAACACAGCCTCTCTCGCTTATGCGAAGCGTGATGCTCAGTAAATCTGCTGTGGTTGCAAAATGCTGTTATTATTTCCAAACGGGTGGTGCCACATGGTACGGCCTACAACCGGCAATATCCCGAGCCAGTGAGCGAACGCGGGGGCGGGGGCGGAGGCTGAGGAGCAGACAGCTAGCACAGCCTCCATTCCACTCGCAGCGACGGGATACAGTAAGTCCACTTGATATAACGAACTCTACTTCTTCCATGGGTTGAATTCGGCTTGTTCTAATCATCTCTTGCTATTCTAGGATAATTCAAAGAATCCTGTCTCCTTCGTCATAGCCTTGAGGCCGCTCAGGCGCTTGCAATGCCTCGCCCTTTGCCTCCGCGTCCGCGGACACGAGCCAATGCTACGCATTTCTGCAACAAAATCAGAGAGAGGAAAAGAATATTATGGACTATCTCAGAGGATCATACCAACGAACAGGCAGCATTCAAGAAGCGTTATCTGGCCTACAGGAAGACGCAGCCCCAGCAGCTCCAATCTAGGAAAAGGCCAGACGACATACGGCAGCCTCAGCCTGGGAGGGAAGCAGACGATGACAAACAGCAACGATCGGTGGCCGTGGGAGGCAGTCTTGCACTGGATAGCCATATCCAACAGCGCATCTTCACTGCTATTCAAAGCAACACAATACAGGTTTCACATGGATGGCAAACTAGCCTCAGTATCACAGAACGCATCGACAATATAGAGCACATGTAAATAGATCTACTTCCAGCCATTCGATCAGCTAATCATTGTATATATCAAAGCTGATCTATTATATTATGAATTATTATTCTAACACTACCTCTTCACTTGTTGAATTGCATCACAATAGTCGTTCAAGCTAATAGTTATGATCTAGGTTTCTAGCCTTTGCTGTTAACCGAACTGGTACTACAGTCCACCAACGAATCATGGACTATTGCATCAAGTTTGAAGAAGAGGCTGTACAGACATCTAAAGATAAGGTAGATCTCAGTCTTCTATTGTCACCAGTCTTTGACTTGAGCAGAACCTTGCCACTGAGAAATCAGCAGAACACCTATGACGAGCAGTTTCCCGATAAGCACCTACATGAGCAAGTCCTCAGCTTCCAGAACAAAGCCTCTGAGACGCAGGCAGCAATGAATGTCCAAACTCGACAAGCAATGATGCAGAAGCGATAGACACAGGTGCTGCTGAAGCAGCAACAGCCACAAGCTCAGGGCGCGACACGCTGCGGCGAATCTTGTTGTGCAGCTTATGTATCTATCTGGCTGCATTCTATGTTTTGCATTGGTGATCATGCACTTGCCAAGAAGGAGGCCATAAATACAGCAATAACTTGGCATGCATGAACTATCCATGGCAAGGACTACAAGAACTGAGTATCTTCAGTAGGGGAGTAGCATGAGGAGCTCACCCTCCTAGTTGCGCAGACATTAAAAGATCCTTGATACATACTTCCAACCGATCTCTTTTTCCTTATATTAATCCTTGGTATGACCAGTCCAGTCCTTGCTTATCCCTATCTAGACTGGCGCTCACAGCAAGAAGGTCAAAGTCGAGTGATATAAGTGCTTTACTACTAGTCAGCCTCGCCGAAGTTGCAGTGGTGGGCAGGATCCATGTAAGATGATTGGTTGAGATGCCGCGAAATCACCAGGGGACCATCTGTTTTCGCTGCGCATCCATCACATCGGCCAGCGACAGTGAATTGAAGGAAAATTGAAATTCAAAGAAAAGATGAAAAAAGGACAACTGTTTCTGATGTTCAGACCTCAGACTGAAAGGCATGCCGCTTTAGATGATCACCCTTTCCTGGGGGAGAGCAAGTAACATTCTCAGGTAGAACTACCTACCTCCTACGTAGACTCAAATCTCTTCATTCACATTATTCATTTCTCATAATCCGAACTCGTCTCTCTCCGCTCATATGCCTCAGTGCATGCTAACATAAACCCCCTTCAGATGGAAATACGCAGAGAAAACAAAAACAAAAAATTGCAAAGAAAAAAATCAACGCGCGCTATGAATAATCCTGATCCTGCCCATTTCATTCCCTCAGTCTCTTGATCTGTGTGATGCAATGCCCCGAAGAGGGTTCCTGGACCTATACAAAATATACAATTATTCCCTCATCTCTGTTGCCATCTCAGCAGGCACAGGTGTGTCCTGCCGACTCCCTGTAACCGGATTGAACAGACTCTCCGACTGTGCCTCTTCCGCCCTCCTCGCTAATCTCGACACGGCCGACTCCATCGCCATAATCTGATTGAGATTCTTGCTGGACGGTGGCACCGTCGGCGTGGCCAACATGTCAATGTCCATCTCGCTAGGCGTGAGGCTGATGGCCCTCCTGGGGTCCACCTCGGCCAAGGACGACGACCCTTCATGCACCTCGGAATCAGACATTGTCACGTCCGCCATCGCATCATCGTCATAAATACGAGCATCCTCCTCGAACCTCTCGATGCTCGGCGTGGCAACATCCATAGGCGATTGGACCACCACAGCTCGAGCCATTACAGGCTGCTGCTGCTGTACAGCAGGGAAATCCCCTGCAGCAGCCGCCATGGCTCGTGAGCTGGAGCCAGCACCAGCCTCGACTGCAGCTTCGCTCTGCGCCCTCGCAGCCGCCCTCAGCGCAGCAATAGCACCGCCCACCTCATCCTCTGCGCCCTCCTCCTCCTCGTTCCCGATTGTCCACACCCACCGCCTGTTCCTCTCCTTTCTCTTTCTCTTCCTCACACCCATCGGGCTCCCTCCTACAGGTGACGTCGGCGTCCGTGCCACCAGGCCTGCCATCCGTCTCCTCATCTCTTCAAATGGCCCCGGCGTCATGCCGCCATCGCGTGTCGCCTCTTCGTCCGCAGGCGAGGAGGAGGGCTGGCCTGCTGCTGCTGCTGCTGCGGCGGCGGCGGCGGCGGCTGCGGCGGCAGAGGCTGGGTGGGTGGCGGTGTTGGGTGTTGCCGATGAAGACAGCGGCGAGTTGTCCTCGGCAAGCAGCAGGTCGATGTGCGAGGTGACGTATTCGTTGGTAGTGATGATACGCTCGATGGGGCTCTCGTAGCAGACGCGGCGGGCAGCCTTCTCGGCCAGGCGCTGGGACTGGCGGCGCGGGGAGATGGGCGTTCGAGCGGTGGGTGGCGGCAGCGGTGAGTTGCGGAGAATCGAGTGCAGGGAGCGGTTGCGGACGTAGGGGAGCGAGACGTTGTTGGGCCTGGTAACGGCGAGAGGGAGGGTGTTCCGGCGTTGGTGGTGGTGGCGCGTCTGTGTCGTAGCGGCGGGGCTATTGTTGATCGCCATCGCTGCGTGATGTTGAGACGCTGTTGGAGTCGTCAGGGGCGTTGTGGAGGAGGAGGGAGAGGAATAGCCATTATTGTTTGAGATAGTCCCTGGCGCGGGTATTGTCGATGCGGACGACATGTCTGCTGTGCTGAAGGAGAAGGGCTTCGTCTCGCTGCCATCGACCGGCCCTGCAGACAGGGGAGGTGTGGCTGTCATGGTGCTCGGGAAGACAACAGCATCCTGAAGGCTCGCCACTGCGGGAGATATCGGCTGGGCCGTGAGAGGAGTCTCAGGAGCCGAGACGAAGGGTGTAGGGGCCCCTCCATAGGGAGTCTTGGGCGCCAGGTTCTGTGTTTGCAGCCTGAGGGATTGTTGCTGTGGCTGCTTGGTGTTGATGGCTGTCACGGGCGTCGAGCGGTCGATGGCTGTGGCGTAGACATTGGAGAGGGTGTTGAAGGAGGTTGGTGATGTCGGGTTGACGACGGCAGCGATGGTCCTGGAGGCTCGGAGGTTGGGCCCGCTTGAGATGGCCTTGATCTGGAGAGACAGCCTTGGCCTCTTTGGCGGTGGATTTTGGTGGCCCGACATGGCTGTCGTGATAGAAGAGGAGGAGGAGGGACGGGGATGAGGACGGGATGAAAAGCAAACAACGTGACACAGCCGTGGCAGTAGTAGTAGATAGCCCACGCATACACGAGTAGTTGCTTCAAGAAAAAGAGAGAGGGAGTAGTGTGTGCCCTTTCTTTAAGAGTATTGAGTAGAGTGAAGTAGAGTAGAGAGAGGTGCAGTGGGTTTAAGGTGGTCCGCACGATATAATGCGAAACATGAAACAACCCGGTTTGAGGTCTCTCGGCCGACGTCAGATGAGCGTGGTTATGACTGTAGCAGATGAGACTCTCTCTCTCTCTCTCTCTTTTTCTTCCTCACTTCTTCTCTCTCTCCCTTTTTCTCAAGGCAACCGACAGAATTGAATCGTGGGCGGCAAAAAGAAAAAAAAAAAAAAAGAAACGAAAGAAATTTCCAAAAGCGTTGGGGACCGAAAAACCCGGGGGGAAGGAACAAATGGTCGGCGGCTATATAATGTGACAAGGGTGGTGGTGGTGAGAGGGAAAGTGTAAAGAGGTGTGTGAGAGCTGCAAGTGTGCGAGTGACAAGGCGGGAAGCTTCCCCTCCCTCCCCTCCTTTCGGCAGGATAGGAACAAAAAGACAAGACAGATAGATGGACAATACTCATGAAGAAGGGCCCTAGATGAAAAGAAGAAGAAAGCACCGGTAGGCTAATGCACAAGAGAAGCACACAACAGAATCGACAGATCAGGAAAACAAGATAGGAGGAGGAGGACAAGGTTGGGGACCCAACAGGCCTAGATCGACCTCTTAACCATGGCTCCAAGGCGCGGGAAAGAGATCTGGTCAACCATAAAAAAAAATACATCAGAAAAAGCAAGCCTTATTGAGAAAGTGCTGACTTCACTTTAAAACAAGTGGAATTCACAGTAGCAGCAGGCAGACACACCGAAAAAGGGCGGAGGGCCCGTACTGTACCTCAAGATCCTCCTTTTTCTCCTACAAGTACTCCTCTTCCTTCTCCTCTTCTTTCTTCCTTTCCTCCTCATTCGAGCGAAAGGGGCTTACCTAGACTCCCTTGAATCCTACCCCCCAACCACGCCACTGCAGACGATGTGATGTGCAAAGTGGGTGTGGTGGTTGGGTTGAACGAGCAGGGGTCTGGGCCATCTGGATTTGGTCTAGCTCCGAGTATCTTGTGAGCCCGTAAGCGCTGCGTACTCGCATAGCGGCACAGGCGGCTAGCCAATCAAGGCGGCTATATGCAGTGTCCCTGGCCGCCTCGTCACAAATTGGCGTCTATTCGGGTCAGATTGTAACGGGAATTTGTCCAAAGAACCATGGTCCTGGTTCAGTTCCATAGTAAGATGGTCTCTGCTCGAACACCGATAGGCCCGCAGTGTGAAAAGGAAAAGGAAGAAGAACAAGGCAGCCCGTACTCGCTCGACAATTCGCTGTAGAAGACGCCGCCACTGGCGCTGCTGCTTCTAGGGTTTTAGCACACACTCTCTTCCTCTCTCTCTCTCTCTCTCTTTACAGAAACGAGAAAGAGAAAGACAGAAAAACCCGTTGGCAGCGCAAGATACGAAAGAAAAGGATCGCAGAAGGAGTGATGAGGGGCGGCAATATGTGCATGTGTCTGTGTGGCTGGCTCGCATTCTCACTGTTCGGTCGTAAAGAGGGGGTGTTTGGCTTTCGGCCTTTTTTTCTGTTCTTTTTTCTTTCTTTCTTTTTTTTCTTTCCCCCTTGTGACTGGTGAATTGACGCTGTTAGGCGGGCGCCAGACGCTTGCTGAGCGCGGCTGTAATTTGGCCAGACAAAGCAACTAACTCAAACTTTCTTGTTAAAAGTCCCAAAGGATTTCTCACCACATGCGGTTCGAAATGGGGCGAAGGAAGGCCAGCCACCCTCATCACTGTTGTAGTGAACCCTACCATGTCCCCGCGCCACACAGTCACATTAGCCAAACCTACCGGCCTGGTTCGCCAAGCAGTTTATTTCTCTCTTCCGTCTACGTACTGTACCGGAGGGGTTTATAGGCCCACCCTCGGACCATCACCATTCATGCTATGGCACAATGAGTAGAAGAGAGACCAGTGGACGACGTAAGAAGAGACCAAGCCGACATACATGGCAAGCACATACTCGCAGAGAAAGAGGAGGGGGGGGGGGGAGAATGGGTCGACTAGAAACCAGGATGACAGAAAAGAGACCATGATGACAAAGAGGCCCGAAGGGACCATTCAGAGGAAACAGAAAGAGGACCAAGGGGTAATTGTAAGCTGTTGAGATGCTGCCGATCTGAGCGGATGGGAGGTATTACCCAGGAGACACAGACGAAAAGAGGAAAGACTTGAATGAAGGGCAAACCAGCATAGAGGAAGTTTCAAAGGAAACGTCCAGCAGACGCAGCGTGGGGCGTGCTCCATTGACTCCGTATGTGCGCGGTGGGCACGCAGACAGAAAGGGGAAAACCCTTTCTTTTTGCTTCCTTTCAGGATGCACACATTCTGTCAGCCGTGTTCCCCCTCTCTCTCTTCCTTCCCAACGCCAATCACGCATGGGGCCAAGAATGATTTCAAAAGTCGGTGAATGTGAAGACAAGAATCCTCCGCTTTGTCCGCCGTCCTCAGCTTAGACCGAGCACAGGTCAGATCCACCATTTTTTGCTGCCTCATTGCTGAGTTATGGTAATCTCAGTGTTGTCACTGCCGCCTATATTCCCGAGCGGATCTTGCCAGCCAGCTTACACATGGCCTTCTCGAACTCGAGACTGATTTCCACGTACACCGGATCCCCTGCCGGCATCAGCTGCGCGCCCTTGAATCCACATATGGCATTCTCACGATCCAAAAACCAAGTGAGGTTCGGTGCTCCCCCCCACGCGACTGTTCCCTTGCCTCGCCAGCCCGGCTTGCCTTCCGTGTCGACGATACCACAGAGACAGTGATCTATCTCTCCTTTTCGGCTACCACGGGCTACGACCCGTGTCAGGATCGGCGAAGAAAAGACGAATTCGTCCATCCCTTTCTTCTGCGCCGCACTGAGCTGTGGCCTGAACATCTCGACCACAGTCGCCCGCTTCAGCATCTTCTCGTCCTCGGCCAGCAAGCTCTGGAGGATCTTCAAGTAGCCGCCTCCACGGATGAAGGTCCCTTGGCCGCCGTAGCAGTACTCCGTTGTTGATGGGTCCTGGGTCCCCTGGGATCCTGGGGTGTAGGTGCCGTCCTCCAACCTCTGCGCCATTGTCGCAAATTGCGAACCCGGCACCTTAAGAGGGAAAAAAGAGATCGCATCCTGCTCGACACCCACTGCCATGAAAATAATCTTTTCCATGTATTGTGATAGTTTCATACCCGTCACTCGCTCAACAGCTAGGCCGGCCCAGTCAAGGCCACAGCCATACAGCCAGGCGGTGCCTGGCTCAAAGGCCAACGGCAGGTTGAAGAGCTTTGGGACGGGCCCCGGCTGACGTGGGTGCTGCTGCCGCCACGCAATCAACAGAGGATGAATAAAGTCGTACCCAAGTCCCGAGGTGTGGGACAAGAGGTGGCGATAGGTGATTTTGTTCTTTGGTGTCTCGTACTCGGGCACCGGCTCTGCCCTCTTGATGATCTTGAGCTCGGCGAGTTCGGGGAGAACGTCATAGACCGGGCCGTCCAGGTCGAGGCGGCCCTCCTCAACGAGCCTCATGATGGAAATGCTGGTGAGAAGTTTGGTACATGATGCTGCCCACATATAAGTGTCCGCGGTCATGGGCTGTGCGTCTGGCTCAAACGAGGCGTAGCCAAAGGTGCTGTGATAGTGGAAAGCGCCAGTGGCATCTGATGCATAGAAGATGGCATTGGGGATCTTTTTTTCGTCCACGAGTTGTTGGACGTAATTTTCGAAAGCCGTAGCCATTTTGATTAAATATAAACAAAACAGTGTTGTACGGGGCTTATTGAACCTCCAAGAAAATCGATAATAACTCAACCGACCATTCTGGTCTAGTCTTCGTCGTCTTCGTCTTCGTCGTCGTCTCTCTCCGCGGGAGAGAAGGAGAAAAGAGGGAGAAAAAGCCCAACATGTTGACTTTTTCCCTCATCTATATAAGGTAGGCAGATATAATCGGGTGCAAGTAAACCCTCAGAGCTAGGCCTCAGCAACGAAGAGGATGATGCGACTAGTCGGCGTAAGACACTCCCGAGAAGGGAAATGTTGCGAGTCCGCGGTGCCGGCGATACACGTCGGGCTGCCTCGGTATACCAATATTTTTAATTAAGGGCTCTGCTCCACACCGGCCGTGTGGCTTCAAGCCAGGGGGATTGGAGCATCTTGGGTGCCCCGCCATGTTGGTTATTTGCGGGTGGACCGGATAGCCACAAAACTCAGAAGTTGCTCATACTACAGTATGGTACGTGATGCTCTGCATTTGTGTAGCTCTCCGAGGTCGCAGATGCCAGTATATTACCACCAATGGCGGTCATCAAGGGGCAATGCGGAGGAGGGCGACTCGGCGGAGGCTGCTGCTATTGGGCTCCAGGTCCACATCTGTATTAGCAGTGCTTGTACTTGCCTGCCGGTATTGTCGTTGGTCAATACGTTCTGTCATCATTTTCTCGTTTGAGGTCCTCTTCGATGTGAACTTTGGATCTTGGATGTTGTACAGTAGAGGTTGGTTCACAGAGGGAGGAAGGAAGAAGAAGAAGAAGAAGAAGAAGAAGAAGTGATAATTAATTACCTGTCGCGCCATCCAGTAATGCGCTGCAGGCAGGCGATGCGGTGACCCTTGTAGTGATTAGTCAGCCTGGTATACTTCTTTCCTTTCCCATTGACGCAACATCCGACCTGCATGTTGACTCAAAGCTTTCTAATTTCGAGGAGTCGCAACGCAGCCCACTGACGACCATATTGCATGCCTTCAGGTGCTAAGCTCCTGGCAATACGATCATGCTACAGCAGACACGAGACGATGAGATGAGGGCCGACTCCATCAAGCCTTACAAGAGGTCAGAATGGATTTCTCGGTGAAGACCAAGAAGATTCCTCGAATGAAACAGGACAGGATAGTCTTGCATTTCGTAAGATCTACGAAGCCCATTCCAACCAGTGCGAAAACAAGACAAAAACTCATACTGCTCTCTCCCTCGCTCTATCTTCCCTTTTCAGGACTATGACTGCTTCTACGCACAAGTGGTCGAGAACTCGCAGCCCGCCTTGAGATCTCTGCCCCTGGGTATCAAGCAGAAGAGCATCCTGGCCACATGCAACTACGTCGCCCGCAACCGGGGGGTTCGAAAGCTACAGGCAATCTCAGAGGCCAAGAAGATCTGCCCGGATCTAGTCCTGGCGGACGGCGAGGACCTGTCTGCCTTTCGTGACGTGTCCAAAAGGCTATACGGCCTGCTAAGATCGTACTCGTGGAACAAGAAGGTTGAGCGTCTAGGCCTGGACGAGATCTTTCTCGATGTCACTGACATCATCGCCTACAATGTTGGTCTCCTCAACGCTAACGCACTCTCGGAGTCCTTCTTTTGTCTTGCCCCAGATGACCCGGAGAAGGGTTTCCCCTTCGATGCCTCAGCCTTTGCTGGATGCGTTGTTGAGGGAACCAGTGACAAGCAGGGCAGCTACGAGAACCCGCTGTTTGTAAGGCTTGTCCTTGCCTCCCACCTCGCAAGATACCTTCGTCTCAAGATTGAGGAGGAGGGTTACACTTCGGCCTGCGGCATCTCAACCAACAAGCTCTTGAGCAAACTCGCCGGCAGCGTTCACAAGCCGAGGAACCAGACGACCCTGCTGTCATTTGACCAAAAAGACGTTCTGGAATTTGTGGACCCTCATGGACTCCGTAAGGTTCCTGGGATAGGGGGCAAGATTACGCACGCGCTGGAGAGCTTCTTCTTGGGCAGGGATGCAGGCACAGCGAGTTACACCGAAGGGTCCGCCGTGACCGTTGGTGAGCTCCGAGGCCACCCTGATGTCTCTCCGCAGATGCTGGAAAGGTTGCTCGGAAGCCGCCCAGGATCGGAGAGGGGTATCGGGGAAAAGGTGTGGGCACTCGTTCATGGAATTGACGAGACCGAGGTGAAAGCCGCGTACAATGTGCCCACACAGATCTCGATCGAGGACACGTACCCTGGACTGACTGGTGGCCTGAACACGGCTGCAGAGGTCGAGCGGGAGATGCTGAAGCTTTCTGCGTCTTTGCTACGCCGGATGTATGTTGATCTCACCGAGGACGAGGAAGCAGACGAGAAAACACCTTGGTCACCGACTCGGACCCGAAGGAAATGGCTGGCGCATCCCAAGACGCTTCGGCTGTCCACCCGCCCCAAGACGTCACACAATGATGATAAACCTTACAATTGGGGTCGGTCGAGTCGCAGCCAGCCGCTTCCGACCTTTCTCTTTACCGGCTCATCAGATACTCTGGATGACGAGGCCATCGTTGCGAAGCTTGTCAGGGAGGCGCTTCTGCCGATGTTCTCTGCGCTGAACCCGGCCAAAGACGGTTGGAACATCGGCATGATCAACATCTGTGTGGCGAACATGGTTCCTACGGCCGCCGAACCAGGTGCATCGGGGAGCGGGCGAGATATATCGCAGATGTTCCGGAGGCAGGAGGATGTACTGCGAGACTTTAGGGTGCGTGATGATGATGATGATGAAGACCAAGAGCAAGAAGAAGAGGAGGAGAGCGCCAAGCTCGTTATTTCAAAGGGTACGAGCCAGCGCGGCCTTGACATCTCTGTCCCATTAGCAGATTCGGCCAACGACATGGGCGCATACGACGTCGATACGGCGGAGGGGGAGACGGGAGTTTGGCATGAATTGGATGGAAATCAGGCTTGTCCACAATGCGGCCACTTTATTCCTCCTTTCGCCCTGGCTGCCCACGAGCGATATCATGATCTTGGAGATGGTTGATGTGACCTGGCGAGCTGTCATGAAATGCAATGAGTAGACCAAACAAAGAAAGAAAAAAAATAATTAAGAAGTCAAAACCCATGTCTGGACCATTGTAAGAAATTTGGAAGGCTATTACTTCAAAGACTCAAACCTTTCTAAAGGTCCGAAAAATAATTGCCAGAGTGTTTACCTATGCGAGGATCATCTTCTCTTACTATGCTTGTTTTGCAAAGGATAATTACAGGGATTACTCTAGGGTCAGTGGGAGGGAGCTTTATCGATAAGTTACGTACCTCAAGTACTCGAGTAGTGAGATGATGGCATCCCAGCTTGATGACATGCACAAAGTACCCATCCACCCACTCTTCCTCTCAATCACAAGCCAAACCATGCCTTTCGTTCTTTCAAAAGCCACAAAACAGTCAAGATGAGCCACCAACGATACCCTTCCCACGATCCCCTCAAGGAGCCACACTCCATCTCCCTCAAGGTCCTCAGGCAAGTGAACCATCGTCTTTCTCTCTCCCGCCATACCTTCACCACCATTATTACTATCACCAGTCTTGACTGACATTCTTCTATGCTCCAACAGGCTCTCCCGACCCTCCTTGGTAACCCAGCACCCTCTTCCCCCGACAGCCAAGCCCTCAAACCAAGCCTACCACCACCAATCACCACCAAACCCCGTCCCGGCCTCCCTCGCCTACACCACCAAGACCACCACCCACCAACCCGACACAAACCCCACCCCCTTCCTCCTCAGCCCCGTCCTCAACCTGCCCCCATCCTTCGGCTCCGCCTACGTAGGCGAGACCTTCTCCTGCACGCTATGCGCCAACCACGAGACAGACCCCGACGCCCTCCCCCCATCCTCCTCCGCCCCAGCGAGCAGGAAATCCATCCGCGACGTCCGCATCGAGGCCGAGATGAAGACCCCATCCTCCTCCTCCGGCGGCGCCGGCATCAAACTCCCCCTCTTCCCTCCTCCTTCGTCTTCTTCCGCCGGTGCTCACGAGAGCGAGGGAGCAGGCACAGACCTCGACCCCGGCCGCACCCTCCAGCGCATCGTCCACTTCGACCTCAAGGACGAAGGCAACCACGTCCTGGGCGTGACGGTGTCCTACTACGAGGCCACCGAGACCTCGGGCCGCACGAGGACGTTTCGGAAGCTGTACCAGTTCGTCTGCAAGCCCAGCCTGATTGTGCGGACCAAGGCCGGCCCGCTGCCTGCGCTGCGGCAGCAGCAGCCGACACCCCCACCAGACAATGACGACAATGAAGACGAAGAAGAAGAAGAAAAAAAGAAGGAGGCTGCTGTGGCGGCGGCGGCGGCGGCGGCAGCAGTAGCGAGCCGGAGGCGGTGGGTCCTCGAGGCCCAGCTCGAGAACTGCTCCGAGGACACCATGCAGCTGGAGCGCGTGGTCCTGGAGCTCGAACCGGGCCTGCGCTACCGCGACTGCAACTGGGAGGCGAGTGGGGCCCCCAAGCCCGTGCTGCACCCTTCCGAGGTGGAGCAGGTGTGTTTTGTGATCGAGGAGGAGGACGAGGAGGACGAGGAGGCGGCGGCGGCCGCCGGCGATGATGACAAGAAGGAGGGGGGACGTCAAGCGGTGCGGGAGGAGGAAGGGCGGATCTTGTTTGGGACGTTGGGAATCGGATGGCGGGGGGAGATGGGGAGTCGAGGCTGGCTTGCGACGGGCAAGTTGGGCACCAGACATCTTTGAGGGGGTGCGGTATGCTTGCTTGCTCACGCAATCAGTCTGGGCATGGTGGAACGGGTTTGTGTCAGGCTGGCAAGTGCCCCCCATACTGAACAATGTATGCTGGAGCAGGGCATGTACAACCAGTCAAGCATCACCCGACGTAATGCTACTTTATCAGCTGCGGCAATATTCGTAATGATGGTGATGATGCAAAGTCTTTTTGTATCTAATCACTTTTCATCGCTAGACTTGAATGACTAGTCCTCTCGTCTCTTGATAAGTGATTCTTAACCAACAACAGTAGTCGCAAAAGGGGGGAAGGGGTCCCTTCGCTGTTGTGCCATGGGCTGCCTTTACATATTGACCTACTTATACATGACTCTCCATAGATGACAAAATGCCTTGCCAAGAAAAAAAAGTCTAGCCTGACGCTGATGATCCAAATGTCCTCTTCTCTCCTCACCACACACATACAGCTTGAACTTGGCCGGCTGGTGATGATACAATTTGAGCCTTCTGCTAGGCCTTTTTGTTGAATCTGAAACGTCTCTTTCTCTTTCTCGCTCTCCTCCGCTACCCTCGAAACCGGCCATCTGCGCAAAACACCTCGATAGGGTGCCACTGTCTTGCTGTACCATAGCAGACTGCAACAATCAATGCATCAATCGCGACACACGTGGAGGAGGGTCGCCTCATGTTCAGTAGCCAAGGTCTCGTCACATGACCCGCTCCCTCGACTACTATGGCGTTCCGACTGAGCTTCCCACCTGCTTTCTCAAGAAGCCCTTGCCCCTCTGCTCTGGTCTAGGCGCACCTTGGATGGAACGTGGCTCCTTGATCAAAGAAGGATCCAGTCTCGCGGGAATTCTCGAGATGATAGCATGATAGTCCCCTGGAAACTTGGACGTCGGCACCGGAACAGAGGCCGTCCTCCAGATATGGTCATTCGTGTCACCCAGAAACCCGTTCATCTTGGGCTGCTTGGAGGGCGCATTGAATCCGGTTGATGCTCCATGACTTGCTCGAAGCGTCGACAGCCGAGAGAATCCAGCCGACAGACCGGGCCGTCCTCGGGCCTTCTTGGCTACCAGGATTTCGTCGAACAAACGGATATCTGGGTGGCTGACAGAGTTACGTTCCCTCTCATGTATGAATTCGTTGAAAGCTATCATCACATTAGTCAGGACTGCTGTTTCAAAAGCCCCCCCAGAAAAAGTTTGTAGAGCGGGGCTCTTTTCTTACCTTGCGTCTCCCTCATCATGCCGGCGTACTCCTGTTGGTCGTACGGCAAGCTCTTGATAAATCCACTCATGTCGAACGCATAGAGTTGGCCATTCTCCTTCTGCAGCTTGGAGGGCCGACCGAGATATTTGCGATAGGTAAACAGCAAGCTGGCGAGGCAGCGAACAAACGCAGCTCGGACCCTGTCGGGATGAAACGCAACAGGACAGACAAGACAAACAAAGCCCAAGCAGCGGTTGTGGGCCAGCGTGCCACAGCCGCGGCACCTGAACAGCCCATCTCCCTCGGACCGCTCGTCGCAGATCCCGCACAAGGAGTCGCGCTCGGAGGGGTTCCACTCCATGCAGTGGCCCTCCACCCAGACCGTTGTGTCTGTGTTCTCCACAGGCTGGACGAGCATGTTCGGCATCACAGTCGAGGCCGCGATCGTCGACTGCGCGTAGGATGACGGGGCATACCCAGCATTGTACGAGGACGAAGAGTCGCCAGAGACAGACGAGATGGACAGGTTGGCCGTGTGCCCGTTAAGGTACGGCAGGCTGGGTCTGTGGACGGGTGGGTGTTGCTCCACTCCAAACGAGGAGCTGCGTCGCGGTTTGTTCTCGAAATGGCCAGAGCGCTTCTCCCGAAGCGTATTCGCCCCAGCAAACCCAGAGTCTGTCCTGGAGACCGGTGTGGTCGGCATAGGCGGGAAATTCATCGAGATGGGCGAGACCGAAGACTGCGGACTGGTCTTACCGGACCGCGCCGTGGTTGGCCTCCCCTGGAGATCGGGCCTGGCGTGCGAGAACGCATTGAAGATTGGCTTCCGTATGCTTTCGGGCTGGAGCGGCTCGCCAAAGGTGGACGAATTCTGTGAGACCCATTTACCCAGAGTGCTAGGCACGGGCCTTGAGGTGAAGAGCGCCTCGTGCTCGGCCGAGAACGAGTCGTAGGGGAAGGCCTCGATGGCATATGGAGGCGCACCGGTAGCGACTCCGAACCTCAGCTGGTGCGGCGCAGCAATCTGCAGCAGGGAGAGCAGCTTCCGACGGTGCTGTCGAGGAAGTCGAATCGGCTGCGAGGTGGCGTCGATTGTGTCCCTGTCGAGGTCGACCAGCACGTAGTCGTCCTCAGGAAGCTCGACGTCGTCGTATCGCCTCTCGATGCCGACTATGTAAGGGCATGGGGCATCGAGCGCGGAGAGCAGCCTTGCGGGCAGTACCGGGATGAACACGCTTGCCCATTTCAGTGGGTACATGAGGTTGACAAGGGCGTGACAGGCAAGGTGCAGCATGGCGGTGTAGGAGGAGACGAAGATGATGCGCGATTCCGACATGGCATATTCAAACAGGGCGAGGACGTTCTCCAGAGAGAGACACCTGAACAGGGCGTAGATGTCGATGTTCCGCGACCCGGGCAGCTCATTGATGGCCTCCTTGCGGGAGTAGAGGCGGAGTTCCCTCAAGCCCAGCTCTACCTGTGTCTTGGAGCTTAGGGGGCTCAGGGCCTCCATGCAAAGGTTGACGACGTACCGCTCCAGGGGCTGCCAGCGGCCCACCTTTGGCGAGCTCGGCGGGACTCTCAGAATCGCGCCGTCGCTCATGGGCACAAGAACAGCCCGGAGCCATTCCTTCCAGAAGGATATCTTGCTTTCGTCACGGCCCAGGATACCATATGCGCGGGGGGTCCACAAGCCGGTCTCGCCCGCTGTCAAGCCGTCGATCTTGGAGGCTGCTCCGTGTCTCAGCGGTCGTAACATGTCTGTCATGAGACTGATCTTCTCCTCCACTGTGCTGATCTGGTCGTCGAGAGCGTCTCTAGCGGGAGAGCCAGAGGGGATGGTGGGGAGTTTGGCCAAGAGTTGGGACAGGTTTGCCCTCTCGGCCGCAAGACGGGCGCCGAGGCTGGCCGCGAGCTCTCTCTCCTCGTCAGACATGTGCCTCTGCCGCCATGCCTCACACTTCTTCTCGACCTGATCCGCAACGTCGACACTGAGCGGCGTCCATATAATCACGGTGATGCCGTAGATCTTGGAGTTGTCGTCGCTGGTCATGGTGAAGCCATGCCAGGTAGGCCGAGGTCGGTCGTCGGACGAGACGATCTGTATGTCGTTGGGAAAGGCGAACATGGGCACATAGTCCGGGAACTTGCCTCTCCGTGCTACTTCGTCAGGGACATTCTTGGGGTACCTGTCTAATAATTTGGGTTCGAACCGTCTCTTGAGGGGGTGCATGTTTGGATCTAGGTTGAGGGGTTCTGGTGGGGGAATGACGGAATTATAGTTGCTCAGACGCTTCGTGGTCCGGACAGAAGCTGTAGCAGACGGTGTGAGTGAGTGATTGAACCACATGGTTTTCCTAATCAATGTACCACGCATGTCCAAGGGGCGGTGGTGAAAAGGGGGGGGGGGGGCGGGGGTAAAAGACGTACCTGGTCTCTGCCTCACTGTTGTAGTCTGCCTCTTAACGCTGTTCATGTCTCTGAAGCTGATCTTCCGCCGGATGCTACCCTTAATACTCCGCAAGGGGCTCATCCTGCCGCTGGCCTCGCCCTCCTCGGCCTTGATTCTCTCCGTCCGAGGGTTGACCATGGGAGCGCGCGGCTGCAACTTGGCCCCAGCGCTGAAACTCAGGTCATCCAGGAAGTTCTCACGCTCGGCCGCGAACTTCAGCAAGGCCTCGTCGAAGTCGAAGTCGGGCAGGCCCGTGAATCCTACCCCAGTACCGGACCCTGGGGCCGGCGGGATGGTGGGCGTGTCGATGGCCGGGGCATCGGTGGTCGTGGGTGTGCTGTCGTCGGCGCCGTTGGTGCCGTTCGCGTCGCTGCTGGTGCCATTGGTGCCATTGTTGACCTGGGCGACCGGCCTGATGGTGGCGCTGCTCCTGTTGCTCCTGGTGTTCCCGTCGTCCTCTTCGCCTACTGGCTGTATCGAGAAACGCACGTCGCTGAAGGCCTTGGAGAGGCGATTTAAGGAGCCCCGACGCGAGTGACGGGCGGTGTTGTTCTTGGGAGGCGAGCCAGGAGGGGATTCGGGCCCTTCATGGTCCTCCTTGATGGTGTCGTCCAGCTGGAGGGTGCTGAGGGGCCGCGAGTCGACGGGTTCGTTATCATAGTATTCGATTTCTTCTATGCCGGCGATCCAGAAATAGTCGGCAAGCGGGTGTGAGGGACCATCCATGACACCGGTCTTGTCTTGTCTGGCGCACGCAGTATTCCAAAGTCGGACTGCCTCATGGGGGCATTGGCTGTCCCGAAAATGCTTTTATTATGCTGAGAGCCCAGGCTTGTGGGAGCACATGGGAAAGAAGGGGCGAGGAGGAGCGCGTGCTAAACCTCCCTCGAACACCCACAGCAGACTGCTGGTGACCTCTCGCAACTTGGCCGTTCGAAAGCTAGGTAGGTTGGGGATATAGCTGCGGTTTTCGATCTCGCGCGCTGAAGGGACCTTTGACCTTCTTTCCTCTTGTCAGGTTCGAGAATTGTTTCCAGATAAGGGGGATGGGTTCGGCCAGGACAATCACAGGAGTTGGGATAGGATATGTACCTGCGTGTCTATAAATGCTCGGACAGGTTGGTCGAGAGGAGGAGGAGGAGGAGGAGGAGGAGAAGTGGGAGCAGAGGCAAAGAGTCGTCCAGTCCCGCGTCCCTTGTTGCTCTGCAGAACCGGAGTGAGTATGGAGATAAGGGACAGGAATGTAGCAAGCTAAGAGCTGTGCGAATCGTATGATGAGGCCAGGCACGAAAGATAATAGTCCACTAGCTGCGGCCTTGAACTTGAAGAGAGGAAGAGAGAGGACCAAAAGGAGCTGACTGCAACTACAAACTGCGCCGGAGGGAGGGAAAGGGGAAACTAGGGCAGGGCAGCAGAATAGTCTGGTGGTGGAGAGAGTTCGGCAGCTCCAACGGTGGTGGGTGAAGGAGGGAGTGCGTCGGGTTGGGAGGAATTTGACCGGCGCGTAGTTCCCGCGTGGCTTGGGACGGACGACGGTGGATGATCTTGGTGGGCTCTCTCTTTCGGTAGCTCTTCCACCACAAGGGTCGCCGGCAACGGTGAAGGGGGGTGGGATGGATTGGGGATTTGGGGGATGACAGAGGCGGCATAGCACTGCATAGCGTGTGTACTACAGCACTAAAGTCTTGCCTATGAACTATGTACTACGTACTATACACTGCAGATAATATAGTGAGCATCCCACCAATTCGTTCAGAGTTTCCTTCTGTCTGGGAACCGTTGCCCCCCCCCTTGCCCAGGTCCTTGTCCCTGTCCCAGGTCCCTGAAAGAGCCACAGACAATCAGTGGATGCTACCCCTGTGGAGTACGCCCCAACCCAGTCAGGGCAGCCATGGCCAGGGTCTCCGCCGCCTGGACAATGCGCCTTGAGAGGTTCGTATCGGTTACATAGCACCTCCAGAACCCCACCGTACGGAGTCGTACCACCGCAGTAGTGCAGCAGCGAAGGTTGCGTAGCCATTCTTTTCTGGCCAGTACTTCTTTTTCATTCCTTTTTCATTCTTCCTTCCCGTTGGCAAGGACGCGTCCAGACGCCTGATCTACCAATTGGACCACAACAGGAAGCTCATCCTTCCCCGTATTTTTTTTCTCTTTCACTCTCTTTCTTCTTCTCCCCCTCCCCCTCTCCCTCTTTCCCAGCCGAAGCAACCTCTCCGGGGGGTGCCAAGCCCAAGATAAAAGAGAGATGGCCAATTGGGACGGCTACTTTGGGGCACATTTCTACAGTGCACAGTCGCAGTACTGCTACACAAAAGAGGTTGCTTGGGGATGGGGGTGCAGGGTACGTACGTCCCACGACCCCTTCGACCCAGTCGGCCATCTCAGGGGCGTCAGGCCTAGGCGTCAGGGGGTAAGCCTGCATCTCGATCCCGTCTTCCTCCTGTTCTTTTTGCGGCCTAGAGAGATACACGCCGATGAAAACTTCCCGCACGGCGTGTGTAAGATATGTGACCCGTCGTCTGCTGCTGCTGCTCCTCCTCCTGCTGCTCCTCCTGACACATCCACAACAAACACGAGCCCGTCTGCTGCAGAGTTATCTCGAGTGTATATGATGGACAAGCTAAGAAGACATTTGGGAAGGTTACACGAGATCTTCGACCTGTTAGGGCAACGATCTGCACGCCAGGAGAAGGGTCTCCTTCACTCACTTTAATATATAATCATCAGATAGTTAGAAAACCTTGCCTTGCCAGCCTACCCTGCCCTTGCCCTGCAGAGCCTTGCAATGCAGCCAATGCAGCTCACCACAAAAAGAGGTACAGGATCGTCCGAAGCCGACCACCCATCTTGGCCTCGATTTCCCGACCACCCCTGGTTAGGAGATCGTAACACCGACGCATCTTTAATCCTTTGTGTGTTAGTACAAAGCTTACTGAGCTTGCATGGGGAAGCATTCTAAATACGTGCAAACGAGCCTCACGCGTCTCTCGTACTCTTTTATCGCTCACATACATGCACACTTTTGTCTGCCTTTTATCTTTTTCCTTTTCTCACCACTCCTGAAAAATACCAACAAAAACGGTTGCTTGTTATTATTCCCGGAAACGGTAACGCGTCGGCCTGCGGGTTGACGAGCACGCCAGCACTATCCGGGATAGCAGCACGCCTTTTTTTTTTCTGTCTTTCTCTCTTCTCCTCGCCCCTCTCTCTTTCTCGATCCCACCCCGATCTAGTCCATCAAGGATTCCATCCTCCGTGCCCGTGTTCCCCCTCGTATGTACATAATGCTATGTAGGGGGTTGAGCCACCAACCTAAACAGGAAAATGGCTTGTTGGGTAGCAAGGTAGTAAGGATGGGTTTTCCTTTTTCACAAGGTCGCGGTGCGTAGCACTAAGGCCTCAACGCGCCACGCCCATGTTTTTCTTCTTCTTCCCCTCCATACCAAACACAACAATTAATATTGGCTGCATCAACAACCAATTGGTTGAGTTGCACAAGGGGGGGGGAGATTAATTGGAGGGGGGTGATCTAAGTGGCGTTAAGTGGCGTCGACGAGGAACGGGACGGATGTGGACGGTCTGGCCATGAATGTCTGGCTTGTGACTGTCGTAAGTATTATGGTTGGGCCTGACGGACGGGCCACATGGCAGCCAGGCCAGGCCAGGCCGTCTTTGTTTTTTTCCCCCTTCGATTCATATGCACGCAATCCGCCTTCAACCTCCGATTCCGTCGTGTGTGGTAGTACCACAGGAGGAGGAGGATTAGTAGTAGTAGTACCATGTACTTGGTACATACTTGGTAGTAACACAAGTAGCAGCACTGACTTACTGTGAAGTATAGGGTATTACAATGTCCGTAAAGGAAAAGTAAAGAAGGGGGGAAAAAAAAAGGAAAACAGAATGAGGACAAAGAAGGCAAAGAAAATGAAGCAAAAATAAAGGAAAATGTGAGGGCAAGGTTTCTAAGCTCCCACGTATTGCTGAGTGGAATTCCCTCCCCCCTGTAAACCTGGGGCCCAAGCGGTAGTGCCAGATTCTAACCGTCAACGTTCCCGTAAGGTTCCCGCGCTAACCTCAGGGGTAACATCGCGTATGTCGTAAGAAAAGAAGAATGAAAAAGGAAAAGAAGCGTGAAAAAAGAGAACAGAAAAGGAGTCCTCTGCTGTCTTTTTGGCGAAGGAGAGGGAAGTACTTTGTACATAGTGGTCGGCGCACACCACATTACGAGACCTTCCCACCCCCCTTCTCCTCCTGTAAATGGGCATCCATAAGCCATGGCGCTTTGTGGCCCAAAGGTCCAGACCCTCGCAGGGTATTAAATAGGCTGACGGAAAGAAGAGGCGGTGGTAATGATTAGTGGTTAGCAAGTATTATGGTAGCAATGTTGCTATTTCTGCTCCCCTGCCCGCCCTAGGTCATTCTATTTCCCCGTCCAACTGCCGCTTCCCAATTCAGCCAACTTGCAATATACAGTACAACACAAGCCACACCTATCATAATTGCTACGTATTAAGGTCGTATTTCCTTTTTCCTCCTGAGTCCCCCAGAATACACTGTCAACACACATTCCATTAAAAGAGAGAGAGAGAGAATGAAAGAAACAAAGGTGAAACGGGAAAAAATAAAGACAAATACCATCTCCGTCCTGTGGAGACTCACCAACCAACCAGTCCAGGCCAGCCCTTCCAATCGCAATATTTACCGTTTTCTTTTCTTCTTCCCTTTTCTCTCTTTTTTCATTGGGCCAAAATGGCCAGCCAGCCAGCCACTTCCTCTGGCCGGTCCCTTGAATAAGCAAACCTTGTTGCAGGACACCAAGATGGACCCCATCATATAGTGTGCGGCTCCAGCCAGCGAGTAAGTGATCTCGCGAATCTGATCGAACCTTGCCTGCAGACGAGAAAGGAAGGGAGAGAAGAAGAAGAAAAGCAAAAGAAGGCTGCTTCCGTGAGCACGGCCGTCAGCGACAAGGTGTCCTTCTTCCAGGGATGGTCGGATGGACGGAAGGGCTGAGGAGGAAATTCGTCATGAGCACAGCCATCTCGTATGCACTCATGTATGGAGTAAAGACCCCCCCCCCCCTTTTTTTTTTTTCAACAAAAAAACAAAAAAAAACAAAGAAATAACCACAGCCGTCAAGGGGAAGCTACGGTAAACTTCCCCGTCCCATCAAAGCCTCGAGACAAGCGTCAGACAAGGCGAGCTGCATTCCCCCGAAGTTGCATGCAGGAAGAAGGGGCCAAGGGGGGAAGGGAATTAAAAAGAAGGCTCCCGCCGGCAACACATCCGGTTTGCTTTTTTCCCCGATGGGTACAAGAAACAATAAACAACAGCAAGACTAACAACAACAAGCTTCTTGTTGTCTATGTGGGACTGTTTCAGCTGCAGGTGAGCTGCCGGGTCGCGTGTGACAAGACTAGTGATTGCTGGTTGGGCATCAGTACCAACCTACTTCCAGCAGAAGAGAGGTTGATACAAGCAGAAAATCAAAAAGTAAAGGAAGGAAGAAATAAAGTGTGGCATGCCGACATAGGCGGGAAATTGTGCCTAATGGGCCGAGGTTGAGTAGTACAACAGCCACATCCTGCCACAGTTCTGCATATGTGAGGGGGAAATATTAATGATCAAAATCAACAGAGGAGCACAAGAAAAAGGAAAAGGATAAGAATGAAACTGGACAAAGGAATATCTCGATTGGTCCGATGGGCACACACACACACACAACACACACACAACTGTCTGCTGACCGCATTCACGCCCCGGCGGGGTGGCTCTGCTACTCGGCACGCAGGACAGACAGGCATGCCACATGGATGCTGACGCGATCATCATCAGCATCATCATCTACATAATCATTATCCCATGTCCATGTCTGTTCTGAACATCTCAATGTTACACCCGAGCAATTAATTTTCCCCCAATCTTGCCACGCCACCTGCGCGCCATTCATCAACCCCTCTTCCCCCCCACCCAAGAGCATACCGCGACATGGGCGGACGGAATACTACCTCTCAGTACTTTGTGTGCCCTGTGTTACCCTCTTCCCCTCCATATACTGGGGCTGACGGCTGATTTTTGTGTAACGGTGAGAAAGAAAAAAAGAGAAAAAAAGAAAGCAAGAAAAGACAAAGAAGAATCAAGAGGTTGGGATTGCGGCTCGGCTGGGACTGAAGCCTGAACCTGGTATATCATGTAGCATGTGCTTATGAAATCACCGTCAGGCCGGGCGCTGACAGGTAAAGCTGTGTAATAATAATATCAAAATCGATTCTATGTATGTGTGTGTACGTGGCGTGGCGTGGCGCCAGCCCCAGCGGAGGAGGCTGGGCCGTGTTCTAGACATGTGCGTAGATGCAAGTGTTCTTAAGCGAGGTATTAACTTTGTCCTTGCAAGGCCGCAGTACTGTTAGTATGAATGCCCAACTAGTGGTAGGCATCGCCTTGTTGTTACTGGCGCTTACACGTCGTCGGACACAATTATGCATAGGATGCAACCCCAATTGCCACGAGACCAGACCAGACCAGACCAGACCAGACCAGATAAATGTGTGCATAGGCGGACCGCCACCAGAGACTGGCGATGTACGCTCGCTTATCCAGGACAACAAGTGAATTGTGTCTCTATCTTCCATAGTAAACTCTGCCTATAGCTGTGAGCAATCATCGTCAAACCGACCAGTCCAGTCCCGTCGAAACGCAGCGTTCTGCAAAAAAGAAATGCAACGCCTTGGGTGATTGATTATTCCCTTGTCCAGCGTAACCCAGATGCACCCATGTATCCATTTCCCAACGCCTGGATGAATGCAGATAGTCGTGCCCAGCCGTTTCGTGAATCATCAATGCTATCATTAGCCCGACCGAGGACCTTTGTCTTGTGTCCGTAGAGCCCGGCTTGTAGTAGCTCTCCCATAGGTCTCGAGCTGCGCGTATTTCTCCTCGCACTATGGGCCCCCTGCCCGTCGCCCTCACACCGTCCCACCGCCGCCGGCTCCATCTCTGGGCTTCGGCTTTGGCACCTTCTCGTAGGCATTCGGGCTGGGCTTCCTCCTCTTCCCTCTGGAATCACCACCGCCTGGCGGCCTCCGACCCCTTCCATGTGACCGGCCTTCCTTGCCCACCCGATCCGCATCCACCGCCCTTCTGGAAGAGCCCTCCCCAGCGTCCGAGTCCGAATCTGAGGAAGAGGAGCTTGAAGATGAGTCCGACTCGTCGCTGGACTCGCCGGGAGCCGTAGGAGCATGGTAGATACAGCACACTGTAAGTGGGAACGATGTCAGTCAAGAAAGTCCACGCCCGAGATCTTGAAGGCAAAGAAAAGGAAAACAAAGGGCTGGATCGACCAACCTTTTGACGACTTCTTCCCCATCCCTTCATTGTCCACTACGCTCTCATCCCACTGGACCCGCGGGCCCTGGCTCCTCGGCCCCCTATCGCCGCGCAGGACCAGAATCGGCTGCGTTTGGCTCTGCGTCTCCGTTTGAGAGCCGGCGGTGGGCTGTGTAGTCCGTGTCGCCGGTCCTCCTGCGACGCCAGTTGAGGCTGGCGTTTGTGACTGCACCATCTTTATTCTGTATGTGTGTGTGTGTGTTCTGGTTGTTGAGGAGCGGTTTAATCCTTGATTGATTCTCGGAAAAGATAGAATTGATGAGACTGCTTCTCGGGTCAGAGCAAAGCTTCTTTTTGGTGTCTTGCTGGTGGTTTTCTTTGAAATTGAGGTCTGGATGTCGTCCCGTGAGGATTGAGTGACGTTGAAAAGAGTCGTGGCGAGAGACTGTTTCCCAGGAACAAAGAGAACCGTTTAGACCTGTCGTAGATGCCCAACACGAATCCGATCAAGCAGCCAAATCTCACAGGTCGAAAAGTCTCCGCGAATTGATAAGCAGAGAGAGACAGAGAGAGGCGCACGCACGCACAAATGAGCCTCACAGAAGAGAGAGGTTGCGGCGGTTTGATTCGATGTGGTGTGACGTTGGATTTCTCACCCCAGAAAAGCGGCCCAAAACAGCCGGCCGGCAGTCTGTTTTGGGCAAATGCCGGGGGAAGGCACGGCAGGGGACGTTCCCTTCCCTCCACGTTATCCCGCTTGGTGTGCTTGGCGGCAGCCGCGCTAACTGATTGGGGGTTTGTGAGGGGTTCGTAGCACCATAGGTTCTGCAGTGGCCTCCAGTTTGGGATGAACACTTTACCGAGTCAACAAGTGTCGTTGAGCATAGAGACGAACAGGTCAATCAACAAGCATGACAAGTGCTGCAGAAAGTATTCAATGACTCGCTTCGCATAGTAAATAGAGGCGGCTAGTACAGATGAATTGGCCTAAGAGATGTCTCGTATTACAGCCTCGAGAATTACATTTTGTTTTCCCTGCATGCGAGGTCATTTTAAAATAATCTCGTCCACATCTACGCCTTGCGCCGTCTTGCCTCCTTCTCCCTCTTCTTGGCACCTGTCATGCTCTTCCTGGGCCGCTTCTTGCTCGTCTGAGGCGTCTTCCGAACCTTGTTGTATATCCACGCATTCATGGGAGGTCTGGAGCCGATAAACCGGCCCTCTGGGGAGTAGACATCCACAACCGGCCAGTTTGGCTCATCAAGTTCATGGCCATAACCCTTTCCGATTTTGTCCTCCGCCTCTGGATCGGACAAGTCTAGATTTTGGAGGATCTGCTCCCCACCATCCATACTGATGCTGTGCGTCCCAGCCGGCTTTGGCTTAAACAGGTCCTTTGTCCTGACCTGCACCGTGATCTCCACCCAACCGCAGCCCTCGATGAGGAGATCGAGCGAGAGAACACGGTACGGGAGGAGGTCGACCTTGATGCCGGCCGCGTGCTTGTTCGTGATGGGTCCTGTTCGCTTCTTTGTGACGTCGTACCTGATCTCAAACGACCCGGCATGTCGGGTCTTCTCCTTTATCCCCGGCACGCCAATGTTGGCCACCTTGACCTGTCTCTCTTGGTTTTGGATTTCGATGGCCTTCTCCGTCGCCGTAAGGTGCGGCTCGATCGGGGTGAAGGCGTAGGCAAGAAAGATCAGGTCCGGCGTCCGTGGGGTGATTCTGATGAACCCACCCAGCAGCAGTGACTGCCCAGGTTTGAGAACTTGTTGCTCAGGTGTCATGCGGGCCTTCATGATTAACGACGGCCTGTGCTCCTCTCGGACGAATGTCTCGAGGCTACTGCGCTCGAGGCCAGGCAGATCAATCAGCTCGCCCTTTCCTCCACCAAACGGCACCCGGATAGGTGATGCAGTGGTTCCTGGCAAGTCAGACACGACCGGCATCTGGGGATAGTTCGTCTCTGGCTGCGGCGGCGGGAGGAGAGAGTCTTCCTCGAGGCTGTGAATATCCGACAGGACGGGATTGAGCTCATTCTCCTCCTCGTGTTCCGGAGGTGACTGGTCCCGCGCCTGGAGAGCCACCGAGATGTCATGCTTTGACTCTTCCCAGCCCATGCGCCCCTTCGGGAAGACGGCATGGAATAGCTGGCTCTTGCCAACATTGACCTTTCCGACCATCCAGCCTGCACCGCCACGCTTCCAGATGTCCTCCTTGAGCTCCTTGGTCCACCAGCTCCGCTTCGCGCTCACGCACCTTACATTTCCCAGTCTCACGTGTCTCGAGTCCCTGGGGAGCGCCTCTCGCAGGGTCTCGATGAGATACGGCATCATCCTGTCTACGGCCTCCTTCTTGGGCGCCAGCAGGTCCGACCTCGTAATGATGAAGCTCATCTCCGTCCTCTTTCCCCTGTAGAACTTGCCCCCCCTCTGCCGCCTGTTCTTGCTGCGTAAGGGCATGAGGTCGAGGAGCTGGTGCACCTTGGGGAGGAGCGACATGGGGAAGTCGGCCGCGTCTAGTACATGGTAGACATGATTATATTTGTAGGGCGACTCCTCGATGGTGTCGCGGATTGCCTCCATCGTGGGGTGGTAAATCGGCTCGCCTATGTTATTGTAGACGAGGTTGTGACAGCGATCGCAGAGAGGAGCCTGAGGCTCGGTAGAAGCAGCATCTAACGTCTCTTGCTCCATCTCCATCTCCTCCTTGATCTTCCTTGGCCTGAAAAGGTCGGGATTCACGCCAATCTCTTGCAGCTTGTCCCTGCTCAGGCTCCGCAAAGTAGCCTGAACAATCTCATCTTCCGGCCTACCACGACGTTCCTCCTTCAGCAGCCCAAGAAACACCTTGACTGCCTTGCGGTTCAGATCATAGTACCCAGGCTGGTCCGGGACCGCCGTCTGCGACAACGCGCCGCAGCCATGACATTGGACGGGGAGTTTTCGAACAGGAACCGGCTCGGCGGAAGAGGAGGAGGATACGTCTTCCTCATTCCAACGTCCCACGGCCTCTGCGTGAGACTTGCGGCTCTGGCTTAGTGGGAGTAGCGGGAGTCGACATCTCGGAGCGCTCGAAGGAGCTGCAGCTCTTTTGGGACCGCCTCGCGAGAGGGTCGAGAAAGCTCGTGCAGCGGCCGGGCACAGGTACAGCGGGAGATGCGATGCAGCAACGCTGCTGTTACTGGTACTATATTCGATGTTGAGAGCACTCCGCAGCAGTCGCGAGCATGTAATCTGTCTTGCTGTGGCCCTCATCGCGTGCCATTGTAATTTTTTCACCAGAGGAGAAAAAGAATTAATGTCGTTCAAGGAAACGAAGAAGGGTTATTTGGGAACGTTTTCTGGAGCACGCACCTTCACTTTTTCTAACCACTGCCGGCCGCGAAGGACGGTCGACAGGGATCAATGGCAATTCCTTGCCGCCAACGCGCCTACCCGCGGCAGCGACCTCGAAATTTCACCCTGACAACCCTCAGCGACGACAACGACCTCTATTTGCGCCTTCAAAGGACCACCACCACCACCACCACACCGAGGGTGAGGCAAACCTTGGCGAGAGTCCTTTATTGCGAATCTCTTGCATATCAATTGAGCCTCGCGCTCACATACACCAGCCAAGATGTCCGCAATAGGGCGGCGGATGAACGACCTGAAATCCGTAAGTTGCACTTTCACTCTTCCTTGGAAAATATAAAACACTTGCTGACCATTTCGTCTCACAGAGGGTATGCTTTCCCTTTTGCTTCTTTTCCTTCCCCCTTCCTTTCCTCCCTTTAGCTACTGGTGGGATCTACAACAGACATACCAGCATCAAAGCATGCAGTCCGTCTTAAAAGAAAGAAAGATGAAAGATGAAAGGACGAACTCAAGAGCTTCTCTAATCTAACATACTACACAGTTGATGTACGTCCGCAACGGCCCCGGCGCCGCCATCCTCCCGCCCACCGTGACCAAGATCCACCTCGAATTCGCCCACAAATGGGACGGCGGTCACTACGGCCCCCGCAAGTTCTGGCAGAAGAACCTCCCCCGCTTAAAATACCACAACCCGGCGGTCCCCATGATCGTGAACCGGACCAAGGACCAGACCGCCGCCGCTACCCTCTCCATCTACATGAAGACGACAACCTCCTCCTCCTCCTCCTCCTCTTCTTCCGCCGCCGCCACCACTACCACTCCCACCACCACCACTACTCCCTCACCACCCTCCCCCGAAGCAGCAGAAGCAGCACCTGACGCCGCCACCAGCGAGGCGACAACAGCAGCCCCCGGAAAACCAGTAGCCGTAGCCGACCCCTGGCTCAACATAGCCAGCAGCACACAAGGCCTGAGCCGCGCCCCACCCCCCAGCGACGGCGAGACGGTCGTCACCATCAACATGAAATTCGTCTCGTCCGACGATATACTGCGGCAGTTCGTCGCGAAGACGGGCGCGCGGGAGCTGGAGCCGAGCGAGGAGGACCGGGCCGAGATGACGAGGCTGGAGGAGTTGGAGAAGCAGGCCGAGGCGGACAGGGCAGTGCAGAAGGCGTTCCGGGACAAGATCAAGGCGGAGAAGAAGATGCTGGAGAGGGCGAGGCAGGAGGCGAATGCACTCAAGGGCGACTAGACGAAGAGGCGAGGCGGGGGGTTGACTCACACACAAAACATGCTAGGGGGGAGGGGGGGGGGGGCGGCATGAGAGGTTGCAAAAGCTATTATTATTATGTCTTGCCATGCGGAACAAAGTCTGCATCTGGCCTAAAACATATGAGAGCGGCGGCGGCGGCGATCAAAATTTCAACAAACATGTTTATGAACAAGCATCTATGCTGCTGCACCCTCACTTCGATCTCGTGAGATGATTTTGAAATCTAGAAATGAACAGGATAGTTGGTGAGCTTACTACTATTCATACTACCGGGGCACGACACAAAGTTCCAGCCACGGCAGCGATCGATCAGCCCCGTCATCGAGAGAAGAAAGAGAGAAGAAGAAAAAAGTATATTTCATTCTGACGCCTTGTGTGTTTTGTTTTGGGTCTCTCCTTTTCAGCACGTTTGTCTATGTGTGTCTACCTGGCATATTGGCAGTGAAGCCTCGAGCTATTCTTGAGAGGACAATTTCCAACATCCAAAGAACAATAATAATGATAATAATCCCCTTCTTGTGGTCAACAAACAGATGCCATGCAAAACCCCCTAGCCCCGGCCAGTTGTGTGGTATGCGAGTGTGTTCCGACACCCAAACGCCGTGCAATCCAAATATGCCGTGACCACAAAAGCCAAACAACAACAACAGTATCAATCAATCCATTACACTTACTAGCCGCCTTACTTCAGCCCAAAACCCTCGCTCTCGTGAACAGCGCCCCAGAGCAACCTCTCGAGCCTTTGCGGTGATTGATATCGCCACAGCTGCAGCGAGTTGAAACACGTCCGAGCTGTGGGATACCGCCCAATATCATCGCCCAGGCATGAGATCCTTATGGTCAGCGATGCGGCGCCCATGGCTGGGATACGATCACTACCAGTGATGAACGCCAGAAGCCGTCTCTGATCCCGTGCACTCGCCTTCTGAAACGAGTCCCAGAACCACCGAAGAGTCGGCTCGGTTTGGTCTGGGTTTGGTGCCTTGCCCCAGTTCTCATACTCAGCCGACACCCTCAGGGCCGTGATGTCGAGAGGCTCATCAGACCCTCGTACCAGCAGCTCAATTTCTTCCGGGCGGAATAAAGACAGCGCGTTGCCGCCGCAGACAGTAAAAAAGCCACGCTTGAATGGCTCAAATTGTCGCGTGACGGCCGTGTCGAGAAGGTACTTCACGTACAAATCAACAAACTCGCGACGATTGGCGTTGGTGACGGCTCTATGTTCTCCACCGGGGCAGAGCGGGAACCGCTCGATGTAGCCATACTTCTCGACTTCAATAACAAAATCGAGACAAAGGGTTGACTCCACATCACCATCAAAGTCGAGAAGCTGCCGGAGGCCTTTGGCGAGGCGCGGCCGGTATTCTGCGAGATCATCCAGGGTGTACGACATAATCGGCCTTGGCTGCGTCAAGAGGCCCGACGTGGTAGGCGGCGCAGCCGTGAGGAGCTTGCGGAATGCGAACGGGGGAAAGGCGACATCGAGAATGATGGAGTTGTAGATCGCCAAGCCAAAAACCACGCCCACAAGAAAATATTGATCAGACGTCTCGAAGGTGTTGGGGTTGAAGTAGCAATACTGCGAATCCTCGTCGTAGACGAACATGCCTGGTTTTTAGGGTTAGTCACGAGCTGATTGGTGACCTGGTGGGGCAGGCCAAGAATGCAAGAAGATGGAGTGAGCTGCTCAACTTACCATGGTCGGGGTTGAAGACCTCCCGGACAAGCAGTAGAAACCACTCCTTCTTTAACCCGCCAGCATCTACGCCCTCTTCGCCTTGGAAGTCAATCCGCAGTCCCTTCTTGATATCTTCCCCACCTGCTCCGATGACCTCGCTGACACTCTTGAGGCTGTCTTCAACCAAGCAGTCGCGCCTCACGCTTAGGGTCAGATATTGTTCGATGGTCCTCCGACTCAGGATGCTGTCAAAGAAGGCGTCTCTCGCCTTGATGTGCATCTGACGTTTAGCATCATGTTCCAGGATTTGTATCTTGGCCCATATGCTGAGCAAAAAAGGAAACTGGCAAAACGAGAACTTGCCCTTCTTTTGTTCCCAGGCTTCAAAGTCAGCCACGAGATCCGAGTCGTCGAGGAGTGTGGCGTAGAAGTCGCTGGTCGGTACTATCTGGCCCCGAGCCTGCACCTGGTCTTTGACGCTGCTATTCAAGACCTCGTCCTGCGACGACAGCATCGTGGCACCGGGCCGCCGGTGATTACTATTATTTGCTGCAAAAAGAAGACCCAGGACGCGAGCGGCGGCCTTGGTCTGCCAGTCGTCATGATACACAATCTTCTTGGGCGGGTCCCTGGCAGGCTTCTTATTCCTGGATCGTGAAGACTGGCCCAATGCAGCGTGCAAGGATGCAGGTGTTCGCCCAGCGGCCAGCTGCGGGATAAGTCCTGCGGTGACATCTACCTTCGTCTCATACTTCTTTTCGTTCTGACGGATCAATCTGTACGCCAGAAAGCCGCCGGCGAAATCCTTGAGTTGGACGAAGCGAGACTCGGGAAGTCTGGAGAACCACGACACTAGGTGACTGTGGCATTCCGGCGGTGTATTAGACAGGAGGCCAAGAATGCGTTTGATGATGGGTGAATGCTGTCCAGAGACTGGCCCGTAGCCGCGCAGAGATCCAGAGGCATGGCCGTTTTGCGGCTGCATGAAGCGGCCAGCGAAAGTCTCAAAGGACGAGTGCAGGAGAGGATTGGCAGAAATGATGAGGATAAATCGGAGATCCTCAGGGGTCCTGATCGGCCGCCCAGGCCGTTTGAGGAGGCTTTCGGTGACCTTGAGCAGCGTTTTTCGAAGATGCTCCTGGGCCTGGAGGATTTCCCCCTCCAAGCGCGACAGGTCGACGGCCGCCGATGGGACGTACGAAGCCGTCGCGGTGAGGTCCTCGTATATCTGTGTCCAGCTTTCTCCTGCATTTATCACTGCATAATACCACGCGTCCACGTCCGCCCAGTCAATGTTGGGGCTCCTGCTCGAGACAATAGAATGTTCTTCATCGCGGTGTGAAGGCGTTCGGACCGGAATGGCCTCCTCCTTACGGCCTGTCCACCATAGTCCGTTCTCGGCAAAGTCACCCAGCAAGAGAAGTTTGGCGTCCAGCTCAGGAATCGCAGGGTCTTGGGGAGAGGAATCACGGCGAGCTGCCGAGGGGCGGCGTTTAGACGTCTGGGGGGCTCGCCGGCTTGGGGCCCTTGGTACCCTCTGCATAAATGATGTGTTTACACAGTGTAGAGGCGGCGCAAAGCAGTTGATAATGTAGTCCTCCAGCGGCCTGAAGAGCCTCTTCCCCTCAGGATCCACACATGAGTGCTCCTGTTCTGTCGGCGATGGATTCACCAGTCTTACAGTCGGTCGGGTTTCAGGATATGACGAGGACTGCGACCTCTGTGAAGGGTTGGGGGCAGAGCGTGGAAAATCCAGACAGTCAGTCCCGTACTGAGCTCCCATCGCTTCCGAGTCCGAAACCTCGATGGTGGGTGTCACAACAGCGGGATCTCCCCCGTTCTGAGAGCTGCTTATCACCCCAGCCCCTGCGCGCCAACTGCCCTGACCAGGTCTTGACTGCTCGAAAGATCCCCTTTCCCTGGCATCGATTGATGGTCGCCTAATGCCCAACTGCGAACTCAGGTAGCCCCTCAGGGAGTCTCGGATGAGGCGTTTCGTGATCTCGAGCGAAATAGGACCTGTTTATTCATTTCTTTTGTTCAGACAAAAATTCCTCCCTGCCTCTCTCTCTCTCTCTCTCTCTCTCTCTCTCTTTCCCTCCCCTATTCTACACAATCAACGTGGGTAGACTCACCTTTGGAACTGGCACGGCCGACATCCATGGACGGCGCCGCGTTTCTTCCCGCCGGGGAGTGGTTCTGCGGATCCCTGGCGCTCTTCAGGTCGACGAGATCGTTGATGGCCACACAGAGGGTGCACTTGAAGACTTTGATTCCCTTGGGCCACCTCGACAACGCACCGCACGTCATGCAAGTACCCGATGCAAAATCCTTATCCCCCAAAGGCTTTGCAATAGACGGTCCTGGAGGCGGTCCTGGCGCCTTGGACTTGGAACCTGGACCCAACCCTAACATTTCTGCGTCGGAATCCGAGTCGGAGTCAAAGTCATCCTGTGCGGCGTTCTTGGGGGGTGTCTTCTTCCTGGGGGCGAACGGGGAGGGAAACGGGTGGCTCATGGACCGGCCGTGGCTCGGTGCCCTAGACGGAGGGCCCGGATGCTGGAGATTCGAGACGGTCGGGATCAGATCAGACGGTCGTCGAGAATCACCCGCGAAGTTTGAGGTGTGTGCCCGCGCCGGAGGGGCCGGAGGGACGGAGGGGGGAGGGACGCTTGGTGGAGCAGGGACAGGTTTTCTTCGTGGTATTTTCCTCAGATCAGTGGTAGCCGTCGAAGCGTCGAGCGAGGGACGTGATGGTGGCGGTAACGGAGGATCGCGCTGTGGTGGACGAGGGATGGCTTCAGGACGGGTGGGCCAAGGGGCAGCCATCGCCGTTGAATCGGGAGGGAGAGATCGTGAGAGAGTCATGGTGTACAGCCCGCTATCATGGTGGTAGCTGCCTCGGTGCGACTGGCTGGGGCACCATTGGGGTCCGCCTAGGTTGTAGCTTGTGTGCAATGTGGGATTCTGCCAGGCTCTTGAAAGTGTGTTGAGGTAGGAGAGACTATTAGGTACTCCGGAAGGGCTTGTCCAAATGATAGATGGATAGATGAATGGGTACGCGAGTGGGTAGCTGCTTCCGGTGACTTGGTGGGTGGACCCTCAGGGAGGAGACAGCGATGACGCAGGTGAGGACCCGTCAAACAGCTTGTTGCTGATGCCCAAAGCCCAGACCCCTTGTCCACGGGGCGTGAGACAAGAACAGGCCGGCACGTCAACCAGAGGAGGACGCTGGGTGGCGGGTCCAAGGCCTACGAGGCTGGCGGGGAGCCAAGGTCGCACATCAATATGGTGTTGATGTTGTTTTCCAGAAGAAAAGAAGGGGGGCGGGCGGGCAGGTCGTTCGTTGCTTGTGCAGCTTGTCGGAGTAGGTCAACCCTCTTTCTATCCTCTCCTTCTCACTAGCTATAAGAAAGGGGGGAGAAAACACGTCTATAGTTGACGCAAGGGAAGACAGATGATCATCGACTCATCAGTTTAGGACCGATGTCTGCTCTGAGGCCAAGACATGCACCGCATGTGGAAGGGAGGACTGCGGCTGCTGCTGCTGGATACTCTCTTCTCACGCAGACTGTAGAGTCTCAAGGATCGAGAGAAGATCGGTCCGAGAATAAAGAACGGAGTCGCGTGCCACAAAAGCTGAGCAAGTGATGCTAGCTCGACAGAAGGTGAGTTGAGTCGGTGACAAAGGGCCTAGACAGATGTCGAAACGAAAATGGCCCATTTACCATTTGAAAATGATGAACCCATCCGTCCCTGGCTGGCTGCAGGCCCTTATTAAGGGTCGCAACCAATCTGGCCCTACAGTCCTTGTCACTGCCGGTCCCGTGCAGCATGGCCCCTGGTCCTCCCCATACTCACTAATACGCTTTCAGTTTGACCCGCTGGAGATGCAGATGGCCAGGGAAATGAGCCAAAAACTCCAGGGTGTGGGTACAGAGATACAAGTGCCACACCACAACACACGCTACCATGGGGATGTATGACGAGCAGGTAATCACTATGTAAATAACCTTGAAACCAATTTGATACTATGGTATACCTATCATGGCCATTATCTGTCCATTATCTTGAGACCGTAGTGCAAGGACGCACACGACAACGACTGTCGCTGATTTTCGTTACTACAGCATAGAAAGGGTACCAGCTAGCACCTGGCGTGGCTGCTAAGTATGATCGCGTGTTATTTGTGTAGGGCTGAGAAGAGCAAGGCTGTAGTAGTAGTAGTAGCCCGGCCTTGTCAGGGCTGAGCACCCCCTCCAGCAGCGTAGTAAGCTGAGGCTGCTTGCGGCCGCTCATCTGTCCAAGCATGAAGGGGGGCGCCTTACTCATCGCCCACTTACTTAGTTGGTCCAAAACCGTATAGAGAAAAGTCTTATACTTACGATTGAAGAGAAAACAAGAGTCAAATTTGTTCATCACGAGCATTTGAACAGCGTTTCTTCGAATTTAAGTTTGGTGTCCAATTTGATGGAAATCTACCATTTTCAGGCCCAGATTGCGATTCTGGTTCCGGATTGGGTCACGACATTGCAAAATCTCAAATCAATTTCAATTTGAAGCATCATATTGCCCCTCCCCCCTATCCCCTCTTGTTTACCTTGTTCTAATTTCTTCATTTTCATTTCCATCTCCCCAAATTTCTTCTTGTTCCATCCTCCGAGGCATTTTCACCATGTCGGCTGCCTCTGGGTGTCAGTGTTCAGAGCCACTCGCTTAAACCCCACAAAGCCCTTCGTAATCCATGCCGACGATCTTGAATCCTGCTCACAGAGCAGCGCCTCAGAGAGGACAGACCATGTCTGGGTAACGGGGTCTTGGGGAATCTCAACAATCTCTGCGCCGCTCGCCTAGCAATGATGCACTCAGTCACCCATCAACCGTTACGAAACTGGGGCCAAGGTTTCAAAAGAGGTCTTGCAATTCATCAATCATGAGCAATAGTCCTCATTTTCAAGATATGCTTTATTTCTTCTAAACACTCACCTCCAGGGCTGTTCCTCCACATCTACTCTCAACCCGTTAGCGCAGCAAACTGCTCCGTCACCTCGAGCTCGGAGTCAATGTACTGCAACGTATCATTCATCCAGCTCTGCGCCTCCGTGCCCCGCCCAATCAGCCTGGCCTTCGTTCCCGGTGCGACCTTGACGCCCGTGAACGTAATGTCCATCGTGCACTCACACGCTCCGCGCACAATAATTAGCCCGCCCCGGAGCCGCGCTGCCACGACCCCATCCCCTTTCCCATTCCCATTCCCATTCCCATTCCCATCCACCACGACGACCTCAAACATGGACACCCCGTGGTCGATCTCTAGCGGGCTCGGGTTCTCCACGCGCACCGTATTCTGCCCGCCCCCTGTCCTAACCAAGCTAACCTTCGGCCCGCCCATGCCCTTAATCAACAATTCCTTGCTGTACACAATGTTGCTGTTGACCTGAAATCCCATGATCTTGGTCGTGATGCGGCAGTCTCCGTTGTCCAGCGTCAGGCGCAGCTCCTCGTCCCATGTTAGCGCTTTCACGAAAGCGCGGAACGCCTTTTGGTCCGTGATGGCCACCTCCTGCTCAGCGCAGACGATATCCGTGCCGCTAGGCGAGGTGACCACCTCGGGCAGCTGCAGCTTGCCCCAGGCGACGCCGCCGAAGACGAGGTCGACAACCATGGGAGACATGGTGGCAGAAGTGGGGCCAGTGCCAGTTACGCGGTTCACTAGGGACATGGTAAGGGAGCTTTTTGCGGGGGGAGATTTGAAGGTAGTGGAGAGAATCAGTATATATTGTCGTAGTACATATGTAGGAGGTTTGAATGTGATTTGTGTGTTTGAGAGTAACGATAAGACTTACTCGGGAGTGGCCTTTTTGATGTTGATATGCTCAACAGTCACGGTGGACCGGTTCACGACCATTGACACTATCGTATCCATCTTGGCAGTAATGAGATGAGTCGTGAATGATCCAACACAACACGGCTTCGAATTCAAACACCAAGACAATATGATGCTAAATTATCAGAGGGGGACGTGGCAGGATTATGCGTCAAGTAAATGAATATGAATCCAAACAAACCAAAATCGTTACCTGCAGACCAGGAAGAAGGAGGGGACGACCGTGCACTTATAGTTGTCCATTACATTCAAGAGAAGTTGCAACCGCCCCCCTTCCTTTAACACACACATTTATGCATAGCTTACTTAAGGTTTTGTGAGAGCCACATGCATGATTGGCCGGTAGCCGTGGTACTATACTATAGTATGTTCCCCTTCTCCAAGCAGTCTAAGTAACCCCAAGCTGGCGGGAGACATGTGCTTGGGGATAGATTGGCATAATCGTGCCCGTGAGCCTCGGCAAAAGCAAGAAGCAGCACTAACTATTGCTGTGGAGGCCACCTCAGGCAGCAGCATGGACTGAACATTCAGTCCAAGGTGAGACCTACCCTTTCCCCTTCCCCAAACAGTCTCCTACAAGCGTGGGGGGCCGGAAACATTCATGCGCCGACCTTACTCCAAGAAGCAGTCGATGCGACTTGAAATGCATCTTACGGCGTGGTGACAAGCAATCTGGTGGTGCCAAAGGAAACGATCACTTCTCACATACACTACTCATCATATCATGTGAGGAGAATGAAGGCATCTGTTTGGGTCCCAAGATGGTGGTAGCAGGTGGGACTGCTTGCTGATTTTATTCTTTTCTCGCTTAAACACCAATCAACTTTTCCTAAACCGAAATCCTCTCTCATATCAAACCGTAAGTCGTCGTCAGCAGTCATGTCCAAAGCGGGCCAACAAAGCCCCGATTCGCATACTATGTAGGTCTCCTTTTTTTTAATCATCAAAGACAATAGCAGCTTTGATGGCACTCTTGTTCTTGATGGAGTCCAGGGCTTCCTGGAACTGCTCTAGCTTGAATGTCTTGTTGACGATGCCCTTGGTCTTGATCTTGCCGCTGTCGAGGTAGGCGACGGTCGCAGGGAACATGAAGGTCTCGGAGAAGGAGCCGATGATGCGGATCTCGTCGCCAAAGATCTTGGCGGGCGGCCACGAGACACGGTCAGCGTGGGCATACACACCGTAGACGACGAGGGTGCCGCCGCGGCGGACATAGTGAATGGCGTCCTCGAGAAGCTTGACGGAGCCGGTGGCCTCGATGACCACGTCGAATCCGTACTTGTTCTCGGCCTTGATCTGGTCGAACTGGGGCTTGGGGTCGGAGCGGGACAGCTCGACGTAGTGATCGGCCGCGTCGAGGCTCTTGGCGAGCTCCATCTTCAGGCCGCCGGGCGCAGCGATGGTGACGCTGCAGCCTCCGTTCTGGCGCAGCAGCTGCGCGAGCATCAGACCAGTGGGGCCGGCTCCGAACATGAGCACCGAGGAACCCAGGCGGGGGCGGATCTTGTCCAGGCCGTGACAGGCGCAGGAAGCGGGCTCGATCAGCGTGGCATCGACGTCGCTCAGGTTGTTGATCTTGAAGATCTGGTGCTGCGGGTATGCGCAGTACTCGGCGAAGCCACCAGGCAGGGTGGTACCGTGGCCGCTCCACTATTGATTCATGCAAGAGGGATGGGGTTAGCTGCTTGCGTCTGTAGCATCAGGCTGTTCTCTCTCTAGGAGGGATGGAAAAGTTCGTCTTACGTTCTCGCACAGCAGTGATTCGCCACGACGGCAGTAGAAGCAGTGACCGCACAACTCTGAGTTGTCAGCTGCCACACGGTCACCGATCTCGAAGTCCTTGACATTCTGTATGTTCTCGTTTAGAAATGTGATAGTCTTCAGAAGCTCCTATTTATTTCCTCGACGTGCACGAACCTTGCCTTTGGCGGCGATCACGCCCACAGTCTCGTGGCCGGGGATCAAGGGGAACTTGGCAATGAACTCTCCCTCGTGGATGTGCTGAAATTTGCGCTTCAGTCAGCCTTTGATCTCTGGAGGGAACAGTCCCGATACTCGAGAGCAGCATACCAAATCTAGGAACGGCGAAGAGGAAGAGGTCAGCACATGGACTTGGACAAGAACAAGGTAGTCTGGTGTTCCTTCTCATCAAAACCCGGAAGGGCAGATTCTTACCAGTTCCGCACACACCACACGCCTTCACCTTGACGAGGATGTCATCGTCTCTGAGCTCAGGAAGAGGAGTCTGGATGATGGAGAACTTTGTAGGCTCTGAGTATCTGGCGGGCGAATATTGGTGTTAGCCGATATTCGGGATCGAGTTTCTTAAAGTCAAGGCTAATTCCTCGCCGTGACAAGCCCCGAGAAGTAGATGAGATGATGAGCCCCTTGGAGCTGGACATGGCGTGGCATTCACTCACTGCAGCGCCTTCATGGTCTTGGGGAGGTTCGCCATTTTGACTTGGAAGGATAGATGTTTAGTGCTATACAATAGGACGAGCTCAGGTGTGGTAGGGAAAGTTTGGTAGAGAGAACAGTGGATGATGGATCTGCTGGTGATAGAGTGAGAAGAAAAAAGGAGGGGAAGTCGAGCAGAAACATGTCAGCAGGAGCAGGAGACACAACTATATTTATTTGGCTGCATATTCCAAAACGATGCTGTTCTTTGATTCCATGTAGTTCCTCCCCTCTTTCCTTGGGGCAGCCCCCTCTGGAGCTCCGATTTTTCATCCCAACGGCCCACTAGCCGCCAGTATTATGTACTATGTAGGGTGCAGTATTCGATGCAGCTTTCACCATGTACGACGTATGCAAATGTCAGTCGTTTTGGAAAAGCTGATCGATCACCAGGGATCGGTTGAGCATCGGTTGGGGTGTGGGCTGTCGCGGGAGAAATGGCGGGGCATGTCTCCGTCATGCTGCAGGCTATGTACCCCACCTCAGCATGCCCGTTCCACAGGCCACCAGGAGGACTGTGACCCCACCCTCAACAGCTTCTGTTCGGCCTGCGGGAGCTATGGTAGCGTGGTGGGTCTGCATTGACTTCTTCTGTCTTCGAGACCCCTTCCCTGGACGTTATGCAGCTATCCTGCAACTGTCACCTGTTCTTGGAAAGAGGTTGCTTCGTATTGTTGACCTTACAATGTGGCGGTCTGGACTTGAGCCACGAATGAATCTTTTGGACGCTGTAGCTGTGATCAACCAGCCACTGAATTAGGGATGAGATTCCTTCCAATGGCGATGGGTACTGAAGTAAGAAATCGTCCAGGTCTTCACAGCAACGTGCTGTTCAACCCCCCTGCTGAGAAAACTCCACCACTTTTGAGAAGCAAGGCTTCAGTCTCCGAAAGCATAACATGAATTATAATGCGCAATAGTCTGAGGGTGCAAGTCTGGATCAGATTTTGGCCATAAACGATAGATGAACTGGCCCTGCTGTTTCACTGATTGACCCTCGAGCCTCGATCAATGCGATAAATCCAGGCATCTTGATAATAATTTTATAACACACATGCGCATGCACCTGTAGGCCCAGGTCCCACAAATACAACAGGTTCATATATTACTCAATCACTAGGTGTGACAGGCCGCCTGCCAGGTAGGACCGCCGCCTCCGGTACAGTGGCGAGCGCTCAGAGTGCAGCATACGTGCCAGGAGGACGGGCGAGACCGTCTCGATGTGACGCGTGATTCTCTTGTACGCCTCCCCCTCGAGTTTCCCTGCTGTGTCGTCACCTGATTTACCCGATTATCCGTAAGAACGTTGTCGTGAGACGGACACATTTTTAACCAAGAACTTTCGCCCCACGTGTGCTGTAGGACTTCTTCTTATCTAGCCTGGCTAGGTTAGAGGATACGCTGAACTGCGATGATCGACGCTCCAGCGTGCCGTCGCATCAGTAATTGAGGTCGGCATTCACAGGGACGATCATCGTCCTCGCCGGGAGGAAGAGCGCCCTGGTTCCGCTCCGTCAGAGGCTGGGCCGCCTTCTCACCTACGAACTTGGACGTGAGCACAGGCGTGTATAGGCACATCGTCTCGTACATGACGGCTAGGCAGCGGTTGAGGGTCCGATTAGGATGACTCTTTCGACATGTGCTGGCCCGAGACGTTGTAAATCTCCTTGCCAATCCAACCCCGGACAGCTGGTTTAGCGGCCAGAAAAGTATATGGCAAATGTATAAGTCTGAGCGGTGGTGGTGTTGTAGCAAGAAGTCTAAGACTCAATCTGTTAGTGTAATATTTACCCGAGACCTGCTAGCAACCCATTCCTGCAGTAGTTATGTCTAGTGAAGCTGTTGTTGCTGAGCCCCAAGGCGAAGGGCCGTCGGATAACTGACAGATCTTGCGGGCTGCATTGTGATTTTCGAAAACTCAGACAACCTCTAGAACGGGAGATCGTACCAAATGTGAGCAGCAGAGCGGCCCAGGGTTGCTAAGTAGACAGCCATCCTGTGAGTTCACTACCATTACAAAAAGGTGAAAGGAAGAAGAGTGGAGTGCATCATAGTAATCAAGGACTAATTGAGAAAGCCGTCAGCAAGAGGAAAGGCTCAATGTTTCGTGTGTACAAGAGTGACTGAGCGAAGGACTATGGGAAGGGAGCAAAACTTCAGAGGTTGGAGAACAGCTGAGATAAAGATGCCCAAAGTGCGGAGGATAGTGATACACCGTGGGTCAGCACGGTCAAGAACGCACTTATATGTAAAAACTGGAGGTCACTGCAGTATGCAGTGTAAAAACACTGGTAGCTGTTCCTTTCAGTGGTGTATTTTGTCTTGCGTTTGTATGCAGTTCAACCGTTACATATGTCTTCTATACGCCCGCGCTATCTGCAGGTTGTCTGTGGGGCGTACGGAAGCAAAGATTTGCCCCGAGGAAGCATTGATCATTGGAATCTGCATAATCGTGTTGCGCTTCCGTTGGTTTGGTACTGGGTAGGTTAAGAGACCTACATCTTGCAATATTGTGACGTGTTGCAGACATCTTATGAGGGGGGCTCGCTTGAACCTCCTCCTATCTTTCTGCGTCTTCCTTTGGTGGCCATTGGTAGCTGCCTGGATCCTGTGCCTGACGGCAGATCTCTTGCTACCCCTTCTATCAAGGGTGGTTCTCTCCTGTAAGTCTAGGTAGGCGGACTTCATTAGCAGTTGTGGCATGGACGCTTGCCTGGAAGAATTGCTTCGGACCCATTAATTCATCCCTCATTATAACCTACTGGGGATTAGGCTATTCGAGGTATATCGGACATCAAAGGCCCCTTCAGGTGATCTGCTCCAAGCACAAACCATGTCCAGCCTATCGGAAGCTAAATCGCGTCACGTTTTGGACAGGATACAAGTGTGTACGGAGAGACACAATGGTATAAGTGCGGACGGGAAACCAAGAGGTATTTTTTTCTTCGAAAAGTCGTCAGGATTTTTTTTGATTCGTCCATCACTGCAATATTGCATCCGAAACCCAGCGTGGCAGATGAATCCCTTGATGCTATGTTTTTCCGAGGAGATCTAACCTCCTAACTCCGAAAGCAAACACCCGTCCACGCCTCACCCATCCCAAAGTTGGCGTGTGGTTTCTCGATTGATCCATTGTTGACCCTATCCATGTCTGGAGTAGACGTCCGGGCCAAAGAGCGTCCATGCAGATTCCTTTCCCCTTCCCATAGATCAGAGTCGACTTAAGATGGGGGAGCACCACGGCCACGGCCGAATCCACCACGGCTAGCAAATAAGTCAGTATGACATGTCCAGAATCGCCACGTCTAGTCCGTTTGTCGTCAAAGGGTCTGGCTTACAACTGAGGGTTGAACTCGCCAGGGGCACCACCCTCCTTGCCCTCACCAGCATCGCGGCGGCGGTAGCCGCCCTCACGGTCACCACGGTCGCCACGGCCACGACCAAAAGGTCGGCGGCGCTCCTCTTCTCCGAGCATGCCACGAGGAGGAGCGTGAGAGCGCTGCTGCTTGATGTGGGTGGCAGGAACGATCTCGGCGGGGAGGTGGAGCCACTCGCGCAGGTAGTCGAGACCCTCGGGGGTCAGGGTGTAGTAGTCTATAATAAAAAAAACACCATCAGTCTCGGTTTGGTGATCATCGTCGGAGTCGTCGATTCGTGTGCCATCTCTGGCCTTCCGTCAATAGGTTGGGGTTTGTCACGCACAGTATTGCCAAGAGAACTGAGTCTTGACGTAGCCACGGCTGTTCAGAGACTGCATAGCCTTGATGACATACAGGTTCTTGACGGGAATCTCGGGGTGCTCAGGAAGGTTGTAGCTGGACAGAGCATTCAGTCAGTCAAAGGTTCCCATGCCCCGCCCAATACCTGCTCTCCCCCAATGATGCTTACTCCTTCTGGGCCACGAGAACTCCCTCACGGAAGAGAGCCTGTTATCGACATAAAACCATCAGCCATTCGCTCGTTTTTGAATCTTGCAGTATTCAGCTCCAATTCGTCGAGGTCCCTCCGAGTGGGGTTTGCATCGTGAAGTTGCAGATTGATCATCTCGCGGACGTCGACCTTTCCGGAAGGACCTCTTCGAATGTTCGATTGGGCGTCTGCAGATGATAATTCTCATACCTCGTGGATCGCCTTGCGGTCGGCCTTAGGAATAAGCATGGTTGCGATCGGTTTGCCGGCTGGTTGAATGGGTGGTTGATCGTGGAGTCCGGAGCGACGATGGGCGACAGTCTTTTTTCCGCGACGGCGTTGGATTTCTGTGCTGGATGGCTCTTGCTCTGGGGCCTCGCCAAATGTGCGGTGCAGGGTGACTAAGGACCCGCCTTTTTCTACGCTAGGGGTTTAAGAATATCCGCCTTCCGTGAGAGGCGTGACCCATGCGCCTTCTGCAGCCGCTATCGTTATCAGCTTAGCCATACGCGCGCCTCTCCCTAATCATACAGAGCCCCAACTTTGCCTCAGAACTCTCGAGGTTCGCGCCCGATCAACAGCCATCGAGACAGCACCTACAGTCACGTTGTAGCCATGGAATCAAACTACGTCAACGTGCTCATCACGAGCTTCAATGGGTTGGGCTTACCCAAGACACTTTGCATGCCCCTACCATCGTCAACAACTGTTCAAGATCTATGGAATGAACTGGGCAGCCGCTTACCAGCACGACTCGACGAAGATACCTTCCACTCGCTGGTGCTCACCACGAATTCTAATGTCGAACTTCCACAGCGCTCATCATGCGCTCTCAACAGGTTCACGTCCTCCTCCTCCGAGGACATCCTTTCGCTGCGTCTTACTCATCCTCTTTGTGGTGGCAAGGGTGGTTTCGGCTCGCAACTCCGAGCTGCAGGTGGTCGCATGTCCTCGAAGCGCAAGAAGAACCGTGGCGACGAGAATGCATCAAGCCGAAATCTGGACGGGCGGCGACTGCGCACTGTCACCGAGGCGAAAGCACTGGCCGAGTATCTCGCCATCAAGCCGGAGATGGAACAAAAGGAAAAGGAGCAGAGGCGAGAGCGGTGGACGGCCATCGTGGAGGCCGCCGATCGCCGAGAGGAGGAAATCCGAAATGTGAATCGGGGGCGCATGGATGGCAAGTGGGTGGAGGATAAGGAGGAGGCGGTAGAGAGGACGCGGAGTGCGGTCCTCGCCGCGATGAAAGAGGGAAATGTGAGGGATAACTTGATGGGAAGTTCCGTTGGCTCGTCCACGTCTTCGATGGAGGCTGCTGCTATTGATGAGGATTTTGCCGAGGATGAGAAGAATGGCGGAGGACGGAGCTCCGGGGCCACAACACCTCAGTCTGATGAAGGCAAGGGCAACGTGCCTGCTGTATCGACAACCAAGGCACGGACCTTCTTTGGCTTTGAGGAAGACGACGAGTTCTTGAGCTCTGACGAGGAAGAGGATGAGGAGGGTCAGAAGAAATGAGCCAAAGGTGTGGGCAGTACGTTTCGTTGAGAATGCTGTGCCTATCACGGACCAGTGGTGTGCCGTATTGGTCTCGAAATATGGCGTTTGGTTTGGCGTTGGGGTATAGCATATCGAAATTGGCAAGCAGGAACAAGGCAGCGTTTTTCGTTATAGCTGATCATTGAGGAGTTCAATTTCATGATACCAGAGAAATTACACTGCATCTCACTCTTGGTCTCAGGACTCGATCACTGTACCCGTGAAGACATGGAAGCCGACGATCCCGTTGTGGGTTATCCTGGTGCAGGTTGTAAAGAAGCGAGCGTCCAGAGCCTAGACCATACCATGTCACAGAGAAGATACAGACAGCTGACGATATCAACCATCACAACGCATGCATTCGCATCCTACACTGGCTGTCCTATGGCGCCGTACCACGTGGTCCCAACTGTCTATGTTTGTCTTGCCATTCTCCTCCTTTCCAAATTATTCCAAGCGCACTGGGAAGTTTCCAGCCTCTGTATAGAAAGATTCATTCAGTCAGCGATTGCCAGTGTGCAATACTTCGTATAGAATGGGTGAACCTTACCTCTCTGCTCATCCCAACGCTGGTACCACCCGCTAGGGCACAGTGATCGGTAGGCCAGCCAGAACTGGCGGCAAGGAGCAAAGTCCTCGCCCTTGGCGAGGATGCATTTGTGGTAATCGACGTAGTTTTGCCAGCAGTGCTTGGTCTGGTTCATGTTCGGGAACCGGGCATCGACACCTAGCAGATAGAAAGAGCTCGAGTCAGCTGGAGCCTATCCCTTCAAAGGTATTCTGTTGTGAGGGGCATCGCAATCTGATGATAGCAGCAAAAGCAGCACCCGTTGTCGGCAACGTTGTGTCACGCAATGTCGGGGCCCATGGAGACAAGGGGTTGGATCTTACCAGCTGTAAGTCAACGTTAGCATTGCGCGAGAAAATCATACGATCGGCTTGGGGAGGGACAGAGGAGTGAGCCTCGACATACCGGTGACGAACTTGAAGGGCTTGGTAACGCGCTCGTCGTCAGACATTTTGATCGTGAGTGGGCGGGAGGCTGAGTGGAGAGGGGTTGTGCAGCTCAATGGCAGTTGACTGTTGTCGTAAGTTGGTAAACGGAGCTGGGAGATGGTCGATGATGAATTATGGGACGGCCGGAAATCCAAGGCCAAAGTAACTCGTCGGCTAGAGGTGAGCAGCTCTTCCCTCTCCGGCCGGTTTTGTGTTGGAAATTGGGCAATCTGACTGGTTGGGCTGGGACCTGGGTGGGGCAGCTCTTTTTGGAGACGGGCAACCTGCGACTTAAGCTTCCTCTGGCGCGGATCGAACCAAGAAGCACCTGCCCTACCAGCGACCAGCATTGACCTGACGCATTGAACTGCGCAAGCACCTGCTTCACAACGACCCATCTCCACTCAAATCAAAAACAAATCCCATTGTCGAAATGTATGCCACGCGGGCCATGCGGATGTTCCAGCCCACCAGGGCCATGATGCGCCCAGTGCCCGTAAGTCCCTCCCTCTGGTTGTGCCTGTTAATGGCGTCACCTCTCTAATCAGACCATGGCATACCACAGAACGAGGAGCAAGCCGGTATGTTTCGATGATAGCAATGCATACTGCTGAGTATTGGTACAAGACCAAGCTCTACTCGAGACGAGCTGACAGTACCCGATACACGACCATAGCTCACACCATCTCTCAACGCCTCCGACGATTCCGTCAGATCCCGGCTGAGTTGATCCCCCTCGGTTCGTGAACAACTGCACAGTCACGTTCCATCAGGCACGAGAGCTGACAATTGTCATAGGTGTCGTCGTTGGCTTTGCCGTCTTCGCTGCCGGCTACTCGAGCATGCGCCACTTCTTCACCGACAAGACCATTCGCCTCAAGCGTCAGAACCGAGCTGCGGACAGCGTTGCCCACGGTTCTTCCGAGGAGCATCACTGATTTGGAGGAGCGGAGGCATAGGCAGGAACACATCGATGGGAGGAAGGCTGGTGTGACTGTACATTTGATCTAGAGAGGGCGAGCACCACCAAAAGTGTCAGGCCTTTTGGCTTGGAATTCAAGAACTTTTCATATCATTACCACTAAACCCAGATTTCATCTACCCTTCCACCGGAACGCCGTTAGATGCACATCGCATTTTGGGGTATCACTTTTGCCGTCCGTCTTGCCGTCTATTGAAATACGACTATGCTTGTCGGGGCCCCGCCACATCCAAACCCTCGAGACCTTGCATCGGGTCTTCAGCCCTCGAATCTTCTGGTGCTTGCGCCTTCTCTGCGGCGAGGCTGTCCTCCTCGTCAACTGCATTTTTGGCCAACCAGCTCTCCTGTTTAATGGTCAAATAGTGTCCAGGGAGGATGGTCACACGTAATAGACATACCTGTGCCCATATCGCAGTTTTACTTCCCAGTCCCTCGTCTGCACTTTTCGGTGCCTTTGCCGGTGTAACTTTAATGACCCGGCCGAAGAACTCAGCCTGGTCCATATTGTCTATTGCCTCCTTTGCGTCCTCTGCATCCTCAAACTCAACGTACGCGAAACCGCGATGTGGCTCCGTGTCTTTGGAATTTGGATTTTCGTTCTTGGGAAGCGAGACGTCTGCGATGTCTCCGAACGGGAGGAAGGCGTCGTGTATTGTAGCGATCGTGACAACCGGCGCGAGTCCACCGACGAACACCGTAGCTTTCCACCTCGCTGTGTCTGTCATCTTTGCAGAGTTGGTGGGAAGATAAGAGGAGAATATGGTGTGGTGAGGAAGGTCGCAATGCTTGGTCAATTTGGTAGCCTGCACCACAAGGTCGCGATGCCAAGACGAGCCTGCCGGCACGCTTGGGGGCTGTTGGAGGGGCAGTTCTAAGCTTGGGCCCCTAAGGATACGGCTGCGTCCAATCAGACCCGGCCGTCTCCCAAGCCGACCCCTGCAGCAGCTGTGATTCCTGGCTGCGAGGGCAATCTGGCCCTTCAGCCTGAGCCGGGCTTACATTGTACCACCTTCCATGTCAACACTTATTCTGTCCTCTACATCTTTCTTATACATTTGCAACCCTGCAGCAGTCATTCTCTCCAATACCATCAGAGCTACTTGTGCATGAGGCTGCTACTATTCATTCATTCGATGCCTGCCCAGCGAGTTAGATTTGAGTGACTGATTTAAAGCTCACAGCAGCAATAACTACTCCTTTGCGCGCCCACTTCAAAGCCCCTCCATTCCATTTCCCCTCCCACCAGCGACTGTTGACCACGATTGCGACAACATGGTGCGATTGAGAGAGATTCCGAGGACCGCGGCTTTTGCCTGGTCCTCTGGGTCAGCCAAGCCTCTGCTGGTCACCGGAACCCGCGCTGGGGCCGTCGATGATAGCTTCTCGGACGAGGTCAAGCTTGAATTGTGGGACCTGAACCTGGACAGCCAGGAGCAGGGACTCGAGCTTCAGCCCATCGCCAGTATCGCCGTTGACTCAAAGTACGTCTTGCTCTAGGGATCTAGCTCTCCCCCATTGCTGTGCTGAATGTCCCCTTCCTGCAGATTCCATGACCTTGCGTGGGGTCCACCAGACGATACACACACCCGAGGCATCATTGCCGGCGCCCTCGAGAATGGCTCACTGCAGCTGTGGGACGCCGAGAAGCTTGTCTCTGGGTCGTCCGACGCGCAGATTGCCCAGACGACAAAACACAGCGGCGCCATCAAGTCTCTTCAGTTCAACCCGCTGAAGCCCCAGATCCTCGCGACCGCAGGCGATAAGGGAGAGCTGTGGATTCACGACATCAACGATATTGAGAACCCACTGCGCCTGGGCAACGCCGCGGCTCGATCTGACGATATTGAGTGTGTAGCATGGAACAGGAAGGTCTCACATATCCTGGCCACTGGCGGCTCAGGGGGATTTGTGACTGTCTGGGACCTGAAGACCAAGAAGGCGTCGTTGACGCTCAACAATAACCGGAAGCGGGTCAGCGCAATAGCATGGGACCCGCACAACTCGACCAAGCTGTTGACGGCAACTCCTGATGACAACACGCCCGTTATACTCCTGTGGGATCTAAGGAACTCGAATGCGCCGGAGCGAACACTGCAAGGACACGAGCAGGGCGTCCTGTCCCTCTCGTGGTGTGAGCAAGATGCCGATCTGCTCCTCTCCTGTGGCAAGGATAACCGAACCTTGCTTTGGAACCCCCAGACCGGAGAGCGTTATGGCGAGTTCCCAGAGGTCACGAACTGGACTTTCCTGACCAGATTCAACCCACACAATCCGAGTCTGTCAGCAACAGCATCCTTCGACGGAAAGATTGCCATCCAGACTCTACAGAACACCAACCCCTCCACTGCGCAGACAGCCACACAAAACAGCCTAGATGGCGAGGACTTCTTCACGAGTGCACAGACCCAACCACAGGGCGCCTCTTTCTCCCTACCCAAGGCTCCCGCATGGCTGAAGCGACCAATTGGTGCGTCTTTTGGGTTTGGCGGAAAGGTTATCATTTTTAAGAAGAATACGATTGCCACTGGCCACCCCGGAACTTCCAAGGTTGTGATCTCGCAGTTTTCCGTCGACTCTGATGTCACGGCTCAGGCCGAGAAGTTTGAGGCCTCACTGCAAAGTGGAGATCTCAAAGAGATCTGTACATCGCACCTGGAGCAGGCCAAGACCGACGAGGAGAAGGCCGATTGGCTGGTCATGGAGACGCTGGTTGCCGCAGACCCCCGCCAGCAGGTGATTGACTATCTCGGGTTCACAAAGGAAGAGGAAGAAGCGACTGCGGATGATGAGGCGAAGGAGACAACGGAGGAGGCTGAAACGCTAGCACCAAAGGAGAACGGCGTCGAGAAGAGCAAACATCGCAGGATGGTTAGCATGTTCGACGGGAATGATGGCGATGATTTCTTGTCGGGCTTGGCAGCCAACAAGGGAGCGAAGACCGAGGATCCATTCCACCTGCTCAGCGAAGGCAACACAGCTCTGGAAGATCGCATCACCAAGGCTCTGATGCTTGGAGACTTTGCCAAGGCGGCAGAAATCTGTTTGAAAGAGGACCGTATGGCAGATGCTTTCATCATTGCTAACTGCGGCGGTAAGGAGCTGGTCGACAAGGTCCAGGCGGCCTACCTCTCCAGCAAGAAGGGCAGCCCCAGTTACCTTCGTCTGCTGAGCTCCGTCATTACCGAGAACCTCTGGGATGTCGTCTACAATGCGGATCTAGCGGACTGGAAGGAGACGATGGCATCACTTTGCACCTTCGCAAAGCCGGACGAGTTCCCTGATCTCTGCGAGGCCCTTGGCGACCGAATTTTGGAACAAGGGTCCCGCAAGGATGCATCGTTCTGCTACCTGGTGGGCTCGAAGCTGGAAAAGGCCGTGGGCATCTGGGTCGAGGAGCTCGAGGAGACTGAGCAGGCCGGCATGAAGGAGCCGAGCGAAGACTCGACCTTCTCGGTACATGCCAGGTCGTTGCAGCAGTTCATCGAGAAGGTCACTGTCTTCAGGCATGTGACCAAATTCAACGACAAGGAGACCAGCTTGACGTCTGACTGGAAGTTGGCCGCGCTGTATGACAAGTACACCGAATACGCAGACATCGTTGCGGCTCATGGCCTGCTGTCTGTAGCCCAGAAATATCTGGATCTGCTTCCGGCGAACTATCCTGCAGCGGAGGTCGCGAGGAACCGTGTCAGGCTCGCTACGCAGAAGGCTCCGGGACAGGTTGCTGCACGTACAACATCGTCTGCCGCCGCTCGACCAGGTACTCGCCAGCAGCCAGCGCGACAGCAGCCGGTTGGATACCAGGCGGCCCAATCTCCTGCGCCTATCAACACATTTGGGTCTCCAGCCCCGATCCCGACACCAGCCGGTAACCCTTACGCTCCACCGGGAGCCGCACCCGCTACCAACTCCTTTGTACCTCCAACCTCAACGCCAGCCTCAAATCCTTATGCCCCGCCTGCCAATCCATACGCGCCATCTGCGACGACTCCTTACCAGCCATCGACTGGCTACGCGCACCCTCAGCCAACAGGCTACGCGCCGTACGGTCAGCCGGCGATGGTACCTCCGCCGATTGGTGGTCCGCCCCGAGGGCCAACCCCAACTTCTAACCCACCCCTCCTGAGAGCGAAGGACGTGGGTGATTGGAATGATACACCTACTGTGGTCAAGGGACAGACCCGAAAGTCGACTCCCCGCGCTGTCGTCGCGTCTCCATTCCCGAACCAGCAGACCCCAGGTGTTGGGCCGCCCCCTCATAGCCCCTTTGGAGCTCCACCACGCGGGACTGCCACGCCCCCTCCACCTCCGCCAAAGGCGTCCGACCTCCCTCGCGTCACGTCGCCTCTGACGGGCCAGACGGCGAATATGCCAATGCGACCAGCATCTACGACTTCCAACCCATATGCCCCTCCGCCGCCTGTCGCAGGGGCAGTACCTCCACCTGGTGTCTCGCGGACCGCGTCGCCTTACAACACGCCACCACCTGGTGCCCCTCCGTCGAACCGATACGCTCCTGCTCCAGCGGCTCAGCAGGCCACTCAGACCCCAGTGCCAGGTGCCTCATTACCACCTCCTCCGGCTGCCAGTAGACCACCTCCGCCCAACCCATACGCTCCTCCTACTCAGGCGGCACTGGGACAGGGACCGTACGCGCCCTACTCTGCGTCCTCGACTCCGGCAAGCCAAGCTCCTCTGGCACATCCACCTACGGCCGGGCCTCCGATGGCTGGGCCCCCAATGGCTGGACCCCCCATGGGTGGTCCACCTCCAGCTGCGCAACCAACCCCACCGCCTCCCCGTGCAGCCGCACCTCCACCCAAGCCTAGGCACCCGGCCGGAGACAGGTCACATATCCCAGCCAATGCCCAGCGCATGGTTGATGTCCTGAGCCAGGACATGCAGCGCGTTGCATCGAAGGCGCCGCAAAACTTTGCGCCACAGGTCAAGGACACGCAGAAGCGTCTGAATCTGCTCTTTGATCACCTGAACAATGAGGAGCTAGTTAAGCCTGCCACCATTGATCAGCTCAACCAGCTGGCTGAGGCTATTGCGGGCAAGAATTATGATCTGGCACAGCAGATCCAGGTGGATGTTCAGAAGAACAAGACAGAAGAGTGTGGTAACTGGATGGTAAGTCTTTTCCAGGATGTCCCATTTTCTGGAAGGCAAGAACCAGAAAGCCCTTAAAGGAAACATATGCTAACTTGAAGTCACAGGTTGGTGTGAAGAGGTTGATTAGCATGAGCAAGGCCACGCCATAATGGATGGAACACAACAGTAGCAATCCAAGTCGGAAGGCATACAACAGCAGAGCATTTTTGGTGCTTACTTGTATGATGAGACAGAAAATAGACAACCAAGACACATTTGATATTCTTGCAGTTTACAAACTCAACTAAAGAAGCAGTCGTCTCTCAAGAGACCTTTTTTTCCAGTAGGCATAAGTGAGAGGGAAAGGCCTTTGTTATGTGTCTGATGTGACCTTTGTGGAAAGATAACGAAAATCATATGCTAGTATTCATCTGTAGCCAGAGGTCAGAGTGGACTTTCCATTCTCTTCCTTCACAGCAATGCGTGTAGAAATTTGTCAGAGTACTCGAGTTTGGGTGTTGAGGCTTAAGGCTTGAGGTTGAAGTGTGCAGGGGTAAGAGGACCTAAACCATCTCCCCTGCACAAGTGCCCCACATTTAGCCGAATCTCACTTGAACGCCAGAAATTCCAGCCTCGCGTTCGAACAAGTCCAATCCCAACCCTCCAAACCTTCTCCACACAAAGAGCTCTCAGTCTCTCCCACAGCTCGTGCGCAAAACCTCGGCTGCTCCATCCAAGCAAAAGAAAATCCCACAGGTCCTCGAGAGCATGGATGACTCCGAGCGCCGCACTGTCAAGCGGTCGCGCTTCGACCAGAAGGAGCCTGAGCCTCGAAAGGCCTCGAGGTTCGACCGCCGTTCTCGATCTCCTTCGGCCCGCAAAGACGACTCGGTTCGGGACAGGAGCCCATTGTCCAAGGATCGCGAGATGGGTGCATCTCCTGCCAACAATGCACCCGTTGATCCCGCCGCTGCTGCAGGTAAGAAGGAGAAGGGCGAGGATGACGTGGAGAAGAAGACACGAAGAGAGAGCTGCGCCATCCGAGAAGAAGAGAGGGACAGCGAGACAGGAGAAAGGGTGGACGGCAGGGTTTTTGGAAGACTGTATTGCAATAACTGACCCACATCGATTTTGAACACAGCTGCCGCTGCGGCCAAGATCAACGCCCAACTCCAGGCGCGCAAGGGCATCCAGCATGTCGATGTGCCCCCCATCCGATCCGAGTCGACCAAGTCTGATGGCCCGCCGGGTGGCACCATCAACGGCGAAATGTACATCGCAGACGGCGACTACATCAAGGACATCGAAGTCAACGACCTGCGCAACCGATATACCCTGACCAAGGGCTCTACTCAGAAAATGGTAAATATTTTGCCTGGTCATCATTTCTGCTGATCAACAATACCATCTGTCAGATGCAGAAAAAACACACACTTGTCCCCCCTTCCATTACAAAACTGTATGCGAGAAACAGTCTTGCTTACACTGGAAGCTGGATAGCTCGCGTACAAATCGTCTCTCTGGCCGCTGCTGACCTCCCCTGCTTGAATTTTAGATCAAAGATGACACCGGAGCTGGTATGCTACCACCCAATCTACCTGCCTACCTTCCCAACACACCAAAAAGAAAAGAAGATAAAATACAGAAATAATGCCGTCGTGTTTGAAGAATGAAAGTTGACGATTTGTTCTTAACCAAGATGTCACCACCCGTGGAAGCTACTATCCGGACAAGAGCATGGCCACCGCAGCCGTAAGAGAAAACGCACCCCTCTTAACCCCCCTCCTAGGATTCTCGAACAGGCTGCTGACCCAGACTTGTCAGAACCCGCCGCTATATCTTCATGTCACCAGCACGTCCAAGGAAGGCCTCGAGCTGGCGGTCAAGAAGATTGAGGAATTGATGCAACAAGAACTACCCCAACTGGTCGACGAGCGACGATTCCGCCGCCGAGAGCAGGAGCCAGTCGAGCGTGATGAATATGGCCGAGTACGTGCCTCTGCCAAAGGAACCATACCATGTTGTGCCCCTCATTTTTTGCTGACATAAATGAAATCTAGCGCAAATGGCCTGAGGAGAAGATCCCCATCAGCCTGGAGCCCATCCCTGGCTTTAACCTCCGTGCACAGGTTGTGGGCCACGGCGGCTCGTACGTCAAGCACATTCAGCAGGAGACGGGCTGTCGCGTGCAGATCAAGGGCCGTGGCTCTGGATACATCGAGAACGCGACTGGCCGCGAGGCCGAGGAGGACATGTATCTGCACGTTGCGTAAGTACAAGCAAACCCCTAATGAGACGGCTTCCTAAGATCCATCTAATCCTTGTTTCATTTTCCTCGCGCAGTGGCCCGGACCCGAAGATGGTTCAAACGGCAAAGGAGCTGTGTGAAGATCTCTTGGTCAACGTCAAGGAGCAATACGAGGATTTCAAGTCCCGTCCTCCTCGCAACAGCTATGGTGGAGGTGGTCACGGCTACGGCGGTGGAGACCGCTACAATGGTGGTGATCGCTACGGCGGCGGCGGCGGCGGAGGAGGAGGAGGAGGAGGAGGAGGAGGAGGCGACCGATTTGGCGGCGGAGACAGATACGGCGACCGGCGTGGCGACCGCCAAGGCAGTCATGGCTACAACAACAACTATAACTCACCCAACCCGGGCCAAGCCAACAACACCCCGGCTGTCTCTTCTCCCTCTGCCAACAACGCCAACACCGCTGCTGCCTACGGAGACTACGCAGCCCAGTATGCTCAGCTCTACGGTGGCGGCCAGCAGCAGGCTGGCGGCGAGGATCCGTATGCCGCGTATGGCGGCTATGCAGCCTATGTCCAGTACTACCAGCAGTACTACGCAGCGATGCAGGCCGCCCAGCAACAACAGGGCGGCGCCCCTGGCGCGGCTCCTGGTGCTCCAGGCGCATCTGCCAGCCCCCCTCCGCCTCCGGCCGAGCAGCCTCCTCCACCACCGCCTCCTAGCGCTCCTGCACCTCCTCCACCCTCAGGCTCGCCTCCCGGCACGACGGGTTACAATAATGTATGCAAATGCCACCACCCCGGACTCCTTTCCCACCCTCCGTCAATTTGATCGATCATAACGGCTAACACCAGGAAACAGATGCCTCCTCCACCAGGCTTGTAACACACTCACACACACACAACTCCTGATCTTCTACCCGCATCCAAAAAGAAAAATGAAATTTACAAAATGTGGTGATGCCAAGGTGATGGGCCTCTATATGCATGCAAACTTTTCACACACAAAAGCCACCTGCTTCAAATTAATTCTTACCTCCTTCTCCGTTTCTCTTATGCTGAAGCCAAGTCTCTATGATCTTCCTCTCATTCCCTTGCTTGTCAGCACTGGAAATGTTTCATTCTCCTTTCCTCTCATTCCTCCCATCTCAAAATCTATGTGGATGTGGAGGGGGAACGAGAAAGAAACGGAAGAGAAGTCAGTCTACTTTGTGATGGGTTAGGTTCGGTGGTTTCGTGGACAGCCCTATCCTAGATAGGAAACTAGTATGTGGTGACAAAATGTAATAGTGATCGAACTGAACTGAACGGAACGGGGAAAAAAAAAATCTTATGGGCTGCAGTGGCCCTCATGTATATATTTCCTCATATCTCTACATGGCCCCGAGCCATAGCTCTTTTCAAATGGGGTGCCACTGTGAGTCCCAGCCCATTTACTTATATTACGCACATTGTCATCACAGCACACGCAGATGAATGAGCAAAATGAGTGATCAGCAGAAGTCTTTGGTGAATTAATATTGTTGGGTCATTATGGCTAGAGAATGAACATGCCCGGAAGAGTATGTGACATAGTCATCCGAACTTTGCCTCCTCAATTAATAGCCCAAGTTCGTTCAAGGATCGTCCAAAGTCGTTAAGTCTAGTGGTGATCACCCCACTAGATGAAGAAGGTGTAGGTGCCCGGACAGCCTCTTGACCCATTCCCAAGAGGTGCCATTTTCCCATTCCAAGACCACCAATATGAATACATGAGATAGAGAGATAGGGAGGAACGAGAGAGAAAGTCAACGAGTCGAAGTCGCTAGACGGGGATATCGAATTCTGAGGCCCAGGCCAGCCGAAAAAGAGAAAAAAAAAGGGGGGAAGAAAACTCCCATACGCTCTCACTTCAACACATCCCCCAGCCACCAGCCGCCCGAAAACGCCTTCGCCGCCGAGGGGGAAATTAAGTGAAATCATAACCGCTGTCCAAGAGAGTCCCCTTGATGACCCATGAAAAACCTTTTGAAAGTTTGGTCGACTTTTTCCACACTCCTTTAATACATACGCCTGCTATGCAGCTTTTGGGGTTGATTAAGGTATCCATGATCCGCACCGGGCAAAAAGATGTCTCATGTGCTAAACTCTCACAGGTAAGTTTTTCTGAGATGTGCATTGCCGTCCATGAGTTCCTGCAGGAACAAGACGGTAGACTCCAACACTGCGCTCTTGCTCGTGATACCCGTGTTGGGAGGGGGAACGATGAGGCCGAGGTTCTCAAAACCGGTAGAGATGACCTTGCGGCGCTTCTTTTCGCTGTTGATATGGTTCTCCCGCTTCTGGTCCTCGGTCAGGTTCTCTCTTTTTGACGCAACAGATTTCCTCCGCTTGAAGGACAAGGGTAGGCGCAGCTCTGGGCCGGGCGAATCTGTTGATCCAGCTTTTGACTTGCGCTTCCGGGCTGAGGCCTTTGAGACTGCACTCTGTGGCTCCTCGTCGTCGTCCAGATCGTCGTCACCGCCGGACTTGCTCGTCCGAGCCTTCCTGCCGTTCTGGCCATTCGCTTCAATCTTGATCTTGAGTGCCTTTGGTCGAGCCTTGGATCGTGAAGCACCCTCATTGCTGCTTTGCGCCGCATCTGGACCAGGCGTCGTTTCGTTACTCCTGGCTAGCTCGATTACGGACATGTAGCTCATTTGCTGCTCCGACAGGGCTGTTGACGTATCCTTTTCCAGCAGCGGCTCGAACGGCCGATTATCGTTGGCAAAGCTCTGATCAGTGCCGTACTGCAGAGTCACGGGTGCGGGAGGTTGCGTGGTGCGTGCTTCGGACCGGACAGCGTTTGTTCCAAAGATCCAAGGCACCCACGTATCAGCCTGTTCGACAGCATGCGTGGACTGCGACATACGCCGTCCTTCTTTCTGGAACTCTTCCATTTCCTGGTATCGTAGATGTCGGCCTGGTGGTCCTCTGCCTTGATGGTGGTGGTGGTTGGACGGCCTGCGCCGTGATCCTTGTTGTTGATAGCCAGGATCGTTCTGCGTCTCAGGCATACTCCTCATGCTGTGCGAACGGTTGTGAAGCACGGTCGCAGCCTCCACTACATCAGGTGAATATCGTGATCGATCCCCGTGACGCGGGATGGTTGGAGAGTGCACAGGGGTGAATGCAGATGGTGGAGCAAAGGAGAGAGGAGCTGGGCCGGTGACAGGCGGAGCAAACTGCATGAGTGGAGGCGAGGGCCCAAGGCCGGCCTCGAGGGGTGGTGGGTGCATTGCTCCTGAAGGCATCGCTGAGGACAGGGCATCTGCCGGTGGCAAGTGTCCGTGTGCAGAGTTCAGGACGAAATCGCCGCTTGGGAACCCAGGCATGGACAGCCCGTAGGACGTAGACACGCCCTCGAGGGCGGGTGGCATGTCGAACTCGTCATTAGAAAAGCCCTCGCCAAAACTATACTGACCATAAGTTTCGGCACCTAGTACCAAATCTAGGAGATTGGTGAGCTTACTCGTCTCAGTGGACGAGAGAACCGGAGGGCCAGGGGCAGGAGGTGGCGGTGGCGGTGGAGGCTGTCTTTCGAACATGTCAAATATCGGGCCAACAAACTCCTGCTCCTCGTTGGACACTCGCCCCGGACCAACATCTGCTCCATGAGACGACACTGGTAAGCTTCAAGATCCATGGCAAGGAGATGATGTGTTCAGTGAAAATATCACCGGTGACTTACAGCCAAAGGGCAGGCCGTCGCCGCCGCCAGAACCCGACCGCCTCGAACCCATTGTCGGGCCCGAATACGCCGCCAGCATGAGTGCGTTCCTGAAAAAGTAAATGTGTCGGGTGGCTTTGGTTGATGGTTGTTGGAGGAAGACGAGAAGGAGAGGAGAGTTGGGGGAGACGGGTGGTGGGAGACGTTGGGTTATAAAGCTTGATCCTCCAGCACACAAAATGGCAATCCTGGCTTGGTACTCTTCTTGCCTCGAAGCTTTTCCTTGTCAGAGCACCCTTCGCAACCTGGTAAGGCGATGCTAGAGGTCAAGATCGCATGTTTAAAAGCAGATGGGAAAGACCTAGAACCCTGCCTAGGCAAAGCGCCAACACCTTTCAGAGTCGACCGATCTTTATGTAGCGAATCAAGTCCTGGGTTTCGTGGATGTTCGGGGCGCCGTTGCTGCTAGCTTTTTGAGGTCGACGTCGATCTGGGAAATGGTCCAGGGGTAGTTTGCAGGGAAGCAAAATACGGCTTTGTTGTCGCAGGTGAGAATTGGCAACCCTAGCAGAGAAAAGTGTTGCTCCCAGATCTTCGCGGACAGGGCTGCGCAGTTGCTTGTCCAGATCTTCCAGAGACCTTCCCCTCTCTTTCTCTCTCTCTCTCTCTCTCTCTCTCTCTCCTCTCTACCACAAGGGGGGCAGACGGATGTGTGGTGGCGGCGGCAGTGGTGACAGCACCAGTGGTAGTAGTAAGCGCTGGTGTGGATTGTAGTTTGAACTGGCATGCAGGCGATTTCAATCAGCTTCCATACGAAAGAGGTAGTGGCGTGTGGTCTGCTGCTCCTTACCGAAAACGCCTAGTAAGGACAGAGAAAGTTCTTCGAACGATGGGAAAAGAATGGAAAGATGCCAGTCCAGCCTGGTCTCTCCAGAGGTGACACTCTCTTCACACAAGCAAGGAGCCGCGCGTGTCGAGTGTGATGGTCGTAGCAAAGACGTACGGCGCGCAGCTGGGGAAGTGGGTGACGGCGGTGGTGGTGGGTGCTAGGAAAACGAGCGTGGTGTTCTTGTCTTCTGATGTGCAAGTTTAGACTTAGAGTTGCAGTGACTAAGGAACTAAGCCCAACTACCATTGCAGGCCTGCTGCACGAGGGCACGCCTGCATCTGCATTTGCGCAAAGCGCAGTGAGGGTCCCCTTGCCCCGCCTGACAACTAACGGGAGAACACCGCTGCGCCAGTCCCCATCCGAGCTTGGGTGGGTGGGCCCTACGTCCTGCCCCCGAGTCAAGGCCGCCGAACCGCGGGTCGTTCCCTGCTAAGGCATCATCCCGCTTTAGTGGAATGGCACAGCGGGGTGTCAGGTGCACCTTGATGCATATACTAACGTGAATAAGTACCCTTCGCTATCCACAGGCTGTGTCAGGTACTCCTGGCAATACATCCCCTTCCGGTATACGCGCCCGGGCTTATGAGCTGGGGGTTATGTCCATGTCTACTATGTATGTACAATACAGAAATGCTGTACACCGCTACTGTGATATTTATCTACTATGTGTATACGGTTGGACTCTTGGCGCCTCAGGATATGCGTTTTCAGAGCTGCTTCCCCACGATGTGCTAATCTGCCACGATAATGCACTAACTAACCTTTGGTGCCCGCCCGCCCACGGCGAGAGAGCGAGAGGGGAGGAGACTGTCACATGTCAGCGCCTTTCCACCCTGTAATTACAGTAGGCCAAGGCACGCGAGCACGGGCTGGCTACCAGCCCAGAGATGCTACTGTCGTTCGTTGCTGCCACTACTATCGTGTCACAGCACTATGTTCAGTAGTATTCTCTCTGGTCGAGCTCTGCCCCCTGCCAGCTCGGGTTTTCTTTGTCCTCCCCAAGTATTCATAAAGGGCACTGTAGAATACGACCTGGAGACTCTTTGCGATGTGCGAAGGGGTAGGACCAGATCCACCGTGGCTGGCAAGTGCCCTTGACAAGGGGAACGAGGATGCGGAGGTGTGAAGCAAGGCTAGCTTTCCCATGCATTGTATTCATTTTCCCGCCCTCGGTCACCAATTTGGTCATCCCGAGGTCAGATCCGACCTTCTCCTCCTCCTCCTCCTCCTCCTCCTCTCTCCTCTCCTCTTGGTCACCTCCCCACACGCCAAAAAAATCAGGTGGATCAGCAAGCTCCGGGCCACACGACGAATCTCCGCATGGTGATGGTTGTCCCTGCGTTATACCAATTCACCCCTCGGCATTGGCCTATTAGCGAGCACGCTGCATACTGTTCCTGAAACGTCCTTAGGCCCTTCTCAATGAGGCAATTCTTTGAGAGTTTTTCTTGCTTGCTTGCTTGCTTGCTTGCTTGCAGCTTGCAGGATGACGCTGGATCTGCATTTCGATTCTCCATTTGGTCCTCCTCCAGCTTCCACTGCCGCGCTTATGCAGTACCGGTCGATCAGCAAAACGAGCCCATCCATCTCCAGAACAGTGCTACTGGCAGCGTGTAAACAGTGGCCGGATTTAGAGGCATGAAAGGGCTGCGAGAATGGTGACAAGTTGACAGTAACTTGGCGTCCTGTTTCCTCGCACCTATGTGCTACCTCATCAGCATGATACGTCAAGGGAAAGCTGTCCCCCATCGCCTCTCATAACCTTAACCAAGTATACAATGTACTATGGTAGTAAGATTGTGGGCGTGAGGGTCTAGATTCACGTTTTCCAAAACCACACACGTCACGCTCAGCAGACCAGCAAATGGGTGGTGGCATCCATCCGTACAGCAAAGCCGAACTCCGAAAGGATGACACGCACGCGTAAACTCACTTGACTGTAACTTACTGTCACTGCTACAGCTCTTGACCAATAGTTACCTGCGTACTGTACTTACTAGCAGGGAATAGGCATCTCTCCTTGCGATCAAAGGGCCAATCGCAAAAGTTTTTTTTTTGTTTTGCGGAGGACTGAGAACGAGGCCTGACCCATTGCATTCACATCCATCCTCTCGTCAATAGGCCACCATACTTGACGCCGTTCTTCCTGAGATGAAGCCAAGGGCCAGCTTGAATGCGGGATATTCTGTCTGGAGGCTTTCTTGCTTGGTTGACAGTGGTCAGTCTGGTTTTGGCTGGTGGCTCAGCTCAACCGACGTTGGCCGTTTCCAGTCCTGCATGACTGCTGTCCAGGCTTGTCCCTCCATCACTACACATATTATATATACGCCCCTCGTTGTAATACCTCGACCTGGGTATACTCGAGCCTAACACCTGGATTGATTCTGCCGTTGCTGCAGCTGCAGCAGCGAACATCGTCGACGAGACAACTCGTGGAATAAGCTGCAAGGAGCGCCTCTTGTTCTTTTTCGTTGTTGTTATTGCCCCCCCCCCCTGCACATGCTGTCCGCTGCGCTTGCCCCCCTTAGCCCTCACACTGCTGCAGCAAATTATAGCGCTTTCACATGTCATTCGCGCATTCCCCAACCAACCCCAAACTTGACAACAACATTCTTTCTAAACTTCGGTTCAGCTCCAATCCTCCCAAGCCCATTGCCATCAACATCCGCCATCAATGAAGTCCAATGTCCTGTCTACAAAGCACAGAACTCATCCACGAGGATGGGATGCCGGCATTCCTCCCTCGCTGAGACCGCTTGTACGCGCATATCTCTTCGGCTATGGCTTCAGCGTTGGCCCGAGAGTGCTCTCGTTGCTTCTGCATCATCTTTTGAAGCTGTCACCGAGGCGCAAGGGAACAGCCCAGGATGATGCTGCTCCGTCAGGGAAATCACAAGCGCCGCTGCTCGAGTCACTTGGGAAGATACTAAGGGCTGGGACGCAGCTGAACCGGTTCCCTACGTTCTGCGCTGCCCTTGTTGGCAGTAGCACTTTGTTAGAGGTGCGTCATGACATTACCATTACGGCTCAAGCTTTCCGCAATGGATCCCTGCTGACCAGTGTGTCTTCCTGGATAGCCTGTTCTACAGAAAGCATTTTCTCGTATTTTCGAAAACCTCTCAAATACTACGCGAACTAGGTGCGTTCAACAGAAGACTTGGTCTCCTGTTCACACGGGCGGTGAAGGACAGCCGTTCTAATATGGTGGATCATCAGACTTTCAAGATGGCTTTCCTCAGCGATTGCGGCATGGTTCAGCATACAGCTGCTGCAGACGCCCTTTGACCCACCTGCCAGCATGAGCAGCACCGCGAAAGAAGGCCACCAGCCAGCAGGACAGGGCAGTCCAGCCTCTCCCGAAGCCATCAAGCCCCAGGCAGGGCGCACATTAGATCTCACCCTCTTCGCCGCCACCCGTGCTCTAGACGTGATCATAGGAGAACTCTGGTCCCAGCGTCGTGTGGTTCGCTCTCCGTCCGCCAGCAGAACAACTCGCACCCTTGACTACCTCACCTCCACGCTCACTGACCCCCTCATCTTCGCCCTGACTTCTGGCATCGTGATGTGGAACTGGTTCTACGCACCGCACGCCCTCCCTCGCGCCTACAACAAGTGGATCGCCTCGGCCGCGTCCGTCGACCAGCGCCTCATCGTCGCACTCCAGCGCGTCCGTGCCCAGATCATGCGGTACGGTGAGGACACGGGACAAGCACCCCTTCTCCAGGGCATGTGCGAGGACTTTGGCTGGCCCACAGCCTGGGGAGATCCGGCCGTCAGTGTTCCCTTTCCCTGCGAGATGGTGCACATGGGCGTCGGCCCGTCTTGCGAGCTGCACGCGCTCAGCCGGTTTCTGCGCGCGTGGGCCTGGAGCATGAGGACGTACCTCCCATTACAGTTGGTCATGTTCGCCGCCCGCGCCCGCGGCTCCAAGGATCTCCGGCGCGACTTCGTACGCACCCTCACGTCTGCCTCGCGCTCGTCCGCCTTCCTCGGCGCCTTCATCGCGCTCTTCTACTACGGCGTCTGCCTGACCCGCACGCGTGTCGGCCCCCACGTCCTGGGCACATCACCGGGTGCGCGGCAGAGGATTGATAGCGGCCTCTGTGTCGGTGCTGGATGTCTCCTCTGCGGGTGGAGCGTGCTCCTCGAGACGGCAGGGCGGAGGAAGGAGCTCGGGCTGTTCGTGGCGCCGCGCGCGGTGGCGACGATGCTGCCGAGGCGGTACGACGCTGACAGGCAGTGGATGGAGAAGATGACATTTGCGGCCAGCACAGCAGTAGTCTTCACGTGCGTACTGGAGAACAAGAGACGAGTGAGGGGTGTGTTGGGGTCTGTTTTGAGGATGGTTCTTGCTGCATAAGCGATCCGTTGGCATGTGAGATTCACGAAATGGTGGACAAGTTAGAACTAGACGGCCCGAGGTTGCATATAACGAGGCGATGGGTTGGTTGGGTCCATGCATAATCGTTAAATCTGTAATTTAGTAGTCAATAGACTATAGAATTCATCTTAAGATTAGGATGATCATTGTCGTCGTATGATTGGTTCAATCAACCTTCCACAGTGATAGAGGAGCTTCGTAGCATTCAGTATGACCGTCGTCACATCAATAAAATAGTATCATCGAATATCATTGCTGCAATATCTGTCTGATCCAAGGCGATGGACAGACAACTAAGACCTCAACCAGGCACAGATACCCATCACAAAGACACACACCAAGATATCCGACCGCACGGTAGTAAAGATCTGCGAATATCGCAACCCCGTGCCGAGCCACGCCTTCCACTTCCCCTCGGGCAAGAATCCCATGACCATGTTCAGCACACCGGGCGCAGGCCGCCCGCGGTCGAGGAAGAACCGGCTCGTCAGCAGCACCGCCTCGGCAGTCGCGAACGTCCAGAAGAAGTACCGCCGCATGTCAGCCGCGGCGGCCGCGGCAGCGTCTCCATCGCCGCCATAGCCCGCCGTGGTGGCCACGAAGGCGCCGCGCTCTCGCTCGATCTTTGTGCCTGTGAAGCCAGACGCCAGGGCTATGTAGAGGCCGAGCCCTGTGGCGAGGACAAAGTGGAGGAGGCGCCAGGTGGCGGTGTAGGCATCGGATTTCGTGGTCCCTGCTGGGCCGCCCTGTTGCGACGGTTGTTGTTGGGTGCCGCCGCCGTTCATCGCGGCGAGCTTGGCGAAGAGGTCGTTGGGGTCTTGGGCTCCGCCCGGGGCGCCAAAGGGGGACGGTCCCGCTCCGGGGGTGCTTCCGAGGCCGCCGCCGCCGCCGAACATTTGCGAGAACATCTTGGCGATGGCATCCTCTGGGTCGGACGGTTGGCTGTCGGGGCCGCCCATGGCAAGCAGGGAGGAAGGGTCGAATAGAGGGTTCTGGTTGCCCCCTCTGCCGCCACCGTTGCTGTTGTTGTTGCCGGCGGTGGTGGGCCGGTCGAACCCCAGCATCATCTGGCGGAGTTGGCTCTCTGAGAGGTTGTCGGGGTCGAAGCCGCCTGCTGGAGCTGAAGAAGATGAGGGAATGCGGTTCGTCGTCTCTGGCCTGTAGTAGTGCTGGGAAATGTCGATCTCCTCGGGGTCGGCATGGTGCTGTTCGGAGGCTGGCTGCTGAGGGTTGACGGCTGGGGATGATGCTGATGGTGGTGCTGGTGAGGGTCCTCGAGATGGTGGGTTGCTAGGAATTGGATCTGCTCGGATTCTGTGTCAGCAATGTGCCTTCTTTACTTTTCCAACCTTCTTCTCTCGCTTCCTTTTACCGAAAGGTGGGAATGAAAATCTGGTAGGAGTTTCGCGCTCCCACTCCTCCACTTCCAAAGGCAGGCAGGTATTACTACATACCTCTCTGGATACCACCTCCCAGCCCAGTGATCTTGTTCAGTCTTGCGCTGCCGCCCGCCTTGATCTTGGCCTCGCGACGTTCCTTGCGGATGCGGGCCTGCTCGGCCGCTCGTGCAGCAGCTGCATCTTCAGGGCTGAGCCCTGCAGTCTCGGTCATAATGAGAAGGTGTGGGGGTGACCTTGACTTGTATTTGAGCGCTGCTGCTTTACTTGCCTCCTCGGACAGGAAGAGGAGGGGAAGATGAGTTGGCTTGGTTTGAGAAGACGTTTGTTAGAGGCTGACAAGTGACGTGCACTCTCAGCTTTGACAATGGTGCTTATCAGCTTATCGCATCTAGCCACTACTATAGTACATGCAAGGGCCAGCAGAGGCCCGCTGGGCCTTACTATTTAGACCTCACTACAGGCCTTGTCGGACAACAAATTCTCTGGGGTTTTCTAATTCATGAGCTTAGTGACAGGAGCAATACATCTATTTGATATTCGAGCTTCATAATGTACAATTCTTTGTTGTTGAAGGCCCCCTCTGCACTCTTGATTTGGTATTCTTGTCTTCTGACTGGGCATTCCAAGACAGATTTACTTGCAAGCTTCACCAACCTCCAACTCTCTTGGAGTTATTGAAATGACATTGGTTTGGCTCATCCCATCCCTCTCTAGGAATTCCTGCGGTCAATCTTGTAGAGCCTCACTTCAATATTTTCTGTTCAGAATAAGAAGAAATGGTTATTGCTGATATTTGTAGTGGATGACAAAAGGGTATGACCTAGCACAAACTGAATGCATTGTTGTCGCCCAGGCTTTTACCCGACTTAGTAAAATCAACCCGCCTCCTGGAGAAATCAACCCGCCCCCCACTGCTCTAGCCATATTTGGACAATATAATACACGGTACTAATGCTGTACACATGCACTCCCTGTATATTTTACAAGCCTTTCGCACTGTCAATGGGCAGGAGTGGCACGTAGGCATTTCAGTCTGAGGTTACTACATATCTGGAGAAACCCTTCTACCAGGTACTTCTAAGCAAAATTGCTGTCGAGGCTTAATCCTCCCCCTCCGGTGACAGCACCCGCACCCTTTTGACTCCATCACCGGGCCCTTTTATCCTGTCATCCCTCTCCCGCCTTACAGCCTCTCTCTCTGATGCTTGCCTCCTCTTCACAGGTTCCCAGACATCGCTAGCTAGAGCTTCTCCAATATCTGGTCGATAATCCGGATCCCATGCCAACATCCGCAGTAACAGATTGCGAAAAGGCTCTGTAATCTTTGCCTTCTGGTAGATATCATTCACCGTTTTGAGAAGTCTCCTATACCCTGGCTGATCTATTTCAGCATAGTCCGGCGGGTACACAAACGCCCTCAGCTAAGAGACGGCCAGGCTCCATACATCTGCTTTCTTGTTATATAGAGTTTCCGTTGTGCTTGCCCAGACTTCTGGTGCAATCCAGACAGCCCGCTTGGGTTTGCGTGACGTATGAGGTCTTGCTACAGCGTAGGCAAAGTTGGAAATTGCCACCCTATTCGGCAGATGATAGCTAGAACTGCCAATTTGTGAGGGTGCAAGTGTTGATCTCGTACTATCTAGCATAATCATCAAAGACCTTGGTCGAATTGCGCCGTGAATGATTCCACTTTGGTATATCTCCCGGAATGCCACCAGAGTCTGATAGAAATATTCTAGTCGATTGTTGAAGTCCAAATTAGATCAGAGGAATAACTCAAAGTCATACTCAGCAAGAAGCATGAAATAGAATATCTGTTCATCATTCCTCGAAGTCTCCTACTTCTTGTAAAGCTAACATAGCAGCAATATACCATGTTTGCATTACTGGTCAATCAGACCTAGTATGCTATCCTAGTTTCTGCTAAACCGAGATATCATGTTCAACTCATTCAGCACGCAGCGTTGCATCTCCTTTTTAAAGTTCAGCTGCCTTACAGCAACAAGCTCGCTCATATGGAGGCGCACTCCACAGAAGAGAGATATGATAAAGCCCTCTACTAGCCAGCAGTATATCCATATATTGCTAAGTATGAAATGTATCAAGTTGGGAACCAGATCTGAGTATTGTAAGGGATATGTTCCTTGACTAAGCATGAGAGCTTTGTTGCATTGCGCCCGAAACTCGGCGGAATCTCGGAGATATTGAAAGGCAAGAACAAACTCGTATTCGCTGAACCGAAGATAGTTCCGCTGCATAAAGAGCAAACACAATTCGCTAGCGCCATCTCGATGGATAACAAGATTGCTACTGTCGCCAGAGCTACTCTTATCCAAGCTGCCGCAGTATAATATAAGCTTTTTGCAGAGGCTGCGGAGGACTAAGGCTCCAGACCGAGAGTGGAGATACAGATCAGCGTGAACGGCGCTGATGAATTGACGGCAGAAGTTGGATGATCTGGTATTGCCTGGCGGACAGCGGAGAAATTCGACTTCACAGTTCACCTCTTTCTTTCTGAGAAAGGGCGGCGGGCCAGCGCCGATTCGCCATGTGCCGAACCGGGGAGCGTTGAGGTGGCTGGAGTCGCTCGAATTGCTGGGCAGTTGGGGCAGTGAGAGGACCTAGAGTATATCGGAGTCGCTGGCTTCGGCATCGCTGGTAGCTCCTTGTTCGTCTTGGTTGGGGGGAGAGCAGGCTTGTAATAGATCGAGAATGTGAATGGCGGCAGCGTTGCTGGGCGAGAAGGTGCCAAATCGCAAGTCGAATCCCGACTCGGGTCCAGGCTCGGGCTCTGTCTTCGGAGGTGAACGCGAAGGACCAAGCGGCTCCGAACACTCTGGGACGCTGGACGAGTTGGACATATCGATGTTTTGCCAATAAAAGATTCAAAGGCTTGAGGTCGTTTACGTCTGGTTTCAGGTCGTTGTCGAAGAATCTGACGCGAAGTCACATGCTGCCTGCCAGGCTCCCGACACTCCAAACAATTCGTGTGCTGATTTCCTTTTACAGCAGCTTGATAGTATTGTTCTTATAGTAGAATTTTTTTCTTGTTCTTGATTCTTTTCTTTTTCTTTAGTGGGCTTTTAGGGTATTTATTATCTAGGAGGTTTTGTAGCTGCTTTGACATTTAAGTTTTAAAGTAACCAGCTTTTATTTTTATTTTTTTATTTTCTTATTTTAAACCTAGCTCATTGGTGTTGTTTTTGAGTAGGATTTATTTCAACATCTTAGATTTAGACTGTTATTTTTAATCGAAACAAGCTGGGAATTAGCAAATTTGTGCACCCTAGCTTACAGCATGTCCTGGGCCATCTGGGCGTACATTGACGCCTGACATTGTGTTCAGTGGCTAGTTTTGGCCTTGGCAGTAAAGTTGAAAGTGGGATTGTCTAGTTTATTGAGCTCATTTACCACAATACCTATGCTATACCATGCCAAAACTACTTGTGCTGCTCCGGGTCAAATACGAACCGTTGTCATTTTGCATTCTGGCACTAGTTCTATCGGACAGCAGTACCAGCTCCGTCGACTTGCTCAGCTACCTTTTTCATGCCACGCTGTTCTCCAATTGGCTGATATTCTGCTTCGGCGAAATGGACGAATCGGTCAGGACGAGTGGTGTGCACTACGCTTGAGCGAAGCTGCTTCACGAAGTGATAATCTCCACAACCTATGATCAAATTAGCAGAGGCCCCGTTACCACCACTGAATCAGGGACACCTGGCACTCACCAACGACAATCATTCTACCAGGTGAATGTGCCTCTCTTTCAATTGTTGATGTGACTGTATCGGAAAAGCTCGGTCGTCCAACTGTTGGGTACAGGCATACCCAGTGATCGGAGAGCGGGAAAAGTGGCTTTGAGTTCTTTGGGCGAGGGTACGGGAAAATGCACCAGACGACAAGAAGTCTCTGTGCAATTAGTAGTTAGACATCGTTCCATACTAACGAGGGAAGCCTACATACATTCTCAGGGTCCAAGTCCTGGAGGATCTTCAGGTACTTCCAAGCCCAAAGCCCTTGGTCATTGTGATCTAGCTGCCAGAAGAGATCGACCTTCCTGGTAGCATCACTAAAGAACATACCGGACATAGTCTTGTCCTTATGCTGCTGAAAACGCAATCTTGCTGTCCGGATATCCTCCTCCTCCTCCTGGTCCATTCTGCTTCGTTCCTTCTGTAGGGCTTTGGCCTCCAGTTCCAGGGCATCCTCAAGCGTCTTGAAATTGCCAACTCGTCGACGAAGCCTCTTACCGTTCTTTAGTAAGTTTTGCTCCTTTTTGATTAGTTCTTGTTCATCTTGTGCTAGTTCTCTTTCTCGATTTCTCCAGTCTTCTTCCATTTGCGTAAGCTGATTCTCCATTTTCGGGAAATTTTGTGATGCCTTACGTAGGTCGTCATCGTGTCGTCGTCGTTCGGCTAGAGAGATGGCTAGAGGCAATAAACCAATAATTCCGGTTCCCTTGGCAACTAGGAACACCGTCTCGAAGTTGTGTAGATTGGAATTACCACCGTAAGGCCCCTCTAAAAGTAGATAACTGCGTCTGTCAAGCTTTCTGATATGGTCTGAAAGTTCGTTCCCGTGGCTTGTCACAAAGGAAAAGTTTGTCGTGTATTTGTGCTGAGTATGCTGTGACGGCTCATCCCACATAGCCAGCATGGGAAAACTGGTCAAGATGTTGTACTGCCAATAGGATCCAGGAAAGTATACATAGAAGTAGGCACCAGGAAAGGGCTTGAAAGCGTGTCTGCTGGATACCTCAATAACCGTGGTATCACTGTACTGCGTGACCCCTTGAATGGTGACTCTCCTTCCTCTATAGAGAATGATAAGTAGCCTGTAGGTGGTAGTTGCGAGCCAAAGCCCAGCCGAGAGCGAAACCAATGCGGTGAGAAGGGTTGACCGCAGTAGCAAAACATGCCATAACAGTATAGCAAGGACTAGCGCGGCAGCCAGGCAATGGAGAATCCAGAACCTGTCCCCTTGCAGCTTTCGGCAGACCTATATCGAGGATCTAAGGACGATAAGAAACGCTGTAAACAGCTATATATATCGAGTTAGCCATTTTCAGATTCAGGCTCTGGATATCACTTACAACATAGCCAGATGTAGCAATAGCACTAGATCGAGGCTGAAGTGTTAACACCACTATGCTGTGAAGAAGCCCCTCTGCAATTGCTACCCTGCTCACCCAGTGGTGAGCTATGTAGTAAGTCGACAAGAAAATCCCAAGACGATCGACTATCGGATTTGTTCTGCCACCAAGATAACTTGGCGATACTTCAGGTCCTTCACCACACCGATCCGAAAGCCGCCCATTGCAGATAGCAGAAGGATCCCGTGAAAGCTGATGCGGAGGCGAGGTTCCAAGATGATGTCTCGACTTCGGCCCCACAACGTGCTGAGGATGAGCAACACATCGTCTGAGGTCGCTTCCCTCTTCTCAAACGTCTGAGTGAGAGAGAGCCCCTGCTGAGGCGCCAAATCTTCTGCGATCCACTGGAAGAGCAGTTAGCTTTGAACTCAAGAGCCGTGTTGTAGAATAAGTAGGGTGGTTACCCTCGATATTTGGCTGAGTGGGCTACCGTTGGCTCTCCCCGTGTCTTTAACTGGGAGACGAAGTGTCCACTGCGCGGCCCGCGCTGGATCCTCGGCTCGCTTGTCCCTCAGTATTGTTTTGTCCGCGTGCACAATTAGATCTCTCCAAGCATCTAGCACAGTCTTCGCAGAGGCAACCGTTGGAACCTCATCAAAGCCTTCGTCGTTTAGAGAGACCATATACTCTGTCCCTTCTTCGGCGTAGTTATGCAAGAATAGCTGACAGTAGTCTTGCGCCTCGGGCTTGCACAGACACAGATCGATCCAGATCTGTGCCGGGTCGATAATATCATCCATGATCCTATGGAAGAAACTGGCCTTGGTTTAGCATTGCGACTGTGCGATTTGCGGACACAGAGACTCACTCAAGCCAGAGGGCCCAGATACGCTGTCTCTGAAGGTCTGTCTTTTCTTCGACTCGAGAGCCGAGATCGTCACGACGCTGTTGGTCGGCATATCCGCCCAGGACGGTTTGCAACCGTGTCCGGCGATGGTCAGACCTTGGCTGGCGAGCATCCTTGGATGTCGGGATTGAGTTGAAATCCATGAGCATGTGCGTAAGGGATGGGGAGAGATACACACACACACACGAGAGAGATGGAAAGAAAATGGAACGAAGGTCGGCATTTTATGCTATGCGCCCACCTGGGCACTGCCCAGGTGGGCAGAGATCGCGCTCCCGGTCATGATCTCGGGATGCGGATCACCCACCAGCCGCCATGGGCGTTCAAATTTCCCACATCGTCCGGCGCTCATTCCGTAAATTTTTCAACATGCAACTGTGCCTCTGGCTAAAAACCAACAGGTTAAATTTAAGCAGGACGAGCTGGGCGGCCGCCAACACAGGCCGCCTCCGTAACCTCGACCGTCGGAGGGTTGACGATATATCGTCGGAGACGTCGCGAATAGAAATCCGGCCCTTAGCGGCTTATTTAGGGGAGAGCAGACGGGATCCCAAGTTCTCCGCTAGGTATGGTCGTACGTGATGAGATTTGCCAAATGGTTAACTATATTCTACATGAAATCAGAGGGATTTGACAGGACTAGAGCATCCAGCAGCCCAGATCTCGAGACCCAAACAAGTTCAATGATCTATAAAGCGTGAATGCTGTTGATCAGCAGATGCGCTTTTTGAAACGCAATGAAATTGATATTCTTTGCATCAAGCTCTCCGATATAAGAATCGGATAATGTGAAGAGAAAATTCTATCCTGCGGGCCTTCTTTGTATGTATTATTCACACCTCATCTATCTACTGGAGTGTCTTTGGTTCTGGCACTGGGAGGAACTTTTCTTAAAAGATATTACCTGTCCAGCAGGAGCACACTCAATAAATATTTACAAAATAATGATTGGGATGTAAAGTTCCTTATCCTTATTAAATCTTTTGAAATAACTTGACTGCTGCAGCATGAAGAGGGTAAAAGTGTGGAGTGTGTACAGGACTTGGGAGGTTTCCATTCAGAATATTCTTCTCTACATTACTTGCCATGAGTCTAGAAAATATGTACTAGATTCAGCGAGTGTCTCCTGAATTATTGACAATTAGATATTCACAACTCCTTGGTTTGGAAAGTAGTCAACGTAACCGTCGTGACGTTCACATCAAATGCTCCTGACGTAGACGACAGTCGCACACAGTGCCCGACCTCCATTGTCTTCAATTCTCAATCTCGTCCTTGGCCTGCTTGTTTCTGAAACCACGAGTTCTCCTTCTCTGTACACACTCGACAATGAACTCCACGAACCAATATGCCAGGGATAGGACCATGAGCGCAAACGCAGCCCACGTCAGTGAAGCCAGCTTCATGTTGTAGTCGACCTCCAGCCCGATGTCGTCGCCCCCGTTGTTCGCGATCTCCTCGGCTACGATTCGCGGCGCGATCGTCGCGACCAGGCTTGACGCGAGAAGCAAGATCATGGCCCAGAAGGCGATGCACACGTTGAGGAAGGAAAGCAGCCGGCCGGCGCGCGGGATGAGGAGGAAGCCCGCGAGGGAGGTGATCATGGCCAAGCCTGTCAGGCCGACACTTGCTATGAACACGGCCGCGAGGGCCTTGGCGACCTTGGGTACGAGAGCGAGCTTCTCCTGGACCGAATCGGACACGCCAAGTTCGCTGAGGGTGAAGGCAAAGGGCCCGAGGCTGAGCTCCTCGTTGAGCTTGCTGGTGAAGTTGTACGCCGCTGTAGACTCGGATGTCAATCTCAATACATATGGATTGGATATGTGTCTTTACATGGGGTAAGAACGAGGAGATTGGGGTCTTACAAAAATCCATAGGCGTCGTGCAGTTCGTCACATTGTGTGAGGCGCTCGGCACGGTTGCATTGGGCGAATAGTCTCCCTGGCAGAAATCCATGGCGTGGACTGTATAAAATTCACCAATGCCCAGTTCTGTCGCCAGCGTGTCGGCGATCTCACCGCTCAATGCACCCTCCAGGGCAGTCGCTACCGACGAAGGAATGGTTACGCCATCTATGCTGCCACTGCTGATGATGCTTGAGACGGCACTCGAACCAAGTGATGAAGTGTTGAATGTTATGAGGTTATAATCATCCATAAAACCCTTCTTGTATCCTGCGAGGAGGGACAAGAGGGAGAGGATGAAAGCTGCGATGGAGAAGACGAGAGGGATCGCTATGAGGAACTTCATCGTGGAAGATGTGCTGCTGTGTGACAGCCTGAATGGGAGACGCAAAAAGTGCGAGTATGGAGAAGACGAGGGCGAAAGAGAAGAAGAAGAAAAAAGGAGATACGACTGTACGACAGACAGGGCGTGAGAGCGGCGACAATTCTTTATATACAACAACAATTATGGCCCAGAAAATGCGAAGCAGGACACTCGACACTGGGCAGTAGTCCAACCTGAGAGCGAACATTTCTATTATCCAACATGGGGAACTGTTTCTGTCACGCATTGTTGAATTACATCACTGACACGAGATCAGCTAAAAGGTGGGACACTGTATGGATCCGTAGAATTAAGTTTTACATCTAGCGTCAGAGAATCATCCCAAAGACGAGGCGTAGAGATGAATGTTCAGTTCAGCCGAGTCAGTTGGGAGCATCTTGCTTGTAGAGCTGGACAGCCTACCGATACTGTGGGACTGAACCCTGTAGATTCGTAAGGTGGCGGTAGTCCAATGTTTCTTATTCCTGGTAGTTGCTGCGGATGCCGGACAAACGTGCTGAAGGAAGAGACGAATCAACCCTGGTTGCTATTCCGGGACCACGCTGATGACCTCTTCAGCACCACTTTGGCGGGCCGGACCGGTCTTCAGCCAGTGTGAAGGAGGCAAATTCTCTCCTAGGTATTGGCACAAGAGGTAATGGCTCAGAGTTGAACGCAAGATAGCTGAGGAAGTAAAATTTAAAACTCTCTCGAATCTACATGAGCTTCAAGCTACGGGTCATGATTGCCAGCTGAACTTTTTCTGCCAGGAGGATCAGCAATGTGTTGGGTTGGACGAATTGTGATATGCAAGCCTACGAGCTCGCTGCCCACAGTTTTACCAAGCTTTCCCAGCCGCTCTATAAATTCCGCAGACCCTCCAGAGGGACCCAGTGCAGGGCACGAGGCTGATCAGCGCCACTAGTGTGAGCCGAGGGCCCAGCCTGGCGCAGGCTTGCGCAAGACACCGCTTGTAGCGATGACGCATAACCGCGTGGCTCGGCTGGTGGCTTGGTGAGGAAGATTGTGAGAAGTTACACAGACCCAGGTTGACAAGACCGTTGCGAATTGCTCTGATGAAGTCGTGTAGAGGGAACCGATTAGTTGACAGGATATTTGGTAGATTGGGCTTATTAGTGACGGTTGACGTCACAACCCATTATTTGGAGCTATTGCGCAGACGAGGAGTTTATAGCTTGGTATTGACCCCATGGGGCGAAACGGCAATCGTAGGCTCACAAGCGGGCTGCGTACATAAACACGAGCACCTACTCTAAAGACTTGGCTCAGTCATAGAAGTAAAACGACTCGGTGGTTTTTTTTTTATTTTTATTTTTTATATATATATACATTTTCGCAATACACAGTATATGAGTCCTTGAAGCATACTATGCACGTCCAGTGCACAGCGCGCCCGGGGGACCTGGCCCTGCAGTTATTCTTCAATCAAGGTATCATAGTATATGCACTGATTGGAATGTTGTCACTGTTTCTTTGTTTCTTATGATCGCTATTCATCTTGAAGAGTGTTTCCTCCGTCGTCCGCGTCTCTGCTCCTCTGCCCAGGCCCGATTGATCATACACCGTCTACCAGTGGCAAGTTGGTCTCCGGAACTCTCCACAGCATTTGAAACCAGCCACTGGGCCTAGCTGTAATCACCCTCCGAACACATGGGGTCTAGCGAGGGCAGGTATATGTGAGAGGCGTGCAGGCTGACTTTGCAGAGATGTTGGTTCTCTCTGTACGAGGTCAGAGGACCGGAGGTGGATAAATAGACGAAGAAGGTTGAGAGACAGCAGGATGGTTTTGCGTGTATGTAATTAACTCAAATGCTTTCTTTGAATTAGTTATTAACGGCTATGAAGGGATTGCATAGAAGAGACCCCACGATATGACAATCAGAGGGAGGATCTTTGGAGAGGTGGCTGTGATGTTCCTAACGAACTATGTGTCTCTACTTGGGTACCAGAGGAAACCAAGATGGACGCAACTGACAAGCTACTGCCTAGACTTTCATATTCTTTCGTCGCAAGGGACAATCGTGGATAGCATCCAGAGGAACAACAACTGTCCATATCCTTCATCGAGCACCGAGTTCCAACACTTTGATCCCGCCATCGCAACGATTGGTCTGATTTCATGAGGGTCTTGCACTTGGAGATGGGAGTCCAGCGCGCACTGGGCGGATGCCAGCAGATGATATTACAGCACGGCATAGCTCTTGTCTTGTTTGGGCTCAAATAGCCCCGGAGACCTGATCCAACACTTGCTGACCCAGCGTTCTCCTGCGCCCAGCATCACCATTTTCCTGACCTGACACCCCCGTTGCCGAGGCAGACGGCGCATTCTCGCCTTCCAGCCGGCGTCTCAATCCTTCAAACTCCTGACTCCTCTTCGCCGAGCTCATGCCCACCATCCACCCCGGCAGTCTCCAATTCGTCAGGGCGCTGGGCAGCAGGTCGCTCCTCCATGCTTGGCCCACTACCCATCCAACCACAGCACCCAGCAGAGAGCCGGGCCACTGGAAGAGCGCGAGCTGGAGTGCCAATCCATACCGCATTGCCTTGTCTGAGAGGGTTACGCCGGCGGCGTCGTCGCTTGTTGACGGTGACGCGGTCGTGAAGGCCATGCGCCATCTATAGATATGCGGAACCGCGGCGTGGAACTGGGCTAGTACGGCGAAGACAAGAGGTGTAGGGCCTGCGGGGAGGTAGTCGAACAGGCCGCCTGTAAGCGGTCGAAGGAGGAACGTGAGAAGGGAGGGTGTGATGATGCTTGTCAACATGTGGGATACGATGAGGAAGGACTGTGCCAGAGCGATGTCAGTTTAGCATACAAGTCAACATGGAGAACAAGAGGCACCGAGCCATGTAGAGAACATACAGCGTATTTTCTTGAGCCCCACAACCGCTCAACAACGCGCATGTTGTAAAAAGTCATGGCAGCGAAGAGCACCTCTGACGAGTTGGTATAGCAAAGCTGGAAAATAAGGGCTCGCCATGGCTGATGGTAGGTCCAGATGTGTGTGTTGACTGAGATCCAGAAGTAGTGCTTCAGGTCAAAAAGCGTTGCTGCAATCGAGGAGGAGACAAGGCCGACAACGAGAGTCCTCGTCACTGGCGCATTGGTGAAAGACATCGTGATGGTAGACGCAGGGCTTGATGATGCTAGCAACACATCACGGCAGGATCGGGTTTGAACAGAGGTAGCCCCACTGCCTGTTGTCTGGTTGGGGCAAGGTCTTCTTGATGATTACAGATTAGGGTCCAGAATTGACAGAGTAGGATGGTTTTGTAGGAAGGATCAGTAGCTCTGCTCAAGTTGCTACACAACAAATGTTTTGTACAGCGTCGTTGGTAAGATGCATTAGGTTGAAGTGGCATGTGGCCAGAGACATTGGTTAGAACATGGGTGAGCTTTCCGCATCCTGGTACCCCACCCCTCCTGTGCACAGCTGCAAATCTGCAGCAGGGATATGGCTGCTGCAGCCCGGCTCTAGCAGAGTCCCCGGGGGAGTGGGGGGCAAACCACTTGTCCCATTCACTGTGGCTGAGAACATTCGACACCCTTAGGACTCACTTTCAAACTGCCACGTCTTTGTCACCTTTAGGTTTCTTCTTTTCTTACTCCCCTTCCCTAGCCTGTCTCCATACAGTCTGCCTCCACATATTTGACCGTTTCTACGCATAGTCAGTCTGGATTACATATGCGCAGCCCATGGAGTCTGTCTAGGAACAAAATTTCCCCCTCGATGCGCCCGATTTCTCCTCGATTACAACACAGCTCCACCTTCACCTCTCACAATGTCTGACCTGTACCTATCACACCTTCAAAACTGGCTATTGAGCTCGCCACCAGCAGAATGGATCCTCAAACAAACTCATGAGCTCCTCATTGGGGCCCTTAGACAGGGTCCCATACCTCAACACATCGCCTTTGTTATGGACGGCAACAGACGGTATGCCAGAGGCCACAAAATTGAGACACTGGAAGGACACCATCTTGGTTTTGAGGCTATGGCCAGGGTAAGATATTCAAATTTCCACCCCCTTACAAACCTAGGAGGAGATCAGTTCGTGCTAAAACCAGATCAGGTGCTCGAGGTCTGCTACAAGTGTGGTGTGAAGGCTGTCACAGTCTATGCTTTCAGCCTGGAGAATTTCAACAGGCCCAAGGCAGAGGTTGATGGACTGATGCTCCTGGCCAAGACCAAGCTGGCACAGCTTGTCCAGCATGGCGAGCTCATGGAGAGATATGACGCCAGGATCAAGATCTGTGGAAAGCAAGAGTTAATCCCTGACGATGTCATGGAGATCATGAACAAGGCTGTGGAAGCCACCAGCAAGAACACAGGGTTTGTTCCCCTAACTCATCCTCATTTTTTTTTTTTTTTTTTTGAATGCGAACATTGGCTGACTTTCTGCTCCAGGCCTGTGTTGAACCTGTGTTTTCCCTATGGATCCAGAGAAGAGATGACCCAGGCAGTCAGGGCAACGATCAATGAATACATGGCACCACCTCCACCAAAGGCCTCACCCTTTTCTCAAACTCGCATAACGAAGAGTATTAAGTCAAGAAGTCTGGGCCAGTCGGATTTGCCATCCATCGACGAGACACCGTCTCTGCCGCCATCACCAGCCCTCGACGGGGTGGACGGTTCAGATTCGTCATCAGCTACCCTCAATCAGTCTGACTCCCCTTCGACACGCGGCTTGTCGCACATGACCAGATTGCCCGATCCCGAAACCATCACCACAGAAATGCTGACGAATCATATGTATACGGCCGGAGATCCGCCCCTGGACATCTTCGTACGGACCAGCGGGGTGGAGAGACTGAGCGACTTCATGCTATGGCAGTGCCATCAGGATACTCAGTTCTTCTTCCTCAAGTGCATGTGGCCCGAGCTTGATCTTTGGCGGTTCCTCCCGGTCCTGATCGAGTGGCAATGGAGACAGAAGCAGAAGGACATGGAGGAGAAACCTCGGCAAGGCAACAAGCAGCGGTGAAAATCGGCTCAGGAGGGGGAAAGGTAGTTGCATGTGGTCCAGAAAAGAAGTGACAATGATGGCGGGGCGTTTGGATTGGTGTTAATAAGCAACTCTCATCACAGCCTTTGTTCTTAGTCATTCTAGAGATAATATCAAAGTAGAAGTCATAGACAGAAAGCTGATTACAGCACTCACTTTTGAGTAGCATTTTTATGTACGAATTGGAAGTCAAGATTCAGTACTCATAAATCAGAACCTGTTGCATGTTTTTCTATGCGATCTAAAACTTCCAAACTCTGTCTACTTTTATTTTCCTCTTTTTCCCCCTCTTTTTTTCTTCTTTTATTTTTATTTTTTATTCTTGGAGGGGGGGGGGGGGGTTAGAGCCTGTAAGCTTATCAACCCTGAAGTGACGCAATTTCGGCCGAGGAAGTACTACGGTAGACCAACCGGCCAAACACGCCTGCAGCCAGTGTACGCCAAATCCGCATCGGTACCCTTGGTGGCCGACACGTTCCTCACCTTTTCCCCCATTCGATTTTCCACCCGACCAGAGCTCATACACCACCACTGCTTCAGTTTTCATACGACTTCTAGAAGGAGAAGACATGGCCTTTCATGACCTGGATTAGTTTTTTTCCTACGTTCATCCTTCTCGGCCCCAGAACCCTCTTTAGGAGCCACTGACCACGCCACACGAAGTCCCTCTACCAACCGAAATTCCCATTCCTCTCAAAATCGATTGCGACCTTCCACCTCCCCCTCTTCTGATCCGACCTGACGTTCCCACATTCCAAGATCAAAGATGAAGACTGCAAAGGTGCCTCAGGCTGAGGTCTCGGCCTCCTCCAGTCGAAGATCGCAGCCTGTCCGTCAAGCTCGCACGAATCTCTCCAGGGCAAATCCGGGCCTGAGTCGCCTCGCTGGTCGGGAGTCGCTGTCTGGCGCCAATGCTTCTGAACAGCCCATCGACATTTTCCCAGGCGTCATGCACTTCGCCGATGCTATAACTGCTCTGCCCAAAGAGCTCGTGCGACATTTCACACTTTTGAAGGAGGTGGACGCCAAAGTCTTCGCCCCAGAAGAAACCCTCTTCCAGCTAATCGAGGTCGCCCTCGAGACTCCTCCACTACCACCACCCGACGCCGCTCGATCGGTCAACAATGATGCCTCCAGCATCGCCGCCCCTACCTCTGCCCCGATGAGCACGCAGAACAGCTCCAGCGGGATCGTGGCCAGTGCTCAAGCTCTGCCGCAGCTCTCGGCGGACGGCTCCAACCCCCCCAGCGTCTTCGACCCGAGCAACCTACCGCGTCGCCAACTGTTCCGATCCACCGCGTTGAAGATCCAAGAGATGCTTGTATCGTTAGAAGAGAAGAACCACGTCATTTCCACCGCGAACGATGCGCTGCAGAAGCAGCTCGCCCGCATCAACGACATTTGGCCTCACCTCGAGGGCGAGTTCAGCGAGGAGGCCAAGTGGGGCAGCGATACACACTGGGCATACCCTGAGAATAGAGCGGCGCGTGCGCTGAACAACCAGGCAGAGAAGACCCGTCGCGAGGGAGCGGCCAATTTGTCGGCGGCGGCTCAGGTCATCGCGGAGGAGGCCGCGGCGCGGAGCGACGCTCGCAAGCAGGCCGTCGCTGCCAAGAAGAGTCAAAAAAACCAACACCACGACTCCGAGCATGACGATCACGAGGGTAAGAGCAAGGAGGGAACTGGCAAGAAGACCAATACGAAGCGAAAACCTGCCGCGGCTTCTACAGCCAACGAGTCACCCGCGAACGTTGGTCTTGGGATTACAGGCCAGAGCAGCGCCAGCGGTACGCCTGCCCAGAAGAGGCGCAAGACAGAGAAGCCCTCCAATGGCGGGACTCCTACAGAGCGGGCACTGAACGCGGTGTTCTCGAACGCAAAAGATAGCAAGGCAAAGCAATCGGCCAGCCCTCGAGGTACTCCTGTTCCGGACGGGCCAGCACCGAAGAAGCGCAAGGCCCTACCAACTTCCAACGGGCAGGCGAAGAAAAGGTGAGCCTTGTCCTTATGTTGTTTATTCTTTTCAGTCCTTTTTTTTTTTTTTTTTTGTCTTTTGTCATTCTTGGTCACATGTTATCGAGCAATTCATCTGATACGAACGTTTTCTAGGAATGGCCCCGCTGCTTCACCCTCAGTCACCTCCTCGCCTGTCATCGGCACCATTCCTGACAACTCGAAACCTCCCCGAGCCTCTCCTGCCCCCTCCGTCTCTGCCCGACCAGCATCTGCTCGGGCTCGCCAGAGCTCGATCGCGTCAAATGTAGACAATTCAAGACAGAGGCCGCCATCGGCAGCATCAAACAAGCCTAATGGCGGCATTCCGCCGCCACTCGAGATCCCACAGAATAACGGCGCCCGTGGGCCGAGCGATACGCCCAAAATAACACAAATGGAACCTCCCAGTGCAACAACTATCAAGCCTGACCCCGGGAGGCAGCCGAGCGAGCGCGCCCCAACGCCATCTTCAGCAACGGCAGCGACCGTACGGGAAAGGAAAGGCTCCATCAAACCCGCCGCGGAGGAGGGCGAAGCACAGAAGGAGCATACACCATCGGCAAACAGTACAACACAGCAAATTACGACCACAAAGAGCGGGCGGGCCAGTAAGCCATCAACGCCCGCAATCGGCAGCTTTCCTGACGGTCCTCTGAGCAAAAATGGCCGAGCCCGGCCCTCGAGGGCCTCCGAAGCACCGGGCCTGCCCAAGAGAAGTCACAAAAAGGGTGCATCCGCAGCACACGCGGTAGCGGTGCAGAAGGCCCTGGCGCAACAGCAGAAGACGGACGAGGACACGGGCAGCACACAAGACGACGACGCGGACATGGAGGACCCCAACGAACCGCGTTATTGTTACTGCAACCGGGTGTCCTTTGGCGAGATGGTGGGTTGCGACGGGGACGAGTGCAAGATTGAATGGTTCCATCTCGAGTGTGTAGGATTGAGGAGTGCCCCGCCTAAAAACAGTGAGATTCCCTCCCCTCCTTTCCCCCCTCTTCTCCCTCTTCCAAGTTTTCGGCCCCCCCCCCCCCCTTCAAGGAATTTGCAAATTACTTGACAAATAAGAAAAACGGTGACAATTTGACAAAATACTTACTCTCTTTACAGTAAAATGGTTCTGCGACGATTGCAAGAAACAAGTAGCCATGAATGGGAAGAAGGTGAATGGCAGATGAGGAAAGGATCCTTCGTCCCCTCTTTGGCCTTAGCCCTCCTAGCTACTTATGAAAGGACGGAAAGATGGATACAGACCCGGCGCCATTCGGAATGGGAAATCTGTTCCGGAGGGGAATAGCGAGCCATGGTCCGCTCTACTTGGACATGAACGATGACGCGAGAGATGGAAGAGATACCCGTGAGAAAGTCATTTGGCTTTCTTCTTCCTCCTTTTTTCTTTCTTCTTCTTTTTGTCTCCTTTCTTTTCTTCTTCTATCTCTCCTTCCGGCATTCTCAATGTCGTGCCACACTTTGTGCGAGACTTAGAGCTACAAAAGAACAGAGGGTACGAAAACGGTGATACCTGCTTGATAATGGACAATCAAAAGTCTCTTCAGCTGATCCCCTTTTGTTGCGCCTGTAAATCGTCATTCTGGTGCTCTTTTTGCTGCGCCGGATGGGTGAGAGACAGGAGAGCAATACGACCTGAATGCGCACCAAATGTATGAATAAAGAGTACCTGTCACACACACACACATACACAATGAAGGGGGCAATCTTGATCACCCTATTGAAATGTACCAGATACTTGCTTGATTTAACGCGCTATCGTTACAGTATTCGTTATCCGTGAAATGCTACACGAAAAGTGCAATGATGGACAATCGAATGCTGTGCGTGGTATACAACATGATAACGAGCCAAGTTTCCGTTTCCCCTTTTACGGATTTTGCCTCAAATGATAAGAGATGATGGCAACCGTGTAAAATAAAAAAGAACAAAAGAAGGAACAACAAAAGGGGGGAAAGAAAAGCATGAAAATAGATGTATGCTCATTAGAAAGAAAAAGAAACAGAATCAAGACAGGGTTACTCCTCAGTGAACCGCAGATGACACACGCCCGACGCCGACGCCAGGACTTTTCCTCTTCTCGCCTTTCATGCTCTTGCTCACGAGGAACCCGTTCCATTGCCTGGTTTCCTCTCGAACTCCGCGCAGTGCCGATGAAATGCAAATGCTCGCTTACAGAGAGAGGCTAGAAAAACAAAAGGCAAGAAAAAAAGCATTCGCGATGGTGACGCCCAATCATTTAGACCCACTGTGACGAGGAAGACCCCAGGCCTTTCGTATATCCCTTTGCAGCCCGCGCCGGCTGGGGATCGATCATGTTGTGTGAGTGCAGAAAGAGAACCAGCTCTCACAACCGCCTCGCGAACATGTAACTGCCATACATGCCGCCAACATCCGCCCTCGCAACAGGGACTTTCCGCATCCCCCAGCTTTCGGCTCCCATCTTCCAGGACCGCACCTCCCCACCGCTCGCGCTGTCCCGCACGACCCAGGTCCGCGCCCCAGCCTCGCTGCGGTGCCAACCTAGCCGGCGCAGCGGGGCGTCCCGGAGCCTGCGCCCGGCGTCAGCGGACACCTCGAGGACCTCGAGGGGCTCCGTCACCCGGGCGAGGAGGGCGCACTGCGCGGTGTCGTAAAGGGTGGGAAGATCGAGCTCGGTGGACCAGAGGTCGGAGAGGTCAAGGTAGTGGAGAGTGTGGGGGCACCAGGCAGCCTCTGCCACCACTGGTGAGGACGGGGAGTCGACATCCATCGCTCCAGAGTCAGCAGAAGAGGAGGTGGGACCGAATAGGGTGTTCGTGTCTGTGATTTTGAGGCCACGGCCTAGGGCGAGCTCTTCGAGGTGCTTGGTGAGAGGCAGCAGGAGCGGAATATGAGAGGTGTTCATCCTGCTGCCCTTGAGAGAGAGCGATTTGAGGGATGAAGGGAGGACCGGCAGGAGCCGCGAGATGGCGCTCTCGTCAAAAGTCTCGTGGGTACTGGCGTCTGTGGCCAGGGACAGCCATGCCAGGGTGCTGCTGCCAGGCCCCGCCGCCGCCGCGGGATGCTCCGCCAGGAACTGAATGATGGCGTCCGCGGAGAGGTTGCTGCACTTGGCGAGGTTGAGGTGGGTCAGCCGCGCGGTCTTGGGGATGGAGGCCAGCGCGGCGTCTGTGATGCGCGTGCCAGCCACGTCGAGGTGGGTGAGGTGTGGCAGGTGTGGAAGAAGGCTCTCGAAGACGGTGCTGGGTAGTGTCGTACACTTGTGCAGCGACAGCCGCTTCAAGGCCAGATCGGCTGCCCACTCCTCGGCCGTAGCGGGAAAGGCATCGACAAAGGCAGCACGAAAGGCGGAGGAGGTGCAGCCGCAAAAGTCCAGAGCGGCGATCCTGTCCAGGCCGAAGAAGAGTTTCTGCAAGACGTGGGCGTCGATGTCACCATCAATATGCTCCTGGGACAGGAACTCCTGAAGATGAGGGGTCAGCTCCAGGGCCTGGAGGAGGGTGGTGGCCGTCAGGTTTTGGGCGAGGGAGCGCTCGCTGGCCGTGGTGAACATCATGTTAGGGTTGAAGTGGGAGAAGTCGAACCTCCGGACCAGGGTGCCCAGGGCAGCATGTGAGGCAACATGGCCGAGGAATTTCTTGAAGATGGTCGAGTGGGGGATGGTGATCTGGCGGTAGAGGGTGACCAGGGTGGCGCCGTGGACTTTCTTGGAGGTGAGCAGCAGGGACATGAGGTCGATGTTGCGCTTGGTCAGGCTGTTTGGCGGCACATCGATGACGAGAAGGCCGATGATGTTGCTCAGGAGCTCGAGGGGGAGCCTCTCCATGGGGGCGTCCCCTGGAGCATGACCAGAAGGGCGGCGCTGCTTCTGGAGGACAGTCGTGTCTGGGTGGGTGGTCCAGGCCAGGTTCATGAGGTGGAGGTCGCCAAAGCTCCTACTGGCCAGCCTCCCCTTCACGTTGATCTGCTTCCATCCTCGAAAGTTGTCGGCAGGGTACCAGTTGCCATGCAGACGACTGTCAGGCCGCGTGATGGGCGGAAAGAACTCAGCGTGCTGGACCATGGTACCCATTGCCGGCGATGGGTGGTCGTCAAGGGCTGATGATATCTCGTGCTGCTGCTGGTGGCTGTAGCTGGAGACCTTGGATGCCGTGAAGGCCTGGGCGAGGTCGGTGTCGTCTTCCCTGATGGACGAGAAGGAGGAGCGGCCGTTGTTGTAGGACGAGTCCTTGGAGGAGGGGTTGGGCTCCAAGGGACAGGCCTCATCAGGGTGACTAGCCCTGGATTTGTAGTTGGTAGATGGGCCAGTCCTCCCTTGGTGGGGAGTTCTTCCTCCTATCTCTGCAACCGCCATGCTTGCTTTGCCGGGAAATGTGGATCTTGTCAAGAAGCAGGTGGAGGAGAAGGGGGGAGGGTGGTCTGTGAAGGGGGCACGGAGCAAGTCGGGAGGGGAGGGAGAGGTCTCAGGAATGTGAGGTCTGCCCTGACCAAGAAGGGGAGGTGAGGGTTTCACGTGGGCAGTGACCAGCCGTATAGAGTCTTTTCTATTAGTCACTGAGAAGCTGGTTTTAGGTAAAGTTGTTGCGGGGAAGAGTAGAGCAGCTGAACAACCCAAGGTCGAGATGACGTGCTGGAGGAGGAAGAGGAGGAGGAGGAGAAGGAGGAAGAGGGTGTGTTGTGTAAGTTTATGTGTGTGTGGGTGTATGCGCCGCAGGTTATTTACAGGGTACTCTTTTAAGTACTATGTAACGTATAAAGAGGTCATTCACGAGACCAGGGCACAAAAGTAGTGATAATATTCTGGGCAAGCAGCATTCGGCCGATCGAGGGAGTAGTGAGTGAAGGGGGAAGACCAGGAAAGAACGATGGTAGGTAGTGAGGTAGTGCAAAACACTAAGTACTAAGTACTAGTAGTGAAGGCTGCAGGGTAGAGATGTATATATGTAACGCGGACGTGTACAAGTGCGGAAAGGACGGCAGACCGTCGACCTATAAACATCGGCCGAAAAGAGAAAAAACGTGCTTGTCCCAAGAAATAGCAGCAGGTCAAGATCAACAAAGAGGTCCCGTGTCCTTCTTTTTTAGCCAATATGGAGAATAACAATAATAATAATGAAAAATGAGAGAAGGAAGGAAATTATTGCAGAGGCAAAAGGAAGGAGGGGGGGGGGGGGGTTGAATCATGCCGGACCAGGGCTGTTTTGTTACCTGAGGATTGAGTAATAGAAACAAGGGAGAGCCACAGCCTTGAGTATCTCTTTGTCAACTGCACATCCGACTCGAGCCGCCCTGCAACACAAGACCACATTTGGATCCCAGACCAAAATTACCAGCCTGTTTTTCCCCTTCCTTTTTGCTTTTCCTTCTTTGCCTTCATGTGACATTGTTATTGCATCTCCTCGGAACTAAACAAGGTACAAAAATGCACCCATTCCTGGTGGCGCAGTCCTGTTATCTTTCAGGCATCGTCAGGACTTCGGATTTTGAAACTGATTAGGAGGTGATGACTGTTCTTACCCAGTCATGTGGTCTACTAGTAGCCTCCTCCTAAAATGTTGTCCAGGGCCAAGCGTTGTTGTGACGAAGACAAGCAGCGATAATAGGAGGCTGAATTCTGACTATGAAAAAAAGAGTCCCTTTGCAGGGCCACTGTAGCCCCGTAGCGTCAATGGGAGGGGGGAGGGATGGGGTCATAGGTATGTCCTCCTATTGGCCAGAAGGGTCTTCTGACACGGCCATTTACAGGGGGGCCCCCCTGGACCAACGAACGTCAACCTTTTCCCTTGACCATCTTGCTGATCGCACGTCAACATCTCATTCCAATGACGAATATCTATACTCATGTCTTGGAGACTACACATCTATAAAAGAAAGCATGCTCTTATCCTTATCTGAATCATCTTGCAATGCATGACGACTTTTCTTTCTTCACTTGCAGTAGCAGCAGCAGCAGCAGCAATTGGCTGCCGTCAACAATTTGCGACCATCATTTGGTGTGCTGGGGCTGGCATTCCGATATCTTTCCTGGGCTTATCTGATCTGCCCTCACAGCCTCGCCTTCCGCCGCGTCACCTCGCGCAGGACATGACCGAACATCGCTCCCTCTCCCTTCGTGTCTCTCATACGATAGCAGTTAGCTGCACCAAAAGACAGCATCGGTAAGATTCGGGAAAGCTCGAAGCCCCCGAGGGAACCACTTGAGGATCCTCTCATCTCGGCCACTGGCCGGCGATACCTCCCCCAAGATCAGCCTCTGGTGGGCTTGGGAGTTTGAACGAGATACTCGCGAGCTGCGATATCGCAATTGCTCGTTTTCTGAACGCGCCTTCTCATAGTGTGGTTTTCTGAGCGATGTAGCCGCTCGGCGAACCGGTGACTGCAGCCTCGTCCGACGGAATCCGATCTCAGCCCTGCTTTTCCGCCCAAATCAATTACGCCACATCCACCTCCGATACAGGAGCGATCCGAGAGCGATCTCGCAGTTCTTCACCAAACCCCATCGCCCACCTGATCCAGCCTCCTCCCTTTATTAATCAATTTTTTCTGCAGCTAGACTAGTCACGTTCCTTCCAAGCAATGGGAAATGAACGAGCAGGTCAGCTATCTTACGAGAAGAAAGAAAACACCCTTTATTTTATTTTGGTGCATCGTGTTGGGGTACCGACGCCAACCGTTCGTTTTTAGGTAATACTTTGTCCACGAAGTGTTCACGTGCGTCAGGGGAGGTCTGGACGCAGTGTCCACTTGGGACGTATCAGGGGGGGGGCCACGCTGAGCCGCCTGCCCTGTTGCAGCGTGTCTGGGGAACCCCGTTTTAGCGCCCTGTTACCCCGGATTTCTTCCATAGTCCTCTCCACAACCTTAGATCCTATAACTTGCAGGGTTCTTCTGGCGATTAAGAATCGAGAAGAAGCAAATGTCGGCGGCGGCGACGACGACGAAGAATAGGGGTTCAGCGCATGGACCCCCCTTTTCGAAGGGATCTGGGGCTGGCTGCTCCCGTGATCAGCACTAGCGGACGACAGTTCCCGTTTTTACTTTCCTTCGAGAACTTGTCTCACCTGTGCTGTGTCCATCCCTTCTTGAAAAGATCCCTTGAGTCTTCCAAACGGGGTGACGCTTGACTGCATCTTATCTGTGTAGTCTCGAACACACGGCTTGTTATCTTTCCATGTTTCTCTCTTCTCTTTCTCCCTTCTCCCTGTCATAACGATTCTCTTTTTTTCTTTTTTTTTTGCCTCTTGCTCTCGTAGAACTGTGTTAGTCTTGCTGCCCGACGAACTCTATTACGTCAGGGGGCCTCGAAATGTTGTGTGCTGATGTGTCCTTTCTTGCCACGTCGCAGCTCCAGAACCCGCGGCGGCCGAAGCAGCCGTAGCAGCCGAATCCGGGATATCCCATGCGCCTTCTCAGCTTCAACTTAGCTTGCTAGCACTATTATATTCTCAATCTCTTGAATGGTGACGCATGATATAAGTAGGGGTAGGTAGCAGGTCGCCAAATGATAGGACGATCTTTTGCAGCTCACGCATCTTCACATCTTAAGGTCTTCACAGCTGCTGGTATTGCAGGATCTTCGACCTGGTCGAGGCTCCAGCTCGTTGGTCATCGCTACCAAGTATATTCTAACAGTAACGCACTTCTTGATCTCGAGCTCCTAAAAAGCTTCCGTGCTTGGGAAGATTGGCCTCGAATATGGAAACTGCTGGCCAGAGGAAACGGTCGACTACAAGAAGAGAACCACATTTCCAGTTACATCTCGTTCTGAGTAAATCTGTCTTGGGTGGGATCCGACAAAATCGCCGTATATGTCGTGTCGTGACGGAGCCTCCCACATCGTTACTGAAAATTATTTGAGTAGATACTACATTCTTATTTTGCTAAATGAGCTGTTTACCCTGGAGCATCCTCTGTAACACTGATATTTAGCTGATTCATTATCTTCCTACTCACTTGCTATGAGTGAACAAATCATGCCAAGAGCTGTCACTGTTTGACTTATGTTGAGGAGTAATATGAAACGGGTTCATGATCTGCAGAAAGTATTGATACACATTATTTAATAGCGGTAGATGGTTCCTAGACGTGAGGCCTGCGCCATTATATGTACCTATGACAATTGATGGAATATAAAAATATTATTTGGTTCAACTTGAAAGGAAATGTCTACAATAGAAGAAAACACAAAATGGCACGTTCAAAAAGCGATTTATTGTTACAAGCGTGAAAGTTGAGGTCAACAGTATGTCCTAGAAAAGTTACGGTTGAGACAGATTATCTTCGATATTCCCTACAACAGTGGAGGCTCAGCTCGGCCACAGCATGAATGATGAGAATGCGTAGGAAACCACAGGACTCGGCAATTCCATGGTTCCAACTACACTCACAGATGCTCCTCGGATCATAATGGCCAAGTATTCAGATGTGCAGAAATACTACTTAAGTATCTATAAGTAAATAATTTACAACGACTATGTCTGGCCAACGTGGAGCTGACGTTACTAGATCGACTTGTTTTTGGAACAGTTCAAAACACCTTACATTATCCCAGACTGTTCTCTCAATAAGAGAACTGTGTTGCACGGAAAGATGCCATTCAGCTTTTATCTAAGCTTCTGCAACTTGCTCTATTCAAGCCTGCTCAGTCCTTCGCTTGTGATGGGATCCGAAGAATACGAGTCCTTGAAGCCACGACACTAGAACCTTCTTAGGAGCCCGTTCGTCACCTCCTTTCCTCTCTTGAAAAATGGACCATCTGAGAAGGCAGCCCTCAAGGATGATCATAGCACGAGGGGTGCACAGTTATTTCCCTTGATAACATACTCGAAACATTGAGTGGAGTTATTAGCAGACCTTTGGACAAGAATCTACAGAATGGCTACAGAATACCTTCACATCAGCCTTCAAACATCGATCTCTTGCTGATCAAGATTGACAGCATAGCTATCTTGAATAACATGCTTGACACTAATAATGTAGCATGATATTTCTACTGTGTGATGCATTAACTCGACTAATAAGCTAGAACAATTCTCACTATATCCGCTGAGAACACGAATAAAGGGTGTGGTGATAACACGCGCGCTCATGCCTCGCTGCTCAACTAGACACTCTAGGAGTCCGAAAACGCGGCTTCAGATTCATCTCCCAAAGACATGCGGGAGCGCCCACTTGATGGCGCACCCATCAACCTTCGCGCAGCTCCGCAAACATGCTCATCGAGAACGAAAATATAGCACCTCAGATAGACACTCAAGTATAGCTCATCTCTTATCAGACAGGCTCGATGGTGCAGTTCATCGCCCAACGGAATGGTCATGGTGAGTGCATCACAGAGGGCATCAGAGAATCTCTCAACACTCAAGCCCAGAACAAACTCGTACCATCAACAACATCAACAATTTCATCCTCGAGCGAAGCAGTGGGTCCGAGATTTGTGTGGCATAGATCCGAGGATCTAATTATGCTGATGTAGGTCCTCGGGGTCCCATCGGTTTGGCAATTTCGGGCCGAGCCCTTCCATCTCTTACATTGAAGCCAAAGGGCCGTGGAACTGTGATTGATTGGACTGCGCTCTGCACTATTTCTATTCATAAAATCAGACCCGTCTCATCTGAACGTTATTTGTGTTCTTGAACTGCCAACATAGTCTCAAAAAGATATGAAGGAATCTGGTGGTCATCACAAAGCATAGTGATCATCTGCCTATGGGATGATGCATACTTCAGTGTTTGTTTGGCATGATTAAGTAGGATTGAACCTATTCTGTTCGCTCAGGTCTATCCTCAGTATTTTATGTCCAACCGAGTGGGTTGTAATCACATCATCACATTGTTACCTTGGTCATGAGGCCACACACAAATCATAAAAATATTCAGATTAATAATTACATATGCTCCTACAGCTGAAGAACCTGATCAACGAGACTATATGCCAACTAAATGCCAGTATACAAATTTTCCCACATGCTTCAACATATTTTCAGCACTCCGATTTCCCAGATGCAATGTCTTGATCATTTGACAGTATGACAACTCCAGAATAACACATTATAATCAAGCTACTCAATGTAGCCATAGGTGCACTATAATATTGACATTCGTAAGTCAGTCTCAAGTAGCGGCAATAGGCAATGGCGAAGGCCAAACTTACGCAGTAAGAGATTGTGTCAGAACCGCAGGTCTCGGCCGTCGTATCGGCAGCGCAGGTATACGAAACGCCCGTGGTAGGATCGTCGTACTCTTCGATAGACTTTGTGCCGACAGCGCACAGGAAGTATTGCGAGTCGCAGATGCCAGGGGTATCGAGGACCGAAAGAGTGTGGAGGGTGTTGCAACTCGCGTCGTAGATGTTGTCTATGAAGAGACCTTGGTCAGTGGTGACGAGCATTAAAGGAAACAGGGAGGAGGATAGGGGATTATGAATAGGAAGCAATCATGAGGTATTCGTACATGTTGTCGCGGTGCCAGAGTCAGCTCCAGTACCTATGGCAACGACGTTGCCAGTGCAGACTGCATTGACAAGACCGCTGCCGCCGAGGACGGCAAGCAGGCCGGAGAGGGAAATTGCCCGAGAGTACATGTTGATCTGTTCTGACCAGGAATTACTTGCTGAGCAGATTTGATGTATTAGAGCTGCGTGAAGAGGAAAAGCAAGATCCGCAGTGTTTGACTGTGGGCCACCAACTCATTATAAACTTCAACAAAACCCACCCCTTTCCTCACGGGCATGTCCATAAGTACATCCAGACCTCCCCCTTTTCCCATTTCTCTTCAATTTTCAGCTCTCATGCTATGTTAGGTACAGAGGCGGCCAGCCTTCTTCGCCACGAAGCATCACTTTCTCCACCCGCCTTCTCTCTTTCTCACTCTTTTTCTCTGCTGCATATATTTACTATGGTAGGCTCAGGCACTACACAACATAGACTAATACATGCGTCTCCACCGTGCGCTGCTGGAGCGTCTTTATGGTGCGTAAACTAATTACTTAGCTACACGCTAGTGTCTCGAGTCGCCAGACTTGATTGGGTACTGCAGAGGAAATCCAGGAACGCCCGTGAGCTAGTTAGTGGCTGGAGATCGTGACTTGGCAAACCCCAGGCCAAGTCGGGTATGACCATTTGACCTGTCCCAGGAAAGCTTGTCTTCGTGTCAGTAGACTCGGCGCCAAGACTTACTGCGAAGCCACATGCCCTCAGACCAAAGCAGCGCGCTCGCTGCCTATGAGGAAGACACCAATCTGCAATTGGACAAATGATCTTCATTTTGAGGTCCGGATCTCGCTGCGGGTCCAGCCAAATCCGAGAATCTCTTTAGAATGGGGGGTTCTGGAGTTGTTGCCGCCTTTCTTTACCGCGCAGGACCCGCGTTGTCTAAGCCTGATAGAGCTTAATACGGCTCCGAGGTGCTAGAAATACGAACTGAGACTTGTTACTCAAACCTCTGCCAAAATTCGAGAAATACTTTGTCAAAGCGCTCTTGTCCATGATCAATAGTAAGTACTGACCTGTGACTCTCATCCTATCTTGTAGCGTTAGCAGATCTCCATTCTCTCTCTCCGTTGCTTCATGGTTCTCGAGGGGAGAAAGATAGAAAACAGGCTGCCACCGTGCCGTGACTTTGTGACTCCGTTCTCGTTATGAAAGAGCGGAAATTAACCAGCGACCACTTTAACTGAACGATGCCGGTGGGCCAGAACCTTTTTCACGCGTCGTATTCCCAGCGTCGCATATCTACGAGAACAGGGGACCAGTGTCCCGCGTTCGATCGAACGAGCCGCAGGTCCACAAACCCTGAGCTGATGAGAGATAAATATGTAAGGGGCCTGCAGACCTCGGCCGGTTTCCAACTCATTACAGCTTAGATACTAGCAAAAAGTCAAAGGTCTAGGCGCAAAGTCTTATCATCCATAAGCTTCTCGCTCTCTTCTGACTTTCTTTTTGGTGGGGCGGCTGGAGAATTTTCCGGACTTAAGAGGGGAGAAAGGGGGGGGGGGGGCAAGGCATCCAATCCCTGCCTCCAACCATCGACGAAGGAACAGAGAGAAGTGCTGGCATCTTCATCTCATGGGGGCCGGACTGTTGCTGCCTAGCGGGAGCTCCCATGACTGCTAGACATGTTGCTAGAGTCTCTCTCTGCTCCATGATGGATCGTGAGTTCGCTCTTGATCTCCCTTCCCCTCTCCGCCTACGCCTCGGAACACCGTCGATTTGAGCTATTTGGGCTGCCAGACACGACCTTTTTCGCCCTGCACACACCCTTCTCGAGCTGTTCCTTCCGAGGACAAACCCCAGGAGAGAATATTGCCAAAATAATTCCAGAGATTTCCCCGTCTAGTCCGCCTCGGCTTAGCCAGCGGCAGACAGAGCCGCACAGTCGGGCCCTTCGGAGACGTGGTCGAAGCACAGAGGATCCTCGCAAACAGCGGCGCCAGACCTAGAGATCCAGGGGCCCCCTTCTAATTACCTTGTTGAGAGGCGAGCTGAATGGGCGGGCGCCAGCTGTCCTCGTTGTGGCGTGGCGGAACCAGCAAACGCGCGGTGAATGGTGTAACTCAGCCGAGCTGAGCTCCAGGGATGAGTGCCTCGCTCGGAATAAGAAGTCTATTGCCAAAATCTCCGATTCGCGATAGTCGAGAGGACATGTTGTGAAGGGGGGTTGACAGTGAACATGGTTTATCTTCGACGTGGGCAGGCCTCGTTGGCTCGATCTTTCAGGCGTTCGACTACGAACTCTAGTGTAATGAGTGGGCTTACTACAAGAACCTCCGCTGGGAAGGGCAAGAACAAAAGCAGCCATACTGCTGTAGCGGCATACTGACATCGAAGCTTTGACGAGGTGGCCAACCTCTGCCAGGTCGACTTTTGATGCATACCTCAACATAGGAATGGGAACATGCGTCCTCAATCACCGTCCAACAACCAGAACGGTCGTTGTGAGCGACAAACTGGGAACATTTTTTTGACGGTGGGAAGGGCCGAGGATGTCGGGGCGGCTGCGAGACGGCGTGCCGTGTGGCAGGTCAACTGATATGTTAAGTAGCTGTAGTGAACTTCTAGAACCTGATTTCTTGTTTCGAAACGCCGATAGAGACATCTCTCAAGCATGGTTGTGCGTGGTTGGGGCCAAGGTTGAGTCTAAATGCTGGTGACTGCAGCTTATTAAGCGACAGACTTACTGATGCAGAAGCGAGCCTCACGCCTACCAACATGCTCAATTGCACCAGGCTCGGTAGCAGCAGGCAGTTGTGAAAACAAACCACTGTATCATCTTTCAAAATCTTTGGGTTGGCAAATACGTAAATGGACCATCATATCGTAGAGAAGCCGCAGAAATGGAAGGGCTAAGGGGTGGGAACGACATGGGAGGATTGATGAGGGAGAGCACTCTCTTCATCATGTCACCGCATCAAGCGATGAGCATCATGAAAAGAAAAGGCAGCACAGGGCTGGTGAGAGCAAAAATTCCGCCCAGGTCGGCCCCGAAGGACAAACCAGACTGGTCAGCTCCACGTTGTGCAATGCAGGCTTCCCAACCTACATTCCCTGATTCTTGATCCAGGGAACATCAGACAAGGTAAGTATGTCTTTCAAGCAGAAACTGACGGAAACTGGGGGGAAGGGGAGCGCCATTATATACTAGGGACCTGAGACGCACGGACCATCTGCGCACACCAATGACCGCCTTCCGTATCAGAGCTAGCTTGAGAGGCAGAATCGGAAAAAGTGCGCCGAAAGCTCCGGATCCTGTGATCTGTGAGCGCTGACTAACACAGACCCCTGCCAGTCCACATTTCGCAGCCCAAGCATCAAAAGAAGAATTCCAAAAATCTTCCTTCAGACTTCTTCCCTTCAGCCAGCAACGCCCAAGTCGACCAGATCACCCCGTTCCTCGCGACAAAACATCCATCACAATGGCCAAGGTTCAGAAGAGTACGTATACATCAATTGATACTGCTGTTATACACGTTGTCCGCGAGAACTCAAAGAAAACTGACGGTGCTTGCTTTCCCCAGCCCTCCACTCCTCGCGGCGCAAGTCCCGCAAGGCGCACTTCGAGGCCCCCTCGAGCATCCGCCGCAACATCATGAGCGCCCCTCTCTCCAAGGAGCTCCGTGAGAAGTACAACGTACGTATCTTAAGTATCCCACCTTCCCTCCCTTACTAGAAAATCGCAATCACCACTGTACGATTGCGTTCCTTGTGGCTCAGTCAACTGACAAACGCCCGTCAATATAGGTCCGCAGCATCCCCATCCGCAAGGACGACGAGGTCCAGATTGTCCGCGGTAGCAACAAGGACAAGGAGGGCAAGGTCACCTCGGTGTACCGCCTCAAGTACGTCATCCACGTCGAGCGTGTCACCCGCGAGAAGACCTCCGGCCAGTCCGTGCCTCTGGGCATCCACCCGTCCAACGTCGTCATCACCAAGCTCAAGCTCGACAAGGACCGTGAGGCCATCCTGGAGCGCATCAAGGTTGGCCGCGAGGCTGGTGCCAAGGGCAAGGCCGCTGCCAAATAAGCGGCGTCGATCTTTTAGATTGACAACGCTCCCGCCCAACAAAAAAGTAAAACTTTTACCACCTTACCCTTGACGGCACGGATGAACCATTGAGCGCTTGTGGGGAGGAACTCGGGGACGCACATCAAAAACAGCACAGCTTCTGATGGGAACAAAACGCGCACGCACGATTCGACAATGCGAGACCGACTCCTCGAGCATTCGTCAATCGAACATCATTTGGTCACGGTCTCGGCGTCACAACGGTACTGGAGGGGAAAATTGGAATGGTAGCATAAGAACTCGAATGCAAAACAAAAAAGGATAGAGCCTTCGTTGCTCAATGGCCATTTCACAAACCTCCAGCTGCTCGTCCTGCTGCGATGTGAAATGATCCATGGGAGGTCCTCCCGAAGCCCCGTCGACTTGCCCCGCCCCGGCTGCGAGAAGAGCGGCGCTTTTCTCTCATGCTCTTGCTATACTGATTTGCTCATTGCTAACACCACAGCTTCCACACTCTGCACCCCTTGTATATACGAGCCACCACATGACTGTTATTTACCGTCACGACAATCTCAAATGTGGTCAGGGCAATGCACCCCACGGTAGGCACTGAAAAGTAAGTCCTGTATGTATTGCAAGCCATGGTGAACCAAGTAAATAAATCGCCAGGAAATCTCCTCATCAACCTCTCTTCATGGTTAATGTCAGGTATACGCGTGGCGTAGAGCAAAACCAGCGGGGGCAACTATGAATCACCGCTCCTGCTCTCGCCTGCAGACCTCGTTCAGTTCAAGAAACTTTATTGTTTCCCTGGTGTTGGAGGTTTGATGGTGAGGTACATCAGTCTCTTTGAATGTCCTTCTCTATTGCTTAGACGTAGCATGTAGCTGAATCAATGTTATAATCATTCGTCGACTGAAAGATAATGTACCGCATCGTAGTCTGACTACCTGAATGAACATTTGCTGCTGCCAATACTTTCCCTTGAAGAACACGGTCAGCAGTTTGCGTGCAAGGCAAAGCCATTTTTACCTCCAAGTTGTAAACTTGAGCATACGTCCGTTGACGTTCCCCCAATTTGTATCCGAGATTTACCACCAATTTCACCCATGGATTACCGGAATTGGTTTGATAGAAGAATGTCACTACATTTATTGAACTAAACAGCCCTACGGTCTAAAAATCAGAGGATGTGCCTTTTTCTGCCTATGAGATGCTCCCTCCAAAGTTGTGGGCAATTGAATAGACTGTGACATTCTTCCTCATCATCCTGAACTGTGATACCATCTGGTGCGGTCAGTCCTCCCTCATTTGCCCAGCTTAATTCCATGTCGCCAGCGGCCAAAGTTCACATGCCTCCATCTTGCATTCGTATCAAAATTTCTCCCCCTCAACGACAGAAACAAAAGAAAAGAGAAAAGGAGTTATATGAACCCCTCCTATCATACATTGACAAAATGAATAACAACAATGTGTGTGTGCAACAGCCAGGCAACTGGCCGATGCGTTGTAAGACATGAAATATTGATGTTCACACTGGCCGAGGCCCGAGGGCCATCCGACAGTGTTGAAAAGATGACCGAGGTGCTCGGTAGTGTTGCGGCGTGACAATAATTGTTGACGGCTGAAATAAGGCACTGAGTTGGTCTGGCCATGCTGGAGTGGTGGTTTAGCCGGCCCAAGCGGATGCCTTGATGCCGACCATGTTGAGCAGGGTATCAGAGAGGCGCTCGGCCGGAGCTGGAGGGCAATTTTCCACAACCTTCTGGGTCATGAAGGTAGAAGTACCATTGGTGTTAGTCTCATTATCCTTGGACGGGGAGCCTCGGCTGGGGGAGCTGATGGTACCAGAAATGGTAGGGCTGAGGGAGGCAGCAGCATGACCGGTAAATTGTGGGAGGTAGCCCTGGGCCGTGGTAGAGCTGACAGTGCTGGGAAGGACCTCGCTGGTTGTAAGACCCCTCTTGAGCATACTGTGCCAGATTCTGGACCTGTATGAATTGTCAGAAGGAAACACCAGAGAGCTGGAAGCGGAAATCATACGCAGCCCCATTGATTCTTGAATCATGATAGTCCGCACTTCTCGTCTCGCTCACATCCTTGCAATGAGAACCCTCGGATTCCATCTCACTGGACTTGGTCTCAGCCAGTGCCTTCTCGAACTCCTCACTATGGTCTTCAGCCTGGCTGATGAAAGATGGTGAAGGACTGATGGATGGGTCGTTGCTGATGTTGTCAGCCTCCTCCGCTTTCAACAAGTTATCGTTGGGAGCGACACCAGGGGAAAGCTTAACGCCCTTGTCATTCTGATGAGGGTATCCATAGTTGATCTGAGGCACATCAATAGGCCTGCGTGACCGTTGGGGAGATCCACTGCAAGGAATGTTCTTAGTTGGCGAGGGAGGGTAGAAATTCTTGCCATCGTACTTGGGCAAGCCCTGGCTAACAGAGCGAGAAGCCTTGCCCCAGTACATGTGGCGGGCTTGCAGCTCTTCATCAGTCAACTTGCGACTGTACTCGTACTCAATTCGGTGATGAACAGAGTAAGGATTCACATCCTGAGGTAGAGTGCCGACCAGGTAAGGCTCGCCAAGATTGTTCCGGCCATGGTTGGGTGATTGGCCTTGGGCTGGCGGATTGGCAAGCTCCTGAACCTGTTGAGACATGTTCCAGGCCTTGGCGCCCGCAGCCACGAGCTTCTTCTCTGCAGCCTCAAGCTGCTCTTGAGTGATGTCCTCACCAGCCTTGGCTGACTGCCAGTGCTTGCTTGGATCCTTGGTCACTGGCACTGTGAAGGCTGACACAGAGCGCGGCTGAAAGACAGGTGCAAGAGCAGCACCACTGGGCAGGGTAGTCTTCCTGACGGTGTTCACCATCAGCCGATGATGATCAGGGCCAGGCTCATCATTGTAGGAGGCAGTGCTGCTCTTGTTTGAATTGAGACCAACTGAGTCACGAGAGGCAAACTTCCTTCTCACCTTGGGCTGAGGGTGGGTGGACATGGTTGTTGCTTTGCTCTCCTTGCTCTCCTCGGACTGAGACTGGGATGTCTTGGTGGATGGTGCTGACTCTCGACCACCTGATGAGGAGACATCCTCCTTGACTTTCTCAGACTTGGGGTAGTGCTTCTCCTCGTACTCAGACTGCGCCTTGAAGACACGCTCAAAGCGATCTATATCAGCCTGTAGTAGATTGATCTTGTTTTCCATGTCCTTTTCGTCAATCTGGTGCTTGTTGTACTGTACTTGGTCCTCATGGTACTTGAGGTTGGCTCGAAGGCCATCAATTTGCTTCCGAGTGATCTGACTTGGGCGAATGGAAGAGATGGGAGGCTGAGAGTGTGGCTGTGGAGTCGGCTGGCGAGACGAAAGTGGCACCGTGTTCGTGGGCTGTGTAGCACCCTGATGCGGCTGCGGTCCAAAATGTCCCATCGAGCCGACCGGGCCCATAGGTCCCACTGGCCCCATGGGTCCCATCATTGAGGCCATGGTCATAGGAGGAGGCATCATCATGGGGGTACCTGGGAGGGGAGGGCCCGCGTAGCCTGGAGGAGGCGGCATGCCCATATATCCTGGGTACGGCGAGGGGAACATGGGGAACATCCACTGCTGCCCGTTGTACATGAAGGGCCTGCCGTGGTCGAACTGCTCGGGAGGCGAGAGCCTGATCTCCGCCTTGACCGACGCAGGTTCAGAAGAACCGTTCATGTTTTCCTCAGCCCGCTTGGCCTGGTTCTCCTTGAGTGAGGCTTCCTGCGTGGCAGGTGCCGCGGGTGCATTGGGCATTGGCATGGGGAACGGGTAGCCGTGGGGCATCATAGGCATTGGCATGCCAGTCATGGGGTGAATGGGAGACATGCTTGGGTGAAAACCAGGATAAAAGAAATGCATCGGGTGCGGCATTCCCACGACATGGACAGGCTGCTTCGGGGCTGTGGCGGGAGTTGGCTCGGGCTGGCTGCCATTGTGGACATTCTCACCATCCTTGGGGCGCTTGGCGGTAGGAGAGACCGTGTTGCGCGTGTTGGGAACGATGCGTCCTCCAGCGGTGACACGAACGTGTGTGGGCGAGACGACCGCCTTATAGAAACGCTGGAACCCCTCGTGTTGCTGAGCGTTGGTACCGGTCGGAGCAGACAGAGGCTCATTGTTGGCGCCCTCAAAGCTGCTTCGGCCCTGGTACTTCCACTCCGCGGCCTGATCAGACTCAGAGACTGAAGCAGCAGTCATCTTGGCGTCAGCCGTGGCAGTCGAGGACGGCTGGACAGGCTGGACAGCCTCAGGCCTTTGAGCGCGGCGGCTCATGGTTCCCTTGAAGACGACCTCGTCAGACGTGGTAGAAGAGGAGTCGTCACCGGTGCGCTTGCCACTACGCTTCAGCGTGTTCGTATTGGAGGTATTCGAGTTGTAGCTGCGGGAGCTGACACGCGACTTGGTGCGGAGCATCTCTGCTACCAGAAAATCGTCAGCTGGGATACGGAGAGGGCATGCCAAAAGGAAAAGGAACGAGACACTGTAGATGGTGGGCATACCAAGCTCGTTGTCCCGAAAGGCAACAGCAGCGATGGAGTCCGGAGATGCAATGGTTCTCAGATCAAGCAGCTCCTCAACACTGTACGTGTTGGGCTTCATCCTGATGTCTGTGTATGCAAAGATGATGTGTGTTCTGTGTGTCCTGGAGCAGTGCCAGCGGAACTGAGTGGGAAAGACCCAATGCCTGTTGGGAGCTTCTGTCGTATACGTGAGCTGAAGTACAGAGAGAACAGCGGGCAGAGCTATGGTGTCCTGGTAGTTGTGTGAGTCCATCAGTTTCTGGTCTAAAAGCTGGCACAGGATGAACTCGGGAACAGTGCCATTGTCGATGCTGAAAGGGATGGGATCGATGATGTTGGCACGAGGCCTAGGAGTTTTGACCTCGATGAGGGTGCATCTTCGACAGCTCCGTAGCAGGTATTTGACCTCAAGGAGGGTGGCAGCAGTCATGGGGACGTCGTTCTTTTGAAGCTCCCATAGCGACTTCAGGAGGAGCTTGCTTCTCTTTCGAGGCGTGGTTGGAGCCATCCTGAATGCTGCAAAACCCAGGAGATGGGCTAGCAAAGGGAAACAAAAGGAAGGGTGATGCTGTGGTGCTGTGGTGGTGAAGGCAGGTAGGAAGGCCAAGGAAGAAAGAAGTTCAGGTGAAAGGAACAACGCAGGTAAAAAGACAGAAGCAATATGTAGTAGAGCTTACTGAAAGACTGTGTCTGCGAAGGCAATAGTGGGGACCAAGATCGACCAGCCAGCTCTTGTGGCATTAGTATTTCACACGTTCACACAATGGTGGAGATTTTGTCCTTCGGTCCCTTCTTTTGTCTGTCTGAGGTGGCCTCTCAACAGAAGTGAATGATTGAAGGTCGGCAGTGAAGGAGGAAGGAAACTTTGGGGCAGCAAAACATCAAATGGTATCAATACACAGCCGTTGGCCCAATTGCTCAAGCAGAAAACGAGGGGTGGCGATCAAAAAAAGGAGGGACAGGTTGGTGATGTTGTTCTCGTGCGGGGAGGGTGATTTGGTGGTGAGGAGAAAGTCAATAAAGCTTGAAGAGGAGGACTGGGCAGAATATGAAGATCAATATTTATCAACCATGACTGGGGCAAGGGGGAGGCGCCTTCCTGTGGTATGAGTGTCTGTCTTGAGCAGGCCTGTCTGTATTGGGAGAGTGCTCCTCTGCTTGTGATACTTGTGCCTTCCCATCCAACATGGGCACTGCTACCACATGATTAGCCTTCATCAGGCAAATGTCTTGTCATCTGTACCCTCAAGACAACATTGTCCCTTCCACAGCATCATGCGCAGCACGAAGCTTGCCATTTCGCAGCTTCGACCTTACCAACACCTGCTTGAAGACTCTGCCCTGGGCAACTCACCAATGTCGGAAGAAGCTGTTTTGAGCCAGGTGATTGGTTCTCTCTCCTCCATTGCCCACCAAGAAGGAGGGAAAAAAGTCTACTACAGGTATCCCCAGACGCCTAACGTCCAGTTTGCACCCGCAGCGCTTCTCATCAGCCCTCCGGCGCCCATACTCTGCCTCTGCGCAATCTTCTGATCCACCTCGCCCGGCCGCGAGGCACCGATAACGCCTTGCTCCCTCCACGCCTCTCTCTCGACGATCGCGAGGGCAGGTACCTTCAGCAGGCTGAGCAGGCTCGCCCCGCTCCACGCCCCGAGGGACTCGATCACACGCAGCTGCCCCTGGAGGCCCCTCTTCTCGCCCTTCCTTCGCCGGACCTGCTCCTCGACCGGATCTGGCTCCTGCTGTGCATCTGACGGCGCGTCTACCCATACGCCGTCCTGCTCGTGGCCCCCTACGCCACCGCCACCGGTGTCTTGTTGAGATGGCACACCCGTCGGCCCGTCGTCGTCGCTGCTTGCCTGCCTGCTCCCTCGTCGTAATTTTGGGTTGGTCTTGTAGGCTGCCACCCCCTTGCCCTGAACAGGGTCCCAGCCGTGGGCCTGTACGAGCTGGCTCACCTCATGGAGGATCCGGCCACGCAGGCCAAGGACTTTAGAACATCCTCCAGTAAAAATAATTCGGGCCATGCAGATGCCTCGAACGTCTAGGGGAAGTTTGAGCAGAGTGCGGTAGATCAACAGCGGGAGTGGCAGTTCATTGTCGTCAAAGAATGGTGGCGGATGTTGCGAGTCGAAGAATGTAGTCTCGGCAGGAATGGAAAGCTGGTTGTAGGTCATGTCGAGTCTCGTCGGAGGGGACGTTGAGGTCAGTGGAATCGAGGTGCTCGATGGTCTCACCGCAGTCGTAGGCGGTGTCGCCGTCGATGCCTCTGACTCGTCCTGCTCCGTAACTGTCGGCAGGCCCTCTTCCTGTTCTTGTGATGGTGCATCTCTGCCAGCAGGTTTGCACCACGTCAACCTGGTGGCAACATCCTCGCACTCCTCAAACGAGACCACGCGTTCCGTCCTCTCGTCGCTGTCAGACGTTATAGGAGGATCAGGCGAAGAAGTCTGCTGGCCGCCACCAAGGGCAGACGCCAGCAGATCATGCGTCCTCTCCACCAGCATCTTGCCAGCACGAACGCTCCGGCAGGTCTGCACCTCTCTGTACTCGTACACGGCCGTCACAACCGTCTCGGCCCAGCCCATGTCGACAACCAGCGCCGATCGCACGCCAGCTGAGACGGCACAGGCAACGGATGAAGACATGAGCGACACGGCAGGTGTGTGAAACCGGCTGAAGAGCGTGGCCAGCATCGTAGCCAGTAGTGGTACGGGCGTGCCAGACGGCAGCACAGCAACGACCCTCCGCGGGCGCGAGTCGATGAGGAGGTACCTAAAACAAAACAAGCCCAAACCAAGGTTAGCCCAGCCAGTTTTTCTTTCTATTTGCGCCTTCTTCCTCGTCGGCAAAACAGGGCCTACCTGTTATATGCCTCCCGCAGCGCTCTCTCCAGCCGATCCCCCACCAGGCCCAGATCCAACCCTCTCACATCCGCGCGCCACATCTCATGCTCCTCCCCCCACCCTCTCCTACGCCAACCATCCTCATAACCCACCTCCCACCTCCGAAAATCCCCGACCCGCCGCGCCTGCTCGGGCCCACACCCTACAGACGCCTTGGGCGCCGCGTCTCCCGCGAACCCGACGCGCACCCGCCGCGCCCCTAGCTCCACGATCAGCACCTCGTCCTCAGCGCGCAGGCTAGACGGCGAGCTGAACGTCGGCGTCATGGGCGGGATCGCGCGGAGGGGCGTGCGCGGGTTGCTGCCGCCGCTGGCGTCTCCGGAGGCGGATGTGACATTGGACGTGTTGATGCTGGCCGTCGCGCCGCCGCGGATGGAGGAGACGGCGCGGTGGGGGAGGGTGTGGCTGGGGGCCGCCATCTTTTCTGTTGGAACAGGACAACCTGAGGAGAGATGGAGGCCTGCATACGACAAATATGTGTCGTTTCTATGTAAGTTGAGTTTTTGTTGATCTGCACTAGGTGGAACAAGACAAGATGTTGAGAAGTGATGCGCGATGCTGGTTTGCAAGGCAGGGGGTACGTACCGAACCCGAACCCTAGCAGAAATACCTATTGTCATGATGACCTCGCCTTGTCAGGCGAGACACGACTAAATATAAGAGAGAAAGAAGAAGAAGGGAAAACAAGAAGAAAACTCAAGTTGACTCCCACCAAGAAAGGGCCATTTCCATTTTTAAGTTTTATTGAATCTTTTCCTTTAAAAATCTATTTACTTGCTATGCGTTAGAGAGGATCGAGAGGGATGCAGCAGGTGTGAGGGGAATCAGTCTTTTGATTCTGAGAGGAGCAATATCTAATACATCATATACTACTTGAGGTTTCATCCCGTTGTCTATAATCTATTCCGTCCCAGATGCATATGTTTTCGCTTTTCCATAATGCGACCATTCATCAAGCCACAAACCTCTTTTCTTCCAAGGCCGAAACGCCAAAATTTCCAGATAGCAAGAAGGAACAAGAAAAGGAATAAAAAAAAAAAAAGTCATCATGCGTCTCAATATCACGACTCTCGTTTTTCTTTCTTTCTTTCTTTCTTAATATACAGCAGCCAGCTTCCACCCGACACGTCTCACCCTGACCATGAGCACAAAGGAGGCACCGGCCACACAGAAGACGCCCGACCAGATCTTGATACCCAGCCAGCCGCTGGCCCCGTCGATGAGGGCACCATTAATGGGGTTCGCTGTGAGCCCTGCGACGGCACAGAGCAACATGACGATGCCGACGCGGAACCCGAGCTCAGGGAACGGCGAGATGGCCATGACCAGCGGTGTGATGAGGGAGACATAGGCGCCCGAGAAGAAACCAAACAGGACGGCGAAGGCGATGAGGGGGCCGTTGCCCGTGGCGGGGATCCAGAGGGCCAGGATCCACAGGCCCGACAGGTAGCAGACGATGACATAGATGTTGTAGCGGCCGATCTTGTCGCCGAAGAAGCCAGCGAACAGGCGGCCGAAGAGGGAGCCGGCGTTGAGGATGGACAGCAGGTACGCGGCGAGGTCGGTGCTCATGCCCGCGGCGATGGCCTGCACGGGAAGGTAGTCGATGGGTACGAAGAAGCCGTAGCTGAAGAAGAAGAAGCCCGCGGTGATGAGGAGGAAGTCCACCTCCTTTAGCGGCTTGGCGAGCTGGGTGGCGCTGACAGGGTGCGGCGACGGGGGATAGAAGCCGCGGACGGTCAGGTTGGCGATGATGAGGAGGAAGAGGATGAGGAACCCGCACGTCCGCATCGCCCAGGGGAACCCAATCTCGGAGATCAGACGTGCCACGAGGATAGGGAAGATGACACCGCCGATACTGGATCCCGTGAACATAATGCCGAAGGCCGCACCACGCTTCTTGTTGAACCATCCAGCAGCGCATGTCACGGCTAGAGTGAAAAGACAGATCAGCCAGGGAATTCATAGAAAGATGTGGGGAAGGGGGAGGGGTGCGAGATATGGAATGGAAAGAGAGGCCTTCTTACATGGCTGGAAGATGCAGGAAGCACCAATGGCGGAGCACACGCCCTGGGCGAGAAGGATCTGGTAGTACTCTGTTGCGAGGCTGGTCATCATGATCCCGAGTACGTGTAGGACTGTGCCGACGATAAGCAAGAGGCGTGGACCATAATGATCATAGATGATGCCGACGAATGGTCCCTGGAAGAAGAGAAAGGGAAAAAAGCATGAGTTAGTAACCAAGAACGTCGCCTATACTGTATAGAGTCTGAAGTCAAGGAGCGGGGAAAAGGGAAGGAAGACGACTTACCAAACCCATCATGAAGAAGATCTGTAGCGATGGGATCCATGCCACGGTGCTTGCTGAATACTGATTGAGGAGTTCACTCTGATAATAGTCCTGAAAGACACCCACGGCTAAGCTCGACGTCAGTATGGAAGAGATGCATAATAAGTACCTATGACGGGTATCAGGTTGGGACTGTTGTTGTACGTACAATTCAGCCAGCCGAAGCTGCAGAAAGAGGTACACCAAACACCCAGGACACAGAGCCAGGCGGTTGCACCGCCATCAGGAGGCTGTAGGCCACCGCCACCCCAGGCATTGTTGGCAGGGGCCGCTGTCTTCTCATCTGCGCTGCCGGATAACTCCTGGGAAGTATCGGCGGTGGTACCGTTCTCGATGTCGGTAGTCGAGTCGCCGGGGAGCTTTTCTTTGCTTGTGTTCGACATGGTGGAGTGCTGTCGCGAAAAGGGAACAAGGGAGAAAGGCCGGAGAGGAAGATCGATGATGTTCCTGGCTACATACAGAGACACACGTCCTTTCAAGGAATGAAAGGAACTACTTTTTCTGCAAAGTGGATTTGGCCGTAGATTTAGTATTATATAGTCTCTTCGGGGCTCTGACTCGGCTTTATAGCAACGGCCTATCGACACGATCTCATGGAGGATGTGGGTGGTGGGGCCTCGGGGCGATTACAAAACGCCTTGCCAAAGTGACTCTTGACGGAGAGACAGCCCCACGGGCTGGAGGTAATCCATGTCAATGGTCTATCCATTTTTAGTCTCGCCGGCTCTAAAGGGGCTTTAGGGGTACAGAAAAGAAGAGAAAATCTCTAATTAAAATGAGCGAGAAGGCTAAAATTCATGCCGCTCTGGGGTTGTTGACGTTTGATGATGTTTTCAGACGGGACCGGGCGTAAAATACGCCATTATAAGCCCGAGACCGTTAGCTGACTAACGTCCTCGGCACTAAAATCAACGTCGTGCCTCCCCATTGAAAAGGAGCCGCCCCGGGATACGACCGAAGGGCCGTTCCAGACTAAGAGGGTCACTTCCCACCCACTCGGGCCCTCTTAACAAGGCATCAGGGGAGTTTTATTACCGCCATCCCGCTCCAGGGCCACGTATGGCAGGCAGAGACCAGAGTATGCCGACATGAGCTCTCATTCGACAGAGGACCGGCAGAGTGCCACCGCACCGCCCGAGGAGGCTGAAGGAGGGGAACAACCAGAAGACCGGCGAACATCATCTGTTGAGCCGGCGGCTGACCCTCTTCTCTCCCGCTCTTGTTACCCTTGCAATCAGAGAAAGATACGGTGTGACAGGCGTTCGCAATGTTCGGCCTGCAGGCGCTCGGGCCGGACCTGCTTGTACCCGCCCCCCGGGCCTCGGATACGGCGCACCAAGCGGACCATAGTCGCTGATATGTCCTCACGCATCTCGAACCTGGAGAGAAGCCTCAAGAGGGCCAGGCAGGTTGATGCTGATGCTGAGGCTGAAGTTAGAACGTCTCGAAAGAATCAAAATCCGGGTCAGTCCAGACAGGATATTCTCATACAGAAGGGCTCATCAAGCCAGTACTTCAACGAGGTCCTGCTGTCTAGAGTTATCAAAGAAGTCAGCATACACTCAAAACCATTCATGCCATGGTGGGGGTTGCAGTTTGGAAGAAAGAGAGAGAAAAAGAGAGAGAGAGAGAGATATTTTGAGAACGAGAGAAGTCTCTGACAAAGCAAAACGTGTAATAGGAACACTGCATCGACTCTGTACTGACGCCCCCAGAGTCGACCCCGGGCCCGGTAGTACCCTCGCCTTTTAATCCTCTGGGCATTATCTCCTCGCCTGACCCGACGATATCACCAGCCAGCCTCCATCCGCCCAGCCATATGGCCGTGCGGCTGTGGTCGATCTATGTGGACAACGTTGAGACCTGCGCCGGGCTGAGACTCCTGCATCTCCCCACCGACGAGGTCAAGGTGTACTCGGTCATCAACGACCCTGCGTCGGCGTCTTATGAGCACCTGGCACTGACTTTCGCCATCTACTATGCCTCCACGATCTCGCTTGAGCCTGCAGACGCGGAGCTGGTCCTCAAGGAGGATAAAGAGACCATGCTTCTCAGGTTTAAGCTCGGCCTTGAGCAAGCCTTTGCGCACGGGAACTTCCTGGACCGCCCTACTATCTCTGGCCTGCATGCTCTAACAATCTATGTGGTACGTCTTTGCTGTATCTCTCCCACAACATCATCACCGGCAATAGTACCACCGCCGCACATGGTCGTCATCCCTGACTTGGACTCTAGGCTGCACTTCGGATGCACAACCGCGGCAAGGGAATATGGATCCTGAATGGTCTTAGTATACGCATCGCCCAGTCGCTGGGACTACACCGTGACGGGAAGCGCCTGGGCCTCTCTCCGTTCCAGGCAGAAATCCGTCGCCGTCTGTGGTGGCATCTCTTGAGCAGGGACAGCCGAGGGGGTGAGGACTACGGTCTCGAGAACACCAACGGCCCGCTGCTCATGTCGGATGTCGATCTCCCCGCCAACGTGCACGACACAGATCTCACACCCGACATGGTCTCGCCGCCCAAGCCAAGGGAAGGATGGACGACCATGACCTTCTCCCTGATCGCCATCGAGCTCTTCAAGACGATGCAGACGCTGGCGGCCATGGCTGCGACCTCACCGCCGACCTCACCCCCGAGCGAGGCAGTCCGGGCCAAGACCATCCAGGAGCTCCGGGCACGGCTCGACGAGTGGATGGCTTGGTGTAACCCGGTGATCCCACAGCAGCGTCTGACCCTGTTCTGCGCGCGGTTTCTGCTCAAGAAGACCGACTTCGTCACGAGGCTACAGTGGATCCTCCTGCAGCAGCGGGCTGGCCTGCACTCGGACTTTGCCACTGAGGAGAACCTGGACGTGGCCCTCGAGATCCTGGAGCGCAAGATGTACAAAGACGACGGCCTCCTGAAGCAGTTTGCCTGGACCAGGAGAGCCTACCCGCAGACCAACGTCATGCTATACGTCCTGCTGCACCTGTGCGTGAAGCCCGAGGGCCCGCTGATTGATAGGGCCTGGGGCGCCATCGAGGCCTTCTTTGCCGAAGACGTGCCCCGTGAGCCCGCCACCGGGCTCGGCCCGAAGCTGTTGGTGCTAGTTGTTCTCAGGAAGAAGGCCGTGGCCGTTCGAGAGAAGCTGCACAGTAGGAGACCCGGGTTGGGGAGAGACGGCGCGCCCGAGCCAGGACTGGCGTTAGGAGAGCACTCATCGTCCACCTCTGTGGCGGGTGTAGGAGGTCCTGCTGTGGGCTTGGAGCACACGGTGGCGGACGAGTATGGTCTCGACAACAGCTTGGTGGACTGGCCGGACTGGGCGGCTCTGGTGCAGGACTTTCAGCTTGACACCACCGACGTCTTTCTGTAGTGACCCCACCCGCCCGGGAATAGGTGTTGAGAGATCAACAAGAGTCTCTCCTGTACCAATGTTGTCACACACACAACGATGCCCCGGCGCAATGAAGAACAACACGCTGCCCTCTGAGAATTGGGCCATCCTTTGAGAGAAGACGACCACCCGCCAAGCAGGGTAACCTTCTCTTTCTCTGCCTTGTCTGCTCTGCACTTCGCACCCGCACAAGATTCCCTCCAAAACACAACTGCCCAGAGTGCACCTGATGTCAACGCCTAAGATTCTTGATTTCAAGTAAAAGAACAAGTTTAGAGTGTGACAAGATGAATTGGGGTTTTGCTGGCTGACAAGGCTGAAAGGTGGAGTGGAGCCGTCTCTGTGGTAACGAGACCGGGCAACCCCTGCACTCTTGGCTCAATAGGGTAAGATGTCAATAAAGCTGCTCTTGCCGTCCGTCTGTCCGTTCCTTCTTTCATTGACGACATCATTGACAAACTAAACTCAATACCACAAAATTCTCAACAACGAAACCACCAATCAAGTATTCAAAATCTGCCTGCTGCCTGTATAGACGCTAGGTCTAATCACTCCTGAAGATATCATGGCATAAACTCAGGCCCCTCGATTTTGCTCCATATTCAAGCGTTTCATCATGGGAATCCAAGGGTAAGTTTTGTCTTGGTCCTGGTTTTGTCCTCCTGCTCCTCCTCCTCCTTCTCCTAGTGTCTGCCTACGATTGACAAGGTTTCTCGCTCTCTCTTGTGTATGACAGCATCTACAAGGAGATCGGCCCAGGCAAGCGGGTCTCGCTCTGCAAATTGGCCATAGAGCATCTCGAGGAGACAGGTCAGCCGCTGCGTCTCGCCATCGACTTTGCAATATGGTCGTTTCAGGCTCAAGCTGCCAGAGGTATGTCCTCTTTCATTGCTCTTTGTCACCCTCTCTCCGTCGCTCAATCTTCCTTACTCTTATAATTCATTCACACATACATACATACCATATGCCTGCTGACTTTTTCTGGGGGAACCAAGGCGGCGCACATCCCGCTATTCGTACCCTCTTCTACCGCCTCGTGCGCCTCCTGTCTCTCACCGTCCACCCTATCTTCGTCTTCGACGGCCCCAACAAGCCGGCTTTCAAGCGCCACAGGCGCTCCCGCCGCGGCCCCGGCGATACCGTCTCCGCGTCCATGGCCAAACGCCTGATCCGCCTCTTCGGCTTCGCGGTCCACGACGCCCCAGGAGAGGCCGAGGCCGAGTGTGCTTTCTTGCAGCGCGAGGGCGTTGTCGACGCGGTGCTGAGCGAGGATGTCGACACCATCATGTTCGGGTGTGGGCGTACCCTGCGGAACTGGTCTGCCGAGAGTACGGCTGCCGGGTCGAGGCCGCCCACCCATGTATCCGTGTACGATGCTGCCGAGCTGTCACTGGGGGTGGGCAGTGGGGCTGGGCTGGACCGTGAGGCCCTCGTGCTAGTCGCGCTCATGAGCGGTGGCGACTACATCCCCGAGGGTGTGCCAGGCTGCGGAGTGAAGGTCGCGTGCGAGGCTGCCCGAGCTGGGTTCGGGAGGCGGCTGTGTCGCATCAAGAGGTCGGACCCGGACGCGCTGCGGCGGTGGCGGGAGGAGTTGGCATCCGAGCTGAGGACCAACGAGAGCGGGTTCTTCCGCGTGAGGCACAAGGCTCTCACGATCCCTGAGGATTTTCCGGACATGGAGGTTCTGCGGTATTATACACATCCGGTGGTCTCCCAGGCCGCGACCGTTGAGAGGCTGAGGAAAGAGCTCCCTGCCAGAGCCAATGTCGATATTGTTGGCCTCCGCGCATTTACTGGCGAGACGTTCGATTGGACGTACAAAATCGGAGCCATCAAGTTCATCAAGGTGTTGGCCCCAGGTCTTCTGATCCAGGCGCTGTTGGGCCTCCATGGCCACGACATCAATGATCCTGACGAAAGAGAGAGGGCGGAGGCGAAGCTGGTCAGGGCTATCTCGACAAGGAGGACGCACTTCAGCACGGATGCTACACCTGAACTCCGTATATCCTATATCCCGAATGACATTGTCAGTCTGGACCTAGACGCCGAGGAGGATGGGGAAGAAATCGCCCCTAGCACGCACGGGCGGTCCGGACTGGCCCTCAACAGCGACAATGAGACAGAAGGGCCTGACGACGGGGAGGGGGGTCAGGCCAAGGCCGACCCTAAGAAGGTCTTCGACCCGCTCCAGCCAGACCTCGTCTGGGTGCCCGAATCTGTTGCCAAGCTGGGTGTGCCGCTCGCTGTCGAGGACTGGGAGACGGGGCAGAGAGCCAAGAAGTCGGCAAAGGAGAAGAAGAAGAACGACAGCAACAACAAGGTTTCGACGAGGAAATCACAGGCCAGGCAGAAGACTTCAGATATGCCGGCTGGGGCGCTGGATAGATATTTGACGAGCACTAAATCTATTAGTCCGGCAAAAACAACATTGACAGAGTCGGGGACGGTGGCGGCCCCAAAACCTTCGAAATTACCACAGGCTGTTGCTGTCATCAGGAGCGCCAGTCCGGCCAGGAGAGGGAGGTCGACACGTTCCGACAAGGCGGCGCCAAAAGTTGGCATGCAGTCGTCCATCAAGACCTTTGGGAAGCTCTCAGAGTCGATGGCGAAGAAGGTGATTACGGTGGTACTGGATGATGACGACGACGGGGAGGAGGAGGAGGAGAAGGAGGAGCTTGAAGACATACGCACTTTTGGCTCCAAGAAATTACCAAAGGCGGCGGCAGTAAAGAGCCATCATCCTCTATCACCTCAACAACCCCACCCCAAACTAAGCCAGGCCAAAGGCCACACCAAAGCCAGCCCCCGCTCCACCGCACCTATATGCATACCCTCCTCCCCGTCGGCACCATCACCCTTCGCGCTCAGATCCAAAACCACAACCGTCTATGTGCAGAGATTGAGCGACACGGGTCTCGGTTACGTCAGGGAGGTGGAAGTCACCCGCGAGGAGGCCGACCGTATGCTGGAGGCGGAAACTGGACGGTGGTCTGAGGAGAAGACCGGCAGCGGCAGCGGCAGCGGCAGGAGGAGGAAGTGCGCTGGTGGGACGCGGATGTGGAGGGAGAGCGAGGTGGCGATTGTGGATCTCACCGGGGAGGATTGATAGCGAGACCAGAGAAGGCAGGCCACCGCCTACGAGAATGAATAGATGATACCCTTTACTATTACGTGAAAATGGGGTTTCTTCCTTCTTTTTGCCCCTCCGTAAAATCTTGCAGGACATGCAGGCGCGTGGTGGTTGCTGAGGGTCAAAAGACTGTCTGTATGCCCTCTTACAAAGAGTGAGAGAGAGGTTTGGAATTGAAAGCGAGCAGACAACAAAACATGGTTCAAACGCCGAAATGACCAAGACGACCATATCACCCAGTCACTGCTCGCTGCCAGGGACCAGAAATGGAAGAGACGGAGAGTGTTGGATACTGCAGCTAGTTCTTCACATCTCAGTAGACTATGAATACACTAAATCTCGACTGCTGGGTCGATCCTGAACAACCAAGAAAAAATAAACATTTACTCTTTGTCTCATGCTCCCCTCCTAGAAACGAGATGCCTCGCGTCCACTGCGTGAGAGAAGAGGAAAAAACACGGAAAAAAGAAGAAGAAAAAAAAAAGAAACTAGAACCAGGACGCCCAACCTTAAACCCCACCAGTCCGCCCACTATTCTAAGGTAATCACCGTCTACCGTTGTGATGTTACGAGACTCGACCACGAGAACCTCTTTTGTAATACCTCCTCCCACCAAACCCTCGTAATCGGAATTGTTCTCGTCATCGCAATTCTCGCTTGCTACCGTTGTCACCTTTCGTCGGTGGCCCATTCCACCAGGACTTTCCTCCTTCATGGTCGAGATTCTTGTTGCTCTTGGACTCTTTCTCTTCCACCAACCATAATGCATGTAGATTATTTATTCCTTGTCGCTGCGCTGGCTTAGCCACCACGATCTTCACCCCTTTCCTCGCGTCTCGTCGACAAAGTCGTGGTCTTCTTTGTCGACCGTTCAAGGCTATTCCAAAAACCGTGATCACGAGCTTCCTATGTTTATCTTCTTCAACAATAATAGATCTGGAATCGTGTCGGCGGTGTTCCTTTCTGATTGGTTTGCGAGTCGTGCGAGCCCGACCACCAGGCCGCTCAAGTACCAGCAATTTTTCCCTCTCAGGTCTCCTAGAGCCGCCGAGTGAGCAGATACTGAACAGACTCGCGCGCATTCTGTGTCCTCCAGACACTGTCCTTTCCACCCCTCCTCCACTCGTCCCCGCTTGCGTCCTCGCCGCCACCACGCGGGGCCGAGCCAACGATCACTTCCAGGTCACGCTTCTGGGAAGAGAGCCAGTTGCGCACGAACTTGGCTGGGTCGCCACTCAGACCCTTGAAGAAGACATGCTTGGCCTTGGAGTCGGCGATGGCCTGAATCATGATGGCGAGCTGCTCATCCAGTCCCTTGACCTGCTGGAGCATCATGCCGTACTGTGGATGCTGCAGGAACCGTGCCAGACGTGGCTGCAGGGGGTCGCTGACGGGCACGAGTACGTCGTAGATGGTCGGTTGGGGGTTCTTGTGGAACTCCTCGTCGAGGCGTACCGTGTACGCGAGCTTGACGGGGGGGAGAGGCCGCAGGTGAGGAGTGATGTAGTTCTGAAGCTCTGGGATCAGGCCTGGGTCCCTCGGGACAATCTGTGGTGTACACCATTAGTCGTCTGCTGAGCTCTATTGCCGAGGGGCAACATCACCACCTGCAAAACATACCTTTCTGAGCAGCTCATCACACCGGAAATGCCTCTTTTCCTCGTCCTCTTGCAGTCCCATAAGCTTGATATACTCCCATAGACTCATGACGACCTCCGCACGCGAGGCAGCAGGCATATCGACGATATCGGACAGCTCGGGACTAAGCTCGAATCGTTCCGGCACCTCGTCCCTGAACAGATTGATCGTGATGTTCATGTTCTCGTCTCCGTTCCTCTTGAACGTCAGCTCGTCAAAGTCGGCGGCAGCAGGCGGAGTGGCAGAGTTCGCTATCCTGTCCGGCTTCTTCCACTCCACACTTTGCTCGGCGCCGTTGCGCATCTTACTGCGGTCGAACTCCACCGTCATGGCCTTGAAGAAGTGGGAAAAACGAGGTTGTGGGGGTTTCGTGGCCTCGATCGCCTTGGCTTTCTTCTGGGCTGGCGCATCTGTTGTGTCCATTTTGTCTTCGGCACCACCCTCGGGGTCCTCCTTGGGAACTTTTTTCTCCTCAGCATCCTCCTCGACGCCATCCTCCGCCTCATCCTCGTCATCCTCGTCAAATTCGTCGTCGTCGTCGTCCAACAGCCGGCCCTCAATCTTGACACGGAAGGAGGATTCATTGTTTGTGGAGAAGTCGAAGCTATCCGCGTTGAGCTCGCCGGCCTGCCAGACCTGGTCCTCGACGGTATTTGAGATCCATATGCGCAGAGTCTTGAAACGCTATTTTTTTTTTTTTTTGTGTCTGCCAGTCAGTACCACCCTCTTTGTCTCTCCCTCATCACCACCTTAAGAAAACGAACCAAAAACATTGGTGTCCGGCGTACCTTAGCATTCCTGCCCACCGAGTCCACGACATCTAGCCTCTTGCGCGTGATGGTCGCATCGAGCCTCCTCTCAAAGTCCCTCAGGTCGCGGTACCGCTGCACGCCGTCGCTGACAACGCAGTCCTCGACGCCGTCAGGCATGGTCTTGTCGGTGGGCTTGCGGGCGCGCAGCTTGGCGCGCTCGTGCGCGGCCGTCTGCTGCTGGTGCCGCTCGGCCTGCTGCTGGGCGGTCATGGGCGCCGCGGGAAGATGGCCTTGGGGCTGAGTGGTCATCATGGGCCCTGTTTTGACACGGATGGCCGCGGTGTTAGTTGGCGTGGAAACCATGGCTGCGTACAAAGAAAGAGATGTGTATATATGTATTGTATATAAATACAAATATATATATCCCAGATCCTGCCGGACGTGTGGCCTAGTCCGTGACAAGCAGCGATGACAAAGGATGATTTTGGGGTAAATGGGTTGGACAGAGAGTGGGTTTGCGCGTGGTGCAATCGCGATATGGCAAGCTTCTGCTTCGGGGTGGGCGCGCAGGGCAGGGCAAGCTTACCGATTCCTCCACGGCGTGGACCAGGGACATGCGGCGACCTCTGGGCCACATTTTGTGGGAACTGCGACCGATATTGCGCCTGCATCTCGACTGGACTGACTTTCGAATCGACTAGGGGGGGGTGTGTGGTTTGGTGGATCCGCTTTTTGAGATTGAAGAGGGGATGGAAAAGCGGCCTTACAAGGCGGGAAGGGGAGGAAGGGAGGGCGCGGACTGCGAGTTAGTAGCGTGTCTCCTCTGGGGACTCCGTCGTTTGCGCCGAGTCGGGGATGTTGGTTCGAGTAGTCGAGTCGCCCGGGGCCCGTAGGACCGCAGATGGAAAGCTCTAGGGATCACCGCGTCTTAAAGTGGACGTGGCATTTAATTGGGAGAGAGAGAGAGGGGGGGGGTGGGTTGGTGGAAAGTAGTAGGCTTGGTCTGTGTTGAAAGACAAAGTGGAGCGCGCTGCCAAAGTAGTCGTGAAAAAAAAAAAAAAAAATGAAAAAAAAAAAAAAAAAAAAAACCGCTCCGCGACGGGACTACTGTAGAGTACAGCTGTGGTCCGTGCACGCGCCCAGCCTCGCGTTATAATGTTATCGTTTTACTGCATAAGCAGTACGTACATAGTACTCATATTCATAGCACCACTGCTGCTTGTTTCCTTTTAAAAAGGCTGCACCGTTACAAACAGTCTTCTGTCCAAACCCTCTTCACTTTGTCAATACTGTAGCTTCAATATATGATATGAGGACTAACTGATCCGAAAGGACACAGCTCTCAATTCTTTCAATTTCTGTCTTTGCTGCTTCTCTAGCCATTTCTCCCCCCCCCCCCCCACCTCCACCAACTCTCATCCGGTCAAGCTGTACGCCGCGCTCAACAGATGCCGATTAAGGAATTTGCTGTACATCCACAGCACAATAGCACGCCCCCGATTGCCTTGAACCAGGCCCAATTGGACCTCCCAAACAAAAGAAATCTCGGTCCCTTCTTGACCTCCGTAGGGCTGCTTAGATCAATAGAATGGCCCTTTGACTTGGAGGCGATCAACAGAAGACCGACTCGATGCTGAATGATGTTTGCCTTTTTTTCACTGTGAAGAGACAAAGAAAAATAAAAGACGGAAAGAAAAAAAGAAGGGGAAAAAAGAACCCCCGCCTGGCTTCCAAAGCAGAGCACTGAGGGCTACTCCTAACTCGCCTGCCAACGCCGGAAAATGCCAAAGGAGAGAGGCCGAGAGAGGGGTGAAAAAAGATATGAAGACCGAAAAACACATAGAAAATGGGCTAGGAAAGAGTGGACAGGAATCTCCGTTCGCCTGACCACCCTCCGCATATGGACAAAGGACGGGCTGAAAAATGCCTTGTTGACGTGTTGCTGTATAATCATGTATGGATGTGTGCATGTAGGTAAGATGTATGAGGAGGGTTGACTCAGAAAGCTGCTGTGCCCAGGCCGTTCTTAGACTGTCGCTTGCTGAAACGATGGTTCTTCTTCGTCTGCTGAGGGTCGTCCAGGCTGGCCTGGCTCTTGCTCAACTGGTGCCGTCCGGACCGATCATTGACGCTGAACCCTCCCTCTGGATACTGCATCGCGCGCGAGAGAGTGCTGGCCGGGCTGGGAGACATGGACGAAGACATGTCGCCGAAGCCGTTGTCACTGTTGTAGGAACCCATGAGATCCTGGGAGACGGCAAGATCCTTGGCCTTCTCGACGGCCTCGATCCAGTCGTCTGCGGTACCAGCATCGACGCTCAGTGATGAGGAGCTTTTTGGCGGCTCGAACAGATAATGTGTACCGTTCTGGAGAATGAATTTGTCAGAAGACCGAACCCCCCCGACACGGTGGAAAAAAAAAAAAAAAAAAAAAAAAAAAAAAAAACCAAGGTAAAAAGGAAAACAGGAGTCCAGATGGGACTTACCGAGTCGATACACCAAACAACCTGCCCCTTCACGTCGATTTGGGTGCGCCACGAGCAGTCCGCAGTGAGCAGAGAGATCTCGGTCTTGGCCTTCTTCTCGCCGCCCCCCGCTGGAGCGAGCACAACGCGACCACTCGAGGTGATCATGACAAGCCTCTGCTTCTTCTTCAGGGTACTACCTCCGAAGATTCTGGAAATCTTCTTGTGCGTCTCATGATCCTGCCTCCCGTGCGGGCTGTTGGGTATCGGTGACGAGGTGACCAGCAGATCACCAAGCTTCAGGATCCTCTCGTTGGTCCTGGTCAGCACCGGCGACCACTCGATGTCCAGCTGCGTTGGCGGTGGCAGCTCGGTGATGATGCGAGAGGGCCGGGCGGCGCCATTGCTCGACGGCGCGAGCCCTCGAGATGACGGCAGGGAGGAGCTGGAGGCGCCGTTCAGCTGGATGATGTGGGGTTCCTGTGCCGGAGGCACGTAGGGCCGGAGCCTAGGCGCTCTCTGTTTCCACAATATCTTGCCAAATTTCTGACCCTCAAAGAACTCGTGGTTCTTGATGTGCTCCACAGTCAGGCGTCTTGCAGGGTCCAGGACGAGACAGCGCTCGACGAGGTCGCGGGCAGCAGGTGGGAACCCAGCGGGGAAGTCGAACTCCAGGGCCACAATCTTCTGGAAGGTCAGGTACTCGGTCCCTGCCTTGAAAGGTGGCCGGCCGGCCAGGAGCTGGTATACTATGCAGCCGTAGGCCCAGATATCGCTGGCCTTACCAGCGCTCTTATCCGTCAGGAGCTCCGGGCTGACGTACTCAGCCGTGCCGACAAAAGAAGCAGCCCGTCCGTCGTCGGATGAATCGTCAGCAGGTGGCTGCTTTGGGTCCCTCGGGTCTGGCAGCAGCTTTGCAGTGCCAAAATCCGTAATCTTGACATGCATGTTGTCGTCCAGGAGCACATTCTCGGGCTTGAGATCACGATGTATGACACCTCTAGCGTGCATGTACTCGATCGCGTCGAGGATCTGGGCGCCGTAGAACCTTGTGCATTCCACATCAAAGGTGCCTGTTCGCTTCAGGACGCCCAGGAGCTCGCCCCCGTTGCACAGGTCCAAAACATAGTAGAGTGATGTCTCGTCTTGGAAGGTGTAGTAGAGCCTGACTATGCCCGGGTGGTCGGTCAGGCGGTTCAGGGTGTTCTTCTCGATGTTGACGTATTTGATCTTCTTCTCCTTGATGATATGTTTCTTCTCCAACACCTTGACGGCGTACTCCTTATTATTAGTACGGTCGGTAGCCAGGAACACGGTGCTGTAGGAACCCTCGCCGAGGACTCGGTCGAATTTGAAGTCCTTGACCCCTTTTTTGATCGACCGGATCACGGTCCGCCCCTCGGTGTCTACCTCCCTTCTCACGCCCACGGCAGCACCTCTTTCCTGCCATTCCTCGCGATTGCCGGGCGGAGGCATATGAGGACCAAAGTTGTTGTTATTTGTCGGTGGAGCTATTGGGCCACCGGGCATGTTCGTGAAGCCGCCTGCCTGTCCCTTAGAGCTCTTCCTGGGAGGCGCAGAGCCTGGAGGCAGGTCGCGTCGGCCGTCGGGGTGATAGATCCTCTGGCTTGCAACTCTCTGGGGAACGGGTCCTGCGTAGGGGGCGCGCACCGATCTGGAATTACTTCTGGATGGGGCGCTGAAGTTGGAAGATCGAGATGCCTCTGGCCGCAGCATGGGATGGTACATGCTCGGGCCGGCCTCTGCATCTTGCGACGCGGATAGAGGGATCGAAAGGTTCGCCGACAGGGGTCGCGGTGAGGTACGCAGTGGTCGGTCCGAGCCATCGGTTGGGGGAGCTAGAGGTGCGGTGTGCTGACGCTGCAGTCTTGGATCGAATAGAGAGTCTGCGATGTTGGCTGCGCTGGAGGGGCCAACAGCGTCAAAGGGGGACTGGGTGTCGGTGATGTTGTGCTGGGGATGGCTGTTGCTGGGCTCGGCGGGGTGGTCTTGTTGTAAGGGGGTTCGGGCGAGGGGTGTTGGGGTCGAGGATGAATCGCGAGGGTCGTCTTGGACTTGCGAAATGGAGTATCCAGCTTCGGGGACGACGTCGGCGACAGACGACTCGTCTCCTGGAGCGTCGGTCTCGGGGAGGGAGTCGTTAGAGAGGTTGGCGATCCGCAGACCGCCTAGGGCCTTGGACAGGCTGATATCGCCATTCATGGTAGCGGGATGGGGGGGATCGGTCGGTGGTCAGTCGAAGGAGAGCCGGACTCGAAACGGTGCCGGTGCATTAGCTGTGGCGACTCGTCTTCATGGGCCGTCGACCTTGCTTTGTTGGACCGAGAACGACGAGGGCCAAAAAAAAAAAAAAAAAAAAAAGGAGAGGAGGAAGAGGAGGTGTAGCTGCGCTCCGTCGTTTGGACCTGTTGTCTGGGGGTTTGGGGAGCGGGACCTGGGCTGCGCTGTTCCCGTGGCCGTGCTGGAAGGGTGCCCGTAAACTTGTCAGGGCCTCAATTCCTCAGCCGCGACCGTAGCCACAGGTGGTGGGATCGTGGTCGAGAGAAGGAATACCATAGAAGAAAATGGTCATCAGGCACAGCAGGCAGTGGTGATGGCTGGATGATATTCGATCGACGGGCAGTGCCTTGACATTGAAAGCAGGGCAGCTAGTGTAGGGGGTTAAGTGGTGGTGGTGGTGGTGGTCGACGACGCTCTGCAGATCGTTTGATGGTGTCGTGTCTCTCTGGTCAGGGTCAGGCCTCCCCCATTCGCGAGTAATGCAGGGATATCTGATGGGGACTGGACTGCTGCTGGTCAGGAAGAAGAGGAGGAAGCTGTTGTTTCAATAGGTATCTGGGACAGTCAGGAACTGGGCTTCTGGGTTGGTCAAATCAGATGATGCAGATGGGTTGGTTCGTGTTGCTGTGATTGTCTGAATGTGAATCAAAAGTGCAGGACATTTGAGAGGTAATGAGGTGGCTCGTGTTCCTGTTCCTAGGCCCTGGTCGGTGACGAAGAAAGGCCCAAACGGGGTCGTCCTGGTACCGTCTGATGAAAGCTCCCTAGGGTCGAAAGAAAGCGGCTGATTTGCAGTGTACTACTGTAGCGACAAGTATTTCCCTCTCTTGCCTCCCGGGTTGACATGCAATGACACATTCACACGTACAGTGTACGACTCGTAAGAAAGGGAAAGAAAACAAAACACCATCATTAACACTAAAAAAAAATCTAGCATCAACCTGGAACCCATCCATATGAACTTTGACTCTTCTTTCTTGGTGTCGCTATGCAGTTCAAAGGTTGGAGCGGTGTTTCTTTGTACCATAAGTGCTGGCCTGGGCACTGCCAAGGTACCTACCTATCACCACAGTACCTAGACCCATCATATTATGAGCCCTAGGATGCAGTGGGCCCCCCCCCCTTCACCTCTCACCCTCGGCTTAATTTCAACTACTCTCTGCATTCACTTTGATTTATAAAGACATTTAATTATCGTACAGCATTCTTTGATGGCTCAACATCTAGTGGATTCATGCAATGACAATAAACCTCTGTACTTTGAATTACCTCTGGGAGAGCACTGCATACTTGAGTAGTCACGGATGATACAACCCTTAGATACAAACCCTAGTGACATGCATACCAGAAAATGCTAGCAAGATGCTGCTTCCTCTGCTTCTCTCTGTGTATGTTCATGGGCTTGATGATCCGCACCTGCCACGGGTGTTGGGCTCACAGCCATAAGCTACCATGGTCTGGAAAACATATGACAGATCTCTGGAGCTTTCAAGACCTGCCTTTTGCATCTTCCTCTCCTCCTCGTCCACCACCACCACCTACATGTTTCCATCACATGCATCCTGCCTGAGCTGCACATGGCCGCCCTTCCTCCTGATGGTATTCAGGATCACCTTGAATATATCCGACTCTCGAGCTATCATTTGCATGTCCTTACCAGTCATTATGATACGCCTCCATTTGACAGTCATATCCTTGACCATGTCAGAGGTTAAGGAGTTGGAAAACCGTCGACGATACCGCAGATATTTGCAGAGGAATGAAAATCCAACCTCGGAAGAGACAGTGAAGCGGAAGGCCACTCCTAATTCCGAGTTTCCAGAGCCAAGGGGCGCACTTACCGTCTCACGAAACAGGGAGTCCTCGTTACCCAACACAACATATGCTGAGCCGGTGCTCCCCTCTCTCGTTCAACCCAACTCTTCGGGCCACCATGCTGGCTATGCTGGAGAGGACGAGCTCGCTCTTGTAGGGCAGCAGCAACATGGCCCAGATCACACCGCATCTGATGCACAACCTATCACCTCGCCAGACACCCCTTCATCCGGCCGATACTTGTCAATGCGGCCCCGCAGACGTCGACTGTTCCCAAGTCCTTCAAACAGTACCGGACCACACACTTGCGTGGCGGATAAGACGTCTTTACGGCTAGAGGAGCCAGAGGAAGAGAACACTTCCGCAACGTCGCCCAGACAGGCTTTGACTGGCAGTAGGACTGAGGAACCTGTGCAGATAATGACACACGGGTTGGAGACAGCTGATATACCTCGTTCAGGAGAGCATCTACCCTCTCTGTCACCGCCATACTCGCAGAGTCCACGCCGTGCCTCGGGAGGAAGTTCATTCACTCTGGTGCGTAGCAAGCTATCATGGAACCCTTTGGTAGTGGCTGAGAGATTGACGGAGCTCCAGCCAATCCACGCCCGGCCTTCTTTGGCTGGTGAGGCTGCACCTTCAACATTGGAGCACCGCCGACGCCAGTCATCCTCGTGCCACTCGCCAGACGATACGCAGCATGATGAAGAACCGGGAACATCGGTAAGCTGCGCAGGTTATGCAGACCACATGGCGAAGGCGAGGCTGATCGTCTGTCCGTTCCAGCCCCCTTCGAGTCCCCGTAGAGCTTCAAGAGGAGCTGGTCGCTTCTTGCAGCTGTGCCCCGTTCTCGGTCATCGATCACCCTCGTCCTCTCATGACAGTCCCCCGCCGAGAGAGAGCCCTTTGCCAAGTCGGGCTACACCGGGACGTCCGACATCGCTGGCTCGAACTTTCGCGATACCTGGCCGCCGGGTCCGGGTGTATGACGATCTGGCCTCACCGACCCGTCAGCCTCAGACTCCCGAGCAACTCCCAGAGGCTCGGCACCAGAGCAGGCTCTCAGCCTCGTACACAGCTCCAGTGAGCAGATTTAGAAGTGCCCAGACACCCGGCCGCACTCCTGTCACGGCTCGGAGGATACATCAACGCAGAGGCCCGAGTCCCCTCGGCATGAGGACGTCAGGGTTCGAGGGTCTATATGGTGGGTGGGAAAATAATGACGATGTCACCCTGTTTGATGAGGCATCACAGGCTAGGGAACCAGGTTCGCCAGACTGAGCATACCCAGACAGGCTGTTTGAAGGAAAGAATGTCTCTCTCAATGGCTGCAGCGCGGAAGTCACAAGAGGGCCGTTGCATGGCGGCACAGGAAAGACAAGGGCTATACGAATATCGCCACAAGAGGTAATCGAGTGTCCAAATTGTTGTGTGGTTTTTTTGTTTGTTTTTTTTTTAGGAGAAATTTTTCATACAGGCCTGTGGAAGAAGACTTAGTCAAGGAGGGCGAACCCAAGCAAAGGAGGTCTGAGAGATTGAGAATGCCAAACGCATCAGACGAACAAGCAATTAATCACTCTGCCCCAGGCACCCATTTCACCTCGTCCGTGCTATCAAAAGCAGAGCGCGGAGACGTGTATACGTTTGGACCAAACTCACCGCTACAATGATGACAGCCGTCCGGCTGGCGAATCAAGGAGTTGCCGAGTCATTGTGATGCTGACAGCCAAGCGAAGGCCCTGGTACGCCCTGCGTGGTGGACAGAGACACTGCTTTGCAGTAGGCGACGGACAATCTCCTCAGCAGACCAAGGCACTCGACCCTGTAACGTGGACGATCAGTCAGCGGCGAAATCCTGAATCGCCAAGCAATAAGGCCTGGAGACTCCGGCAGCAGCAGATAACGACAAGGCCGGTGTGGATGCAAATGGCACCCGCTGAAATTGGCGCTGTTAAGCAGGCTGCAGTATGACCTTTTATCATTGTATCGACGGCTAGGGGTGTGCCATCAAAAGTCATGCCTAAGGCCGCTGACCAACGGCCAAAAGTTGGCCGACAATGCCGCTTTGTGCTCACCTGCTCAGTTCCAACCGTGCAATAGTCGCAGCACTGTGGCTGGGTCGGGAGAAACATCCCTGATCCATGGTGAGGCGAGGCGAGGCTTCCCATCGGAACTGGAAGAGGAAAAATCCTGAAAAAGCGGAACCAGGTGTAAAAAGGTTGACTAGGCCTGGAATGGAACGCCTCCAAAAGGCTCTGTTATTGACTCCACCTGCCTTGCGCCATACTCTTGTCTGCACACCTTGCGGTACGTACCCGGTACCGTGTAGCAAGTCGGGTCTGCCACCGGCAACATTGTCGAGGAGACCTGTGAGACAGCGCTAGACCAGGAAGAGCTGAGATTCTGGGGGGACCCCATCAGATGAACGAATCAAACGCACGGATCTTGAGAGCGAGCAGGCAAACCCCTGTACGTAAGCTAGATAGCGCTAGCCATTTTGGGAAGGCTCGGCGCTCTGCGCAGTCAGCCTTTTAAGACGGGGACGTAGAGTTCTATGGTACCAGAGCAGCCCCCCCTGTAGGTTCGCTCCTGCTGCTGCGACGATGTACCTACTGCATAGTACTATGGCACGATGGTACGTACTCTGGTCTGGTACTACATGAGGCGGGCTACTATGGTACACTGTGAGGAGAGAGAGAACGGGCGAGCTGAGCATGGGTAGGTCAACCTGGGAACAGTAGGAGCGCCGCACCACAGCGACAATCGCAACCCGCATCGTTCTGCACATGCGCCTGCTGCTGCTCTCCTCTTGCACTTCCTTTTCCGAACTCGTTTGCTTCGGGCTTTCCAATCCCCAGCTCTTTTTCCTCTCTTCTCTTTCCTTCTCCCTCCCACCCACCCACCCAACCTTCTCATATCTTCTGCCCTCCCCCTTCACATCGTTCCTCCTCTTCACCTTTTCTTTTCTCACTTCTGTCCCATACGTCCTAGCCTTACACCACATCTTCACCTGGTTTACTCTTGGTACTACGGATAGTACCTGCCCTTCCCACCTCCTTACCTCTTCTCTTCCCATCTTCCCGCACTGCGTTGACCTGTTGGCCTTCGTTGCCATCGTCAACGACTCTTCTTCTCCAGGCTTGTCCTCTTGAAAGGGCTGTTACCTGCTTCACTACTTTCTCTCTCTTCTCTACTGTCTACGCGTACAGCCTCGCCGGCCAACCTACCTACGCGTCCTCCAACCCGCTTCCGCCGTCAACGTCGTCGCCGCCGCATCCAACAATACACCTGCGGCGCCAATTGGTTAATTACCGGCTTTCTCACTACAGGGCATAGTACCTTGTTCGCGACTGATCCAGCATCTCTAGCAAACTTCTGTAGTTTGGTCATCTCACCTGCAGTACTCACAGATCACAATGGCGTGCTTTGATAGCAGCTACACCACCGCCTCGCCTGTCTTGGGCATCCAGCCTCAGGTCGCCCATCAGTCACCGTTCGACAGGCCTATCTTCTCACACTCGTCTCAGTCCTTTGGCCATTCAGTCGCATGCACCAGCCGTCCGATACTGCATTCCAACGCCACATTCGCCGGCAGGAAGCGGTCTAGGGACGAGGCAGCACCCAACCTCGACGAGCCAGAGAAGGTCGTCCCAGCTCCCAAAGTCGAAGAAGCCGAAGACGAGTGGGAATACGGCCCTGGGATGATCCTCATCAAAAAGAAGACTGGCTACGTCGTCGACGCCACCAGCCAGTCCGGTACATGGGTCGAGGACAAGGCGGCTCATGAGCACGGCCGCAAGCTCGAGGAGGCCATTGCCGAGCAGGAGAAGCTCTCTCAGGAGCGACCGTCCCTGCGGAGCCACAAGTCGCAGCGCCTCACCATGACAAGCGATACGCCTGCGCCTGTCCAAGCTGCCCAGTCCAACAAAGGCAGCCCGGGTCGCGACAACTCTCCCGAGGCTCCCTCCCAACCTGTGGTTGACGAGTTCACAATGCACCTCGGCATCGGATGGGCACAGCTCAGCACGGACGAGCACATCCAAGCAGCCGCTCGTGGCTGGCAGCGGTATATCGAGAACCACTTCCCCGTCACCGACGCCAAAATCCGACTGCAGAGCAAGGGACTCAACGCATATCTTGTTGAGGGGCGGGAAGGCTTTTTCCTCTTCGCCGATAACCTGCGCGAGGGTCGTCTCGTCAGCCGCAATGCCTACTGCGCTCTCCAAAACCTCAAAACATCGCCGCCCGTCTTCGACGGCCAGAGTATGGCTGCTGCTACGTCCCCCCGCGCTTCTGCCGTGGACGCCACCCCCCTCGCATCGACAACCACCGTTCCCGACATGGACGTGGACATGAGCTGAATGACTGCATTACTGAAATTGGTGTTGAAGAGAGAAAGCTTTTTTTCGATCTGTGTTCTGGTTGTGACCTTGCAAGGCCTGGGTTGCGCCATTGACGGCGCTGGCGTAGTGATATATTTTCGGGATTTTTGAGGTGATTTAACCTCCACGCGACATCCGGGGCCATAAAAGGTAATTGGCGATCTAAAGGGGCGTTTCTGCAACGGAAATCATTTTTCCCCTTTTCTTTTTGCTATTCCTAGCCATGTACTATTAGCTGCACATACACACAAAGGACTTTATCTACGACGCCCAAATGAAAAAAAAAACTAAGAGCGCACTCTCGCAAGCGCGGACCTAGAAGTATGTCAAACTCGTTTCATGATTCTCAAGTGCGTGCATCATGTGTAGATTTCTAGAAGATGAAGGGTCTGCGTCTGCCCAAATGAGTGGATAAGTGTGGAGAATAGCCGTGGGAAGTTCAAGCAAATCAAAGAGGCCATCGAGAACCAGCACCACTTGTCTAGCATAAATAGTCGTAGTGTCAAGTCGGGGAGAAGGGGGGGGACGGAGTCGTGGGGCCTCGTGGGGATTGCTGGGCTGGTTTTCAACCTGGCCAGTCCGGGCCCGTTGATAGGCTGAAAGTGTTTCTGCCGCGGGAGCGATGAGAGGTATGCCCTGGACGGGGACCCTCAGCGGCGAAGGTTGCATGCAAACAAAAAAAATATGCATACAAATTTGCGTTTTCTTGCACCACACACCCCCCTGCTTACAAAACAGGGCCGATGTCTGTGTGTGTGTGCATGGGATGTCCATCCAGTCCGTCCCAATAGTAGGGAATTGTCTGGACCGCAATGCACGAGCCGAAGCTGCAGGAGGGAGGGTCCTCGGTCCCTTCAGAGGGGAAGGGAGAGAGGCGGATGATACGCGATGAGAGGACACGAGAAAGGGGGGGGGGGGGAAAGAAAAGATATCCATCGTTCTAATGCGGAATCAGGAGGTGAGGGAGGAGGACAGGACTTGGATGAATACGGCGCGTAGTAGATGATGATATTCAAGGATTGCTTGAGTCTTGGATGATTGTTTCTTTTCTTTTTCTTTTGGTACTTACTCCTCGTTGCCCCCATCTCTCTCTTTCTCTTCGCCCTTGCATCTCCATCTCTCTCATCCTCTCTCTCTCTCTCTTTCTTTCTGTTTCCCTCTCTTTTCTTGTTTTCCTATTTCTGAAAATATTCTCTTAATTATTTTCTCTTCCCTTACCTGCTTGATTTTGTTTTCCCCATGAATGGACTCGCAGATCCTACTCACATTTCCATTCTCATTCCCCAAAGATATATCCCCGATAAAAGCCGTCGAACTCCCATTCGAGATTGTCAGCCGCCCCTGGAGAGCTTGGTGGCAAAACAAAGGGCACTGCCCTCGCCCTCGCCCTCGCCCGCTCCCCTGTGAGCCCATCCACTCAGCATCGACCAGACGCAGGTATTCGTGGTTCGACTGGCACCCTCGACCTTTCCCCTCCTCCTCCATCCTCTCATCATCCCAAACGAGCTTGCGGTGATCGTCCCCAATACATCCGTGAATTGTGTGGGCTGTGTAAGTAGTCTTCCCGGCAGGGTTAGTCAATAATACCATTATTTCCTTCGTGTTCTTGTTTGTTCGTGTGTTATTCGAATCGACCTGCTTTTTCTTTTCTTCTTCTTCTTTCTTTCTTCTGTTTTCCTATTCTCGATACTGGTTTTTGTTTTGGTTGCAATACATGTTTTCCACTTGCGCCCAGGACCAAAAAAAGAAGAAAGAAGAGAAGAAGAATATGGCAGAGATCTTGCCATACATTATCATCTCCTTCCCTCTCTGACCCTCTCTGTCTTGTCTCTCAACTCCCAATTTCATTTTTTTTATTTATTCCTATGATCGCATCCCCTACTCCTACTTTAGTTGGGTGGATCTTGAATCCCGAATTTTTTGTCTTGGGTCTGATGTCGTCTGATCTTTTTCTGCTCGTTCTAACCCGTCTCCCCCTCTCTTGTTTCTCTGCAGGCAGATTGCTAGTACTTTCTCGGTTGCGACTTTCTGCGGGCGGGTTCCCCAGCCACACGAGATAATCGACGTCAATCTTGGACCGAGCCGAAACGATCAACTCAACACGTTACAACCTCACAAATTACTCACCTTCCTCCCTCACTCAACCTAGACCTGCCTATCTACTTGGATCCAAAGCCAAATTCGAGTCCGAGTCGTTCTCAGAGCCGCATTTTACCAAGACTATACGGCCAACCAAACACAAACCTGGTCACCCCAGGCCATTTAAGCCTGTTTTCAGCAGGCCGTTAAAAAAAAAAAAAAGTGGTTCGAAGCCCACAATCGAACGTCGAGCCCAGCAGCAGCAGCAGCAGCAGCAGCAGCAGCAGCAGCAACCATGGTCTCCCAGCCTGACCACTCGTCGCTCTCGGGCTCGGGCGCCTCCTCCGGCTCGACGACCCTCCTCAACCTCCGCAGCGCCGCCAAATCCGTCGTCGGCACGGCCTCTACCACGGGCCGCCACCGTCTCTCGTCCCGGCGCGAGCACCACGACCGCCGCCACTACAACCGCTCCTACGCTGGCGGCCCCAGCGCCTATGTCCCACAAAACGAGTTCCCCTGGTTTAGCCACTCGGGCGACGTCGAGATCATCGTCAAGGTCCCCAGCGGCCATGAGAACCGCTACCTGCTGCACCGCCACACCCTGACCCGGTGCAGCGGCTTCTTCGAGGCCAGCACCAGCGAGGTCTGGAGCCGCGCCAAGGAGCTGCCTGCTCCTGCTGCTGTCGTTTCCTCGCCCTCGGCCTCGACGACGGGGAGCGAGCTGGCGAGGATAGGCGAGGACGGCCTTGCCGGGTCGACCAACAACACAGGCGGCGCGCTCACCAGGGTGGGTGGCCCGCCGAGGAAAAGGTGGCGGTACGAGCTGGACTGTGGCGCTGGCGGGGACGACATACCGATGCTGGTGCAGAAGGAGGAGAGCGGTGGCGGAGACCGTACCTTGGCGGCGGCCAGCTCCTTGACGAGCCCAACATCCATCTTCGGCTCGGCCACGGGCAGCAGCGTCTCCTCCAACGGTGGAGGCAGGAAACAACACGGCCACTCGCACTCGTCATCGCGCGACTACTTCCGCTCTGTGGCCAACCTATCTCTCACCTCGCCCACCGGCGGCCAGGCAGGGTACAGCTACCCGCCGCTGCCGCCCACCACAACGGCCGCCGACCTACCCCCACCAACGCAGGACGAGCAGGACATCCTGCGCGACTACGACAACCTCTTCCGCATCATGTACAACCACCCACCTGTCCTGGACGGGATCAACATCGCCGACGCCTACGTGCAGTGCAAGTCCCTCCTGACCCTGGCCGACCAGTACGACGCCCTGACCGTCGTGGGGCCTCGTGTCGACCACCACCTGCTGCAGTTCCAGAGCCGCCTGTGGAAGCAGATCGCAAAGTATCCCATCAGCTACCTGCGCCTGGGCTACCTCGCCCGCAGCCGCATCATCTTCCAGGAGGCCCTGATCCACGTCGTCGGCCAGTGGCCCGCCGGTGAGCGGAGCCTGCGCAACACCATGCCCGAGGCCGTCATCGACATCATCGAGGACAAGGTCGATGAGCTCGAGGAGACGGTCGCCCGCGTCGAGGGTCGACTGTTCCGCCTGAACCTCACCACCCGCTCCGGCGAGCGCGTCACCCCTGCTACTGGCTACCTCGACTGGCTTGCCGTCAGCCTGTTCCGACAGTGGCTGGCCGACAACACCACGCCTGCGCCCGCCCCACCCCAACCCGGCTCAAGAGGAGGTGGAGGAGGAGGAGGTGGTGGTGGTGGTGGAGGAGGAGGCGGAGGCGGAGGCGGAGGTGGCCATAATTCGGCCAACACGGGCCGACACAGGACAAACACGGCCAACTCCACAGCACTTGTGCCCACCTCCTCCAACACCAACACGGGAATCTCCCCCATCCCCGTCATCCCGCCACTATCGTCACTGGGCAGGACCTACAGGACACTAGGCCATCCCACAGGCGCCGGGTTCCTGAGCCACGACGAGTGCAAGCGGTTCCTCAAGCTGACGCCCGACATGTACAGCCGCGACAACCTGCGGCGGTTCGAGAAGAGGGTCGACGAGCTGAAGGCGCTCGCGCGCGAGGTCGTCAGGCCGCTCATGGGGACGGGGCTCGAGCTGGACCTGACGGGCGGGAGCCGGGCGGCGGAGGCGATTGGGTATTTGACGTGCACGCGCGTGGGAGATCGGGATCTGCCATGGGATTGAAATATGTATGGGGGAGACAAAAAGGAAGACAAAGGCGGGTGGTGGTGATGGTGGTGATGATGATGATGATGATGAATAGGAGGTTTTTGTGTGTTTTGTTTGGAAAAAGAGCGGTTTATAATGATGATGACTACGAAAGTAAAGGATACCGATGATGATATTTCTGCATATGGGCGAGGATGAGAGGAAGAGAGAGGGCAAGAGAGAAAGAAGGAAAGTGGAGGAGGAAAGGGGAGGGATGAGGGGGCATTTGGATGGAAAGGGATGGGACAAGAGATCGGCATCGCTGGTGCAGATGAGCATCTTGGACTTGTCCTTTTCCTTTCTTCGACGAGGCTTTTTTCCTTCTCGTCTGATTCTCCTGCTATTCCCCCCCCCCCCCCCCCAACATCCTCCTCTTCTTTTTCGTGGCCTTTTCTCTTCTTGCTGCTATTCACGATTATACCATGCGAGGCACACGAACCTACTGTCTGCTGTTTTGACGACTTACCTTTTTTTTTTTTTCTTCATTTCGACGTATTATACCTAGGATACCCGTCAGGAATTTGATGTGTTTTATAACCTCTGCAGAAGTTGTGGTGTAGGTGTGCCTGATACATTTTTTCGAAAGCGAAACAAAAGATTGGTGGTGTTCTGCCGCCACCATCGGTCATGTCACACGCAAGAGACATTCATTGTCTTCTCCTAGAGTAAAGAAGAAGACAGAAATAGATATGGGGTATTTCTATTTATCTACAATGCTGTGCTGTGTTATACTGTGCTGACTAGAGTATGCCTTCCTGGCTACCCAACCTTGCATGATCAAAAAAAACTCCGAGTGTATATATATATATGTGTGTGACTGTGTATATGTATAATTATATATATGCAAAGTATGCTTATGGTGTCTCACCAACCCTAGCTTATACATACAAGACACCATCCATGGCCCGTCTCTCTCCTTTATCCTCCGACCCGTTCAAACAAACATTTCCAAGATTTTCACTGCCACGTGTTGGAGATGGTCGTTGCGGTGCACGCAAGGGTGACGGTGTGGTTAGGGTCGGCCTCCCATGTCACGGACCCGTCGGTGCCCACGTTGATGAACTTGTACTCGATGACCTGGTCGGAGGCGAGGTCGATGGTGACGGACCACAGCGGGTCGCTCGAGGTGTACGCGTCGGCGTTGAGGGCGACGGCGTCGCTCGTGTCCCAGGTGCCGAGGGCGGCGATGTCGCCCGAGATCTTGATGGTCTCGCCGTAGGTGGTGGTGACCACCTCGTTGAAGGTCACGGCGATGGTGGAGGGGCAGGACGTTCCTGTTGTCGTTGCGGTCCCCGTGGCGGCGGTGGTCGAGGACGAGGTCACGGGCACGGCGGTGGCGGTGGTGGTGTAGCCCGACTGGGGTGTCTGGGAGGCCGGGAAGGAGGTGGCGGTGGCGGACGAGTAGGACCCGACCACGGAGGTGGCGGCGCAGGTGCCCGGGACGGCGTTGCCGTTGCCGACCCAGGAGGGAGGGCTGATGCCGGCGCGGCGGCTGGCGGCCGAGAGGAAGGCGGCGTAGGACCAGGTCAGGTCGTAGGCGGACAGCGGCTCGCCGGTGGCCTTGTCGAACTGTTCCGAGAGGGAGCCGTTGGGGGCGGCGTAGGTGGCGACGATGTTGAAGTAGCCGTCGGCGTAGGCCTGGACGGCGTCGTACAGGGTGGTGTAGGTGCTCGAGCTGTCCTCGTAGGTGCCGGCGGTGATGGAGGAGTCCAGGTCCTTGAAGAAGGCCAGCGAGGTCGACGTGACCTGGATGTAGCCCTGGTTCTTCCACACGATCAACGAGTCGTACAGCAGCTCCGCCGCGGCGAGAGTGCACAGGTACCACGGGTTTCCGTTCTGGTAGACGTCCTCGGGGTACCGGCCTACAGAAACGGCAGTGCCCTCTGCGATGCCCGAGTTGATGCTGTACACGGTGCGGAACGAGTCTGTGACGACCTTGTGGTTGGCCAGGGCCTTGTCGCTGCAGGGCTGGAAGGTGGCCTCGTCACAGCCCGCGGCCGGGTCAAACGTGGAGATGGACGCGAGCAGGGTGTTGGCGTCCTTGCCGGTGCGTCCATCGTTGACGTTGATGTTGGCGAGGATGTAGCCGCTCGACGACGACCAGAAGCTCTGGAGGAAGCAGAGGACCTGAGGGGCAACGTTGGTGTAGGCAGTGGACGACTTGCCCAGGTACGAGGCAAGCGTGGCACCCTCGACGAGCGAACGATGTTGGTTCGCAAGGGTGAAAAAGGAGCTGCCGTCGATTTCCTCCCAGAGGTCGTATCCAGTTTGGTTCCTTTTGTTGTTTTCCTTAGTATAGGTTTGCAGCCGGAAGATAAAAAAAAAAAAAAAAACAAATACTTTGCAGCGTGACTCACCAGTACTCAGAGACATAGTTCAGGTCATTCTCAATAATAGGCCACAGGATGCTGGTCACTGTGGACTCGTAACCATTGTCGATCAGCCAGTTGGAGTAGCTGATCAGAGCGATGGACCGAAGAGCAGGACCGTCTCTCTGGGGTCTCCCTGGAAGAAGAAGAAGAAGAGGAGGAAGATGTTAGCTACAAAGCACAGCAGCAACAAGACATCCTTGAGCAAAAGAGAAAGGTCCAAACGCACCCCAAGAGCCTGTAAAGGCAGTAAGATCAACATTGAACTTGGGCTCGCCCAGGCCAAGACCACCATCCGTGAGGTCACCCGAGGGGTTCGACACGCCCTGAAGCTGGGCCTGCGCACCAGTGTAGTTCTCGATCTCGGTCTGCAGGGTGGTGTTGTAGTCATCCGAGAAGAGGTCGATGATCTCCTTGAAGGTCAGTGCCGAATCTCTGGTCCACGTGTAAAAATAGTCCGGGTTGGTCTTGTCAGGGCTGGCAATGACGACACCCGAGTCCACGCCCGCCGCGTAGCATCCCGTGGAGCCGATGTTGCAGAGTATACGGCTCACAGCGATCGGGCTCTCGGTGGCGATGAAGGTGTCAACCGAGCGCTTGGCGATGTCACCATGGACCCGGCTGGCATCTGGACGGCCGAGGACCGACTGGAAGGCGTAGGCGCCCAGAAAGAAGAGAGAAGAGAGACCAGACATGATGGGCTGATCGGAGGCTGCTGGGGCACCTTGCACAGGAGGGACTGAAGCAGGGATAGTGCTCAGGTTGGTTGGTAGTGCTGGCGGTGCCGATGAAGACATGACGATGGACCTTGGGGAGGAGCGGGCGTGATGATTTATCTATCCCTGGTGCTGGTCCTGACTCTGGCGCCCCCCCAGTCCAAGCACAGGTGAATGAGTCGCTCGTGATCAGGCTCCTGTAGGTGTATTTTTACGTTTGTGTTCCCCCACGATGCAGGTGTGCACCCAAAAATCTAGAAGCGCCGATATGAAGCCGGAATGGTACCTTAGATCTCCCGAAGCAGGTGAGGACACACGCAGGAAAAGCAGGGTTTCCAGCAGAGGTACCTGCGTCCGAGAGAGAGGGAAAAAGAAAAAGAAAGACATCATCCATGCATTGTTTCCCACCCCCTCTTCTCCCATGACCAGTGATCGTCGTGAGTGGGGACGAATCAAATCCTAGACTGAAGCGGGAAGGAGAGAGACGTGACAGCCAGTTGGTCAGGTAAAGTTTTAAGGTAAAGTTAGCAGCATGTGATCCAAGCTCCATTCTTCCCCCCAGCTTTGTTCGGCCGTTTTGTGGGGTTGTCCCGGGGGTGAGAGAGGAGGCGGTAGCACAGAATGTTGGACAGCCAAGCCGAAAACCCCACCCTCTCAACCACATGAAAAAAAATTGAAAGGAAAAAAAAGAAGAAAAAAAAAAAGGGCGAGTGAGGAGAAGAGAAGAAGAAGAAAAGAACAAAATCCAAGAGAAATAAACCACAACCTCGAACAGCCCGACTGTGTAAGTGTGTTGTCCCATGTGCGATGATGGAGGGGCGAGGGAAGGTGAACGGAATGTACAATGACGGCGGCGAAGACATGTGATGTGGCCCAGACGTGGAGACAGCTTGGGTATACAGAACGTGCTCTCGAGGTCAGACACACTTGCGCTGCGGCCCGTGGCAACGCAACCCTCCCTCCCCCGTCCTCTGGTCACGGCCCTGCGGTATACTTGTCCCGCTGCTGAAATCGGCCCTTCATCACACACTCCTGTACGTCAAGATGCAGTAGCAGGAGCAGTAGCAGTGCCTGGTACTGGAGAGCTGCGCCTAGATTCGAAAAAGAGAGCTCCGAAGACGCAGTAGTGCTTGTAGAGGGTCCCGTGACAAGAAACAAAAAACCACCACCGCCCCTACCCCCCTCCTGGAGAGATCGTGGGGAAGATTATCTGGGAAAGAACCGAGACCACAATCTCCGGTCGACAGCAAGGTAATACCTGGCCTGTCAAACCCAGGTCGGCTTACCCAATGGCGGACACACATCGGACCCGGCTACATGTCGGTCAATCTTTGGGATAGAGAAAAAGGACTAGTTCCCGGGAGGAGCCGTGGTATTCAGGTTCGTCAATAGCTTCCTTTCGAGGACGCCACACAGGTGGGAGACGCGGGAGGACGGAGTCCAGTCTGTATGTTCGTCTGTCTGTCTGTCTGTCTATGCACATGCGTGCACGCCCTGGACGAGCATCCACTCCTCCCCCCTTGGCTTGCGCCACAAAATTATGCTTGACTTGCTGGACAGCAGGACAACAACGTTCGGTAATCACGGGAGATGTTGCCCAGAAAAAAAAGGCTGTTCCGAAATGAGAATCTGCACGTCGTAGGCCACGAAGAAGGGCCGAGTCGACGCCGTGATAGCATCACACTGGAACAAGAAGGGGAAATAGCTCCAGGTTGCGCAGCACGTTTCTAGACAGGTGCGTGCTCAAGACCGAGTATCTTGTTTCTGGTGCATGAATGGAGGAGGTGCTCTTGTCCTGGACGAGGGGAGGTTGTCGCCAAGTCCGAAGACTGCATGCTTCGCCTCATATGGATCGACCCGAGGTCATGATGATGGTGATGATGGCATGATCAGCGCATGACATCGTTATGCTTCTATTCTCTAGAGCCTCGCCTCCCAGCAGTTTGTATACAATCAACAGGATCTACCTTGAGAGCGTGTGATATCTGTTGGCATATGATTTGTAGCAAAGGTCATGATTCACCCCGGCCTCATCGGTCAGCAATCTCGACGAACTTTCTAACTGAATTGTCGCAGTAATCAACTTCAAATTCACTGAAGCAGACAGGGGACCGCTAGGCATAGATCGGAGATCATGGTTGAAAGAGAAGAAGAGGAAGAGGAAGTAGAGAGAGAGAGAGAGAGAGAGAGAGAGAGAGAGAGAGAGAGAGAGAGAGAGAGAGAGAGAGAGAGAGAGAAAGGAGAGTGAGCATCTCGTGAGAGGAATGAAGAGCAGGAAAAAGGCAAGAAAAGATAATCAATAGCAGATGCGCACTGCTTTACTACGGAGCCACTTCCAAATAATGAATATAATATCGCTGACAGTACTATTATATATACAATAGTATGTATTACGTAATCAATATGATCAAAGTCCACTTCACCCTAACCAATCCTCGGCGGCACGTTCCCAAACTTCGCGTCCATCGGCAAGCGCATCTTTCGTCACAATCACGACCTCGACTGTCATCGTCACCACCATCACCGCCACTACTCTCCTCCCCTCTTTTCCATCATCTTCTTTTTCAGCGCTCAGAGAGAGAAGCCTACCTATCAAGATGGATGCGAATACAATCGAGGAGCTGAACAAGGTGCGCAAGGCCATGGGCCTGAAGCCCTTGCCCGTACCAAATGCCACCCCATCGGTGCCATCCAAAGACGCACCCAAAGTCGACGACGAGGAGCCCGCAAGTACCATCGAGACGCGTGAGGCTGCAGCCGGCGACAACTACCGGAGGGTCCTCGAAGCGGAAAAGACAAAAAGGGAGCGGGAGGCACGCCTTGCCGCCATCAAGAAGGAGCGCGAGAAGGCACAGCGCTTTGCGACGCTGAAGGGGCAGGGGCTCGGCGATCTGGATGACGAGGGTGATGGCGACGCCAAAGCGTGGCTCAAGAGCATGAAGAAGAAGCAGAAGAAGATTGCCGAGGCGAGGAGGCAGGATGAGGAGGCTGAAGCCGCTGCGAAGGCTGCTGCCCTGGCTGCCGAGTACTCTTCCAAAGACCTGGCCGGCGTCAAGGTGGGGCACGACATGACGACCTTCCTCGACGGCGACGACCAGATCCTCACGCTGAAAGACAACACCGTACTGGATAACGAGGACGAAGGGGACGAGCTCGAGAACCTGAACCTGCGGGAGCAAGAAAAGCTCAACGAGAAGCTAGACCTCAAGAAGAAGCGGCCCGTCTATGACCCCAACGACATCGATGAGACGGGTGAGCGCAGCATTCTGGCCCAGTACGATGAAGAGATCAGCGGCAAGAAGAAAAAGGCATTCACTCTGGACACGTCTGGCACAATCGGGGATCTCGCCGATATATTAGAGGGCCCTGCTGCCGGGAGGGGAGAAAAGAAGACGATTCAGAACTTGGATGTTGACATCATGAAGGATGCGCCCGTCTCAGACTACCTCGATGTCTCGGAGATCAAGGTCAAGAAGCCGAAGAAGAAGAAGAAGGCAAAGTCCACTCGCCAGCGGGATGACGAGGATGCCATGTTCTCAGCAGACCAGACGGCAACCGGTGATGACGTGATGGACATTGACTTGCCCAGAGCCAAAAAGCGGAAAGTCACAGACGACGCATTCGTGGATGACGATGATCTACAGAACTCCCTGGCTTTACAGAGGAGGCAGGCGCTCAAGAAGCAGAAGCGGATGCGGCCACAAGACATCGCAAAGCAACTCAAAGCAGAAGCAGAGCAGGACGCCGAAGACACCGACCAAGATGGCGAGCAGGGGGGACTTGTCGTGGACGAGACGACCGAATTCCTGAGCGCCATCAACAAGCCTGAGCTGGATGAGGATGTGCGGCCGCGGAAGAAGTCGAAATCGAGGGAACCGGTCACGGCAATGGACGATGAGTTGTCGGATGAGGAGATGGAGAACGCACCACATATCAAGAGGGAATCTGCCGAGAGAGACCTGTCTGAGGCCCCAGAGGATCTCACAACAACCGGTGTGGAGGAAGAAAAATATGTCGCGCAGGGCCTGGGAGCGACGCTTGCGCTACTCAAAGAACGCAACATCATCGATGCCACTACCGAAGGTGCTCAGAAGAATGAGCATTTTCGGCAGAGGGAGCTCTTCCTCGCCGAGCAGGCACGACTCATTGCCCAGGTCGACGAAGACGCCAAGAGGCAGCGCGAGCGGGATCGTACCAGCGGATTTTTGGACAGGCTCAGCGCGCGCGACCGGGAGGAATATGCACGCAAGCAGAACGCAGACCGCGAGTTCAAGCTGTCGAGCATCCGGGCTAACCTCCTCAAGAAATATAAGTTCAACGTGGAGCTCAAATATGTGGACGACATGGGTCGCCACCTCAACCAGAAGGAGGCTTTCAAGGAGCTTTCGCATCAGTTCCACGGCAAGACGAGCGGCAAGGGCAAGACTGACAAGAAGCTGTCCAAGGTCGAGCAGGAAAAGCGCCGCATGGCCACCAGCATCTTTGACGCCAGCCAGGAGGCAGGCATGTCGAACGCCACAGCGCAGCAGACCAAGAAGCGGAAGGAGGCCGGCGTCAGGTTGGCTTAAAGGCTGGCTGGAAGATGTGGGAAAAAAGAGATTAAATAATGGAAAAAGGAGGATACATCGAATTGTTGGCTGTACGATAGACTTGTGTTGGGGGAAGAAAGAGAGAGAAAGAAAGAAAAATCAAAAAGGTGGTTCTACCCTGCTTCGTGCAACTTTCCCGTCCAACCGAGATACTTGTGCTGACACGATGAGAGAGTCTAGCTCTAGCTGGGCAGGTGAGGAAATTCCCCATGTGGTGTGAAATGCTAACTTTTTCTACTGCAATTTTTTTTTAGCCTTGGTGCGTGTGCCTCTCTCTCTTTCCCTCTCTTCATCGAGGATGGTTTCCTATTCAAATCACTGGGCATCTTCTTTGCTCTCGTTGCCTTTCAGTAGCGCAAGTGTGCTTGCTGTCATGGTGAAAATGGCAGCCTTCGGTATCAAGTGATACATGTAGATACTTGGGCTGCTTCTCTTGTCTTTTACCGTGCTCAAGTCCTCCTGGATCTCGTAAATCTGACCGAAACACGCCGTCGCCTTCATCGCGAAATGTTTGGGCTCAGAATATAAGTCTCTATGTATCTTGGAATTTTCTCCTATGCTAAAGAGACCTAAAAAGCGCGTTTCTTACTATAGGTCACTTTCAACTGAAAGGCCTTCTCTCTCACGACGCTGGAGTTCGAAGTTTCCCATTCCTTCAGGCGCTCGGCCACGCCATCCTTGATGCCTTTCTCGTCTCGGCAACCGTCAAAGATTTTCGTTGCTACCTCTACCTTGATCAAATCTAGCCCCTGCTTTGCCTGTTGCAAGACGCTGCCGCCATCCTCGGCCTTTTCTCTCACCGAGAGCTTGCCAAGCTCGTAGGCGACCTTGTACCTCTCTTCTTGGTTCCCAAACAAGCCCAGCACGGTACAGACATCACCGGCCATGTCGAAGCAGCGGAAGATCTGGCCTTCTTCCTCCTGCAGTTGAGCCAGGAGGAGATCCTCGAGCTGGCCAACAAAAGATCGGTAGCTCTCATCCGCGCCGTCCGCAGCCGGGAAAGAGAGAAGCCAAAGCTGCTGTCTGAATGTCGACGGGAGGATGTGGTTTTGCTCCTGGGCCTTCCTCGTCTTCACCTGCTGGATGATGTGCTGCACAACGACTCCTTCCTTCTCTCGCCATTGAGCATGGTTTCCGGGGTTCGAAATGATGTTTGACTTCGGGCCAAGAGCCGCCATGAACTGTCCCCAGATGCCAGCGTAATCTTGATAGTCATCCAGATACAGTGTCGCATGCTGGCATATACCGTCCAAAAGCGGCTTGTAATCCACGCGCAGACGGGCATCCCATTTGGTGTTCAGGATCTGTAGCAGAGTCGCCGTGTCGAAGTCTTCGAAACGACGACGAGGGGGGTCGTAGACAGAGATCCATTGCATGGCCTCGAGGCTCATCCGCCCCTGCTCTGCTATCTCTGCTTGCAGCGCCGAGTTGAACTGCTTCACCTGAGGCTTAGGAGCAATATGGTTTAGGGCGTAATCACTGAAGTCCTGCAGCAGAGAATCCCAGACGAGCGGATAGTGAGAAAGAAGAACAATGTTGCAGGCGAACGGCACCAGTGGAGCAGGTGGGATGTCTCTTGATGAGAAAGGGGCTTTGCGCTTGGCAAGGAAGAGGTCAACCCATTGCCTATGCTGGCTCTGCGATTTGCGGATCGTGGGAAGAATGATGCGTTCGACGAATGCAGACTGGATGACCTTCAGCCCAGGGTATCGCCGGCCATCTAGAGCCGTCAACAAAGCCTCCATGAGAACCGGGAGGGCCCTTCGAGGCCACTCGAAGTCGGCAATCAGAGGCCAGCCAATCGCTCCCGTTGTTTCAGCCTCAGTCCAGTCTTCGGGTCTCGGCGGCCGTCGTTCGTTAATGCTTCCCGCCACGGGCACAATCTTCTCCAGAGCACACAGGATGTCGTTGATGGTCTCGTTGTCCGCCCAGTCGTCCTGCGCCTCGACACACAAGCTCTCGAGCAGGGCGAGAAGGCTGTGGAGCGCGGCGAGGCGGACATCTCTGTGCTGTGCGATCGTGAGCAGCTCGACCAAGATCTCGACGGCCGACTCGCGTGAGATGAACTCGGCATTGTCGAGCAGCTGGGCGAGATATTTCACGGTCGTGACCTTCACGATGGACTGCGGCGGCGCGTGTTCTGGCTGCGCAGCCTCGCCGACCTTGACGTATGCTTGTTCCTCCAGCTTCTCGCCGATGGCCTTGGCGAGGTTCAGGAGGACGGCGTGCGCCTCTCTCGCCTTGAGCTTCTTGAGGAAGGGGATGGAGAGGAGCTTTCGGTGCCATGCACTGGCATCTGGGCGGTCCATGATGGTCTGCACGAGGAGCCGCGACGCGAGCGCGGGCGTGTCGCTTCTAGCCAGCATCACCACGGCTTCGTACGACATCTTCTCCAGGATCTCTTCCTTACGCGTGCGGTCTTGGATCATTTCGTGTTCTGCACCAAGCTCAAGGAGGTCGCCTGTTGCCGCTGCGAGCAAGGCGGGGCCTGACGCCTTGAGCAGATCCATGATCGGTTCTGTTACTTGGTCGAGCAATTCGTGGTCCAGCCACCGAATAGCAGACAGAACCTCCTTCCATACCATCGAATGGATATCGCTCTGTTGGACCTTTAGTTTCTCCTGCATATATGCCATGCGCGAAACTCGCGACTTGTACGATAATCGAAACAGCGCCTTGACAGGCCCGCAGTCAGACTCTTGAAAGGACGGTGATCTCTTGGCCTTGCGGCACGTTTCATACAATGCCTTCAGAATACCATCAGCCTTGCTTATACGGTCTCTGACTGAGCTCAAAGTCAAAGGAGCCGTCAGCCTTGAAGAGGCAAGGTCAAACACCTCAGGATCCGGTATGGCGGAGAGCAGCTGAACTACTTCGTCCGTGAGCACGTACTGACGGCCAATGAGCCTCTGAGCAGGTATTGTGTCGTGCACGAAGCGCTGCTGCCAGTGGACAGTGTCGCCATAGGTGTCCAGATCACCAATGGCTATCGCATAAGCGGCAGCAGCCTCTGCAAACATGGCCCTTTCTGACGGATCCCTGGACACCGCCGCTCGTCTTCGCAGGTCATTGACAGCGAGTTTCGCATTTTGCTGCACATCGGGGTCGTGGCGTTGGAGGATTGTCAATAGCAGGTCCACATTGAAGTTGTGCTGCAAGCCCACCTGCTTGATGCGAAGTATGGAGGTTCCGGACGGGGGTGTAAGGAAGTCGAAGTCCGGATTGGCCTTGGAGAGCTTCTTCAACATCACTATGCTCTTCGCGGCCTCGACATGACCAAAGACCTCGCGCGGCCACGACTGCTTAGCAAGCGGCGCAAAACTCTCGTCCGTAAAGATATCCACACCTTTTTTGGGGACATGGAGACAGTACAGGTGAAGGAGACGGGGTCTCAGCCCCTCAGAAACGTCCCGTGACGCACCGAGATAGGCACGAGGGACGTTGTTTTGAGATCCAGCTAGTCCGAGCTGCATGCTGAGCACCACGAGATCTTCGTACAAGTCGGGCCGCTTCTTCCATCCGCGCAGGGCCATGGCCCACAGCTGGTCCGCCCCGTTCCTGGACACCTTGTGGTTCTTGGCCAGGATTTCCAGGCCGAGTTTGACAAGCGCGTGGATCTCGAGGCGCAGCTTGTCATCTCTGTTCCTCTTCTTGCCCAGACGGTGCACGATAGGAAGGAGGATGTCCAGCTCGTCAATGCGTCCCCATCGCTTGTTGGTGATCTTCCCCTCGAGCCGCCCGCGCAGGGCTTCGATGGCGAATTCCTTGTCGATTTGAAGGAACGTTCTGTGCACCATATCATCCTCCTGGCGCGTAGCATCACCAAAGAGATGCGTGTGTGCACGGCGCCTGAACAAGGCCCCGTGGCGCCGTATCAGCTTCGGCATGTTGCGCCACCTGAAGAGCGGGTTGGACGGGTCGCGGGCGTCGACCACCTCCTCGACAAACTGAGGAGAGCATGCCGGCAGCATCTTGGCGTACAGCTGCTGCAGGGGCCGTCTGTCGCTACTTCGCACGTCCGGGGGGCAGGTGTAGACGCCAGGCAGGAGAGCCCGCAGGAGATCCTCGACGGCCTTCTCGCGGTCGCTGGACTTCAGACCGCGGCGGGTGTTGCTGATTGTCTTGCACAGTGCCTTGACCTCTGCGACAGAGCTCTGGGAGAAGATCTGGACGATGGTGTTTGTCTTCTCTAGTACTTTCCATAAGGACTGGTTGTGCTTGCGGGGACGTTTTTTCAGTTCTTTGGTTGCTGCTGCGGACATGAAGGTGTTGGACTCGCATTTCAGGCTCATTATCAGGACGTTGGGATGTTGAGACCACGAGAGAAAGACTCTGTGACAGAAGTTAGTCGTTGTTTTGTGATCAGACCTATCCGCGAAGTGTATAAACAGATCAATTATAGTTTACCTGAAAACGACGGGTTGAATGATTTCTTTCTCGATGGCGTCCATGAGTGCCTCACCAATGACAACGTCATCGTGCCCCCTACCTACACGCAGTTCATTCAGGTATCGAACGATTTCTTTGCCCTCGACAGCACCCTGGATACGGGATGTGTCGAGAGGAATCAAAGTGGCGGCCATGGTAGCGAGCTGCGTACGCCTTGCTCTTCTTTACAAGTAGAGCAGATGGGTGTGAAGCAGCAAAAATCTTAGAATTGCAGGACTGCATATTGTGGAATGGAGGAACTCTTAAATGCAGAAGGAAATACATGGTTCCTCTCAAGCTCGTAGGCAGCGGCGCAGCAGCAAGTTATGAGGAGTCATACCGTGGTTGCCAAGGCCAATGAATATTACGTAATCTCACGATGCACTACTCAAAGTAACCAATGAAAGTGTGGTGGACTTTAGCTAGGAAAAGAGGTCAATATTGGCCTCAAGGCATGAAATTGGCCTCACGACTTGCTACTATGCAAGTTAAAAAAAAATGTGAGGAAATGCTATTAGTGTGGCGCGTTGACTCATCTCTTAGTACTTCATAGGCTTCATCTCTTGTGCTGGAGTCTCTGAATGTGTGTAAAGTACTTAATGTTTAATTAATTACTTGCATCACAGTTGAAAACATGATTTCATCACGATTATAAGTTTAAGTTTCTCAAGATCATTTCCCCAAAAAGCAAATAAGTCTATTTCCTGTCTAACCTGACTCCTGACCCAAATCTAGAGAGCTGCAAAAGATTACTCTTCGCAAGCCCAGTCTCGTAATAAACATCGTCTTTATCCTGTATCTCGTGCCAGCATGAATAATCATAGCATTCGTCGGCTCATTATCCATTGCAAGTCTCCATCTCGATTCCCAGTTCTGACTTAGGTGTGCCGTGCGTAGCTGATTCCCTATCTAGTAGGTACTAAGTAGGTATCCCTCAAAAGTCCAAAGTGAGTCAATGGCTCTCCTGCGAGGCATTGTTCACTGGTAGTAGCAAGAGTTCGCCTAGCACTCGTAGCAGCGGCATGTGGGCTCGCAACCCTCAGCCTCCAGGTCGTAGAAGGGAGTAAGGCCAAAGAAGTTCTCCTCTCCATTCCTCTTGATGACTGGTTCCATGTTCAGCTCAATGAACATGGTAGTGCCGTATTTGATGGTCTCATTCATGCGCTGGACCCTGGCCGTCTTTGTAACAATGCAGCTGGCGCTGTCCGAAGGCGCGAGGGAGGCGTAGTCCGAGTTCTGGTACCACTCGTTGTCAGAGAGGCAAGTACTGCCCTTCTCGGACGGGAGATACATGTCCCGCGTGTTGGTCATGTCCCACAGCCCATCAGTCTCATTGTCAGCAGTGTTGTTGTTGAAGTACTGCTCAACACTGGCGGGGTGGTGGCCAGCAGCAGAGCGGACGAAGGTTGTATGATTCGTGCTCTGGGGCTGAGCGAGGGAGGACGAAAGCAGCTCGTTGCAGACATCTGTGAAGGTGATCTTGGGAAAGACAGCTCGGAGCTCCGTGTGCATCTCCTTCAGGGTCACACCGTCAGCTCGGAGCTTCTCGACCATCTTGCGCAAGGCGTACTTGGCGGCGGAAGTCATCTGCGTGTCGGCCATGATGTGTGTGTAAATTGATTTCAAGCCTGGTGGCGACGAGGATGATGTTGGGGAGCTGCTGTTTGCTGTGAGAGATGTCTGTGTATGAGAGTTGATTTATGTGTCAGATGTGTGGGATGGATTGACTGAGCGGAAAGTCTAGTATATATAGTTTTGCCAGTCCTGGTTGAGGCTGCGGTGTTGAACACTTATTTCAGTGATCAAGTTGACTGTTCATGTCCTTATCCATAATTCAGCCAGAAAAACACCTCAAGTGTCAAAATTCAAAGGCATTATGATAACAGCGGGATAGAAATCTAATGGCTCAACAACAAAGAGTATTAACAGCTCAACTGTAGAAACAATACGCTTTTGAACCATGATACATGGTGTTACATTGACCTTTCATTCTAAATACGAGGAATTTTGATCATGAATTATTACAACAGAGAAGCTTGTTTTGAAAGGGACAAGAAAGTCAGGATGAAAAGTAGAGTTGTTTTTTTATAATGAAGAGAACACTGAGGTTGTACTTGACCTTTTATGCTGGCAAAAGAATCCTCTAGACGGTAACACTGAGATGCATAGCATCTTGTATGGACGTACAATGATTATGGCTTTTCGTGAGCTATGCATAGAATCTGTGAGAATATGAAGAAAATTGGGATAGAAAGGCGTGTCAAACCTTCGCAAATAATATTCTCAAGCATCAAACAACCCCTCTTGGTCCAATAGGGGTTCGAATTGAGAAGTAATATTTGAGACATGGCTTCCTGGCTCCTCGTTATCGGCGACGATGTCTCCGGCTATGATGTGAGCGAGACGAAGAAGAACGATGATGATGGCTCTGTCCACCCGACGAAGAAGAGGAGGAAGCCTGGGCGGAGGAAGAAGAAGAAGAACCGGACCCAGGCGCAAGACTTTGCCGCCACGCGTCGTACTCCTGCTGCAGTCGATAGAACTCTGTCTGCGGTCCAGCATTCCTGGCCTCATCACCCAGCCTCAAAGAGGCACGCGAAGAGCGCCCGCCGCCGTCGTGCTCCCTCTCCCACCTGTCGCGATCATCAATCTTCTCCTCAATAAAACTCTCCCACTTGGCAATGAACTCGAAAAAGTCCTCCCGGAGCCCAGACTCGGCCGTGTTATACGGGCCTTTCATGGTGGCCTTGTGGTAGTTGTCTTCGATCCAGTCCTTGTCGCGCTGCATGGCCATGATGTTGCTGCTGGTGAGGACGAAGCCGTAGCTCTCCTGCCACTCCTGGATGTTGCGCTTGAGGTCGAGAAGCATCACCCGCACCGGGAGGAGCGTCTCGCTGCTGGTCCGCGCATCCGTCTCGCACGCGGGACAGAACCGGCCGAGGCCTCTGCTCGGAGAGGCCACCCATTTCCAGTCTTCCGTGGGCTCAGTGGTCGAGGAAGGCCTTGGGCATGTGGAGTGCCCGCCTGCCCAGCGTTGGGCTTCGCATCTCTCTATGACGATGTGTGCTTCCCATCCACCGGGGAGAACCCACTGCCCATGCCTCTTCCTGTTGTCTGGATGTTTGCAAAGTGGATACGCTGGGTAACTTTTTTTGTTTTGTGTTATGGTCAGTTAATTAGTAAGTGGATATTCCCAATCTTCATTTGCCCTTTTTTTCCCCCCTCGAAAAAAAAAGGTATCACGAGAAATTGCCCACATGGGATTGGGAAATTGGCGTACCGGTAATGACACATGTCGATAAGGAAAGACAATTCGATAGTCAACCTCGAGTAGCAAATATTATTGTTTCGTGAGCTGCACGTCAACTGGTCTGAATGATGGCGCATGTGGCGTCCAGGAATAAGGAAATCTGCAGGGACACGAAAGCCCACAAGATGTCCGTTTTGTCTACAAGTAGAACGCAACATGATGGTTCACTGCAGGAGGACAATCTTGTCTGCCGGTGTGGTACAAAGGCCCAGGTTGCCGCAGGCCTCAAAGTGACTTTACTGGTCACCACATGATTGCGAAGGGGTGATGCAGACCCTGAAAAGGTGACTCGACAGACTACAGTCTTCAAGGGCTAGGAGATGGCTCTCAAACGAAGCTTTTAACGGACAAGAAGACTTTGTGAATGTGAGGCCTCGCTCGAGTGATGTTAGGAAAAGGGGGAAAGGGTTCACAAAACATAGCATGGACCAAGGTGATACAGAAACCTGGATTTGATTGGGATAATTGCTGGTATTAATTTGAGTCGTGGGCTCTATTTATAGGTTAAAATAGTATGCACCTCGTATAACCACACAAGCATTAATTATAGACAAGTCCGTATTGTTATTTGATACGTGCTTCGCGTGAGTCGAGTGAGTAAGCAGGAGCGACTGAAATCGCCAGGAGCTAGGCTTAGCACAGCTAATTCAACTGCGTGCATGAAGATGACTGCAGAGTCAGTGCAGAATCCAGTGGTTGCTGTAATCTGATTCAGTGTTTTCAACTTAGGTTCTGACTTTTACAGACAGACACGAGAGATGATAGTATATGTGTTATAATTGCCACATGACTCGAGGGAATTTTCACTGCTTCAGTCCTTTTGGAAAAGACAATACACGTAATCTCCCAGAATGTTCTCTTTCTCGAGAATTATGTCTCATTTTGTTTCCAAAATACAAGTGGCTCTAGTATTCTCGTATTATCCTTCAACGAATCACCGTGATATGCGTAGTGTAGCGATACAAGTAGATGGAATGCCTCCTTGACAAATGAGATTGCTGCTAGTCATAATCTACAATCTTATCATATATAAGCTAATTCATAGGAAGGCACTCTTTTTAAGTATACAGAACACAAATCAGTATTCTGACTGAAAAGTATGGAAAAGTGACAATGCAAAAGGGAAGAAAGCAAAGCTGGGGCAGGGACAGGGACAGGGACAGGTCCATTATATACTTGTACACATCCAGATCAAGCAGCAATTTTTCTCTCCATCACAACCGCCCTCAACCGACTCACCTTTCTTTTTCTTCTCCTGTCTTTTTGAAAAAAAAAAAAAAAAAAAAAAGAAAGAAAAGCCTTTAGCATAATCACTGGGAATACTTCTACTCACCAAGCACTTACTTGGGCAACAGCGCCCTCCCCCCTTCTCTCAGGCCCACCCCTCCTCCATCTCAACAGCAAGCCTGCCAAACTCCCGACAAAGCGCCTCCATAGCACTACTACCATACCCACCCCCGCGAGGCGCAGGACGCGGCGTCCATTGGCGGACACGCAGGCTCTGCGTCCGCTTGTCCGCCTCTTGGACGGTGGCGGCGTGGTCGGAGAGCTCCCAGCGGTAGCCGCCGGTCAGGGGGTAGGGCTCGACGTGGGGCTGCTGCTTCTCGTGACGGTTGGGGTGGGACGTGTTAATGGTGGACATTTTGAGGTTGCTGTGCTGGGGATAGCTATGTGTCTGTGTTTTCGACCAACCTTGGAAAGAAGAACTCGACTCCTGGAGTGTGAGACACTGGGGGAAAACAAAACAAAAAGAATACTCTCTTCGTGGCCAGGGAAATGGTTTCAGCCAACGCGGCGTCGGGATGGGGAAGATGCAAGACCGCGTCTTGAACAGAAAATTCAGCGTGTCCATGCCGCTTTTTGTATTTGGATATCTTTTTGCTCATCCATTCCCAATCAACCCGTTTGTTCCCTTGAAACAGCTTTACAAAACGGAACAAGTGCGCCTTTTGACTTCCTCCTTGTAACAAAGGCATGGTTCTCCATGCCGTGTTTTTTGAACGCCTCCCCTTTCGGTGTACAATGCATTTCCTTGTTGCCATTGTATTAGCGAGATCCAACCCAATAAGGCAACAACAATGTCCTTTTTCAACAACTCTTGCGTGGGATGACGGGGTCTCTGGGTATACCGCCTGTTTCGGCCCCGATAAATGCTACATCATCCTGCGCATTGTCTTTCCAATCCTCTCCCCTTTCATTCTCCCACCGGCACCTTCCCAGGCCTAGACATCAAGACCTCTCCATAACTCCTAGCCAGCTCCCCATGCCGAGTAGAAACCCACCAAGTAAACAACCCGGCCAAGACAAAAGCCCCGACCCAGACGATGACCAGCTTCTTGGACCGCCGAGGCGGCCGCGCATAGGGACTCCAGAACCTGCCCATCGATATAATTGTGGATGATGATGAAGAGTGGGATGAGTTGAGATCCCTCCTTCTGCCGCCGCTGGCGCTGGCCCTGCTGCTGTCCTTCTTTTTCTTCTTGGGGGTGTAGCTGTTGTCGGGGTGGTGGTATACAGGACCTGGTAGGATGCCGTTGTCGTTGCTGCTGCCTGGGGTTGTTCTTGTGCGCGTGTCTCTTATCAGGGAGAGGGGCAGCTTGGTGAGTTGTTGTGAGGGCATGAGCCTTTTGTCTTTCGGTGTGCCTCTGTGTGTGTATGTGTAGTTGTCGTATGGTTTGTGTCTGTCTGGCTTGTGGTTCTGGGCCGGGATCGTGTAATCTCGATCTCTCTCACTTTCTCGTCTCGTCGGTAAGGAGTGGATCTGGGTTCGATATGGAAGGAATCGGCTTGCAATTAATTGAGGTTATGCTTTTTGGTCGTGATAATGGCTCTCTTTCGGATGGGGATCGGGTCGGGTTGGTAGTGTGGGAGGGAGAGTGTGTGATATTTTGGTTGCTTGTTGGGAAGTTCAGCCTGGGAAAATCTGGGGAAGGGATGGATTGTACAGTGCTATGGTATATGACGACGGCCCCTGTAGGTGGGTCTGACTGTCTATTCTTGGGGTACCATGGTAGGGCCCCACGGCCCATCCCTAGGGCCTCATTCCGTTGGTTCAGTGGTTTCATAGGGGATGCCAGTAGTCTTGTGAGCAAGTCTCAACAGCAGTTTCAATTCTCAGATACAGTACAGTAATATACACCTAAGAAATTTTACTTTATAGTTTACTTCTAGTAAAGAATGGAATATAAGACTTATTCTTCATTATCAATGCTTCATATACAGAGTTGTATTACCTTGTCTCTTTCATCCTCCCAAGAAGATCCATTCCTCTTTTGCTTCGGGCCCCGTGTTCCTTTGCCAACAAAACTCCCATTCCCATGCCACAGAGCCAGAACCGAGACGTTTCCCATGTACAATCCGAGATACCAGAGTACAGAAAGAGAAAAGACAGAAAGAGCACGCTCACACCTCCGTCTCGACGTCTGGCTTTCGACCACTCAGGGACCCGACCTTGGTGAGCCTACGCACGGCATACTTGGCCTCGTCCTTTGCAAATTGTACATTACGCATTGGTTTCCTGTCGAGCACTATATGTTAGTCCATCTACGTGTCCTCTCACGTTTTTTATGGAGGGAGAAGTCGCTGTTTATTTTTCTTTTTTTTCTTTTTTTTTTTTTTTTGGAGGAAGAGGGGGGGTAGGGGCCAGACGTACCACTGCATCAATCCCCTGTGCTGGCGGTGCAGGTCCCGGCTCTTCTCCTGGTACTCCTTGTATTTCTTGACCGGGTTCTTGCTCGACTTGCCGCTGCCCGCGCTCTTGGTGGATGACGGCGACAGCGGGCTTCCTGGGTAGCTGCCGGTGTCTGCCGACTGTCGCGGCGTATCCACACTTCCCCTGCCGTTGCTGGCGGTGGAGGCGTCCGTGATGCCGAGGTCGACACCGCTAGTACTGGAGGAATCGTCGTCGTCACTGTTGTCCTCGTCCTCGTCCTCGTCATTTTCCTCCTCGCCGATGCCATTGGCAGCCCCCGAGGGGTTTTTACCAAACGTGCCGCTCCAGTCTGTGCCGTCCCTCGCCAGCCACTTCTCCTTGTCTTTCTCGTCCGCCTGGGCCAGGACGTCCCGGCCCTGCGTGAGACTGGCGTCGTGCAGCTTCTGGATGCTGGGTGGGACCTCTCCCACCACATGCTCCGCCCTCACGCCCTCGGCAAAACAGGCCTCCCACGACTCGATCGTCTCCCGAGAGTCATTGTCGCTCACAAACTTGAGGTGATCGCGGTCCGTTCCTGGCTTGAACCGGCCGCGGAAGCGCAGACGGCCGACTTCCTCGATCTTGAGGTCAGGAACCTCGCGATAGTTGGCCTCCGTAATGTAGTTCTGGCTCAGCCGCATGCTGTTGTTACACCGCCAGATGGGAATGTCAAAGTCCTTGTCCTCCAAGTCGACGAGGTCCTGCAGCCAGACAGACGCATAGGCATCGGCATGTCGCCTGCCGCTGGGGTGGAACTCGAAGAAAATAGGAGACCGGTAGCGGTAGCGAACGGGGAGGCGGATGCGCCCGGTGATCGGGGCAGTTACGGTACCGTCGTCGTTCCTGGTACTTGTTGTGTCGGTGATGTCCCAGACGAGGCTGCCGTCTTCCCCCTTGGAGCACTTGTCGCTCTTCACCGCCGCGGAACTGCCGCCCGTGCGGAGCTTCAGCTTGGTGCGTGAGGAGCCGCTGTAGTTGGTGGCCTGAATGGTATCCGAGACGAACTCGAACGTGCCGATCTCGCCAAAGCCGAGCTGCGACGGGGGCAGCCTGAGCTCGACGGAGCGGAACAGGAGGCTGACGCGCATACGCCCAAAGCCGATGCCACCGTCCAGGGGGTACCACCGTGTGCTTTGGCTGCTGTTCAGGAGCACGTCAGACAGCTTCAGCGGAACAACCCCGATGATGGGATCATGCTGGCGGTTGCGCGAATCCCGAACCGTAACAGTGATGATACAGGACCGCCAGTCTCGGACGAAGCGCTCGGTACCAGCCTCAAAGATCGGTTTGGACGAGACGACCTTTGTCCGCGTCTTGTATGCCAGCTCGTCGTTGATGAGGATTGTGCAGTACGAGGACGGCAACTTCTTGCCCGTCTCCTCCTTGACCTCGCCGGCCTCGGGACGGGCTGGCTCGAACTCGCGGCCCTTTCTCTTCCCTTGCGAGCCCTTGATGTTAGCAAGCTCGAGGCTGACGATCTGGTGGACGACAATGCTGACGATACCGCTGGGCCAGAGCGGGTCGGGTGGCGTGTGAACGACGGCGTCCTCCGCCGCTGTGTCGAGCGAGCCCACGTCCGTCTGCAGCTCCTTCTTGTCCTGCAGCTCCTTGGGCAGGTTCGGGTCCTTGCCGTCCGTCCGCAAGGCCTTCCGGAACTGGGTCCGGCCAAAGAACCCAACCTCCCAGTGCAGCTCACCAGGCATTGTGCTCTCTGCCTTGGTGCCTCGGAGGGTGGAGGTCTGCGGGAACATCTTGCCGGGGTGCTGGATCAGCTTTTGGATGCTGAGCTCCACCTTGCCGACCACATCGTCTGCGGACGACCGGTCGCTGTCCCAGAGTTCGAGAGACAGCTGCTCGTCCGCCTTGACGATGTCGGGTGTGACCAGCAGCCCGGCGCACTCTGAGAAGATGGGGTTGAGGTCGTCCTGGATCACACGGGTGCAGTACTGTGGTTTTCCAAACTTGGAGAACGCTACGCAGATGTACGGATCAGAGCCGCCGCCGTCGCTACCTCTCCGATCCTGCTTGGATAGGCCGGTGGCCTTGTGAATCCGCACGAACAACACACCCAGGGCCTGGGTTTCCTTGGTGATGTCGTCGCCCTGGAGCATCTTGCCAATGTCGAGGGTCAGCGACTTGGGCGCCACATACATACCGGCTGCCGTGGCGATGGCCCAGTTCACAAAGTTGGAGATCAGCGGAAGGTTGAGGATGTTGGCGCCCTTCTCGATGAGTGGTATGCAGCTGGCATGGACCTTGGGCAGACCCATCAGCGTGAAGGAGAGTGTCTTGATAAAGGGCGGGTTGGGAGCCAGGGCGACACGGATGCGTGCCGTGCAGACCAGCCCGTTCAGCTCGACCCATATGGGGAAGGGAACGCCAAAGAGACCCTTCATGCCGAGGTAGAAAACCAGCTGCATCCCCATGTTCTTAGCCTTGGAGGAGACGTCATTGCCAGAGGGCAGAGAGTGATAGGCCACGGTGGCCTCAAGGTTGTAGAAGTCACCGCCCTCCTCGTCGGCAGCCAGCTCCTGGGGGTCTTTGTTCTTGGCCTGCTGTTTGCGGATCTCATCTTTCAGGTCCTGGACATGGCTGTCCGGAAGGGCGCGCAGGCTGAGGATCCGGAGAGGGTTGCTCCCCTGGGAAATGTCATTCACCTTGACGTTCTCGATGACGCCGGGGACGGATGCCTGCATGACATCCTCCAGGGTATCGGCGACGGCAGCAAACATGTCGGGGTTGATCAGGCTCCAGATGAGGCCGACAGCGGTGTTGAGCCACTCGACAGACTCGGGGATCAGATTTACGACGGCGGTCTCGCCGCGTTTCTGCTCGCTAGACCACTCGGTGTCGCGGCCCTGGCGGACGAGATCCTTCATCCACAGGAACACACCCGAGGCCACACAGGCGGCGAGAGGGAACAGGCCCCACAGGGAGCCGCCAAACATCTTGCCTATGATGACGATGGCGATGAAGATGGCTATGCAGAGGACGTTTGCGCGGGCCTCGATGGAAGCGTACATGGGCTCGTAGCTCACCGAGGGCGTCGGGTGAAAGAGCACGTTGGTCTTCTCGCCGTGGATGGGGACGTCACTCGTAGTGCCGGGCTCGACAGGGTCGGGCGGTGCCGTGACGTCCTGTGCATATCGGTACTCCTCGCCAGACTGGCTGGGGTCCGTCTTGATGGTTGTGTCCTTGCCCAGATTGGCGTTGGGAACGAAGAGCTGGCCATCTCCAGTCAGCGAAGGCGTTTTTTTTTCTGCTCCTCACTCCCTCTCTTCTCTCACTGCAAGAAGGGAGAGAGAAAAGCATGAAAACAGGAAAAAAGGAACTTACATGTGGATCCTCGGTGTTCTTCATGAGACTACTGTCCATGTCATCAATCTCGACGTCCTTGCCGGTGACGGGGTCTCGAACCGTACGCCGGTTCTTGCCACGCCGCTGGCCGGTTTCTTCGTGTGCCTTGGCCTCGCTGCCGCCAGTCTTCCTGGTCTGTTTCGACTCCTCGTCGATCTTGGCGTCTCGGCCCTTCTTCTCTGTGTCCAGCCGCTCCATAAACTGCTTAATATTGGGAATGCGGTTACTACCAGAGTAGTGCTGTCCCGGTTGGGACACCGTCTCCTTGGTATCCATGTTGACCGACAGCAAGCCCTCTATGCGAATGTGTGTGTATGTGTGTGAATGTGGGTGAGAGAAGGCAGCTGAGGCTTGACTGTCCTTCCAAGGCGAGGAGGGGGGTAATAAATTCAAGGTGTCAGGTATGCCAGGCTCAGGTCGTACAACCAGTCACACACCAGAAAAGGGATCACAGAAGAAGAGGAAGAAATGTCGACGTATCACAGGAGATCTACGATGAGAAGAAGGAGAATAGGAAGAAGACGAGGAAGAATGAAAGAGTAACGTTAAAAACCCAGGAGGTTGCCGCCCCCTTTCCCTACCTTACATAGCTCGACCTCGCGAGTTCCTTGGATAGCTTGGCTCTAGCTAGTTCAGTAATTGAAATTGACGCCAACAGCTGCTAACAAGTACATGAAGTGCATAAAAAGTAGTAAGTCATGGACTTTATCTCTCTCGATCGGCGACACCTTCCCGCAGACTAAAGTAGCCTTGATCCGCACAAACCTGTGTCCCATAGTAGGAAGTTGCACTCACGAAACTCAGCTGAACATGGGGCAGAATATTACACTATGCCATATACAGAGAAGAGAAGAGAGGGCGTGTGTTGCTGTGTGGTAAAAAAAAAAAAAAAAAAAAAAAGTCTGTTTTCTTTTGCTTCCGTCCTCCTTTGTCTTGAATTGGTTTTGCTGTAGTGGACGGGATGACGTCGTTGCGTCACCAAGAAATGGAACCGCCTCTCGCTCTTTCCCCGCTGTCGATGTGACCTCATCAGCAACCCGTCCCGCCAATCTGGCACCCCCACAGGCCTGGGGCTCTCCTTGGCCTGGGCCTGGATCCAAGCTGAACTCAGAGCTGGCCCGAGAACGTCAATCGTAAACGTCAATCCAATCAATCTCGGAAAAAAGCAGCTCGTAGGGGCCATCGATTTTCTAGGTTGCAGCTTTGAAACACCGTCCAGTTCATTGAGCAGGGCAGAGACGCGATGGATGATCATCAATCCCTCCTCTACTCAACCCCCCCAAAAAAGAATAAGAAAAAAATCCATTGATAACTTCATGTCGTTTGCCTATCGTTCAGCATGTGGATCTTTACACTGGGTCGAAACACTGTAGATCGGCTTCGCCAGATGAGATGATATAGTGGTAATATGCCTGTCACTTCCCTTATGGAGCAAGTAGTCTCTCGATGTGGGCTTGATTACCGTAATGTCCCATCTCTTCCATTTCGCACGTATGAAAGGCTCAGATCTGCCTGCTACAAAACTCCAAAGCAAGCGAAACACAACCACCTCCTACCACACCGTCATATCATGGTTCCAAGTTGTTAAGCATAAAAAATAAAAGAATATACCACCTTCATCGCACGTTCATAAACAGTGCGCAGCCTAATCTCCTGACTCCCAGGCCCCTAATAGACATCATGATCATCCATTTAGAAAGAGAAAACCCAGTCACCATGTCTTGAAGCATGCCTACCAGCCAGGTTTTTTCCTTCTTCTTCTTGGTGATCTCCAGCTAGCCCATCCATCATCCTCACCCCACTAATTGCTACAAAGCTACATAATGCATAGTAAAAGCCAAGCCCAGCAGACGGCCCCCTCCAAAAAAAAACCGGGGCCGCATACGCTAAAGCCTATGGTGGCGCACCACCACTAAGCACCAAGGCCAGAAAGGGGGGCAGCAAAGGTTGTTTCTCTCCGCAGGTTCTCCGATCAGTTGCGTGTCCCAAACCGCGGGTCATGTCTAGTTCGGACGAAAAGTGGGGGGCGGGGGAGAGGAAGTTGCACGCCTGGAAGACAACACATGCCAGGCCCGTGCGCCTTGGCGTTCATAACCCGACTATCGTGAATAGCAGGCAGGGCAAGTAATGTCAATCAGTGCTGTAGCAGCAGGTTGAACGGTCCCCACGGAGAAGAACAAAACAGCCTCACATGCATGGTTTATCTGGCATGGCGGGACGTGGGTAGGTGATTTACTTTTTACCTCTCTCTTTTTCTTTTCACCCATGATATGGAACGCCAGGGCGCGGACTGGCAGTGTTGTGTCTGGCTTTGTGTACTGTTCAGCAATCATGCTGTTGCTCATTTGCATAGCCACGCATAACTTGAATCTAGCTTGCCTTGACGATGTGTTGGCTCTTGAAAATTGAGGCGACGCCCGATCCTATTCCACAGCCATACTGTTCGTAGTACCCAATGAGTAAAACTTGAAGCACAATGGATGAAGTGAGAGCAGGGTTGAGGAGACCCTGCTCGACGCAGATGGCCAGCCTGAAGAAGGCTGACGGTCCCTCCAGCAAAGTTTGCAGCTTAGTTTTTTTTTCTCTCTTCTTATTTCCTACTTCTCTCCTTTCTTCTTTCTCTCATTCGATAGGCAGGTAAAGGATACTTGGTATTTGTCTTTCGGATATGTGGCAAGGATGCACAAACCTTGCTAGCTGCAGCAGACAAGTCGTCCGCTAAGCAAACAAAAGCTAATTAGGGTATAAGTATTTCCAGTAAGAAACCTTCGTGCCTCCACCGCTCATCATGCCATAATTCTCGAGAGAGAAAGGATGTTTCAGCTCCGTGACTGGCCGACCACACTGCCCTTCATTATCGCACATCCTAGCCAGAGACCTAGTGCTGCTGAGCTCCAGCATGTCCATCACCCATGGTCGTTATCGTGGGGCTATGCCCAATCCCCAAGACCTTCTGCAGGCTTCTCCTGAGTGCCTTGCCCGTACCTGAGCCTCCGCTTCCCTCATCTCCACCGGCGGTGCTTTCTCGTCTGACTTTCTCCTTGTCCTTGTCTCCATCATGCCCACGTCCATGGCTGTTCAGGAACGAGAAACTCAATTTCCGTCTCCCCGGTGATGTAGGATACGCTGTCGAAGACCCAACTGCAGAAGACACTGTACTCTTCTTTCGTTTAACGGCGACAACGGCGGCGGGTTCGGGAGCAGCAGGTCGCGGGGGCCACTCGCCATCTCGCTTCCAGCCAGCTACGCAGGCCCGTACCATATCGCTGAGGTTAATGGGACACGAGGGTTGCAGACTGTGCACAACAACCTTCTCGTATATGGAATTGTAGAGGGAGGGTGTGATGCTAGCACGCATGGGATTCGAGGGCGGTAAGAGCGGCGGTGGAATAGGCAACATGGTTTCCACACAGAGAAGCTCAGGAGCCTTCTGGGAGTCGCTGAGCGAGGTCTTTGGTGACAGGCTCTCCAGTGGCATGGAGTTGTCGCTGTCTGCGCCGGCTGATGGGAGCTGTTGCCCAGCGTCCGGCTGTGAGTGCGTTGGCGTCAGAGGCGATGTTCCGGCATTGGATGAGGTCTGCGTCTGCGTTCGCCAAAAGAAGCCTCTCCTTGGTGATAGAGGGGATGTAGGTGATGTTGGCTTTGGGCGGACCCGGGCCACCTTTGCTCCGGTCCAGGCGTTCCTCCGGGCCTCGAAACATGCTAAACCGTCATTCCATTCCATCTCCTTGCGCACATCCTTCCGCCTTCTGGCCTTTCGTGCGATCTTGGAAGCAGTCACGGCCTGACCGATCGAGTCAGGCGTGTCGAATTTGAAGGTTGTAGGAGAGTTGTAGGGCAACTCGTCATCGGACAGCTCTGAGGCCCATTCCAGCCGAGGTCTCCAGTGCAGCGGGTCCTCTGAGATGATGCTGTAGACCGATTCAGCATCGGAGCCTGAATCCGCCTCCTCGCCCGAGTCCAAGGCAGTGTCGTCCCCCTCCAGTGCATCGTGATTTGCGTCTTCTGAGGCCTGAGAGGAGGCTACCTCAAGGTATCCCTCGACCTCCCCATCTGGTGCGTCGTGACCAGCATCTGGGGTTGGAGGTACGTGTACATGCACGTGCTCCTCTGGGGGCCAGTCGAATGCCCAGTCATTTCGGACCTTGGTCTGCAGGTGTTTTTTGACGGCCTCCTTCTGTCGTGACTTGTCCTTGCTGACCAGGTCAGGGTCAAAGTCGGCCGAGCCTGGCGCAAGTGCTGGGTGGTTGGGGTGCCGTAACCTGGACAAGGGTGATCGTGGAGATTTGTACAGGTCTGTGAAGATCATTTTGTGAGAACCGGCTGGACCGTCTCTGTGGTTGTGGTTTCTTTGGGTAGCAGGAGCACCGGCTGCAGGATCAATGCGTGAGGTGCCGTGCCTCAAGTATTGTTGGGGAGAGGAGAAGGAAGGAAAAGACGCAGGGACACGGTCACCACGAGGGGCATGTGATGCGGGCGCCGGGAGTTGTATGTCGTTGTTATTATTGAGCCTGGACCGGTGGGCTGTACCGGGCTGGCGTGACGTTAATGACCCAGACCCAATGGAGACAGGCGCGGGGTGCGGGGAGACCAGGGTTACGCCTGGGGCGGTTGAGAGGGCGGCAACGAGACTCCCAGTTCCAGTGGTCGGCTGGGCACCTGGGGTGGTGGGGAGACGCGGGAAGGCCTCCTCCTCCTGTTCGTCCTGCCTTGGACACTGGGGCTCGGTCGGGTGAAAGCCTGTTTAGAAGAAGAAAAAAATTTATCTGAGCGGTTTTCCAGTACAGAAATTGGATGGCACGGCACATATGCAGTGACCCTGTCAGTGCAGATGCAGGGTAAAGATCTCGTGATGATAGCCTCTATGAACGTGAGAGGCGCTGACCACCAAAGAAGGTAGGTGTGGGGAAGAACAGAGGCAGAGAAAGAAAGGAAGAAAAACAACAGGTTGTGAAGTGATGAGAATGTGGGCTGATCTGGGGAGGGCTGTAGGAGATAGCCGCTAACAGGGCAGATCAACCGTGTAGTGGTGCTATCCTCTGCAGAATTCCCACGGGCAGAACCGGAGTCTTCCAGTCAAGGGGGAAATAGGCACTTGTGAGCAGGAGAGAAAACTTCCCAAGGACCAATGCATCGACCCTAGGGAACTTGGAGGGATCTGGATCTGGATCTGGAAACAGAACCACTCTGGCCGGCCTGTTCCCGTATCACCGACTAGGGTGAAGGAATCCGAGGTACCCTTGGGGATGGAGAATGGGGTCCAGGGCAAGGTATCGTGGGCCAGTCGAGGACGAAGGAGGGCGAGAAGCCGACCAGGGTCCAGACACAGACTTGCCAAGTGCCAGGTAGGATGAAAGACTAGCAAGGCAGGACAGAAAGGTGGCCGGACACAGGTGGTGTGATGGGTGGGGATATATCATCATGCGCATACAATGGAGTAAACTGCTGTGGTCTAGGTATCATCCGGCTCCGGATGAGGTTACCCTGCTGCCACTCGGAACCCTCGAGCGCCGTGATCAGTGCTCGCCCGTGAGCCTAGGCTCTCTGGCTGAAGAAAGCGGGCCGTTGACTTTTGGTGCGAGGCTACACAGCCCCAACAAGCCGGCAAGTCTCTCCCGAGTTTAGTGGGCGCGCCAGTTGGGTTTCTCAGGCCGGAGGATAGTAATTGTGGGTGGTTTTGGTATTGAAGGGTTGCGCTTTGTTCGAGTGCAACAGCAAAAAGGAGCGAGAGGCTGGGAGATGATAACGGATACGAACACAGAACAAACGTACCTGGTCTCGCATAAGTCTCTTCTCGACCCTCGCCTGCGTCGACGTTTGCGGATTGCGACCCACCACCACCACCACCACCCGCGTTGCTGTGACTGCGACGCCTGTCTGACTTCATCTCCGCCATCAATGGCGTGTGATCAAGTTACTGCTGTTGCTGCTGTTGCTGCTGTTGCTCACAAGTTGGGTCTATTCGAAAAACACTCAGCCTGGTGTTGGGCAGGTGTGGTAGGTTGACAGAATGTCACCCTTACCCGCCCCTCGCCGTCGTCAATGGTATAATCACAACACGCCACAGCCCAGCAAAGCGCCAACACGTAATTGACGAAGACCTTGGTCCGCTACCAGATCGTGTGCCTTTAATGTTCGTCTTGATGCGTCCACATCGAGTCGTCGTCAAGAGAACAGGGCGAGCGTCGAGATGGGCATTCAAATATTGTGGGGCAAGAGAAGAAGAAAAGAAACAAGACCCTGAAGCGCACTATCACACAGAGTAGAACGCCTGAGGTGTTTTCATTTCACTTCTGCACCTATGTCAGCAAAGGCACAAAAGGGCAGGCACGACACCCCCGTGAGAGAAAAAGCTGCTTAGTGCCGCTAGTCCCGAATGAGAATATGCCATCCCCCTGCCACGAACTCCTCGCCCCGTAAACATGCACTGTGCGGTGCCTTGATTGGCTGCATCTGCCACTCATGCAAAGCCATCGTCTATTATGGAAAACGATGCATGAGTATCAGCCAGTGACAAGTGAATTCCAAAGCGTGAACGTCACCTACCACAGCACACGTCATCTGCGGTGTCTTTCGATAACGTGAGTTGAAATGTTGACTGGCCCTTCATTTGTTGAGTGGCGTTGATAATATCAATACTGTAACATATAAGGTATTGCTTACACTTCTTTATGGTATTTTCTTGATGATAATCGGAGACTGCAAGATGAAAATTCATGATTTTTGTGGATCGGCATTTAATTAATCACTTTGTAATGGTCAATCTATCCATCGTTTTCAGGGACGAAACAAACGCCACGGCGAGATTGATTAAAATGTCCGGCGCTTTCTTCGGTGTCATCCTTAGGTTCACGGCAGGGCTTTCAAAACGATGGGTCGGTACTGCGACCAAAAATGGTCAGCGCTGAAGCTGGCTCGCTACTATGGCGCCAGCGAGGAGATCATTTCGCTTCTGACCCCGAAAGAGAAGGTCGTTGACAAGCATGGACAGGAGAAGGTATGGGAACCTCAGGAACACAGCAGTAGCAAGGCCAAATTGCGTGATGGCTACTGCGATGCATGCTTATATGTGGGCTCCCTCCCCCCCCCCTTTCCATCCCAAAATCAATATCGTTCCTTCCAATTATTCATGGCTGACTTATTGGGGAGGGGGGAAAAGACAGTATACGGTCTACAATATGCCAGTGAGAAACACGCGGTGGAGACTTGTTGGTGTAGCAAGTGCTTCACACGACACAATAGAAGCGTCCCCGGATATCCTGATTGGATATTGGTGGGCGACGAATTCGAGCCCGAGGTCAAAGACGAAGACACAGAGGGAGAGAAGGAATCGGAGCAGTAACTGGTCGAATCATCTGCTCTGGTCAAACAAGTTCAGACCTCTGAGGCCGACTACTGGTCGGATACGGATTCGGATCAAGAATGGATTCCCCTGTTCTAACCTCACCATGTTTGTTTGTGGATGCAAAGACGAAGACAAATCAGTGATCATATATCAGGTCTTGATCGTGCGGACAGTATTGTGTTATGATTACTCGTACTAAGCCATACAATATTCATGGTGGCCTCTCCAATGAGGTTGATAGAGCGGCTACATGCCGCTGTGAGCCCTCACTGATGTGCTATTTTGTACAGGTCGATATACGCTGGCGGAATAGGATCGCATCAGCCCCCATTGTTCAATATATACAGCAACGGTGAACCAGGGTGGCACAGTCTTCACATATGAAATACATTGTCGATTACCCGTGGGTGGTTGAGGTCTTGTTTGCAGTTCTCATTCCATATCATGGCACAGTATGACTGCTGAAGAGGATTCCATCTAATTTTGAGGACAGCTGAGAAATTGACAGATAGATGGATAAAGATCAATGCAAAGACTACAAGTATTCAACTAGTCATCAGTCTGGTGGTTGTGTCCAAGCCATGCACAAGTGGTACTGCTATGTAGTGCACGGCACATGTGAGCAAGCGGCAGGGGCGCGGGCCGGAGGGGTACTTTGGGGCCTGCGTTCCACTGTACTTGGCGAGTCCCGTTTCTGATTAGGTGCTCAAGGCGCTGGAAATTCAAAAGGCTGACACAATCCCGGGGGGAGGGACTCGAAATGATAACCTCGAGCTTTAAACTCTTTTCTCCACCCTCCTTCGTCATCCTACAAACCCAATTCATCCGAACCATCATGTCCCAATTAGCCACTCAACATCCTTCCTTTTTTTCTTTCTTTCTTTTCTACCCTTTTTTTTTTTCTCTTGAAAAAATCCATCGTATCAAAGACCCTCAGATAACGATTGGATATGGATAAATTGCGTGTGCATTGTTCCTTTGGAACACAATCGAAAATGGCTGGCGGGGCGTGACGCTGAGGACTCGCTCTTGTTGACAATGAATCCTCGCGTGAAGTCGTCAACGCCATTGTGTCTTTGTCCCTTCATATAAGCTTTCTCTTGAGAACTCTGGCCATGTAGCTTTCAAGAGAAAAAGCCTGTTTCCCGCCTTGGCCTCTTTTACGTTAAAAAAAAAAAAAAAAAAAAAAAAAACGTCTGTGGAGCGTGGCAGCCTTTAAGTTTCATCCTGCGTCTTGCTCGGGATGAAGACAGCCACCCCGCGCCTAGGCATTGATTGATCGCCCTCTTTCGTGGCGGTATGTGTGCTGTCTGGCGCGCTCGCAGAGGTCTGTCCCGTTCAAATTACCTACTGTTTGTGCACAAGGTAACTTTATCTCAGCGTATGACAGAGTCTCGAGGGTATCAGTGGCGAGGACTCTTCTCCCATGTAACCTCCTCTGCATGGCCGTCTCATGCCACCATCCCCAACAGCTCCCTCTCTCTCTGCCTTTCCATGTCCTTGATCTTTTCCGAATTCATCCTGGCCGTTAGCAGTACGAGCACTTGCACGAAAAAGGGACACATGAGCACTTTTCATTAAAAAGACACCTTTTGATTCTGTGTCTATCTGGCCATGTACCTTTCCTTCCTTCATCATCAAATGTGGTACCTGGCCATGTTCTGTAGACGGAAACATCTCTCTCGTGGTGTAAGGAGGAAGAAGAAGAATAAAGAAAAAAAGAACAGAAACAGGCATCCATCAATCCGAACCTCCCTTCAGTCAGTCATGCAGTCTTTCATGACGATCGAAGGCCTCTTTCGGAATCCCATCATCTGTCCCAGAACCAGAATCATCATACCCCTCCATCATCAAAGTATCCGTGGCCGTCAGTACGTGCCTCATTCCATCCCTGACCGTCATCGTCTGGGGCCAAAGCCAATCCCCGTTCCTCCCTCCCCACGAAGACGTCTCTCTCGAACCCTTCAGTTGTGGTGACCTTGCATAGGCATCTGAAAGGCAATGTCGTCCAAGTCGGAGTTCAAGCCCAAGTCATACTCCGCAGCACCGCCAACACCGCCGGCGTAAGCATGGTTGAGCTGCTGGGGGCCCTGAGCTTGCATCATCTGAGCACGCGCCGTGTTGCCGCCATTCATGGTATTGTTGTTAATGAAGGCGTGCGACGAGGGGCCGTTCGTGCGAACGCCGTGGGCTGGGTTCGAGCTGGGGTTGGTGTAGAAGGCGTTGGGCTGAGCATGCGTGTTGTTGTGGAAGCCAACATGGCCATTGTGGCCGCCAGCGTAGGCATTGTTGAAGTGCTGCTGGGGCAGGGGCTGGTTGTTCTGGGCACGCGCCACATTCTCGCCGTGGTTCATGTGGTGGGTGCCGGAAGGGGCATATGTGTGGAAGGAATTCGCGTTGGATGGACCACGCGTGTTGAAGCCACCACTGCCATTCTCGCCGCCAGCGTAAGCATTGTGATTGAAGTACTGCTGGGGTTGGTGGTTGCGGTTACGATTGTTATTGTTGTTGTTGTTGTTGTAACCACGCGCCATGTCCCCCTCGCCGTCCACGTTGCGGACGACATTCGTGCCCAAAGAGTTGGCAGGACCATTGCGTTGGAAGTTGGCAAAGATACGCTCAAGGTTCTGAGCGGCCATGCCGATCAATTCCATGTGTCGCTCAACCACATCATGTATCTGGTCTACGGACTCGACAAACTGTTCGTACAGTCGCCCATCGGTCTGGCCCGCCATGATCATGACCTGCATCTCGTCGAGTTGCTGCTGGGCGCCGCTCTGAATTGATACGTTGCTGCGGATGAGCGACATGATCTCGTTAACATTCGCGGCGAAGTCATCGGGTGCCGACTCGAGCCCGTCGGAAAGCATCATGCGTTCGCGGGTTATCCTCAGCGACCTGTCGATACTATCCTCGCTGGCGTTGCTGCCGTGGTCATCCTGATCAGGACCAGCTGTTGTGTTGGTCTGTCGAGGCGGCTGCTCAGGGTTAAGGGG